ATTATTTAAACTAGATTTTTATTTCTTTTCTAAATCTTAAGATTATATATATTATAAAAAATTAAAAAATTATTTTATATTTAATTTTATAAAAAAAACTTTTTATTCTTTATAATTAATAGTAGAAGATATTCTTTTCTAAAATTTATTTATAAATTTAAAAACTATTATTTTACTTCAGTTAAAAGAAGTTATTAATATTATAAAAAAATTTTTAAAAAAATATATTATTTTTTAATAGAATTTTTTATATCTATTATTTTATATATTTTTATATTTTATAATATCTAGAAATTAAAAACTTAGGAACTAGTTTTATAAATTATTATTTTTATAAAAATTATAAAAAAAAATATTTTTAGTTATATCTAAATAAATAATTAATTAAATATTAAATAAAGAGTTATTATAGATATTTAGTTATTTTTTTAAAATAAATTTTTATTAATTATTCTTTATCTCTAAGTTTTTACTATTTATAATAAATAGGATTTTTAAAATTAAGTTTTATATTTTATAATTATTTATTATTTACTATTTTAAATTATTAAATATATATAATTTAAATAAATAATTAATTTTACTACTTTATCTTTTTACTAAAAACTAAGTTTTTTTAATTAAGTATAAATTAAAGAATATTTATTAAAATTATCTGAAAAAATATATATAAAGTTATTATTAAAGTTTTTAAATATTAAATAAATATTAATTATAATTAACTATTAGATTAATTTTAATTAAAAAATATTTCTTATTTTAATTAAATATTTTCTAATAAAAAATATAGATTATTATAAGATTTTATTAGATTTTTAACTAGTATCTAAATCTTATACTAGTAAAAATCTAATTATAATTATTTTATTAATTTTATATAAATATAATCTTTTTTATTAATTATTAGATATAATAATTAATAATATTAATAATAATAATTTAATATTTAATTTAATTTTATTAGAATTCTGGATTTAATTTAATTAAAATATCTAGTTTTATAATACTTTTATTAATTTTAATTTTATAAAAATTATTTAAAATTAATATTATATTTCTTATTTTATTTATATAATCTAGTTTATAATTAATATTTTTTTATAAAAACTTTAGATTAAGATTTTAAATAATACTATTAAATATATTTAAAATAATAATAATAAAAGTCTTAAAATCTCTTCTAATATTTTAAAAACTTTTAAAAAAATATATTCTAAGAATTATTTATAAAAATCTTTTATAAATAATTTTTAAAGATTTTTTTTCTATAATAATATATTATACTAATTTTTAATTATAGATTTAGAAGATTATATAATTTATAAATATAAGTTTTTAATATTATAAAAAATTTTAATTTATTTAATAATTAGAATTTAATTTAATTTATTATTTTTTTCTAGATTATAAAATTTATTAGAATTTAATTTATCTTATAATTTATTAGATATTTAATCTTTATTAAATAATTAAAAATTTTATTTAGTATTATAATTATACTAATATTAATTATTTTTAATTAACTTTAATTAAATAAAAGTAAATAAAGTATCTTCTTAAACTTTTATATTTATTTTTTTTATATTTTATTTATCTAAGAATAATAAATTTATTATTTATAAAATTTATAATATTTATAATAATTTCTTTAACTATCTGAATTACTGTATTAATTAATTAATAAAAAAATAAATATTTAAAAAAAAGAAGATTCTTAAGAATTTATAAAATATATATTAAAAATTATAAAAATATTATTATTATATTTATTAAATAAAAGATTATATTTATATAATTATAATAATTCTTAACCTAATATCTAGATTTAAGAAATTTAAAAAAAATATATAATTTAATAATAATATTAAATAATATAATAAATACTAGATTATCTTTAAAAAGATATTTTATTTCTATTATAATTAAAATCTAGTTATTAATATATTATTTATTATTTTTAAATTATTTTTAAATCTAGATAAAACTTTTTATAATATTTTTAAATACTAGAGACTTTTACCTATAATAAAAATATTTAAAAAATTTAAAATATATTTAAATATTAAAAATATATAATTTATTAACTTATTTTTAATTTAATTAATATTATTTTAGATATTATAAAATATATTAATATTTTTATTTACTAGAAATTCTATTATAATTAGTTTTTTATTTTTTATTAAATAATTAAAAACTTCTTATTTATTATAATTAATAATATTAATATTAAATATTTATTTAATAATTCTTAAGATATTTATTACTATTATTAGAATTATCTTTAGTTTAATATAATTAAAATAATTATATTTTAGATATATATTAATTATTTTATTATAAATAAAAAGTACTAGAATATTCTTAAGAATTTTAATTTAAATTTAATTATTTTTATATTTAAAAATTAAGAAAAAAATAAGATAATTACTATTTTTTATATTAATAAAAATAAAAATATAAATAACTTAAAAAATAATCTAGAGAATAGATTATTATTAAAAATAAAAAAATAATTTTATTTAAATCTATAAGTATTATATATTTTTAAATAAAGATTTATTTTTTATAATTTTTATATTATTATAATTACTATTCTGAATAGTATAAAAAATAATTAATATATATATTTTATATTAAATATTATTCTTCTTATATTAAGTTTTATAAAAGCTTTTTTTAAAGTATAGTATATTTTTTAAAAAAAATAAATAGAATAAATAAAAAAAATAAAATAAATAAAATAGAAAAAATAAATAAGTTAAATATAAAAAATATAATTATATTATAATTAAAAATATATTATATTTTATATATTATTTATATAAGAAAGATATATATATTATTAATTAATCTATAGTTAATAATCTATTTATTATATCTAACTTTTCTAATTAGTAGATATAAATAGTTAAAATAATAATTATATCTTAACCTAATCTTAACTATATAATTAAATTATTTTTTATATCTTAACTTAATTACTAGATTATAGTCAGGTTAAGGTTAAGATATAATAATCAGGTTAAGCTACTCTAATAATAATCTAAAAATATTATATTAATTTTTAATTATTATTTTAATAATAAAAATATAATATTCTTTATATAATTTATTAGATTTTTAATATATAATTTAAATAAAATTATAATTATATATTTTTTATATTCTTTATTATAAAAGTAATAATATTTTAATAAATTAAATTATATTAATATTATTAAGATTTCTTTATTATTTTTTATAAATAAAAAAAGAAAATATTATTATATTTTTAATTTATTTTATTTTATTTTAAAAAGCTTACTTTTATATATTTTTAAATAATAATTAAAATAATTAAATTAATTTTTATTTAATCTAGATATATTTTAATTATATTAAAATTAAAAAAGATATAATAAATAAATCTTAATATTAAAAATAATTAAAATAATTAATTATATTATTTTTAATTATACTATAATTAAATATAAAAATTTCTTTAATCTAATTATTAACTTATAGTCAGGTATAAAAGTTCCTATTAACCTGACCTGACCTGGCTGTTAGCTACTCTAATATTAACTTATTACTATATACTGCTAAATAAATATTTATTTTATTATCTTAAATTAAAGATATAGGCCCTGAGCTATTTTCTATATAATCTAATATTAAAAATAAAAAATATTTATAATAATTATATATCTTTTTACCAGAATATATATTTACAGTATTTTAAAAAAATATTTAAAATAATACTATATAACTTCAGTATTCTATAACAAAAAAAAATATTAAATTTAATTTAATTTCTAAATTAATATTTCTTAAAAAAAAGAAACTAAATTATAGGTTTTTATTTATAAATTAAATTATTTAATATATATCTAAAAAGAATATAATATTCTTTATACTGCTAAATTTTATTCAGCTTTTTAAATATTTTTAAATTAATATATTATATATATATTATAAATAAATAAGTTTTAATACCTCTGGTATAGTTAAATATAATAAAATCTAGAAAAATAATAGATAAAAGAAGTATAGATCTTAAGTAATTATAAGATATTATTAATCTATAAATAAAATCTTTTTAATAATTTTAATTAAAAATTAGATTAATATTAATAGTACTTGAAGATATATTAATATTATATATTTAAAACTAAATATAAAATAATTATTAAATTAAAACTTAATATTTTTTAAAAACTAGATAAATAATAGATATACTAATAAAATAAAAATAAGATATATAATATTAGTAGTATATATTTTATTTAAGTTTAATTAAATTATATAAATTTAGATAAAAACTTAAGATAATAATTATTTCTCTAGTATTTACTCCTGGAGTAATCCAGGATTACTTAGGGATTATTTAGGATATATACTTCTATACTCTTCCTATACTCTAGACTACTTAGTAAGCAAAAAGCAGCGCTAAGTTCAACCTAAAGCAGAAAGGGAAACTCGCTCGATTTCCGCAGCAATCCAGTTCGGTAGAAGACATAGTTATGTGAACGTCATATGAAAGTAGATATCATACAGATGAAGTTTTCTCGGTTGTCCAGTACTATTATCTCGCCCATCTGGCGGTGTGTATATGAGCAATATGAGCAATTTTTCGATCAAACGACTACTGTTTCTGTTTCAGTAACTGACCGTGGTGCAGGATGCACTTACGCCCAAGGCTTTTACCATGTCAGTGAGTACTGCTGGTGAGAACAGCATGGTCCTGTGCCCGACACCAAGTTGTGCTGCTTGCACACCTGGAAGGCAGATAGTCCTGAGGATGCGAGAAAGAGAGTGCGAAGGAGAAGGACCGATGTGATCTGTTCTATATGTTGAGAGCAGCCTGGCTAGCTAAGGTTCACAAACAGTAAACCAAATGCGACATGTAGGCTGCAGCTGATAGTGGCCAGCCACCGAACTCTTTTAATTTGATTATTTGCATATCTGTACGGAGTACTGTTACTACATGCCCTCCCCCGAGATTTCTTGCATCGCCATCACTTCTCGCTGCTGCTACCCTCCGCCGCACCATTCCGGTAGGGTAGTCCACTCTTCACCCGGACGGTGCCGTAGATGCCCGTAATATCGCCCTTGGGGCCTTCGTGTTCCTGCACCAGCTTCAGGTGCTCCCGTACAACCTCGTAGATGGGGACGGAGGCGCCACATGCTTTAGCCATATCCAACACCTGGCCCGTGAGGGCTAAGGCTTTGTATACCTCGACTATCGGCTATGGTGAAGTTTTGGGTCAGTTGTGAGTGCGAGACAGGAAGAGCCCAATACATACTGTGCCTTCGTAGTACTCCCCCGTCAGCATGCGGTGGTTGTAGATGGAGTGCGGCGGGTTGGGGAACATGGCGCCCATCAGCTTGTTCATATTCTTTGTGCCGATCCCAGACTTGTCGGCGAAGACATTGACCTCGGCCACCGTCTCCATCGTCGTCATGATCAGGAAGTTCCCCATCAGCTTCAGGAGGGACGACGTGCCCGGCTCTTCCCCGCTCAGATCGACAATCGCCCGACATACTCTAGTATGCAATATGAGCTAGTTGTCCAGAAATGCATGCAATGTGCACGAAGGTTTTTTGAGGAAAGAAAACTTACACGCCCTCCAGATACGGTCGGATCCGGTCAACGGACTCCGATTTCCCGCTGGGGATGCAGATGAGTTTCTTGGCTGCTGCTACCACGGGCTCGCCCATTACTTGGTTTTCCCAATGAGTGTCAGTGAACATTGTGAAGTCGAAGCTCTGCTTCAGGATCTTACCTGGCATCGAGACAAACTCGCCCCCGGCCTCAATGACCCGTTTGGCGGTGGCATTGGACCATTCCGGGGCGATGGTCGAGCTGTCGACGAACAGCTTGCCTGTGATGTTGACATTCGCCGCAAAGATGCTGTCGAAGACCTGCTCCACCGCGGATTGATTCTGTAAGCATGACCAGACAATGTCTGAGCTCTCGACCGCCTCTTGCACCGTTTCTGCCACTTTGCAGTCTCCGAGATCAGCGCCGTGGGCGTCGGCGGTGCTCTTCGTGCGATTCCACAGGGTTAAGGGGCTGGACAGATTCCCGTCGCGGTGAAGGTTTCGGGTCATTGCCTAGCCATTATTCTTAGCATTTACACTCACGATAAAACTTTGAGGTTGAATTGGCTGTAGTGACGTGGATTGCTCTTACCTTGCCCATCTCTCCTAGGCCGATGAAGGCCATCCGGGAGCCCATACTCGGTGTGACTGTCATTCTGATAGTTGGATACGTTGCACTATGTCGAACAAACAACCAAGGAAAGGGGTCTTTCAGAGGAGGTTGAGTTGACGGGTTCTTATAAGTTCTTATAAACAATTGCATGTGACGTCCGACTTCGTCCGGCGGGGACATCCATTGCCTTTTTACTTTCCCTCTCCCTTCACCCTGCACCCCCAGACCGATGTGCTTGCAGCTTTAGGCATCATCTATGATCCAGCAGATACGGGGTGGTCAAAGGCGGTAAGTTGCCGTTCATTTACTACTGTGGGATATGAACCTCGATGATCCAGACTCAGCAACACTGCTTTCGCGCGGGGCCGCCATTTCGCCCTCATTCATCTTGGCCTCATGTCTGTCACAGATCATAAGTGACTGCCGACGGCTGCATATCTGCAGCTGATGCACGAGAGCCTTTCGTGGTAGCACAGCATAAACGAGAACTGGGACGCAAGGGAGGCCCAGAGCTATATCCTGGCACAAACTCACGCTCCGCGATATTGGCTCGTTGGCCATGCCCGACCAGCATTATGTCCAGTCAGGCCTTGTCGTGCTGTACGGAAATGATATGCGTTGGCCGGACACCGGGCCTTGGAACTCGTCGGACTTGAACCGCTTATGCTGATGCGCTACTAGACTCATTTCTATCGTGCGTTGCGATACATATCCGCGGATGGTCTATTGCAGCTTCAGCTGCTGTGAGAGCGTTGGCTTCTGTCTCGGCCGGTTAAAGTCAGATATCATTTGGCGCAATAATCCCAAAGGGTTAAACGGGTCGATGAGGGTAGCTCTGCGATTCAGTCTTACTGGTAGAGTCAATGTAGCGGTGACTAGCTTGGTCCAGTGAATGCTATCCAGCCAAGCGAACAACTTCAATACAATTGATGCCGTGATACTTCGCGGCAGCTCGCAGCGACGACATGATCTAGGGTCTCTACCGCTCTCACGAGGAGCAAGTGACGGGGCCAATTCTCAGTTGCTCATCCGGACCGGCATCAGCCATGCGTTTTTGATTGAAGTTTGTTGACAATCACTGTCTGAAAGACCTGGAGCACATGCCCTCTCTGAAACTGCAGACTGCGCCTGAATCTGGATAATCGAATCAGCGGTCCTGTGTCCAGCAGATGGTACTGTACGTCTGGACACGATGATTCGCGTGAATTAGAGTATTTTGACTTTCACGGCTGGAAGGAAAGCCAGCTCATTTGTGTATGGCTGCACATTTGCCATAAGTTTCCGTCCGATGCTGGCTAGCCAAGGCAGCCTTTGGGCGAGGCAAGCCATACTCCTCACTGGTGTTCAGGTTGAAACTTCCATGACCTGGGAGGATGAAATTATAAAGACGAAGCACCATCCATCTGTTCGCGTCTTGCTTTATGCCTCAACCTCAAACCCTCATTCTCCCCCTTCACAATCCTCATGACAGACACAATGTCTTTCCGAAATCTTCAACATCTATTAGAGACCGTCGCTGCTAGAGAAGGCAGCGGCAATGTCATTTCATACCCACTCGGCAACCTGAACGAGCCCAGAGTCTTCTCTTACAGCCAGCTATTCATGCTGGCCTTGAAGGCTTCCTGGGCATTACGCTCACGAGAAGACTTCCGGCCTGGAAGTGTCGTTTTGCTTCACTTCAACACCCACTGGGATATGATTGTATGGTTCTGGGCTGTACTTTTTGTTGGGTGTCTTCCTGCCTTGTCAATTCCTTTCTCTAACAACCCTTCACACCGCACTGCACATCTCGAACACTTGTCCAAAATGCTCAACAACCCCATTTGTCTGACACGAGCCGAGCTCTTGCCGGAGTTCGGGGGGCAAGAAGCCATCGACCCCATAGCAGTGGAGTCGCTAGACATGGAAAATGCTCCGCCAATAGAGTCCTCAGAGATCTGTAGAGATTCAGATCCGAGTGACAATGCAGTACTCATGCTCACATCCGGTAGCACGGGAAATTCAAAAGCCGTATGTCTGAGCCATGGGCAGATCCTGGCAGCTGTCACGGGCAAGTATTGGGTTGTTGAGCTGCCGGAGAAGACTTCATTCATGAATTGGATCGGTCTCGATCACGTTGCTGCGATGATTGAGATCCACCTTCAAGCATTATACAGGCGAACAGACCAAATCCACGTCCAAGCTCCCGATGTCCTCTCAAATCCCATTGCTTTCATCGACCTGATCGACAAGCACCGTGTCTCGAGGACATTTGCCCCCAACTTCTTCCTCGGCAAGATTCGCGTGACAATCAAGAGCCAGGGAGAATCCGTCCAGCGCAACTGGGACCTAAGCTGCCTGAGATATATTGCATCTGGCGGGGAAGCCAACGTGACCAAGACCTGCGAGGAGGTCGCCAAGCTGCTGGAGGAGCACGGTGCGCCTGCTAATGCTATCATTCCTGGATTTGGCATGACTGAGACCTGTGCCGGTGCCATCTTCAACACCGATTTTCCCCGGTATGATGTCCAGAGATCCTCCGAATTCGCCTCCGTGGGCTCCTGCATGCCTGGTATCAGCATGAGGATATCTGACGGGGATAACAACCCCGTGGCGGCAGGCGAGATTGGGTCTCTCGAGGTGTCCGGCCCAGTCGTCTTTAAAGAATACTTCAACAACCCGACGGCGACTGTAGAAGCTTTCACCACAGATGGCTGGTTCCGAACCGGCGACAAGGGGGTCATCGATGAGGCTGGTAACCTCACGCTCGTCGGCCGAGCCAAGGAGACCATGATCGTCAACGGCATTAACTACTACCCCCACGAGATCGAGAGCGCTCTGGACGAAGCCAACATCCCCGGTCTCACACGCAGTTTCAACTGCTGCTTCTCCTCCTTCCCGCCCGGAGGCGATACCGAAGAGATCATCGTCGTTTACCTGCCCACCTACGCCCCCGAAGACATGATTACCCGGGTACAGACCACCGACGCGATGTCCAAGGTCGTCATGATGTCCACCGGCTGTCGCCCCAAGCTTCTTCCCCTCGACCGATCGTTGCTGCAGAAGTCCGCCCTCGGCAAGCTGTCCCGCGCGAAGATAAAGACCGCCTACGAGAAGGGCGACTACCAGACCTACCTCGAAATCAACGAGGAGATGGTGAAGCTCTACCGCCGAGTCACCCGCAAGGACCCGAAGGACCAGCTGGAGCAGCAGCTCCTCTCCATCTTCACCACATCCCTAGGCCTCCCGGCAGGCGACTTCGACGTGCAGACCCCCATCTTCGACATGGGCATCACGTCGATCGAGCTAATCAAGCTCAAGAAGAACATCGAGGAGCACCTCGACCTAATGCAGGAGCTCCCGATGATCACGCTCATGACGAACAGCACAGTACGCGACCTGGCCACCGCCCTGCACGACCTCCAGCAGAAGCACGAATACAACCCGGTAGTCAAGCTCCAAGGCCAGGGCACCAAGAGCCCGCTGTGGCTGGTGCACCCGGGCGTAGGCGAGGTGCTCGTGTTCCTCAACCTAGCCAAATTCCTCATCGACCGGCCCGTGTACGCGCTGCGAGCCCGCGGCTTCAACGACGGCGAGGCCCCGTTCGAGACGATCGAGGAGGTCGTCACGACCTACCACGCAGCCATCAAGCGCGAGCAGCCCGAGGGGCCCTACGCACTGGCAGGGTACTCGTACGGGTCCATGCTCGCCTTCGAAGTAGGCAAGGTGCTCGAGAGCCACGGCGACGAGGTGCGCTTCCTGGGCTCGTTCAACCTGCCGCCGCACATCAAGACCCGCATGCGCCAGCTCGACTGGAAGGAATGCCTGCTGCATCTGTCCTACTTCCTGGATCTGATCACGGAGGCCCGCTCGCGCGAGCTCTCCACGGAGCTCCAGGCAGGGTCCCGCGATGACGCCCTCACCCGTGTCATGCAGGAGGCCGACCAGTCCCGCCTGGCCGAGCTCGCGCTGTCCGAGTCCGCCCTCGTCAAGTGGGTCAGTCTGGCCTTCTCGCTGCAGAGCATGGCCATCGACTACGACCCCTCCGGCGATATCGCTGGCTTGGACGTCTTTTACTGTATCCCGCTCGCCGTCGTCGCCTCGTCCAAGAAGCAGTGGCGAGAGGAGCAGTTGAGCAAGTGGGAGGACTTTACCCGCTCGCCGCCGCGCTTCCATGATGTCGGCGGTGCCCATTATACCATGTTGAGCCCTGACCACGTCTTTGGCTTCCAGAAAACGTTGCGTGCTGCGCTGGATGCCCGGGGCCTGTAAGGTTGGGTTTCTGGTCAGAAATTTCTTGGGGATTGAGGATGTACGTTTGAGTAGGTCCGGGGTAGACCTGACGTGCGTATAGATGACAGAGTAGATATTGTGTCAAATTGAATATATGCCTTACTTTTGTGGATACCCGTTGCCGCGTGCTTATACATAAGACGAAGGGTGCGATGGAAAAGAGATCCTGGGGAACAAAGCACTGCATTCCTGGACACTTGAGCAGCTTCAGCGTTCCAGTTCCTCTGGAGCTGAACATACTGCTGGAAAAAAAAATATAGATATAATATTGAATGGACGCAGTGAAGAGAAGAGCTAGACTCAGAGCTCGTTGTGGTTTAGACCAAAGGTTTTCTCCTTTTCTCATATGGTGTATATTCAACCCTATACATACACTTTTCAACGCCGCCGTACCCCCAATGCCCGATATACCTGCTGCTCCCTTAAATAGATATAACACAAGAAGACCAAGAACAAGGGAGAAGCCCCAAGCAAGATGTCAAACAGATGGAAATGAAATGAGTATTTAAAAATAAAAAAGAGCCGCATATCTACCCCAAGTGTGACACCAAGATATATACTCGAGAAATTCTGATAGAACAATTTTCAGACTATTGTTCTGATGTGGAAAGTAGTCAGACTGCCACAGATCCTCTACTGGCTCTTCTTCTCCTCTTGAGCGGGCTGCTCCCCCGGCGCAATGGCTTCGCGACGAGCCTTCTTTTTGCCGTTGCCCTTGTACTTGGGCTTCGCGGACAGACGAGGGATGAACCGGCCCACGCGGGCCTGGTACTCGCGATATTCAGGGTACTTGCCCGCGCTGATGGACTCAGTGAGCCGCACGCTGCCCTGGAAGATGAGCAGCAAGCCCACGACGCCCAGACCGGTCCACTGCACGTAGGACTCGGTGCGGTAGCAGTTCCAGAGGTACAGGGTGATCCAGATGGCCTGCTCAGCGAGGAAGTTGGGGTGGCGGGATAGGGACCACAGTCCGCTGACCACGAAGCCGCGCTCCAGGTCCTCCTCGGTGTAGGCACCCTTGTACTTCTCCGGGATGCGGGCGGTCTTCTGGTATTCGTGCTTGGCGCTCTGGAAGTTCCATTGCTGCTGGTCGGAGAAGAACTCGATCACGAGGAAGAAGAATGCGACGCGGGAGAAGATTATGTCCGGAAGCTCGAACGACCGCTGGTCTGCGATCTGCGAGAGGCAGAGGAAGTTGTAGGTCGGGGTGGTGATGAGGAGCAACAGCAGCGGCTGGACCAGGCTGATGAAGGTGACGTTAAAGAGGAAGAAGACGAAGCGGTTGTTGACCTTGGAGCGCACAATCTGCCACCGGTAATCCTCCGAGCCGATCGAGTAGCCGCCTCGGCGCCAGTAGTTGAACGTCAGACGAGCCTGATCGAGATGTTAGCGAACGACGAAACCGCTAAGATGAGAGCATGGGGGACTACGGACACTCCAGAGCAGAGTGAAGAGTGCGATGGTGTTCAGACTTTGGGTCTGAAGACCCGTCATGTGGGCCCAGATAGCGAAGTGCACATTGTAAACAGCTGGGAGGATACTCCAGAGGCGATCAACTTGAGAGTAATTGCGGTTGATCTCAGATGTAATGAGAAACAGCACCGAGAGCACCAAGGTCAAGCCAAGAGCCGAGATCAGAGGGTTGGTGGTGAGATAGATTTCCTTCAGGAGGGTCGCATCCTTGGTCACCGCAGCGACCTGCAGCTGCTGGGGAAGCGTGGTAAGCTGCGACAAGAAGGGTAGGACAGTGTGACCGAAGGATGCACAGTCCACAGCCGATTTGACGTCAGGGAGCGGTAGCGCCATCTTTAGATTGTTGTAATCTATAATTGCTGCTGGGGTGATGGGGAGACTCTCTCACATGCGAGTGGGGAGCGAAGAGACTTAAGAAAAAGAGAACAGCGACGGGGTCTTCGAGGGGAAAACAACAAACAACCACAACAACCACAACAGAAAGGAAGAAGGAAGAATCATGAGCTGGTCAAGTGGGCTGCCGCCTTGCCGTTTTCGGACATCTCCGGGAGCTTGGGTCACCTGGCTGTGTCTGCCTGAGGCATCAAGGTATCTACCTAACTTCCTTCCCTTCTCGTTCTGGTGTTCGCGTGTCGGTCTTTTTGCGCGTTCCGGTTGGGGACTCGAACGACAACAATTCCTCACCAAATTCATTACTTACAGGAGGAGTTTTAGTTGAGGCGAAACATCGAGTCCTCGGTATCATGGGTACTTGCTAGTCCTGTTCCTCTAATCTAGACTTGTTGTGGTCATGTCGCGGATCCTATGTGTGGCCGAGAAGCCTGCCATCGCCAAAGCCGTGGCCCAGCACTTGTCGGGAGGCGCTTTCCAAACAGTAAGTGACTTCAAACACACAGGCATTGTAATGTATTGCTGAAGTGTCTGTAGAATAATGTAACCGGTAATCGATATGTGAAAAACTATCAATTTGATTTCAATTTTGGTGCGCCATGGGGCCATTGCCATGTCACTATGACCAGTGTCCTCGGCCATCTGACCGAGTTGGAATTCGGGCGAGAGTACAAAAGTTGGCTCTCCTGCCCACCGGGGGCCCTCTTTGAGGCCCCTGTTCACGAGGCAGTGTCTTCCGTACGCACCCTATGTATCCCTATCTCTGGATGTGGAAGCACTAACCATGCAGAACAGGACAAAACTGCCATTGCAAGGAACATCCAGCAGCAAGCACGACAAAGTAAAGCTTTGTTTATTTGGACTGATTGCGATCGAGAGGGTGAACATATCGGAACTGAGATACGAAAGCAGGCCAAGGAAGGGAATGCTCGCATTCTCGTCAAGCGGGCTAGGTTCAGTAATACCGAGAGAGCGTACGTTGTCACTTCATTGTTGGCAAGCAAAGACTGATCGATTCATCTAGACACGTCTTAAATGCCGCTCGCACACTCATAGAAATTGATGATCTTCAAGCAAATGCAGTAGCAGCCAGGATAGAGCTTGATCTCCGCATTGGTGCTGCATTTACTCGTCTACTCACGCTCCAACTGAAACCATTATCCAGTGCTTTGGAGGATACCATTGTAAGCTATGGTATGGTGTTTTCTCCTTGGATCTCTGAGACTTGGACTTCCTAATACTTGTGCAGGATCTTGCCAATTCCCGACCCTGGGTTTTGTCGTAGATCGATACCTACGAGTGAAAAACTTCAAACCTGAAACTTTCTGGGTCATCAAGGTCATGTTATTACGAGAGGGAATCAAAGTCAATTTCCTATGGAAGCGTGTGCACTTGTTCGACAGAGCCGCCGTAACAGTCATGCTTGAGCGGTGTCTCCTCGCAAAAAAAGCCAGGGTCACGAAAGTCAACCAGAAACCTACCAGTAAATGGCGGCCCTTGCCGTTGACAACGGTGGATTTGCAGATGATGGGCAGTAGGTTCCTTCGCATGGATAGTCAGACAATCATGAAGGTACCAAGGCTTGAATTCTCCAGCAGTTACGGTACACATCTACTCACGTTTGACAGGTTGCCGAAGCGCTCTACACCAAGGGTTTTATCAGTTACCCGCGTACCGAAACGGATCAATTCGACAAAGCCATTGACTTGAAGAAATTGGTTGAAAAGCAATTACCGGATCAGAACTGGGGACAGTACGCTCGAGGGTAAGACCGATGCATATACTGTTTCTTCATAAGCTCGCGGCTAATTGAACGTCGCAGTCTCCTCGACGGCGGATTCCGAACCCCCCGAGCCGGCCGCCACAACGATCAAGCCCACCCTCCCATCCACCCCATCTGTTGGGTCTCCCCTACAGCTCTCAGCGCCGACGAGAAGAAAGTGTACGAGTTTGTGGTCCGACGCTTCCTCGCCTGCTGTTCTGAAGACGCCAAAGGCCAGTCCACCGAGATCGAGATCGAGTACGGCGATGAGACGTTCCACGCCAAGGGCCTCCTCGTCCTCGAACGCAACTATCTGGATGTCTACGTGTACGACAAGTGGGAAAGCAGCCAGCAGCTGCCGAGCTTCCAGATGAGCGAGCAGTTCGAGCCGACAGAGGCCAAGATCTTCGACGGCAAGACCACACCCCCGAACTACCTCACCGAACCCGAGTTGATCGCGCTGATGGACGCCAACGGTATCGGGACCGACGCCACGATGGCGGAGCACATCGCCAAAATCAAGGACCGGCACTACGTCGCCGTCAATACGCGCGGAGGCGGCCGCAGCGCGGTCAAGGAGTTGATCCCCACGCAGCTGGGCATCGCCTTGGTCGAGGGCTACGACAATGTCTTCGCCGGTATGCCCAATAACCCGTCTCTGAGTAAGCCTTTCCTTCGCAAGGAGATGGAAACTCGAATGCGGGAGATTTGCGCTGGGTCACGCATACGACAGGAGGTCGTGCAGGAGAGCCTGGATATGTATCGCGAGTACTTTGTGCATACCAATCGACGCATCAATGCGCTAAAGGATGCCATTCGCAAGTATCTTCCTAATTGAGGCGGTGATCAGTATGGCGTGTTTTGGGAAAATGATTTAGAACTGGTATAGATTTATTGGTGTAGAGTGTATGAATATGATACCCTAATTGATTTAGATATTTTGTATATTATATATATATAGATTATTGTTTTTTTGATATAATACTAATATAGCAGATTTCATCAGCTGAAATCATGATCTTATACTTCAGTGTGTATATATAATACCCAATCGAGCATAAGCACAGCGATGTTGAACAGCAATAGCAATCAATCTATGCAAGAACCATCGCCCAGATAAGTGGTCGGTTGACAGTAGTAGCAGCAACGCGATGAGACACCGAGACATGTCACTCGTTTGCATCGACACACGATGGAAAGAGATGAGCCAGCTCTCGGTGAGCCTCTTCTGTTTTTGGGAATAGACGCAGAGGATCAGAGCGACAAGGTTGCATAACGAGAGCTCACCACTGTCGGGCTCATACCCCCAATGAGAGGTGGACATGATCGGCACAACTGTGTTGGAAGGATCCTCCTCTGCCATCACACTTCCGGGAGGGTCCGGGTCGGATTCTCAAGGCGCCAAAGGAGAGAGGGTCATTTCTCGCCGTCTGCTAGTGTCATCGGCATGACTGACGAAAGGGTCGTCTCAGAGGAGGTGAGATTCAGATCACCTGAGTCAAATCATTGCGTTATGGAAGGAACGAGCTGCTTGTTTATGGATGAAGGAGAGGAGAGGCGAAGGAAGGACAGTAGGTCTGGGTGAGTGATGAGCGGAACTGTGACTGAGGTGGACGCATGATCATGCTTGGGTCGCTCACACAACACTTCAGTTCAACCCCTCTATCAAAATGTGCTGCGACTGCGCAGACATATCGAGGTGAGAATGTAGGCGGGGTAACGCCCGTGGCCAGATAGCTCGAAATACGCCTTTCTTTTCCCCTTTGGCCCAAACCAGAAGATGGTATTATCGACCTTGCATGGAGCCTCGCGTGATGGTCCAGTCCACGGTAGACTCAACGTCTCCCTATTCTTGAATGGCTTCGGGTGATGCTGTTCGCTCTCACATTTTTTAAGCGAACACAGCGGAGGACACTTGCGACGAGACTAGACCTAGCGCGGTCCTTCCCTCGCAAGCGGCAAGTGATATCCTGCGTGGCCAATTGGCCCGTGACGGATACAAGGTCACTGTGGCGGCAGGTATAGATCGGCTTCCACTGTGTTGTGAGAACCCGATCCCCGTTGAACCTGTAGGTGTAGGATGTCCGAACAATAAGGCCTTCGGCACCGTTCAGAGGTGGAGGCTCTTGCGTTGTCCATGACGTGGTCAGGAAAATTAAAGATCATCACTTTGTCGCGCGACCCCAGAACCGACCTTAGGTCATTCGCCTCCAAGGCCAGCAGGGCCGTTGTTTTTTCAGTGAGGTATACTGCCCGAAGAACCGCCAAAGGCCACGGTTCTTCCACAAGTTCTCAGCGAAAGGGCCAAGGGTTTGCGTTGTCCATGACGTGGTCAAGCAATTTGATGAAAGGAAATCTGTCACTCCGGAGCTGTTGGCTGTTGAGAAGAAAATGCACTGAAGGAAAGAAAACAGCAGGCTTATATATTTCTGGTGGGTCACGAGCGACACCCTATGTTGGTGAAGAGTACCTTTTCAAGATTTTACCGAAATGAATATCTTCAGCTATGAACAATGAAGTTGCTGACATTGACCTTTTCAATCTGGTAGGTGTGCATGGCCGCTAGACCTACCAGGCAGTGAACTGAACAAGCTGAAGCCGATAACCTCCCTCAGAAAATGAATTGAAAGAAAATATGATTTCATGGTCCTAGCAGAAGAGGACACGCTACCATTGTTATTGCTGTATACACGACACTCGTTCATTCTGCCTCGTTAGCCGAAGATTACCATCGAACGCATGCCTTCAACATCTGATGCCACATTCTTTGTTAGTCTTTCGAAATCTTCCGCAGCAGTTGAAGGAGATAGCCGAGCCGCAGATCTATGCCAGCTGCTTTCCGAGTACAGCACCATAATAGACCGTAGCACCGAGGCAAACCAGGTTGACCAAGCTGGAGATGCCGTGGAGGCGACCGAACTTCTTGTTCAAGGCGACCATCTCCTTGGAATGGGGTGCCGGATCATAGCTCTTCTTGCCATCGCGAGTTTCTGCCAGCGAGAGTCAGTGGAAAGTTCCGCAGAGACCATGGAATGCTTACTTACCTTGGTGCTTCCGCTCCCGCATGACGTTGACGGTCATCGGACGCAAGACGGTCAAATTGACCAGACTGGCGATGGCGACGGTGGCCATGGACAGCAGAGTGCCGCGGTTCTCGGGCTCAAGAAGACCAGAGACGCCGTGGACATGACCAGCCCGGCTGGCCGTCAACGCCACAACGACGGGGAGTGCGGACTGGAGAGAGAAGTAGACGGGAAAGGTGGCAGTCTGGAGCTGCGCGAACTGCGGGCGAGGCAGCGCTCTGAAGGCGATGACACCTGACACGAAGGACTTGGGATCTGTCAGCATGTAGAGCCAGAATTTTGCAGTCGACATCGCGAGCTCACCTGGTAGATCTGCACACCCAAAAGGGTTCCATAACTGGTAGATGTTTAGCGGATGAGCCGGATAAGCATTTTGATGCTTGCTAGATCACGAACCTGAGAATGTGGTATGGGCGAGGATCAGCCATCTTGTTGGTTTCCGAGGAATATGATTTCGGTTGTGAAGGACGGCTATTGAGTTGTGAAAGTAGCAGCTTGCTTCAACTGAAAGGGTTGAGGGATACACATTGCGTGACGCTATAAGGCGGGGAGATTATAGCCAATTGCCACACAACCCTAGCTGCATACACGCCTCTTTTCTCCACCAGCGCTTCAGGGTAGAAGCTAAAAGCACGCACGGCGACTGATAATGGCACGCACCATCTCGGCCATGATGTCATGTGCTTTCGCGTTCCGCTTCTATCCCAATCGGGAAATATCACGCGTCTGCCTATTCCTCATGTCGCCTTGTCTGCCTGCCTCCCTCTCAAAGACATAAAGCCTTCCTGTCACTCGCCAGTCAAGGCATGTACTCCTCGCCACAAATATGGCGGACAAAGAGGCGACAGTTTACATTGTGGACCTGGGGAGGTCAATGGGGCAGCGCTACCATGACCGGTCGGTGACGGACCTCGAATGGGCTATGCAGTATGTCTGGGATCGCATCACCGGAACGGTATGTACTATGATCCCCGACCCGTCTGATTTATGCTCATGATAATTTGCAGGTGGCAACTGGACGTAAAACAGCTGGAGTAGGTGTGATCGGACTCAGGACCGACGGTGAGGCTCCCGAGGCGATGACCATGCCGGTGCAAGACTGATAATGAAACAGACACCTCGAATGAGTTGGAGGATGACGCCGATTTCGCGCATATCTCCGTACTATCGGAGATAAAGCAGTGAGTGATGCTGGTGCGATTAAAGTATCATGATTGTCCAATACTGATAAATTACAGGTTTCTTATGCCTGATATTCGAGCCTTGAGTGAGACAATACAACCTAGTAATACCAACAAGGGCGATGGTACTAGCTCCCACACATCCCTAGCTTTATTTACATGCTTCATCAATTCCTTGCTAACGGGTCTAGCTATCTCTGCCATCGTGCTTGCGATTCAGATGATCATTACACACTGCAAGAAACTCAAGTATAAGCGCAGAATCGTCCTAGTCACCAATGGCAAGGGACCGCTGAATACGGACAGTCTCAGTGAGATTACCAAAAAGATCAAGGAGGACAACATCGAACTTACCATTATGTTTGTGGCGAGTAGTTGAAAGTTTCAGCATGGCTGGCTAACCTGGCTTAGTGGACCTGACTTCGATGATCCGGAGTATGGGGTTAAAGAAGAGGATAAGGACCCCCGAAAGGTAATCAAGAGGCTCTAGAACGTTATTTACGATCTATCTAACGATGGATGCAGGCTGAAAACGAAGTTATTCTGCGGAGCCTTGTCGAAGACTGCGACGGAGCCTACGGGACTCTTGAGCAGGCCGTGGCAGAGTTGCAGATCCCTCGAATCAAGAACGTCAGAGTAACAGCAACGTTCAAGGGCTTTCTGCAACTCGGAAATCCAGAAGAATATGATACGGCGGTCCGTATCCCTGTGGAACGATATTTCCGCACACACGCCGCAAAACCTCCATCTGCAAGTCAATTCGTTCTACGCTCAGACCTTGCAGCTTCACAGGAGCAACCCGAGTCTTCTGCAACCATGGCTGGCACCCAGGGAACTCAGCCAACTGACGGGAGTTCTCTGACGAATGTTCGAAACTTGAGAGCTTACCAGGTCACTGACGAGGAAGCTCCGGGTGGGAAGAGGGACGTGGAACTTGGTGACCTTGCTAAGGGATATGAGTACGGGCGGACGGCAGTGCATATCAGTGAAACTGACGAAAACATCACAATACTCGAGACCTATGCAGCTCTGGAGCTTCTAGGTTTCATCCAGAGCGATCGCGTACGTCCGATGCTGAGCATGCGCTCCTGACAGGGCTGACAGGCTTTCTAGTATGAACGCTACATGCACATGTCGACCACCAACATTATCATCGCGCAGCGTGCCAATGATAAAGCCGCGCTGGCGCTGTCTTCATTCATTCATGCACTTTTCGAGCTGGAATGCTATGCCGTGGCTCGCCTGGTAGTCAAGGAGAACAAGCCACCAATCGTGGTCCTTCTCGCACCGTCCATCGAGCCCGACTACGAATGTCTGCTCGAAGCCCAGTTGCCATTCGCCGAAGACGTCCGGACGTATCGGTTTCCCCCTCTCGATAAGGTCCTTACCGTGTCCGGCAAAGTGGTAACGCAGCACCGGAACCTTCCCAGCGAGGATCTTATGGATGCAATGGAGAAGTATGTGCTGAGCATGGAGCTTACCGACACCGACGAGAACGGGTAAGACCGAGCAGCCCTATGACATTGTGCTTCGTCGCTGAAACCCCGGCAGAGACCCCGTCGACACACTTCCGATTGAGGATTCCTTCTCCCCGGTCCTGCACCGCACGGACTCAGCGATACGTTTCCGAGCCATCCATTCCGACAAGCCCATCCCTCCGCCTTCAGAAACCCTGACCAAATTCTCCAACCCTCCACAAGACCTGGTAGAGAAGTCCCAAAAGCAGCTGGAGAAACTCATCGCGATCTCCGGCGTCAAGAAAGGTATGTCACACTCATTCCACTACGACATGTTCGACCACGCTCACAACTACGAAGTACCGCCCAAAGCCAAGGGCCGCAAGCGCACCCGCGAGACAGAGAAGCCACTATCGGGTCTCGACGTGGACGCGCTGCTTCACCAAGAAAAGCGCACGAAGATCTCGCCCAACAATGCCATCCCGGAGTTCAAGCAGACCCTTGCACAAGCTGAGAACATCGAGACCATCACGGAGGTAGTGAAGCAGATGAGTGCTATCATCGAAGATCAGATCCGGCATAGTCTCGGCGACGCAAACTACGACCGAGTCAAGGAGGGTCTCGGCACGATGCGCGATGAGCTGATATCCTACGAAGAGCCGGCGCTGTACAACGACTTCCTGAGGCAGCTCAAGGACAAGATCCTTAATGAGCAGCTTGGTGGGGACCGGCGTGAGCTGTGGTGGCTGATCCGGAGGAGTAAGTTAGGCCTGATCGACCAACAGCAGTCGGATCAATCCGACGTAACGGAGGAGGAGGCCAAGGCGTTCATGTCTGCCAAGTAGGTAGCCAAACCAGGATGAGAGCAATAAGATTAATGAACCGTTTCATATAACCGTAAGCTCGCTCAGCACTTAGAGGTGAATTATGCAGTAGGCGACAATGAAGATAACAGAACAAATCCGCTAAACTGACGTGAGAAAACCATCCATATGCGTGCATCAAAAAAGCCAAGGGCTCTAACAAAAGGTCAATTGCAAGGTCCGAATTCTCCCAGCCCATCCCACCATATCACAATATATAAACGAGCCCACAATCAAGAGATCCGCCCGATTCTCTTCTTCCCAATATCAATCTTATCACCCAACCTAAAAACCGTCAAGTCAGCCAAACCCTACCAACCAACACAAAGCAAACCAGAAAACTCCCGGAAGGGGAGAGAGGAAAAAGGAAACATACCGCGTAGCATCCTCATCCGTCAACTTCAGCAACTCATTCTGCACGACCAACTCATTATTAATCGCGACCCCGAGCTCCTTCTGTCGATGAACGATACGCATCAGGTCCTCAACAGCGACATCCTGATCCTGCATCATCTGCTTCTGCAACTGCAACACGCCGGTATTATCCAGCTCGCGGGTGCGTTCCGTCTCACGGCCCAACACCCTGCCGGACGACCGTCCGCCCGCCTTACTTTTCCCCTTGGCATTAGCGGAGGCCACATTCATCAACGCCTCCTTATCCTGAATGGACGCGACGGCGCTATCGATGCGGCTCTTAGCGGCCATGGCATTCAGCAGATCCTCGAGCCCGTCCTTCTCCTTCCGCGCGTTGATGAGCAGGTCCCGCCGCCGACGAATCTCGCCGTCGCCTAGCCGGGGCATTTCGCTGGTGATAGAGCCAGAGTTAGGAGTAGCCGAGGAGAAGTTCTTCAGCCCGGCTTCCAACGCCCCGATCAACGACCCGGCGCGCACGAGGCTGCTCTTCGCCCGCGCTGAGCTCTCGTGCTGGCGCTGCGGCGCCGTCTCCTGGTCCCGTCTGGTGAGATGCAGCCGGGCATCGTGTAGGTGGCCTTTCATGTCGCGGAAGCAGTCGAGCCACAGGGTTGGGTCCGTGATGGTCGTCGTCGTGGTTTCTCCATTGACGCTGGTGGTGGTAATGCTGCCGGGTTCGGTGATGGCGGCGTGGAGTCGCGCGGTCGTGGTGTTGTTGGAGGTCGCAGTCGTGGAGTTAGGGCCGAGGCTGGGGAGGTTCAGGAATGCGCGCCAAGCGGGCGAGTTGCGCCATCGTGGGTCGTCGGCTTCGTTGATCGCGCGGAGGTAGGTTTCCAGGGCTTGGCGGCGGGTTTCGCGGAGGGTGGCGTTCTTGACGGTGGAGGAGAGCCAGGATTTTGGGGGTAAAGGGGCCGGGGGCGCGGCGTTGGTTTGGTTGAGGAGCGTCGTGTGGAAGGTCGTGAAGTCGGAGTAACGTTTGGAGATGGTGAAGGAGCGGAGAGGGAGGCGGAGGGTGATGTTGTAGATGGTGAAGGGCGGGGACGTGGTGGAGATGCTCGTTGTTGGGATCGCTATTTCGACGGTGGGGGCCATGCTGGGCTTTGTGTATGTATGTAATCAGTTGCTTGGGAAATTGATTAGGGAGATGAAGGCATAGTTCATTCTAGGTTGGAGGGAGTAAGTGTGTTGAAGATAAGAAGGAAGCGGTGGGATGAAACGATGACGATACTCGTCCGATTCTGCCGCCGGCAATGAGCGGTCAGGAGGACTGTTTGGTTGTGTTTGCAGATCCATGATTAGTTAGTGGCCTGCGGTTCTAGGCTGCTCCACAAGGCTTATTATATATTGCTTTCGGCTCATAGACATATCTCAGAGTAAACACTGCACAGGGTATCTCTTACAGACATCAACTTAGACCACCATCACTTCGTCACTTCCCTCCAGACCTCACGTGCTTTCAAGAGGTCGAGCTGGCCGTAGTACTCCCCAACAATCGTGATAATCATATCCAGCATTGCGCGAATCTGCAGCGTCACCTCCGAAGCACCACCAGTCTGCTCATCCGTATGTTCATTCTGTGCCTCATCAGCGGCTCCATCTCCACCGTCAATCTTCGCCTGTAACCGTGCCTTGGCAGCTTCCAGCTCATCAGCTTCAGCTTGCGGCGCATCGGCCTCAGCTCCAGCATCCGCATCCCCATCCGCATCCCGCATCTCCAAATCAACCTCAATCCCATTGTCCCCATCCTCCCCCTCCCTTTCCCCTCCCTCATCCTCTGCATCGTCCTTATTCCCTTCTTCTTCCTCTTCCCTTATCTTCCCCAGCACCCGAACTGCTCTCTTCCCCAGATCCCGTAACTCTCCAACCTCCTCCGTCCCCAATTGTCCAACTTCCCGACACCGCCCCAGCAACCCCCAAGCCCACGCCGCGATGCGCCTGACCCTCGCCTCATCCCCACTACGCACGTTCTCCGACAACACCCGCCCCAGGATCCCCAGCACGCCCAGCACGCAATCCATTTCCATGCACGCCAGCTGCACCGTCAGTGGGTCCACCTCCAACAGCAGCCGGCGCCACACGCGGCGCGCATACCATGATTGGAGCGGGAGGGTAATCGGGTGGTCGTCGCCCAGGGCGGCGATGGCGTCCGAAGGGGGCGTGCATTTAAGAATGGAGCGAAGGAGGAGGAAGCGGTGATGGAGGAGGGTGTAGTATGTTGATTGGGCGGGTAGGACCTCCGGGTCTGAGGGTTGGGATGGCGTGACGGAGAGGGTGGAGGAGTTGTTGTTGTTCTTGTTGCTGGCGGTGGCGAAGTAGACACCGTCTCGGTAAATTCCTTCGAGGGGGAAAGGCCGAAGGGGAGTAGTAGTTGTGGCATTCGTTGTCGTGTTTGTAGATGTTTCCGCGGCGGCAGCGTCACTGGTGGCAGATTGAGTATGTGATGATTCTGCTGATTTGGCCGTGTCATCGCCGGGGTTAGTATTTTTGGTCGCCACCGCATTGGAGGTTGCGACTGGTGGCGCAACTAAGAGGAGCGGCAGGGAGTTGGCTTCGGATCTAAAGATGACGTGTCAGTCAGAAGGCTTCCGGCCAGCTATATCAAGCGAAAGAGGAGCCAACATACCGGACCATCCGCAGATATTCCAATCCATCTTCCGCCGGCCCATAGAATAACTCGTCGTCGCCTGCGATGTCGAGTCCTGGAATGGCGCTCTTCTGTCCGAACACGGGATGGTGACGAGGGCGCTCGTACGGCGTCACCGCCTGCGGCGCTCCCTCCTCGTCTTCCTCGGCAGCGTGCGATCCACGAGACCGTTTCGCATTGGGCGAGGCGCCCGATGCTGAGATAGACGGTTTGCGCTTATCAGGCATGCTGGACAGGGCTGCTGAAGGGCGGATTTAGGATGGAAGGAGAATTGACGCTCAGGTGGACGATAAAGATTCCGCCGGAGCTGGAGAAGGAGCTCGGGCCACCCGGAGATTTTCCTCGGCTCCGATAAACGAAAGACAATACAAGACAATCACAGTTCTTCCCACCTCCTGTATTCTTTCACTGATGCTACAATAATGTTAGAGATTCATTGAATAGTCTCATCACTCCATTATATTGTTTATCCGGATTTTATCTCGATCTAATGCCAACCCCTCAACTCCCCGCTTAAGGGCGCAGACGCTGGGGGTCACGAGGGAACAACGAAGTCAACCGGACGTTAGGCAGGCCCAGGAAGAACATGACAATACGGTTCAGACCCAGACCGCCACCGGCGTGGGGAGGACATCCCTGGCGGAAAGCAGCGAGGTAGTCCTCGAAGCCCTCCGACTTGGGGTCAAGACCCTTGGCAACCATCGACTCCTCCAGCTCCTTAATGTCGTGGATACGCTGAGCACCAGACATGATCTCCTCACCACGCATGAAGAAGTCGTACGAGTTAGAGAAACGGGGGTCCTGCGGGCAGGCCTTGGTGTAGAAGGGACGCACAGCCATGGGGAACTTGTCCAACACATAGAAGTCGGTGTCGTACTTCTCACGGATGATCTGGCCCAGCTGCTTTTCCATCGCCGTGGTGAAGTCGTTCTCAAAGCGTTCCTGCTCGGAAACGTCGACACCAGCCTCCTTCAAAAGAGCAACACCGTCCATGTAGTTGAGACGAAGGGCCTTGCCATCCTTGGGCAGCTTGAAGTCACCCGCCTTGGGGTAAGACTTCTGGATGACGGCGATCTGGTCCTTGTAGCGCTCCTTGATCTCGGTAAGAATGAAGACAAGGAGGTTCTCAGCGAATTCCAAGACCTCGTGGTAATGACCACGGAAGGTCTTCTCGAAATCGAGACCGGTGAACTAAACACAATTAGCCGAAGTCGCCTATGAGAGCAAGGGAAACACTTACCTCGGTCAAGTGTCTGTGAGTGTTGCTGTCTTCGGCACGGAAAACGGGAGCGACCTCGAAGACGCTCTCCATATCACCGGCGATACACATTTGCTTGTACAATTGAGGGCTCTGAGCAAGGTATGCGTTTCTCTTGAAGTACTTGACCTCGAAGACGTTGCTACCACCCTCAGTAGCAGCACCCACCAACTTGGGGGTGAAAATCCACCGCGAACCGCTCTTGATCATGTACTCGGTGAACAATTGGGCCACGCCGCTAGAGATCCAGGTGATGGCCTGGCTGGTTTCGGTCTGAAGATCGAGAACACGGTTGTCAAGGCGAGTCTTGAGCGTAACGATGGGGGCGCCGTCCGCATCGACCTGGGGTCCCTCCTCCGTCGTCTCCGGGGGCGGTCTCTCGGCATCCTTGACCTGCATGGGAAGCATCTGGGCGGCCTCGGAGATGACGTAGACCTTGCGGATGTGCACCTCGTGGTTGCTCAGGGTAGCGGAGGAGATGGGGACGGCGGGTTTCTTGACGATACCGGTCACCTGGACGATGGAGTTGACGTTGAGGCCGCCGGTGAACTTGATCATCTGTCTCGAGATGGGCTCGGCAGCCGCGATGACGGCCTGCAGCTTCTGACCCTGCTGTCTCAGCATCAGGAAGGCCAGCTTGGCGCTCTGCACGCGGGCATTATCCACACGGGCAACCACCGTGATCTCCTTCTCGTAGTGCTCGTCGGTAACCTCGGCCAATCGCGTGGCGGGGAGGACGTCTTCAGACTCGGGGAGCTTGCCGTACAGGCCCTTGGCGGTGTCGTTGGCTTCGGCGGCGGCAGCCTGGGCCTTCTCCTGGGCAGCGCGCGCGGCGGCCTTCTCGGCCTTCGCCTTCTCCTTTGCGGCCTTCTTTGCGGCGCTCTTGCTGGCGCTCTTGGTGGGCTCCGCACCCTCCGCGGGGGCGTCCGCGGCGGCGGGAGTCTCCTCGGGCTTGGGGCGGGTGGGCAATTCAGAGTCGGCCATGGTCACGGTGTGGGCGCGATGAGGGTGGAATGAGGAGAAAAGAGGTGCAAAGCGATAGAAGCAGATAAGAGTAGAGCTCCAACTTTCTCTTTTGACTCACCCCGCCCAACTGTCCCCGCTGCCCTAAGCCCTAGGAGGGGCGATCACCTGATGTTGCGGCCTGAACATTTAGGTGGACACTCAGCATTTATGCAATCTGCATTGCATAATTGTCACTTCTTCTCGATCTGTAACTACTTGGTGAATCAGGTATTACTGAAATCGGCGTGCGAATCATGCCAATGCTATTTTTGCTCATCTCAATATCATCACTTCTTGTATTAGGGTATTGTGGTCAATAGACTCGCTTTGAGCAAGGTCGCTACACGTCTAATACATGCAACGATGATCGAAGGAGATAGTGTATTGTATAGTCGTCTATAGATATATGATGTATGCAGTTCGCTAAATATAATCAACTAGAAGCCTAGAGCCATTCAACTAACCATTCAAGCTCGCCACTGAGAGGTCTTGATTCCCCACTCAACCGCCTTGTGAACGTTGTCGACAATGGTCTTAGGCGTCCATGTCGGCTCACCACCACTGTAGACACCAGTTCTCACGAGTATAGAGTGCCACTTGCTACCGTGCCCACTGCGGTAGTTATTGGCACCAGCAATGTCCGACTCCGGGTTGTCACCGATCATGTAGACATTTCTCAAGGGTGGCTGGACATTGGCGCCAAACATCCTCTCGCGGTTGCGCAACAGTTGGCGTTCTGCAAATTCGTATGTTCCTTGGTATGGTTTGCCAATGATAGTCTTCTTAAGCTCCACGCCCTTGCTAGGACCTCCGGTCACTGCAGCCCAGATGCCTTCCAGCGCCTCGCGGAACCCGCCTTGGCCGAGACGAGGCAGATGGTAACTCGCAGCCCACCAGAGGTCAGGGTTCGAGAAGTAAAGATGAGGCTGACCGTCCTGCAGGAAGCCCCGGTTCGGGAGGTCAGTGCGACCGTTCTTGTCGGAAAGCGTTCCAATGACACCCTGAGAGGAGAGCAAGACATCGGTGATGATTTGAGCGTCCAATGCCCAGTCCCGCGGGTCATTGAATACGAAAATTGCATCGATCTTCAGCCCTCTCGAAGGGTCACTGGGGTCTTTCGGGTTTGGCAATGGTTTCGCTATCTTCTCATAATAGTCCTTGAATGACCTAAACGGCCAGATGGATGGGTTTGCCGCATAAATGTCACCAGGAGTCACCACGTTCTTGAATCCATACTGGTGTGCCACCTGGCGACAACGATCGCCCTCTCCTCCAACCACCATGACGCACTTGTTCTCCAGGGGGCCAGGGCCCTCCGTACCGTGCACCAGCTCCGCGAAGGGCGAATGACTCTGGACGATCAATTCTGCATCCAACGGAACGTTGAGTTTCTCGCTAATCTCGGCCACTCGCTCTGTCTCATGCTTTCCGCCGCCGTTGGTTAGGAGGAGGAAAGGGATGTTCTGCTCCTTCAACAAGGCTAATGACTCAGCGGCTCCGGGGATAGGCTTGGAAGATCGTAGGAGGACTCCATCAATACTAGTATTGAATTAGATCGACTCATGCCCTTCAATTGTCTCTGACTTACTCGAATGCGAAGGCAAAATCGGGGATGTTCGCTTGGGAGCTGACTGTCTGGATAGCCCGACGTCCGGAGCCCGCGGTGATACATGACCGAACCGAAGCACGCTGGAGCAGCGCAAGGGACCGCCTGAGGGAGGATGATTGCATGATGAAACGTTCGAGCAATGATTATATATAATGCTTAATTCATGCACGAGGAGAGAAAAGGAAAGCAAAAGAACAAATAACCGCTCAATTGTTGTTGTTGTTGTTGTTAAGAACAAGGCGGAGAGCGGAGGCGGAGGAGATGCGGGAGAATCGCTCCTTATCGCTCTCGGGCTTAGATGATATCATCAAATTTCTGTCCTCCGCATCCGCAGCCGCATTTCCTCCTCCATCACCAGCACTACCTCAAGAGATAAACAAACATCCAGTTCCGCATCTCTCTTTCATTTCTAGAGAGTCTATACAGAGCTTACTATGGAAAGACCGTTTATCGCCCATCATGACTGCCTCCACGTCCAATGAGATTTATCTCCCCACGGAGATCGTCGTGCAGATTATGTCCTATGTCTCCGACAACTCCGATAAACCAGCTCGCCGACAAGCAACGTTATATGCGTGCTGCCTTGTGTCGCGGCAATGGTACTCTGCTGCCATTCCCTATCTCTACGAAAGACCCATCCTGCGCTTCGGTTCCTCGTTCAGTCAGTTCGCAGCCACCATCAGCCCTCCGCTTAATGTTGCGCGCAGAAACAAGCTGAGGCTTGGGTCATTTGTGCGCCGACTGGATCTGAGTGGTCTCGTGCATCACAGCTCGCCTAGCCTGACAGCCAGACTACTGGGGAAAGTCAAGGAAAGCCTGGTTGTCTTTTCTGCCCCACGTGTCTCATTCGCGTACGTGAATTGTCCTAAATCAACCCTCTATACTACTCATCCGCATCCTATAAACTAACCCGCGAGATCTCTTTGAAACAAAACAGAATCAATAGCCTCCCGGCCCTGTCCAAATGCACACAACTCCAAAGCCTCGACCTCTTCCTCGTGGGCGAACCATTTCCCTTCCTCGAATTCAAGCGTTCTCTCAGCAAGCTCAGCAAGCTTACCACCCTCCGCCTCCCCCGAACCCACAACCTCACCCCTCCTGCCCCCGGATCTACAGCTCCATCCCCCTCGACAATCCCCTGGCCCCCTCGCCTCCAAAACCTCCAGATAACCGGCGACTTCACCAACAACCCTTCGCTGACCCCACACTTCACCTGGCCACCGAACCTAACGAGCCTCATCCTCAAAAACTGCAAAGACCTCGACTCATCCCCGCTAACCACCGTGCTCCTCACCGACCCCTCCCTCCCCACAACCCTCAAACGCCTCAAAATTGACCCGTCGAACAAACTCTCCCTCACATTTGTGAATCGTCTCCCCCTTACCATGCCGGATCTCGACTACCTCAGCGTCCCCGGCGACACCGTCGACTTCACCTTCTTCGAGAACCTGGATGAGCGCATGCAGCTCCTCCGCCAGCCCCTCGCCCTCCGCACGCTGGAGCTCGACCAGCCATGCTCAGACACCGCCGCGAGTCTAATGTACTTCACACCGCCGACGCTCGTGCACGCGCTGCAGAACGGGCTCGCGAATGTGCGGTCCATAGGCATTTCGGATGCGTGGGAGCTGAAGGGCGGGGAAGTGGAGGAGATCGACGCGATGCTGCGGAGCCGGTTCTCCAAGAAGAAACAGCAGCAGCAGCCGAGGGTGAATGGTCATGTTGATGCAGGGGGGATTCCGTCTCCGCCTACATCTGTTGACGAGGATACCGGCGAAGGTGTCGACAACGACGATGATGACGACGACGACGACGTGGACGACGATATTGGCGTCTACTACATATAAATCTACTCCACGACATCGATTTGCAGACGACATTGACGAACCCTTCCCCCCCCCCCCCCCGAAACCTTACATCTCACACCTCACACTACAAACCCACACACTCATGAAAAGAACCCAACACCCATACAATCCGCACTACATATTACACTACCTCCACTACAGTACAACCGACACCCATTCCCTCCTACTACAACCCACGTTTAACTCAAGACTCCAAATACACACCCCTGGAAGAAAAATATATACTGCATAAATGCCGGACCATAAAATGCACCTACCCTACCGACCTTTCCTCCTCCCAACCCTTCTTCCTCATATATCCTCCTTAACACCTTTCCCACTTCTGTGTCCTTCTTGTCCAAAACAACACACAACTTCACTTTCAAAGATACATAGTACAGCCATTCATGTATTCATAAGTTATACGCTAGCTACAGACTGTCTATCCCCAGAATGGATGATCAATCTACTTTTTCTTTTTTTGAAAAGTTCTTGTCCGTACTCCGGAGTGACACCCACATCGCGCTTTTACTTGGTGTATAATCACCAGCTAACACTCCGAAACTATTTCGGGGCTAATTGTGCTCGGATTTCATCAATCGATACCCCGTGGCCTAGCGAAAGAAATCGCTCTCAGCCTACGTGGCTATTAGCGGGATATGGACGCGAGACCGCATATCTCGAAATGTCCTGTCTGCCTCATGATAGAAGATGATAAGAAAAGAAAAAGGTAAATGGATTGGTGATCAAGAGAAGGGGTAGTTGGTTAGTTATCCCGGAACTAGACTAACGAGTTCGGGAACGGCTACTACACGAACAAAGATCATCGCATCTAAACTCGACACCAGGATTATAGAAGACGAAGACAGAAGACAAAAAGAAGATGAATGGTGGTGAATATAAAAGAGGAAGGGTGTCGAAATCACAACAGAAGATAAAAAAAAGACTCAGATCTCATAATGCAGAGGACTCGTCGCCAATTGAATGCGCGCGCCTTTTCAATAACATGCCTCCATTACAGAAAAAAAGAAAAAGAAGAAGATTTACACAATCGGTCACAAGGCATTTAAGTAACGGACGCAATCACAGCGGGCGCGACGCCCTCTTCCTCCGCCCGAACGGTGATCTTGGTGGTCACTCCAGTCTTGCTGGAGAAAGCCATCTTGATCAGTGCGGCCACCCGGCCTCCGGTCACGGTCTTGCCGAACAGTTTCAGGGTATGCGTGCTGTTGCTGAGGGCTACATCGGTGCCCTCCAGAGGCTGCAACGAGAGTGTTGAGATGAGTTGTTCCGTGGCATCTGTGATGTGATTAGTCTCCCCAAATCTCATTTGGCTGTCGGATTGACGGTTCCTTACCTGCAATGCCCTTCACGTTGCTGAGCTGAAGAGTCTCGCTAGCCTCCTCCCCGTTGGCACCCGTTTGCTCCCATACGTGGTCGAAGCTGCCCGCGAAAGTAGGAATGACATAGTCGCTACCCGTAAGACCCAAGTCCTCAACCTGGTATTCGTCGTCGTATCCAGAGTCCTCCGGCTCGCCAGTAGTGGGATCGATCTCTTTGCTGGTGAACTTGAGTGTGTTGGTGAACGAAGTGACCGGAACGCTGTGCTCGCCAGCAAGCTTCTTGAATGTGACATAGATAATACCAGGCTCGTTGGTAGCCAGCTTGGGAGCAGGGACGATGAACTCCTCCTCCAAGATGTCTTCCTCCTCCGGAACTGTAACCACGGTCACATCCTCCAGCACGGTGTCGGGAAGGGTGTTCTTGATATCGTACTGCAGGACAATGTGCTCCTTGAAAACGTGCTTAACGGCAGTAACGACATACTCAGTCTCGCTTTCTGTGAGTTCAACAGGAGCAGAGGACTTGAGCAAGGTGCCGTACTCCTTGAGTTCGGGGATTTGCATGAGCTGCTCGGCATATTTTTGGGTGACAGCCACGGTAGCAGCCTCGGCCACTCCGTTGGCTTTGCTCTTCGGAGGCCCAGTGGTCGGCGCCTTGAGCGTAGGGGTTGCGCTGGTAAGCTTCTTCGTCCGCTCCTCGGCCAATGCCTGCTCTTGTGTGACAACCGGGATCGTAGAGACGTCAAAGGCCGCAGCAAAGGTCTGTTTGTCCGTCGATGTCACGTACATCACGAGTTGATGCTCAAATGTCGACAGGGAGTACATCGATTCTGTATCCGTCAGTGTACATGTCAAACCCGGGCCGAGGCACAACACGAGACTTACCATTGCTAATGAATTGAGAAGCCTTCTCATCCTCTTCGCTCATCAGACGCAAGTTGAGAGCAGCACGATCACGCACTTCATCATCGACATCGTCTAGACAGCGAGTAAGAAGAACGGAAACGCTCGACTTGACTTCAGGATCCTTCTGTCCAACGCCGAACTTGGCCAGGGCGGTCACGGCGGCAGCCCGGACGATGGCATTCTCCAAAACAACGCGGTTGTAGATATAACGGATGTACTTAGTGGGGTGTGACGTCTTAGGGCCTTCCACACCAAGCAGGTGAAGAATTCTGACAGACAGCTTGGTGAACTCGCAGTCCTCGATGAATTCACACAGGTGCGCAAGAGCTAGTATAATAATTAGCCTGAGCCACAATAGCTATCCAATCGATAGAACTTACCATCCTCCTTACTCTCAGGAACGAATTTGATGAGATCAAACATGCTCTCAACAACACTGCGCTTGAATTCATAGCCACCCTCATCTCTCAAGATACCGCTCAGGAAAGAGAGCATACCAGCCTGCTTGCTGGGGAACTTTAGGCAGAGAGTGCGGATAGCCTCGACGATCGTGATCTTGAACTCATCGGTGATATCAGCCATGAAACCGGAGATTTGCTTCATGAGACGGTCGACGCTAGCCTCGTTGCCCGTCTTCAGGAGAGTGGTAATGGCGAAGGTAGCAATAGAGCGATTAGAGTTCGAGATCAGCGACTCAATATCGGGGTTGCAGACGTTGACCACATGGGGCTTGAAGGACGCGAAGTTGTGGAGGATACGGATGGCCGCAAACTTGGTGATCGCGCGGGGCGAGGAGAGGAAGAGTTGCAGGACGTGGACGGCCTGGGAGGCTTCCGCGTCGGAAACATCACGCATATCGCAAATGGCCTTGGCCGCTTCGAAGTTGACCATCTCGTGCTTGTGTCGGAGCCAGCCATCAAGCATCTGCATCATCGGTTTCCGCAAGCCAGGGTCCTCCTCCGCCAACTTAGCCGCCAACCGCACCAGCAAAACAAGCGCAGCCGGGCTCTTCACCACTCCCGCCGCACCATACTGCTGTACCATCTTGACGAGCGCCATCCGGTCGTGAGAGCGCATCTGGTACAGAAGACCAATCGCATGGTACTGGGTCATGAAGTTCGACTGCGAAATGGCGTGGGACTGGGAACTGCCGCCGAATCCAAGGAAACCGGTCGACTGCTTACCGCCAGATGCGGCCTCCTGAGTTTCACTCTGCCATCTGCGGACGACATCACGCGCGATAGGGAGAAGGTGATAAGACGAAACCAGGGCTGCGGAGGAAACCGAAGGGGTCTTGTCAACAATAGCAGTCTTGATTAATCGCTCAATACCCTGCACAGTAGTAGCCTTTTTTGAAAGAACATCGGTTGTCAGCTACTTCCTTCTTTGATTTCAAGGCGTAAAGCTTGCGCTTACATCGATGATGCGGCACAAGGCGCGGATGGCGTTGGCCCGGTAAAGGACATCACTGCCGACAGCAGTGTCCTTCATAATGATACTGGTTGACATAATCACATCCTCGGCGGTGTTTGCCAATTCCTTCAGGATCAGGTAGACCATCTGGCGGAGGGAGGGATCCTTATTCTGGAACAATTTCGAGATACCGAAGAACAGGGTGGTGGCCTCGTTCGTGGGGAACTGCTCCCCAGTGAACAGGAGGACCGCGATCTTGGTCAGGAGAGTGCGGCATGTCCGAGGAGATATCGGGGAGGAATTGAACAATCGGGCTAAACCAACGCGAGTCGTGCGAGACAGTCGTCAGTAATCACAACTAAGCTTGGATGCGACTCTCGAAGGAGTGTGTAACCCAACGAAGGCAGAAGAGGCTCACCATCTTGAAATACGGAGGTCCGGTCCAACTTCATCATGGTCTGGTCGGCGTCCTCATCTTTCTTAATGTAACTCATGGTGACGGGCTGCAGGGATTGCCGCAGCAGCAATGAGTTAATCTAGTAGTTCTCGATATAAACAAAGGGGGTCGCCCCGTGGCAGGTGACGGTGACGGTGGTGGTGGGGTTGGGAGGATGGATCGATCTACGGTGGCTTTGAATAAGGGCGGGTTTCAGTATGACGGTTCGGACGTTGTGCAGGCGGTGGATTAAGCACTTAAGGCGCCCTCATTATCCTTCCAAAAAGGAAAGAGACGACAAGAGAAGAGGAGTATAAAAGAAGGTAATTAGCAAATGGTGCCCGTCCCGGGGAGAAGTCGCGGAGCAACAGGGACAATTGCAAGGGCAGAGATGCAGATGGTGGAGGAGGAGGACTGGAAGCAGCCGTAAGTCGAGGTAACAAGTGAACACTCAGCCAGCATTGCAGCAGTAAACTAGCTTCTCCTCCTTCCCGCCCGGCCGCCAGCCAACAATCTCCAGGTGGCCTTCCGCGTTTCTGTGGGCGCGGCTGAGCCACAGGGCGGTGTGGCTGCTACCCCTGGTGCAAATACGCCAAACATGCGGCATTCAGATATGCCCCCCTCCCCTCTGTCTTTGGTCGACATATGCCATTTTCCTCTCCACATCAGCTAAGATCTATCTAATCGTATTGAGGTCTTATTTGGACTCCCAAACACTCTCACAATGCAAGTCGAAGTCAACCCCAACGAGGATACCGAGTGGTCAGTGATTCTCCGACCACCACCTTTCGAACCGAACCGCATGGCTCACCCCTCCCCGCAGGAACGACATCCTCCGCAAGCACGGCATTATCCCGGAGAAGCCCCAGGACCCAGAACCGCTGATCCAGGAGGCGCTAATCGAAGCGGAGCGCAAAGCCTACGAGAACCGACTAGAAGACAAGGACTTGGACGAGCTAGACGAGCTGGAGGACGAAGAAGATGAGGCATTCCTAGAACAATACCGGTACGCATGACGACGCAGCTCCTTCCCCTCAAAAAACTCCACTACGCGGAGATGTCAAGACGAGTTCGAAAACAGCTTTCCCGACCACTGACACCCATTCATCCATTCATCACAGTCAAAAGCGACTAGCCGAACTATCCACGCTGCAGCAAACCAGTGTCCACAACCAAGTCTACCCGCTCCAGAAGGTCGACTACGCCCGCGAAGTCACCGAGGCCTCGAACGACTGCTTCGTCCTGGTCCACCTGAGCTCCTCGACCGGCGGGAACGTTGAGTCGCAACGATTGACGGAACTCTGGCGCACACTGGCGGCCAAGTATGGTGATATCAAGTTCTGCGAAATCCGCGCGAACATGTGCATTGAGGGCTATCCTGAGCGCAACACGCCCACTATCCTGGTCTACCGAAACACCGAGATCAAGAGGCAATTGGTGACCCTGAGGGAACTCAGGGGCCCGCGCACTACTGTCGAAGGTAAGAATGTTCCTCCTCCCCCCAGTGTTTTATGGCGCATGTGTTTCCACAATGCTCACTCATCATGCGCTGGTTGGCAGATATCGAGAGGTTGCTGCTGGACCTAGGTGCTCTCAAGGAGAGCGATGTTCGTTTGAAGAAACGGTCGGACTCGTCGGACGATGAACGCCCAGCCATGAATAAGAACAAGTCCATCAGACCCATGGTCCAGGACGACGATGACGACTGGGATTAGATGCTATGATTTCCCGCATCATGACGCTGAGTGTCGTGCCCTCGTGTATCAACCGAGTAGGGCAATTGGCCATCAATGAGGGGGAGGATGATCAAGAAATCTAGCCGTTAGTGGCTGGTCAATTTCTTAGGCATTAGAGGCGGCAGTGCTGTTGTTGAAACGCACCATTAGCATCCTAGATGCATCCCCGGAGCTGGACTCGGGAAAATGGGAAGTGTTCAGCCTTGAGCGATCTGATCATAGTGCCTTCGGATCATGTCGGAATTCCCCTTCGGGAATGTATATGGCTCCCTGGCCCGTTGCTCCCATACTCGGTCTATAGAAACAACAAACCTGGTGACATGACCAGGAGATACTGTACTCGATATGTAAAAAAATAAATCCCGGGTCTACAGTTGCTAGCATCGGATTATTGCCTAATCCGGACTATCTATGGTAAGGCCAAGGTAGGATAGATTTGTAAGGGCATATGATCCCTATAGCAGGAGAAGAGCGCACCCATACCCAGTGACTTAAACGACAACGGTATCGTATCTCATTACTCCAAAAACTGCCTTCCAACTCCAAAATGAGTCGAACAGATGAGATCGACCACTTCCTCCGGACGATGAGCCGCGAGTAAGTCTCACGGCTGTCGACTAGTACCATTAGTAGTGAATCCAATCGCACGTCCCGTAATATGCCAGCCGAAGCGCCTAATGTACCATAGCAATCCAACCCGAAGTCAGACTTGTAAAGCATGTGTATAAACAAAAGCAAAAGATAAGAAAGGAGTCTACGCTAAAAACATTAGGGGATATCATATCAACTCGTCACTGCAGGCGGCCGAACTTTCCTCGATAGCCTTGCGCACCTCGCTCTCCCGGAAAGCGGGGCCCGTCCCATCACACTGAGCGGCGCCCTTGAGCCGCTGGTAGACGTCAGCAATGTTCAGCGACCCTCGCTTGAACAGGTCATGCTCCTGTATAAACTCCCAAGTGGCACCGGCGTCCAGGAGCCTCTCGCCGGTGACCGGGCAGGTCGTCACTCTGTGGCGCGGCGGAAGCTCGCCCGCGGCGTCGGAAGAAGTGGAGTTGAAATCGGTCGGCGAATACTTGAGCGGCCCCGTCATCGTCGGTTCCGCGTCCATAGAATGTTGGTTGGGCGGCCGGAACGAGCCCGACGTCGCCTTGAGGATCTCGTTCTCCGTGGTGAACTTGGCCAGCTCGCGCTTCAGCCGCTCATTGTCCGCCATCAGGGTGTTCGATTCCTGCTCCATCTTGTTGACTTTGTCCTCCAGCTCGCGCACATGGCGTTCTTTGCGTTCGCGAAACGCTCGCTGACTATTGAAAATGACACCTGGTCAGCGGAAAGTCCACTCGGATAAAGAAACCTCCGCAGGGCGCTAAAGGCCCATGGGGATAGAGGGTCACATACGCAGCTCGGTTCTGTGCCTTCCGCTTGGACTGTGCTGGTGTCATATTGTCCTTTTCCTCGCTGCTACTGCGAGCAGGATTGAATTCGACGGGCAGATCGTCGGCCTCGAGGGACGCTTGATCAAAGTGTTGGTTGGCGACATCGTTGCTTGACACCGATTGCTTGGTCAGGGATTCGGGCGGCGAGTGCGGGGGAGCGACAAAAGAAGCAATGCCATGAGCATCCGAAAAGCGTAAGTTCGGATCGAAGGACTGGTAATTATGTGATCCCTTGTAGACGGTCAAAAGCTAGATCGTAAATATGGTCAAGAAAGACGACGAACAAGATGAGGAAAAGTGCCCTGGGCATCTTCAGCACGAGCGACCGGGCGGCTCTGATCGGGGGTGGGCAGTCCGTGAAGGTCGTACAGTGGATAAGGCTGCTGCGCATTGGGAGTGGAATAGAAAGAGTAATCCATCTCTCCTGCAGTTGTACCGTTTGGGTTGCTGCTGCTACTGCTGATAAATGCTGATAAAGAATTGAGGATCTGACGGGTCAAGAAAGGCTGACGCCAAGAATAATCGACCAAGAAGAGATTCGGGATAAGATGGAAATGGAGGTGGATGAAGAGGGAGTGAACGGGGCCTGGGATTACCTAAGACAGTCTAGACATGATGGGGGTCAATGCCATCTAAAGTCTTCCAACCAATCACAGCAAGGCGAGGAGGGGTGGCTCCAAGGCCCGGGAGTCGATCACGCCCCCGGCTGTCATTGGCTCGATCGGCCCAACCGCCATGACCACCGCATATTCCAGATGATCAAGGTAGAGATAGCCAAAGATAGAACAATGGCAGGCTAGGCAATTTACGAATGGAAAGCCTTAGTGAATGGCTGTATGGCATTTCCACTACGCTACAATCTACAGAAAGCAGAACATCTCGAGTACAGGGAGAACAATCGGTTGGATTCGAGGATCTAATGAGGGGTCGCAACTGCCAACGTGGCCCAAGCAAGCTCATGCTCGAACACTACCTAGTGAGTTGGCGTTGTGCAGAGAAATATCCCACCACTGTCTTCAGCGATATGTGATTGAGCGAGGTTCATAATAAAAAGCAATGCAACATGAGAAGTCATCAGTGAAACAACGTGAATCGACGCAAGAAACCACCCCGGAAGCGACCCTATCCATTTTCCGTCGCCACATACCCATCTGTAAAGACGTGCTCTCCCCCTGGCTGCCCAAGGCTCTGTATGCTGACTCTAATCTGCCGTCAAGTCTAAGACTTACCCCGCATGACCGAAGAATTGCACGAAAGCGCGGGGACAACCAAGAAAATAGCCACCTCCTGCTCCTCTCACCACCCCTTCCCCTCAACTTCAACGTCCCCACTGATGCGTCAATAACAACATTATGACAGTCTGAGAACACAAAGGAAATAAATCACGGATGACAAAAAGCACGAAATCGAGACTAAGGAGAAGCTGTATGGCAGAACAGTCCGAGAAGGCCGAAAGAGACTGTTGGGCAACAACGGCCGGTCTCGGATACAAATTGTTGTGCTTGAAAACAGGTTGTATAGTCCTTGCATCTCCTTCGGTCAAAGCGTCCCGGTCACTGAATGTGGTTTTCACAAGCTGAACGTTGATCGGAGGAGTAACCATAGGGACCGAGAGGCTGAGACGTAGAATAGCCACAATTAGAACGTTTTCAGTCTGCTATCCAAGCCCCGCCATGGACGAGTTGTGGGTTGTCCCTCGAGTTCGAAGAACAACAACTTTCCCACGGAAACGGGCTAGAAACAGCCGATCAACAAACGTGACGGATCGAAACGGCGAACCGAGAGACGATCTTAGAACGGGTAACGGGCTAACAGAGTATGCAGTAAGGAAAATAGTAAAGAAAGATTTGGGGAAATGGAACACCCATGGCGAATAAGTCGGAAAGGTTGACTGCAGGCTGCAAAAGGTCACCAGTATCGTCGAAAAGCCTGGGCCTCTCAAAGGTAGACTTGGAACAGTATCAACACGCAGGAAGCTGAACGGGATCCCAAGAGGGAAAGGTCAAGCTACACTGCTATGCTGCACAGATCAGTACCACTGAGCACCGTACCCATCGTCCTGCTTCGAACGGCTACGGGTGGCAAAAGCACCTGACGCAGCAACCCTTGAAGCAGAACGCAGCCTAACGCCGAAGACTATGAGATTAGTCAGATTCCAGAATTTCAAGCCGACCTCTACGTGCAGGGTCATAGCAAAGCACCAAACGCAGAGGAAAGGGGTTCCCTACAACGGAACCTAGGTTTCAGATACTCACATCCTGTCACTCCCTCCGACAGCACGGTTGGTGTCCGGGGTGTTGTCAAGAGTTCCACGTTCGATGACCTTGCGGCGCTGGCTGGAGATGGCACCAGGCTTGGCGGCAGCACCAGGGGTTCCCATGGGTGCAGCAGCAGCAACACCCTGGCGGCGCTGCTGCTCCTCAGCCTCCTTATCCTTCTTGTTCGCGTCCACAATCATGGCGGCATTCTTCTGGTACTTGTAGACAGTCCAGTCGAAGACGTAGTCATACTGGAAGGACTCGCGAACAAACAGGTCGCGGAAGATCTTGCGAAGGTAAGAGTAGTCCGGCTTGTCATCGAAACGCAGGGAACGAGTGTAGTTGAGATAGATGGAAAACTCGTTGGGGAAGCCACGGCACAACACCTCGGTCGGGGTGGTCATCTTCTTCTCCATGATACGGTCGTACTTCTGCTTCTTGGTAGCAGCCTTCAGGCCCTGCCAAGGAAGAGTGCCACGGCAGAAGTAGAGCATGACATATCCGAGAGACTCCATATCATCACGACGAGACTGCTCGACACCCAAGTGAGTGTTGATACTGGCGTAACGAGCAGTTCCGGTAAGGTTCTTGTTCTCGCGGTAGGGAATGTGGAAGTGAGTCTTGGGGTCGCGGTACTTCTTGGCCAAACCAAAATCGATCACGTTGACCTGGTTGCCACGTTTGCCGATGCCCATCAGGAAGTTGTCGGGCTTGATATCACGGTGGATGAAAGACTTGGCGTGGATGTACTCGATACGAGAGATGAGCTGATCGGCGAGAAGGAGCACGGTCTTAAGCGAGAACTTGCGGTTGCAGAAGTTGAAAAGGTCCTCCAAGCTGGGACCGAGCAAATCGATGACCATAGCATTGTAGTCACATTCAGTACCGAACCAACGCACGAAAGGAATGCCGACACCGCCGGCCAGAGATTTGTAGACACGGGCCTCGTATTCAAGCTGAGGGTGCTTGGCCTTGACGCTTTCGAGCTTGATAGCAATCTCCTCACCGGAGATGATGTTGGTGCCTGAGGTACGGTCAGTTGAGAGTTCTCCAGAAATTCGGTTTCGAACGCATTGTGACGCACCAAGGTAGATATCACCGAAACTACCGCTTCCGATCTTCCGGCCAATGCGGTACTTGTTACCGACACGCAAATCCTTCACGTCGTCAGCAATGGCCTTAGTTGGCGAAGGTGTATTGTAGGTACTTACCATAGTCGTCATCTTGTTCGAATGTGGTCACAGCAACCAGCTGTGATGGAATTCTTAACAAACTGTGTTAGGCAAGCTCCAAGGTTAGCCACAGACTTATCGAGCAACACAAGGGCGATGGCAGTTTTGTGAAACAGTCAAGATGAAAGAAAAGATGGAATTGAGAAGGGCTGAGATGAAGAGGACGTGGTCAAGGGACATCCGACCAAGAAGCAGCATGCAGGTGGGCGCTTAGATAGTGAATATGGTGGACGGAGGCACGCAGTCGGGGTGGGGAAGGCTGACCACAGCCTCTAACAAGCAAGCAGGGAACAACGCAGACGTGACACGGTGAGGGAAAGTGCTGAGCAGAGCGAATGCAGACATACCAGGTGTAGACGAGGATCTTACAAGTGTAAGATGTGGGATGTAGGTGATGTGGTGGGTTGAGGGGAAGCCGACCGTGAGAATCCGACCGGATAGGCGAAAAAAGGCGGAGAGGAAAAGAAAGGGGAGTTTGGGTGATGAGCCTTCGAAACGGGCGAACACGGGAACCGGTCGACGTGGACGGGGGAAGGGGAAAAGAGAGCAAAGGGACAACGACGCTACGACGAGGAGGAAGGAAAAAGGAAAGCGACGATATCAACCAAAATCAAGGACCGACCAAGCCTTGACAGGGAAAGGTGGGTTTTGAAGAAGAGGAAGAATGAAGAGGGAGGAGGGAGGGAGGAGAGGAGGAGAAAGGAAAGAGAGGAGGAGGAGGAGGAGGAAAATGAAAGCAGATCAGGAGGGGGGGCGGGTAGTAACTGAGAAAGATTGAGTGATAAGTTTAGCAAGCAAAAGACAGATTGAACAGACAGACAAGCAAAGGTGGTTGGTCTGTTGGGCTCGGTCCGGCTCTGACTGAGCTTCAGGTTTGGGTCAATACGCAATTATACGAGTCAGTAATTTTTGGTACATCAACTCAGCTCTTCTATAATCTCTGATGTTGTGCTTCAAGAGGATGAGTTCAACAACTCAGCCTTTACCTATTACTGACATGTTTGGGGTTATCTATGATCAATTGGATTGTTACAGTGAAGAAGACCTCCTCGAGAAGAACGAAAAGAATGAATAGTGTAGCTTGAAGTATTCCCACTCCGCCCTCCCCCCAATCAGCGAGGGTGGCTTAGAAGTCGGTGAAGAACAAATCGCACATCTTCCGTCAGAAACTGGCCAAGTTCAATCCATCATTCTTGTCCTTTACTGCCTTGTGGCACTCTCGACGCAATTGTCCTTCAATCCGGCTGGGAAGGCAGGCAGGCAGGCTGACAGTCCAGCAGGGCTTTAGGTCTTGATGCATCTTGACTGTCTTATGCAGGGGGAGTATGTTTGGTGCTTGATACCAAATACGCTCCATCTCCAGGGTGATTACTCCGTAACCTGGGAGCTGTTAGGGGTTTGTCCAATACTACTTGTAAAACGAAAAGGATCCATCAATCTACGAATCTGAAGTATTTAGCTCAGTGGCAAGAAGAAGTCAGTCAATTCGTCAATTATGGTGGTTGTGGCGGGACTACGCTATGTATTTTCCGTCGCCGTCGCCGCCGCGGCGCGTCTCCCCGGGATTGAAGGAATTAATACCTCATCATCATCATCATTATCATCGATCGATGATTTAACCACCACCTGCTTCCTCAGTCCAAACGCGTCCACCGACATATCAACCACGCACACGAATACCACTGAAAGCAGGATCATCCTACTTATTCGGCTCGTTTAATTTTCCCTTCTTTCAGGTAGCAATCCGTACATATATGTAATAAGGCCAACCTCATCATCATCGCCATCGCCATCGCCCTCCACCCCCATCCAGAGCCAATAGAAGCCAGGCGGTGACATGAGCAGATGACCTCGGATCGGATACTGCGGTACCAGCCAGCTAGTATCCATACGTTTCAACTTGTACTTTCGCCAAATTACCGCCCCCGTTTTGGGCAGAAACTTCCCCATGTCCAAAAATACGCGCGCGCGCGCCTTATCGGTGACAATCAGACCAGAATTTAATCAATCAACTAACTTAACTTGACAGGCTAAGTCAGAAAGGATCGAGACTTTTTTTGCGTCTTGCCCACATAACCCACATCCCACCCACCCCCGCACCCTGATTTTTTCAGGTACAGATGGAGCAAAGCGAAAAGGGGGGGAAAGGTGACAGATCACAAACCACTGACCGTGCATCGTGGTGAGAGGGGCCTGGATATGATCGATCGCGCAATATAGGTGATGATCTATCACAATATATGATCGAAATCTACTTTAATGTATCTTTTGCTTGTAAATGCATTGAACACAGTTTACTTGCCATAATACATGTAAGCAGCTCGGAGTTTTCGAGATCTCATTCAGAAGCTTCTTTTAGGGGTTTTGTTGTTCTGTAACTACTTATGGGGCCGAGTAGTCTTGTGCTGTCTGTCTGCCACGAGCCTGTCTACGACTCGGAGAATGCAAATTATAGTTTCTAGAAAAGGCTCAAGATTTAGTTTCTCGTTTTGCATTTAAACCTGAGCTGGCCAGCTTCTCAAAACATCCTCTCATGGTATTGGCATCTGGGATGGCCCATGCTTGCGGCTCATTCGGTCGGTTATCATCATCCACTAGAATATATATACTACCTGCTTTAGTAGTCTAAAGTAGGGCACGGAGCACAGGAGCACCAAAGTTCAAAATTTTCTGAACCGTGGTATCTCCACCATTGTCTTCTCAGATGTAACCTTACAGTCGGAAAAGCCACAGGCTAGAATTCATCGGAGCTCAGAACAAAGAACCCAAGCTACTGGATACAAAGACTTGTGTTGCAAACACAAGTATACCTTATCTACATACCAAGTCACGAGACCTCTCAGTCAATGTCATGGCACTCAACGAGTCGGGCCAACGTCGCGCTGACAAAATAACCGTACGGCTATTGCCCCATATCCCGGTGATTAGCAACAGGCAAGAGAATCTCACGGTCAAGTGGTAGTGAGACATGTGGCACAGTGAGGCGGATGGCATGGTTGATGGATCTATCTTGGTGCCTACCATTGATGCCTAAGGTATCGTGCATGGCTTATGAAGTCGGTAGATGTTGAGTATCTTGAATGTGCTGTGCCCAGAAGAACCATAAGTTATGATAAGCTCACTAACGAGAAACATCAGTTCCGTTGTGATAATGATTGTCCATCCTAGAAAACACCAGCACTGACGTATGGAGGGAAGGGAAGGGAAGGAGCAAGGGAAGTAAGGGGGATCTCATCTACTTGCAACAAATCTAGACAACACGGCTCATTCATACGTATCGGACAGAGGCTTCGTTAAAAGTTATCAAGAGATAATAGTACAGTCCAAGTATGGAACTAGAATATGAAGGGGTATAAACGAAAACACGAACGAGGGTTAGGAAATTGCGAGAATGTACGAAAGGAAGGGGTACAGGGACAAAGCAAAGGAGTAAAAACGGGAGACCTGAAAAGGTGAAATTGACGAAGATGATTCCTGAACCCTCTCTGCAGCTCGGCGACAACAGGGCCACCAAGACTCAAGACTCAACACAAACGAAGGTCCAAGTCAGCATGGCTGTCCAGCCAAGTGCACTGTGACCAATTATTATACCCAGCAGTGAGCTTTCCCTGCAGTCTATGTGGGATCGCATCATGCCTCCAATGAGCTGAGTCAAGTGATGTCATCTTGCCTCCTCAGATCATGTTCGCGGTGGCATGATGTGCTGCAGCATTTCGGGGTTGAATCTTTTCGGGGGAGCCGGCTCTGGCCTCATCTTCATCCAATCGCCGTCTCCATTCAGCCAGGCTGTCACTCAATCCCGTCTCCTTTGTTGGGGTTCGATCGAATTCGGACTGCGTGCTTAACCGGTAATTGCGGTTCGTGCTCTCCCAGTGGCTACGCAGAGCTTCCAGCTCATTCGCCAACGAATCCAGGGCCATGGAATTACGGTTGTCAGGGAAGGCATCATCCTGGGACAAAGTGCTGTCAGCTCTTGACCGACGGCTTGCTGCACCGACGGTATTGCTCGAAGCGTTGCTGTGGGTGCGCGAAATGCCATTCATCTGCACAGGCTGCGATTGACGACGAAATTGTCCGACAGACGCTTCAACCTGATCAAGAAGCATGGTGACCTTCTGCTCAGCATCGGATGCCCGGTTTTCAAGCAATGCGTTCTCAGTCTTGAGCTGCTCTAGCTCCACGCGACTCCGTTCAGCAGCGGCCGTGAGCTCCTGTTGTACGTGCTCAAGCTCGGATCGAGATTTTGCCTTATCAGCCTCAAGAACAGCAAGTTCATCTCTGAGTCTTGCAATCTGCTCCTCCAAAGTGGCAATCGAAGCCGATGATTCCCGCTGTAGATCTGAGATCGATTTCTCGAGTCTGGAGCGCTCCGCTTCCCACTCAGCTGGGGCTTCTGACGGCCCGGCTGAGGCTTCCGCCAGGGCGGACTGTGCATCGTCCAGTTCAGATTGGAGCTTGGCATTTTGCGACTTGTACCTGGCTAGTTCGTCCTTCATGCGCTTCAGCATCTTCTCCGTGCCCTTGACATAATGGACGGCAGACTGGTAATCGTTCTCGAGTTGCTCTAGCTTCTCTCTGTACGTGCGGTCGGCCTCCTGCTCACGAGACTCGAAAGATGACTTCAGCTCCTCGTGAGCTTTCATGCTAGCGGAGAGTTGTTGTTCTAGTTCGCGAAGGCGACCTGCCTCAGGCGTACCAAACCGAGATCCGGGGGACTCCAGGTGAGGCGAGCGACGGCTATCAGAGTATGAAACACCACGCTCACCAAGAAGATCTTTGAGAGCCGCGTGTTGCACGGCGAGCGCACCCGCCTCGCGATGATGATTCTCCAACTGCGCCTTCAACTCCCGGTTGTCGGCGGCATGGGTTTGACTTTCTTTCATGGCGGCTTGGAGTTGCCTGCGGAGTTGCAAGCCTTCCCTGCTAGCCTGCTCCTGGTATGCCTCCAGTCCTGCGATCCGTTCCTCAGCACGGCGAAGCTTTTCTGCCGCCTCGTTCGCAGCCGCTTGGCTGGTCTTAGCCAACTCATTGGCCCTTTCAACCTGAGCTTCCAAGACCGAAACACGCTGATCGGAGAGAGAGCGAAGGGACGTGTCCGAATCGAAAGAGGAGGCGCGATCAAGACCCGACAGAAACGCGTTCTTGTGCGTCTCTGCTTCTTTCGCGTGAATCTCGATAAGCTCCTCGACATCTTTCAGGCGTCGGGTGGCATTTTCAAGTTCAGCAGTACGCTCTTCATGTTCCGACCTCAACTGGAGAAGCTTTCTCTCCAGTCCCTCCCGACGCTCACGCTCATCGTCCAATTGTCGTTCCAGAAGGGCAGACTTGTCAGAGGAGGCGGTCACCGCTTCCCGAAGGCTGCCAAGGTTGTTACCGTAATCCCTGAGTCGCGAAGTAGACTCTTCCAGCTTCTGCGTTAATTCCTCCTTATCCAGAGTCAGTTGTTTCACAGCGGACTCGGCCTCAGAACGGAGCATGGACTCCTCCCTGACGGAGGCTTCCGCCTGATGAAGTTCGGCACGAAGGCTTTCCGCTTCCAGCTTATTGTTGTTCATTTCGAGTTCTGCCAGCCTCCGTCTCGTCGCTTCACATGTCTCTTCGGCCAGTTCCCTGCCCCGCTTTTCCTGTTCGTATTCGGTCGTCATCATCTCAAGCTTCGACTTGAGGTCATTTTGGGCCGCAAGCGCCAGAGCTAGCCTTCTGCTGATTTCCGTACTTCGTTCCGAGATGGCTTCATCCGAGTCCTGCGCGGGCCCATCGGGCTGTGGAGTACCTCTCTGACTGCCACCGTGAGCGGCCAACTTGGCGCGAGAGTAGGCTGCCTCGTTGACAGCGACGTCGCGTTGATGTTCAACTTCCGCAACCCGTTTTGATGCTATGGCGGCCTGTCGATCCACAGTCGCTTGCATCTTCGCAAGCTCCGCTCTCATTGCAAGGAAGGCTTCGATCAAGGGACGGTCTTCCTCAGTCAATGCGTCCGTGGCACGCTCGTCCATCACAGGACTATTGGCCGAATTTGGTGTGTATCCAGCCTTCTTGGCCAAAGCAAGCTCGGAAGCGTACCATGCGTTGCGACTCTTCACCGCTTCGAGTTCCTTGATCAGGGCCTCCTGGTGGGCATTCAACCGGGGAGACCGTGGCTCATCGCCGGATCTCGAATTCCTGTAGCTGCGAGACTCAATCGAACCATCAATACTGGCATTGCGACCCAGGATAGACTCATCAGCGCTATCCATAGAGCCTCGCTGCCGGTTCTGTCGCAACGACCTTTGCCGAGCAGGCGCACTGATCAGGGGAGCAGCTTCACCGGCCTCCATGGCCTTGGCAGACATTCTTGATTGTTGTTGAATGGGCGTACGTTGACCGGTAGGCGGGGTGTTTGTATCTTGTACCGGCCTAAAGTCTTTTGGTGAATCTTTGGTAGCCGCCGGCGATTCCCTGTCCTTCTCGGGTGCCATGGCGCGAACAGTATCCACCGGAGCCCCCCCAAAGACACGCTCTGTTTTGGTGGGAGTTTTGCTCCTGGGATTGACGGCATGTTGGGGACCACTCCCCCTAGGACCGGGTGTGGGAGCTTGGCCCGGGGGAGGGGGCCCTGACGGTGGCGCCTGGGCTATGGATGCTCTGGGCAGCCGAGAGCCGGGTCCTGAATTCGGCCCAAAATCTGCCGGCCTGCCCGTTGGACTCGTTACCACGTTCTCGCGCGGCTGCACAGGTCCTCGCCGTTGCGGTTCCGGATGCGGATGTTGTGCCTCACGAGAGGACCGTCCAGTCGGTTGGGCGGAGCGATCTCCGCTCATTTTCCGCATCGTCTGGATTGGACCTCTTTCTCCGCCTTGATTTTCGGCCGGATAACGGATCTTGGCAGTATCCAGGATATATGCCATGCTAAGTTCTATAGGATCGCGCGGTGCAGAGCTTGGCTCGCCGGCCAAGACAATGATCTGTTTCCCAAATGCTGTCATGCTGTGACCTGATCTCGGGGACGGCGCAGGACCCATGTTCTGGAAGGAATACCATCGTCGGGTTGTGATGCGGAAAGCAGCGAGGTCGCCCAAATCGATACCCTCGTCCGTTCGGCCTCCGAAGATGTACATCACGTCGTTGACAATAGCTGCAGCGTGTCCTTCCCGAGGCGTTGGGATAAATCCGACGCAATCCAATTGAGTCCAAGCATTGGCACGCGGATCATAGCACCACACATCGTTGAACCACTGTACGCCATTTGTTCCTCCAAACCTGTGATCTAATGTTAGCGACCAAACAAACCGATTGAAAAGCGAACCAAGAACAATAAAAATGATAGGTGTCATACAAATAGAGCCGGTCGTTGAAGCTCACGATCGTATGGTTCGTTCTAGCGGGAGGAATCTGGCCAGGGGGCGGACCGCCCTCATGGCTGTTTCGAATCAGAAACTCCCACTTATTGGCGGTACTTTGGAGTTGATTGAGATCAAATGCAGCCAGATCGTTGAAAAAGAAGCCCTCAACCTGTCCACCAAACACATAAAGTTTAGAGCCTAGGATGTTAAGAGTATGGCCGTAACGTCCAGCTGGACGGGGTCCAGGGGGGATCGACCTCGACCATTGACGGGAAGCTGGGTTTTGTCAGGATCGAGTACATTCTAGAAACAACGATTAGGGGATGAGGGCAGAACATACACGTATTGAGCAGATAGAGAGTGGCATCTAATGTGTCGCTCTCGTCCACCTTGGTGTCACCACCAAACACAATGAAAGCGTTGCCAACTAACAAGCTTGCGTGGCCGACTCGGGGACCGGGCCCTTCGGATACAGTAGCGATCGGGAAACAAGACAAGCTCCCCCCACTGCTTTCCATCACCCAGAGATCTCCTTTGACCGTTGATCCATCTATTAAGCCGCCCATCATGTAAATATCTCCTTCCTTCGACGCAACCGCGTTGATCGCTGCCCCATATCGCGGAAAGGGGACATTTTGAGGATTCGAGAAATTAAGTCTTCTCTGCGACCAGGGATAGAGAGAGGCACCGGGACTGTTATTCGGGGAGGAATTGGTACTATTTGCCGGTTGCGGTTGCTGCGGTCGTTGGCCCTGTGCACAAAAGAATCAGCCATGGCACACTCTAGGAATGGGGCGCCCACATCGCCGCTGAGATAGGGTCCGCATGGGAACGTGTCCCAGGAACGGCCTAAAAGACTCACCTGCGACTCAGATTCGGCCCTTTGTCGCAACCGTGGATTATCTGGGCTGTTGGTGCTGTGCACCGAATTCAAGGAATTATTATAGCTGCTGCTGGGCGTGGGTGTCTGGGAATGAGCTGGATCTCGTTCCTTCGGCCCGGTGGCCGTAGTCGGGGGTGGGTTTGCGGGTGCCCCTTCGGAGCTATGATTACCTCTTGTCGCCGGAGGTAGTCCAGAACCCTGCTGGTGCTTCTTCGATTTAAACAGGAATGCCATCGTTATAATTGGGTCGTTAACGGTCGTTTCGAGCGCAAGTCAGCTAGAAATACAGGGAAAAGAAAGTAAGACGGGGGAAGCCAATGCTTGCTTCACGACGCCTTTCTTTGCCAGCAGAACCTCAATTGGTCTGGAAATGAGAGAACGGTATTATTGCGAACGGTCGCGGAACAAGCAAAAGGCGCCAGGCTCTAGATAGGTCGAAGGAGCGAATATCGGGCAAGACCGACTTTGCGTAGCGAGAGAACCGCTCGGGATAGGTGTGGGAACCGGCAACGGTTGCTTGTTTGTTCCTGACAACGGTGTTGACGAAGGGAGCCACCACGGCGCGCCGGTCCAATCTTTCCAGAGTCGCTTTCAATGTCCTGCGACAGAAAGTTGCGTTGAAACCCCTCCTTCTATTTCCAAAATAGCGTCACCACAATGCGATTGCGACTCTGTAGGAGCATGGAGCGACTGGAGCGTAGAAGAGAAGATAGCGAGCAAACAAGGGTAGGGCGAGGGGGAAGAGAACGGGAACGGCAAGGCCCCGACCACGGAAGAGGAGAGGTAAATTGTTGGCGAGGATGAAGAGATAGAACTCGAAGGGAAAGAACAAACCCCAAGAAGAGCAAAGAAAAAAGGAAAACCAAAATCCAAAGACGGGAAAACACGAAAAGGACAAGATTGCTAGGGCTAAAAAAGCCTTGGAGAGGATTTGGAGCAGGAGAGGAGGGAAGAGGATGAGGAGTAGGAGGAGCGAACGAGAGAGACAGGAATAATGCAAGACTCCGGCGTTTCACTTTCTGGCCAGCATTAGATAATTCCCGGTTTGGGTTTGGGTTTGGGGGGTAGTTTTAGGGGGGAACACTCGGGAGGGGAGAGGCGAGGCAGAGAGGCAGAGGGAGCGAGAGGACAGTGCGACACCGCCTCATTGACTACGGATGTGATGACCGTCTCTATAACTAACTGACTACGTTCACACATTGATCTTGTCTTCTTCCATTACTTTTTCATTACTTTTCTCTCTCTCTTCATTCGATTTCTGTTTATCAAAAACATGACCTCATTCAAATAAGCTTCGATTATAATTTGCATTCTAAACGAAAGGGGGCAAGCAAACATTGCACCCACGAGGGATTGACTATTGACCGATCCATAAAGTAAATAATTAAATGCATGGCATCTCTCATCCCATACATTCGCCCGAACTCAGTAAGCCAATGAGCTTAAGATCTTATCAAGAGACGCTCGCTCACCGACCTCCCCGGATGCTCTTGCGTTGACCATCTTGTTTACGGACTCAATGACAAGATTCTGAAGTTTGAATCTTCTTGGCCAAACATATTCCCTGAGTTCTACAATTACCGGCATGTCAATGATCCACTTGACCGGTTGTGCGTGCACGCGATAGAGACATCAAGCCATGTTTAACTATCCAGTCCCACCGTGGGATCACAAGTCAGTTGATTGCGAGTCAGGGACCACAGTTTCAGGTGTGGTCTGTGGGTAATTGCTCTGCAGGAACCGCGGCGAAAGGCTGGTTCCTGAACCACCGCATCGACATTCATCCTCCCAGCATTCCACACTGGAGAAACAAGAACACCATTGTCAACTGCTTGATGCACACCAGAAAGCGTGATCCGCAGAGAGGATAGGTAGTGATGGTGACCATCCTAATTATACCCTGGTCGACTCAGACCTCAGATTGGTCACTGGGCCCATCCCTTGCCGAGCGACCACCGCTGTTCATGCAGGAACAAGGCATAGTACCTACATGAGTTCTAAGCCGGTGTCCCATCTATAGTTCCCCGTTAATGTACCTCTCACAATTGCCACAATTCCCCAACCATCGCGAATCGTGAGTTCCGACTATGTTTCCATGTGCACCCCGTGTGTCGCTGCTCAGGTACGCATTCCTCCAGTCGGCCACACGCACGCACACATTGCTGGAGCGGGGCGGAATGATCAACGGGGTGTGACTGGCTGGGAAAGAATATTGACCGTAACCTTCGTGTACTTTAGCGTTGGGACAATCGGGTTTACATCCGCCCGTTGCGAGGCACCTCTCATCCAGATTGGGACCGTCCCAGAAGCGGGACAGGGCGGACCCAGGGGTCAGCGGAGTGGGAAGATTGGGCAGACATAGAGAAGGAAAACCGAGTGAGAAAGAAGGAGAAGAAAAAAGGGGGGTTGGTTCATGGATATTCTCAAGCCGTCTTCCTGTGCGGATCGATTAAGTCATGTGTGATCGGGCAATGTTCAACGGCGCGGCTGGATGGACAGGAGGAAATTGCGGACTGCTATTCTTGTCTAGGAGTCTGGGTGAGGACAGAATGCATGGGGCGCGGGATGGTCGGCACTCTGGGCTATGCCCTGCCAATGCCAACCTCTCAGCCAGGTTACCGGCACTGACTGCCTCACTAATTCACTGACAGGCGGGCTGGCGAGTCACTGGATATCTTCCATCTTCTATAGAGCTTCTTCACGCATGGATACCAGCCTTGCGTCTATAAATAGTGGTGATGCTACCCTTCTCACAACACTAAACAGTAAGTACTAAGTAAACCACCCCACATTCATGTTTGTGTTTATGTGTCTAGCTTGTTGATTTCTAAGAGTAGCTCTGTATGTGATTCTGTACGGTGAGCATAGATATGAACTTTTGGATTTCTGGGTTTTTATAGTACTGCGTATCGGAAATGCGTCGGATACGAACAAGGATATTGGCCTACCTAGGTGCCTGATATTGAGCTATTATTACTAGTTCGAGTCCAGTCCAATATTTAGAAGATCGTTTGACCGATGATGAATATAGCCGCTGGTAGCCGGCATTCACTTGGGAAGGATGATGATAGATAGACTCCGGAATACTGCCACTGATGTAATTGCCGCCTTCCGCGGCGGTCTGCAGGCTAACGGTCCCCGGCGATATCGATTATCCGGGCCAACTCGATGCCAAGCGGGATCACGGCCAGAGCTCATGGCCTTCTCCGGTTACTGCGAGACATCATCAACCAGTTCTCTGCACATCCTAGAGGCCGTGTCATTTGTTTGGACACGACGGAGGGCCGGGGAGTCCCACGCTTTTACTTCAGTCTCCGCAACTGGCAAAATTCCTAGCCGAACAGACTGGAGATCCTGTTAGTTATTCGCCCACCCTCCGCATTGGGTGTATTCGGTCTGCTTCCTGTGCATGCACTGTGACATGATTGTTGATAAGGTGAGAGAACACAAGCTCCTCTGCCCCACAATCTTACTGCCTCGAAACTTCATCCACCTCTCACACTGCCACCCCTCCTTCTGATCACTTCGCTTCAAGCTACCAGGCAACACTTTACTTCATCGTACTGGATTGTACATGATGATCACTTGCGCGTAACCACGGCACCGGAACTAGAAATGGAGCAGACTACTACAGATCACCGACAGGCGTCAAGCCTACAATCCGAACCTCGAAAGCACCCCCACAAGTCCGTTCGTGTTGCTTTCGGCCCCGATCTCGAAACTCACATCCCCCCCCGCGCTATCTCCCCCGCGCCCGTTGCTGGACATCACCGATCCTTTACCACCGTTGAGGTGAAACAGCCACCTGTGATCACACCTGAAAGACCCACGAGCTCGTCAGCCGGCGAAAACTCAGCTATCCTCGATGCAAACCCGCGATCGGCCATGGATCGACCGCAGGAGTCCGCGCGGCCCACCGCGGCCCTGAAGAGAGCCAAGAGCGATTATGGACCTAGGGTGGGATTTGACAAAGCCATCAATGATGATGAAGAAGAAGAAGACATTGCTATGCGTCATGGTTGGCAGGAAGAGTATACTTCTAGCGAGTACCTGAAAGTCCTGCACTCGGTGAGCAGTCGCGCTTTACACCCTCGATGTTGGGCATTTTTCTAACGACTCGAATGTCTACCAGAATTTCTACATGTACTTTACAGAGAAGCGCCATGAGACGAATGGCATTCCACGCGATCCCGTTGGAAGCTGGCCGAGTCAGGATTGGCGCATGAAGGACCGGCTTAAAACAGTCTCCGCCGCGCTTGCGATATGCTTGAACATCGGTGTTGATCCTCCCGATGTCGTGAAGACCAACCCCGCGGCAAAGCTCGAGTGTTGGGTCGATCCAACATCCACCACATCGCCTGGAGGTTCAAACAAAATCATGGAGCAGATCGGAAAGAAGTTGCAAGAGCAGTATGAGACGCTGAGCTTGAGAACTAGGTACAAGCAGTATCTTGATCCTTCAGTGGACGAGACCAAGAAATTCTGCATATCATTGCGTCGTAACGCCAAAGATGAAAGGGTGCTTTTCCACTACAACGGTCACGGTGTCCCTCTTCCTACCCAGTCGGGTGAGATCTGGGTCTTCAACAAGAACTATACCCAGTACATACCGGTCTCACTCTACGACCTGCAGTCATGGCTCGCAGGCCCGAGTCTGTTCGTCTTCGATGTTTCGCATGCGGGCAACATCGTTTCCAATTTCCACACATTTGTCGAGAAGCACGAGAAGGAGAATGTCGAGGCAATAAAGCGGGACCCGAACGCCATCGTACAGAATTACGGGGATTGTATCATTCTCGCAGCATGCCACAAGAACGAGTCGTTGCCTACGAATCCAGACCTTCCTGCAGATCTTTTCACCTGCTGTCTTACTACACCGATCGAGATCGCGTTGCGCTTTTTCATACTTCAAAACCCGCTTCAAACCAACATCTCCATTGACGAATTCAGGGTGCCTGGTCGTTTGCAGGACCGTCGAAGCCCCTTAGGAGAGTTGAATTGGATTTTCACTGCGATTACTGATACGATAGCTTGGAACACACTGCCGCGAGCCCTCTTCAAGAAGCTCTTCCGCCAAGATTTGATGGTGGCTGCTCTGTTCAGGAACTTCCTATTGGCTGAGCGGGTGATGCGCACATACAAATGCCATCCAATCTCATCACCTGAGCTACCAGAGACCCATCATCACCCTCTGTGGAAAAGCTGGGACCTGGCCGTTGAAATGGTTTTGTCACAGCTTCCAGCTCTTATCGACCATGAAGAAGGTCGCAGGCAATATGAGTACCAGCACTCGACATTCTTTGCAGAACAGCTCACCGCGTTTGAGGTGTACCTGTCGTCTGGCCCAACGGAGAAGAATCCACCTGATCAACTTCCTATTGTCTTGCAAGTTCTCCTGAGTCAGGCACATAGATTGAGAGCCCTGATCCTGCTGAGCAAATTCCTCGACCTGGGACCTTGGGCTGTTCACCTGGCCCTGAGCATCGGTATCTTTCCTTACGTCGTAAAGCTTTTGCAGTCTGCAGCTCAAGAGTTGAAACCTGTCATGGTCTTCATCTGGGCAAGGATTATGGCCGTCGACCACACTGTTCAAAACGACCTACTGAAGGACAATGGGATTCACTACTTCATCTCCATCCTCAATCCATCCTCTCCGATTCCGGTGGGCAATGCTAGCGAGCATCGAGCTATGTGCGCGTTCATTGTCTCAATCTTCTGCAAAAATTATCCTCAAGGTCAAAATGTGTGCCTTTCCGCTGAACTTTTTGACTCTTGTCTCAAACATCTATTGGATGTCGAGAACCCTCTACTGAGACAATGGTCGTGTCTATGTATCAGCATGTTGTGGTCCGACTTTCCAGAAGCGAAATGGATGGGTATCCGTTGCGCCGCTCCCGCCAGGCTCTGCGAACTCAACTTCGACCCTGTGCCCGAAGTACGCGCTGCTATGTTGCATGCAGTCACGACCTTCTTGGGCATTCCGGATTTGACCGATCAGGTTGCGCAGATTGAAGAGACTCTGGCTATGGCAGTCTTGCCGATGTCATCCGATGGCAGCGTATTAGTGAGAAAAGAACTAATTGTCTTCTTTTCAGCTTTCGTCAGACGTTACCAGAACAAGTTTTTGATTGCGGCATACGAAGAATTCCAGGACGAGAAGCAAAACCTAGTTTCGAAGTTGAAACACGCAGGTTCCCGGCTTCCCAGTGAGAAGGAGATATCGGAGATTTCTGTTAATTCCAAGAAGTCGCATAGCCTGTCACGGAATACTACCTTTGGAACCATCTGGAAGCAACTGCTAATTCTCTCTGTTGACCCCCATCCCGATATTGCGCAGGACGCAGGCACGATCGTGGACTATATCCACATCTGCCTTCTGGACTCCCCTATGGCCTCATTGACTAACAAGATTCGAGACGAGATTCTGGACCTCTCTAGCCGGGTTTCTCAGAAATTGCAGGTCGAAAAGCCAGAATCGAAGAAGACCGCGCCTCCGCCAACACCACCTGCTGCCGCCCCTCCCAAACAGGAAGGCTATCTTTCACTAAGCATCAAACGGACTGCGAGCGTGGCTGCCTCGCTTAAGAATCTGGCCTTCGGCGGTTCTAATGCGTCAGAGCCTCAGTCGCCCCAGTCGCCACAAGCTCTGACCGCACCTAAGAGTCGAATGCCTATGACCCCCAGAGGACGAGCCCCGCCCGAATGGACACGGCCCCCGGAAGTGAACGACCAAGTTGCTCCTGCAACAGCCTATAATCAAGCTCCGACCCCTACATCGCGAGGCTTTGAGCTACGGGAACCTTTTGCGGTCCCAGCTATCCCCTTGATAAGTCGGTTCCTGGACTGGTCCACAGAGGTAAAATCAGAACTCCTTCACCTGATGAGCGATAAATTTCACTACGAATTTGAGCAATTTCTCACCGATCTTCAGTATTTCCGGGAACCCCAGATGAAACCCAATGAGCCCGACGAGCCCGGCAGTGCCGACTACAACGAGCGCCTCTGGAGACGAAGCCGCAATGAAAAGATTATTTCGGAGACCCAACCCCTCAAGGGCAAGGCGGGCAGCAGCCGCTGGGACAATTCATTGTGTCTTCTCTCTAACAGTAGTCAGCCTCTTAAAATGTGCTTCCATCAGTTTGAGGATCACATTGCAGTCGCCGATGACAAAGATACTATCGCGTAAGTTATTCCCCGCTTGGAATGCTCGTACGGAATGTGCGCTGAATGATCACTAGAATTTGGGATTGGCAAAGGCACAAGCGTCTCAATCGCTTCTCCAATGGCAACCCGGCTGGCTCCAAAATCAACGAGGTTCGGTATATCAATGAAGATGACCAAGCTCTCTTGATGACGGGGTCATCTGATGGTGTGCTGAAAGTTTTCAGAAATTATGAGTCGGCGCACGACGTGGAAATTGTTACTGCCTTCAGAGCTTTACCCGAACTCATTCCCAGCAATCGCAATGCTGGACTTGTTCTGGATTGGCAACAAGGCCAGGGTAAGGCGTTAGTTGCAGGTGACGTGAAGGTCATTCGGGTGTGGAACGCTGCCACCGAAGTTTGCACGAATGTAAGGTGTTTCTGACCCGAGGAACAGAATTATGCTGACACCATCCGCAGGATATCCCTGCTCGTTCGGGCTCCTGTATCACTTCCTTAACATCCGATCAGGTCGCGGGCAACATTTTCGTGGCGGGATTCGGCGACGGTGCAGTCCGGGTGTTTGACCAGCGTCTCAAGCCCACGACGTCCATGGTCAAGGTCTGGCGCGAGCACAAGCAATGGATTACCAACGTTCATATGCAACGTGGCGGTTTGAGGGAGCTTGTATCCGGTAGTCGCAACGGAGAGATCAAACTCTGGGATCTTCGCATGGACCTTCCCTTCTCTACTTTCTCTGCCACGAACGACACACTGCGTACATTAAGCGTCCATGAACATGCTCCGGTCTTCATGGTGTATGTGTCCTTCATACCCATCATACCCTTCTCGAAAAGTCTTGCTAACCTGTTCATAACCCACAGAGGCACAAACCGCCACGAAGTCAAAACCTTCAACGTCGACGGAACCTATCTCTCGACCTTCGAGCCCTACTCCAGCTTCCTCCACCACAACCGCTCCTCCCCGATCGCCAGCACCGCTTTCCACCCTCACCGTACCATCCTGGCCTGTGCTGCGCTCAACGACCACCACGTAAACTTGGTGAAGTGCTAGACCATTTATCTCCAATCATCGGATTAGATGTGAACGCCCACCCTACCACCTATTCAACATCCACCCCCGACACACCTCCAACCTCCAGTTGAACCCTCCAAGAATCCTTCCCTCCAATACCGCAATTTCCCACCATACATCAACGGCGCCACGGTTTATCAATTCTCGAGCATCTCAAGGATGTACCCTCTCAACCCCCGCCCCCGTCCTTGTTAAAGTATACCATCCCCATGCAAGCCCTCACACCCGAACTACCCCCCCATCTCTGAACCCTACACACTAAACCACCTTCTAATAAACCCCCTTCCGAAACCCTTGCTTCCCCTCAACCCTGTTTCTTTAACTACCGGCGTAAACACTGACGCACGCAAAGGTCCACTACAGCAGTCTCTTAATTACGTTAGCAAATTGGCGCTGTGGCTGTTACTGTTGTCTACAATTCTTCGGTTTTTCCTTTCTTCTTCTTCTTCTTTTCCATCTCGCAGTGTTTGAATTTTACACACTTGCTTGCTGTGGTGGTCCCTGAAAGAACCAGCTCATGCGAGTTGGGTTGTCTAGATCGCTGCCCACCTCGCCCCCCTACCCAACCTTTTTTAATTCCCGTTTGAATGGTTATGTGGGATGGAGATAGTAGATAATGATTACTATTACTACTAAGATAGCGGAATGGATGGGCTGTACAGCAATTAAAATTGAAAATAATTCCACCGCCGCTTTTGTAGGATTTGCATGAAAGTTCCCAATGTAGTCGGGGTATGGTCGGGTTTTGATTGGTGCTACTTGTGTGAAGTAGTGAACTGGTTGATGATTGTTCATAGTTCACCACGACTTTACTAGTTATTGGCATTTAGGGGATGACTTGTAGCCGTTGAATACGTATTCTCATAATGATCTCTGATCTACCTTGCAGAGCTTGTAAGATATGTAACAATGATCTACCACCATACAAAGCAAACACTAGCGCATAGCAACCTAATGCCCACCTGAGAAGAATTTCGTAAGCCAGCGAGTATCGAGTCTGCAATAAGAAATGGCAGAACGTCGTGATAGCGCCAGATGCAGAACCACTCTACAAGTAGCCTCGTTCTAGTGAGAGTCAGGAACGATCGCGACAAATTACCAGTCAGATTCGATGTCAGAGTCATCCTCAAGGACAATGAAAGGATTGATCGCCGAAGAGGTTCTACGCCTCGCAACATGGTTGATGCCAGGGGAGCTCAAGTAGTTCCGATCGAGAGGTGCCTCGCATTCTGTGAACGGGTCCAGATCGAAAAAGGTACGACGCATATCGGATCTTGGTGAAGAACAGTCAGACGGTGCTGGCGTGAAGTTTGCAAAGTTGCCGGCCTGCTGCTCCCGACCTCCTATCACATAGGAAGACAAGTTGACGAGCGCATTACCAATGAGCTCACTCATCTCTTGTGCAGATTCACAGTCCTTTGTCGGAAGACCTCTTTCCTTGAGTTGTTCACCGTAGTCTTGAGCAAACAATGAAACCTGCGCGCGGAGGGCCTCATCGCCTCGACCATCTCGTTGGAACCAAGCGTTGGACTCTTCCAGCCTGGCCTGGTTCTGAATCAGACTGTCAAGATACCATGTAGGGCGGTTCGCCAACTGACTCGGGGGCTGAGGAAGACCAGGAGGGGGCTTTAAAGGCTTGTTTTTGCTCAACTCCGACGATACCACACGTTGCCAGAGGGCGTCCTTAGTAGCGCTTTGCGATCCATTGCCAGACATCAATATCTGGTTCTGAATATAGGCTGAAGCTTGCTTTTTAAGGTCAATTGAAGTGATTCCGCCAAATACATTCCGTGCCCTTTCTGCGGACACTGTGTTCGGAAATGGTTCAGTGTCGGTGAAAGACGATCCTGTGTTGAAAAGGTCACCCCAGCCCGCGAAGCGCCGCGCTTGGTAGATGTTTTGCGGTCGGTATCTGGGTATTGACGGTCGCCCGGAAGCTGTAGTTCCTTTCTCGAGGTTTGACGCTGCTCTTTCTAGAAGACCCCAAGAAGTAGTCTCGACCTCTTCCGGGGCGGCTTTCTGTGTTCCAGTATTGGCTGACGGTTTAATGATTGGCTCACCGGCGGCGTGATGAGCACTTGTTTGATTTTCGCCAGTACTGGGTGCTTTGACTATTGGAGACTCCACCCGGAGCCTTTCCACTTTAGCTGATAGCTTGGTGCTTTTGAGGTCGTTTTCAGCACTCTTCAGCAAGGCATTGACTTCTTCTTTGAAGATGCGTCTCTTCTCCTCAGCGGAAAGCCCACTACTGCCATTGCTTGAGGAGGTACTTTTGTGCACATTTGTCGCTCGGCGCTGACTAGACAGCAGTTCTGGGGGCACTCTTGAATTCGAGAACGAAGAAACTCCAGAAATCTGTGATGACAACACAGCAATGGCTTGGGGCGGGAGTTCCGAGATATGTCCTTGCTGGGACCCAGACATTGGAAACTGCAAGCCAGACGAGATTCGGCGAGACTCGGCGCGCTTGAATCGCTCTTGCTGGACCCGCAATGACTCATACGGAGAACGATTGTATGTTTGATCGAAGTTTGCGCCGTACAAGTGCAGAGATGATGCAGGGGGGCATGATTCCTCGGACACCGACTCGTGACTGAGAGAACCTGTTCTAGGCATGTCGTAAGAGGAGCCCTGACTGGATGGTTTTGTAGGCCAGACTGTTCGATCGCCAAGAAGGTTATCGTCCCGTCTTTGAAATGGACTTTCTGCAATGAAGCTGCGGGATGGAACATGTGGGCTCGAGTAGGAGATGTTGGAGCTTCTCGAGTAACTCAGAGGATTCTGTTGAATGTGTCTATTGCCAGCTCCATACCAGCCTTGATCCGACTTTGCCTCACTGTACTTCTGTCTGCCCAGGCGCGTAGGTGTTAATAGGTTATCTTTGTAGCAGCCAACATCGTTGTCATTAGACTGGTCGAACCGAGATAGACGCGCCGATGGTTTGTATTGACCAGTTGCACTCAGTCGAAATTCGCTATCTCCTCGTTCCGGAACAGGGCTGAGGTACGATTCACTGTAGTTATACCTCTTAACGCGTGTGGGTGTCGAGGGATACGGAAGAGTATCATCATGACAGGCACTGATAGTCTGGCGCATAGAAGACGGACGCGACGTAGATTCTGGCGAGTCAGCCGTATGGGGTCGCGACGTTGCTACCTTCAAATCGATAGGTGAATCGAACGTATTATCAACATACTTCTGAGCTCCTAGCATCTTGGAAGCCGAATGATCTTTGTAGGCTTCGAGGACATTGCTGCTGGGTTGTCGAAAGGTGGAAAAGCGCCCCGAAACTAGACCTTGGCTGGCGCTACTCGCTACTCCGATACTGACACCAGCCGCACTCTCTGACAAACATTGTTTCTGGGCGCGTGTACCTTTGTTTTTGGAGCTTGTCTTCAGGTATAAATCAAGTAGGCCGACTCTGGAGGAAGCAAGTTGATTCAAATTATGGAGCTCATGGTCATCCGTTTGCCCAAGATCAAGTTGACTGGAGTCAGCAGAGTCTTGACGACTATGGAGAAGTTTTCGTGACGCCATGATTGGGGAGGTTTGGTGGTCTCCTGCTTGGTGGGTACTCTCTTGCCGTGTCGATTGAATGTATCCTAACAGCCTTGACGAATCTGAATACTGCTCCGGGATTGAAGATGCGATCATACGGACTGGAAACTCTAGGTCAGGTGCTGGGAATTCTTCTGATTCTCCGTCAAGAGAGGATGATGATAATGGAAGGAAATGGTCTTGTTGGTGAGGGATAGGGACTGTTGACGGCTGAGGAAGACGGATTAACGAAGCCGTAACACCACTTGAGCTGGGAGACTGCAGAGCAAGAAGATGCAAAAGTTAACCATAGCCCATAGTGAATGAAGCGGGGCATGAACTGGAAACCAGCCTACTTCGGTGTTTGACACCTGGTTGAGCCACTGTGTTGTCTGTGTGCGCCTGTCCGGGGAGTGAAGATGGTTCAATCCTGCCGGAGCCCTTCCCGGAGGGAGATTGTTGACAGTCACAGAGCCTTTTCCCCTACGACCTCTCTGTCCTGATGAGCCAGTCAGTCAAGAGAAGTCAGTTTACCTGAAAGAACAGGATACAATAACAAGATGCATAGGTCCTTGGCTTTATCTCTCTTCCAGAAATGCACATGTTCAGTCATGTAGACCCTCTTTCCGGGCCTGAGGAAGTGAACAAATGGGAACAAATGGGGAACACCCACGGCGCCTCTGTTTCTTGGGCTTCAGCACCAGCGACATAGCAACAAGATGCTGCCTAGCCCCGCTGTCGAAGTTCTCCGCTGTGCGGCGTTGTTCATGAGTCTCGAATGCTGGGCCATCGTGCAGCAACGGTGCCCGGGGATGATAGAGAGGAAACATATCTCAGTTGTGCCTTCCTTCGGCGACAGCAAGCAAACAAGCGTGTGTCAGCCTTTAGCTTGAGAGAGAAAGGATGACGAGTGAGGGATGTTTACAAAGGAAGGTTTGATTTCACACCAGAATGAACATTGAGATTAATTAGACTAGAAGCACGCATTGAAGCCAAACGCGGAAGTGATAGACCCCTCACAGTCCGGTTCTCCCAGTCACACGAAGTGACTCTGACCAAGAAATACAGTGAATCACTCTGACGAGCAATTATCATGTTCGACTTTCTACCGATAATTCCGCTGAGCCCCGCCAGCCGAACGTAGATTATCCGAGGCCATCATGTTAGATCCCATCATGTTGGCGCCCACTCGACCTGAATCGAGCTTGCCTCCATAGCTGTAATCATCCGCAGCAGTATCCAGCCCGCTGGTGTGATGGCCAGGGGTATTATAACTGCTACCTCCTTCCGCACCCCCCCCGCCGAAGCTTTGTTGAGCCCGGCCTTCTGCAGCTGATGTGTACGTCCCAGTGACGTTTGGAGTATCATATCGCGCAGACCCGTGAGCGTAACTGCCAGAATCGACTCGATGCATGCCGCCAGTATCACCAGAACCAACATGTCCGGGGCCGGAATGGGATTCGGAACCAGTCATGCCGGAGCCAAACTCACCCTTGGTAGGATTGTCATTTCCAGCTCCATATCCATACCCAGATCCTGAATCGCGGCCACCGACAGGCTTTGAGTCATAGCCGCTAGTGTGTGCTTCATAAGCAGCCGGGGTTTCCCCCGACTTATACGTTCCAGAGGTGTAAGGGTCAGCGCTCGGTTTCGCACTGCTGCCGCCGGTATGAGGGGCATGGGGTCCAGTGACAGATTGGCCGTGGTCTCCCGAGCTGTAAGTCTCAGCGTTGGGATTGGGCTCTGGATTGCCGGTATCTAAGTTCAAGTCAATCGGATTGGAGGCTCAGCATAGGGGACATGCCTATACTTGATTTGCGATCATGATGACCGCCGGTGAATGCGTCTTTAACCTTGTGCATGAGCTTAGACATATCGAAAGTGTGTAGATCCTGTCGGTTTAAAAAGTTGTCCTGATACGCTGGTTGATTAATCCACGTCGCAAGAAGGTGGTTTGAAGCATCTCTTCGGATCGGACGTAGTCTAAATAGAGATCCCTAGCTCGAACGCTGGGCCGGTGGATCAGCAGCTCCAGAATTCCAGCAACGGCGAGAAACCCTGTTAGCGTTCAATCCATGGTCGATTCAACGATGGCGCCTCGTTCTGACCACCATTACGTTTGAAATCTAGTTGTGGTCAATGAGAAAGAGAGAGCGGGGGTTTACAATGCGAATGTCGTTCACGTCATTCCGCGAACCCCGGCAATTCCAGACCGTATTGTTATGAGCGGGCATCAGCCACAGTCCCGCCCCCGCCCTGGGAACAGCCCGAACGGTTCCACTTCGATGATGGCACGAGAAGCTAAAAATACTGCTCATGTCTCAGCGGTCGGATTTCAGGAGTAGTGTGTTGCATGAGACGAGCCGGGATTGTATGACAAGATGAGAAAATTGACAACTGCTTATCCTAGACACTTGGAAACAATGTCCCTTCAGGAATTTCCTCCGCTAGGTTTGATTTGGTCGAAGGGGAGGGATCGAGCGGTGATCTGCAAGCTAGATGCAATCCCGTTAGTAGAGCTTTCGGGGGAAAAGGGACCCTGAAAGACTCGCAATCAGAAAACCCACTGATGCGACCCAAAGACATGCCAATTGCTCAATTGCCTGTTGACTCTTCGAGGGATTGGAATGTCAGGGAGTCTGAGATCATCAGCTGTTTGTGACTGGAAAGGTGGACCCTCCGACTAACAGGGAGTGGAGATGGTGGATGATCGGCGAGTGGGGGTAAAAACGAGGGAATTGAATCCATTGAGGGCTAGCTGTAGGGTATACTCTTCTGTCCAAGTGTGAGTGAGGAAGCACGGCAGTGAAGCAGCAGCAAGGGGCAGATTTTCCATGGAACCATGCTAGTAGATGGAAGGAGGACAAAGAAGCCCGAGGGAGTGGAAGAAGATGATGACTTCCGTGTAAATCAATCCCATTGATGGACAAAGCCTGGAGCGGAACCGTGGTTGCCTGACTTGGCCTGAGTTTGCAGGATGATCATCCCCGTCGTCGTTGTCCAGCCTCAGGCAGCAATCCCCCCGTGACTGGGGGCTGAGGCTGTGCTTGCGTGTCTCAGCGGAGAGTAAACCAAACTAGTTAACTGTAACTGACTGGGCAGAAGGGCAAAAAAAAAAGGCAGAAGAGATGCCAGTCATTCCTTCATCCTTACAAGTTCCAAGTTCTAAGTTCTCCTCTCGACTTTTCTCCACACGCACACTCCTTCTCTATACGTGAATTCTGTCTTTGTGTCTTGATTTGCTGTTCTTGCGCCCACCATATATCCCTTCCTCTACTTAGTTTCTCCCAGCGACTAAATTGGTGCGCGCGTGTTGACATCCTTCCTTTCCGCCTCCCCTCTCCCACACCTCCCCTCCTTCCCTCTCCGATTTCTCTCCCTCTCCTCTCCTCGCTCTGGTCGCATCTTCGGGGAGGCCCGACCTTCTTTTCCTGCGATCGGTCTGGTTTCTTCTGTGTATCAATAACCAGTTCTGCGCTGCCCTCTCGATGAGTGCTGGTGCTGTTGCCCTGCAGCGACCGTCTGACTGGTCATAAGATCCACCCTCTGCCAGCAACCGCAGGTGCCACCATTAGTACCACCTCGATAATCACAACTCTGCTCCCAAGACTATTAGCACGCGGCTTGGATACTGAACGTTGACCGTCAGAAACCATTCACCTCGCCTCTCGCAGCATCTACACTCTCCTGACGACGGTCATCATACTCTATTGCTTGGTGACCCGAAGCATTGCGTCACCATGCGGCCACCACGCTTGATCGTGATTGTGTTTTGCCTACTATTTTTCCCGATCCTACTCACTTTTTTCTCAGCACTAACCTCTTCTTCTCGCGTCTCGACTCCCAGTTCGCTTGCTGGTCAAGCGACGGGCCTACATGCCCTTTTCTCCTTCAATCTACCTTCGTCGCTTTTCCCACCCTCCGCAATTATCAGCTTGACCGATGACAACTCGACCTTCTTTCTGGCCAGACCCGCAGCGTTTGGCCCGTTGCTCCCAGACAAGGGACTCAGCGGTCAACTTTGGATTGGAAGTGGATTTGGAGAACGCACGACGGCAGGAGCGGAAGGTGAACTAGGCTGTTCAGATATCCCGGGTTGGGGCGAGGACGAAACTCACAAGCCAGGGACAGCCGATGGTGTCGCGGGAAGACCACGGGCAGGGACCGTGAGCAAGCGCACAAAAAGTCAGATAGACGCTCATTCAGACAGCGATTCTTCTCGTCTTCCGAAGAAGATAAAGATCGGCCCAGCGACTGACGACGGAACCGATGATCATCTGCACCACCCCCTTCCGGAATCCACAGGGACGGATGTCACTGAGGCGCAGAAATCTGGAGACCACTCCCTGAATTTACCTGCAGCCCACGCAGACATTCAATCCTTGCAGGAAAGTGCCGAGATCGATGGCAAAGTGGTCCTGTTGAGTCGAGGTGGCTGTGGCTTCCTTGAGAAGGTCAAATGGGTGCAACGGCGAGGAGGTATTGCTCTGATTGTTGGCGACGATACTCGGGGAGGAAGTCTGGTTACTATGTATGCACGGGGCGACACGTCGAACGTGACGATCCCTGCCCTGTTTACCTCTCACACTACCGCCCATCTGCTTTCCTCATTGGTCCCACCTCAGATGGTAGAATATGCGGAGGTGGATGATGCTTCACCTACCCAAACTAGCCAGTCGGGCCATCGCGCTTCGGGCAAACAACACACAGTCACGACTACGGTGGCGGCTGCCTCAACTACACCCACTAAGCACACGACGGCTGAGGATGTTGTGGCTCCCGCCAGACCGAAAAGCGGCCTCCTGCATACCATCCTGTCGCTTCTGGGATTTGGCAGCAGCGGAAGACGTCCCTGGTTCTCTCCGGAAGATAGCCGCCGCCCACCCAATAGTGGGAACATCAACTGGATTTTGCTAGACCCCTGGGATGACCATAAGCCGTCTCAGAACATAGCAGATACCGGTCGCTCTTCAGTAAAAGTAGATGCGGCTATTGCAAACCACAAGAAACATGGATCGGGGCCAAGTGGCACGGATGCAGATGGGTTCGTGATCGGAGTCCAGGACTGGCGAGATCCAGACCTCGTCGCCCCGAAGGGCAGTATTCTTCCGACGCCGACTGCTGTCGCGGTTGCAGATGGAAATAACGCCCACGGCAGTGACAAAGGGTCTCACTCCACCGCTACCGCATTGAAAGGCGGCAGCATCACCCCGGGGAGCGGCGAGTACCACACCGTTGACAAGAATACCGCCTCACAGAAAGGGCGCACAAGTAGCTCGCAATCTCAAAACTCTTATCAAGGTGATAGTGATGATGAGGAGTCTTTATCTGGTAACGGCTGGCTTTCCAAACTCTGGCCAAGCCGACAGGAGTCCGAGTCCAGCACGGGTCCCAGCAGCAAAGACTCAGTTTCTGCAGAAGATGAGCGCCACAAGCCTTCCGCACCTAGTCGATCGGGCGCGACGACAGCCGATCACGAGGGCTTATGGGTCACTTTGACACCTACGAGCATGTCTACCAGTCCTTTCTTTGATACCCTCCTTGTCCTCGTTGTCAGTCCGCTCCTTACATTGACTGTGGTGTACATTCTACTGTTGCTCCGATCGCGCATCCGCCGCCGACGATGGCGCGCGCCGAAATCTCTGGTGGATCGTCTTCCCGTGCGAACATATCATACGATTACCACCTCATCTTCTACCTCCAGCTCACCGCGCTCTATTAGCCCTGGGCCGGTCTCGCCTACATCGCCCTTGCTGGGTTCCAGAAGTCGCTCGGACGCCAAGAGCGCACCCCCAATGTCGTTGACTCGAAAAGAGAAGTCTGGTTCGACTCTCTGGCGACGCAAGTACACAGGACGACAGGTCGAATGTGTGGTTTGCCTCGAAGAGTATGTCGATGGAGAAAGCCGAGTGATGAGCCTGCCTTGTGGGCACGAGTTTCACGCAGAGTGCATGTGAGTATTTTCGTGTCTGCATGATTTGCATTTCTAACGCTGTACAGCACGCCATGGTTGACGACACGCCGACGGACGTGTCCAATCTGCAAAGGAGACGTGGTTCGGTCAATGACTCAAAGCAAGGCCAGTGATTCACGCGACAACGCCGCAGAGCAGACAGTCGAAGAAGGCCACCACTCCCGAGATGTTGACTCTCAGCACAGCGCATCCTCGGCTCCGGTACCAATCACCGGAGTTAGCGAGGACGAGCTATCAGACGTGGAGCAGCGCGCAGACACGGACGCAGGATACCTTGAGGCACACGCTTCGTCGGCGCCACCCACTTGGCGAAATTACGCCGCCTTGAGCTACTCTGCCCTGAGTGGAGATACCATCTGGCATCAGGCTCCGACGGACGGGCGGCGATGAAGCCGTCATAAAACTTGTCTTCCCAGCGAATATTACCATTGGAGATTTGAGCATGTGCTGCATTAGCGATCTTTTGATATCAGTGTCGCTTGGCGTTTGCGGGTTCAGTGGGCGTGCTGGCGCGGCTCATGGCCAGGCACCGTGGCGCCAGCCGGGGATTACTGTCTGTGTTCCTGGTGTCTCTGCAATGCCTCAAGGCGGGAAGGCTAGATAGTATTGCTGATTATAATAGTTCCATTATCTTTAATGGCTGGGTTTCACGCTGTAGTCTGGAAGGTGGCTAGACGCAGTTGCAGATATGACTTCTCATCTGCCTGGCCCATATGCCCCGAGCCTCTGGTTTTATGTAGACCCCTCATTCTCTGCCCTCTCGAGTCTGAATCACCTCATTCTCCTTGAAGTCAAATTAGATTGCTCAAACCGTAATCAACAGCGAGCTGAACGGCGCTATCCTCGTATACAATTTCCCAGGCTGGACCTTGCCAACCTCCGTGGGGGTGGTTGTTGTTGTTATTGTTGTTAGTCGTAGGGTTAGATAAGGGACAGGGGCGCCGGCGAGGCCAGCAGAGACATTGGCATCTGTAACATGATTTCTAGGAAGTAAATGGGATGTCATTGAGAGGGAGGGAGGATAGCTGGAGCTGTGGCTGAGTCTGTTGTTGGCCATACATAGTATACGGTTATTTGTTATGCCGCCTATCTTATCGAGGTGGCGTTTTCTTATCGATAAGCCCACCCGGCCAAGCTTTGCGACATCATGACGATCACGACCCTCCAGCTCCCCTCCTTTTCTTTCCTCGTCATCAATCTCAGTTTTTGACAACAGATAGACAATCGACCACCCAACAAGTTCAACTCTAAGTAAAACCGCAGCTGCAGAAAACCACCAAAATGGCCTCAACGCTCAAAACCGCCCTAATCAACGAACTCAACCACCTGCGCACCATCGCCAAAGACCTCCTCTTCTCCGGCACATACATCTACCCCATAAAAGTGAGCCTCTCCTCCCATTATTTCAGCCCAAACCAAAGAGAACCCCACAGTTTGAGATTATTATTTGACTTCCTTGAGACTCCGCCCGACAGTAAGACTAACTCCCAAGAAAAATAGGGAATCATCTACACCCTGCACCACAAACCCCTGTGGAACCCAATCCTGTCTCGCTCCGCCAAAACCCTAACCCTGGGCCTAGGCATCACGACCACAATGTTCTTCTTCACCTACCTGCCGCAAGTCGCTCTGCTGAGCTTCACCTCGGGCCCATTCCTCGCCCCCTTCTCCGCCGCGCTCCTCGTGCTCTCGGAATCCTCCACCATCACCACCTTCCTGGCGCGGTCGTTCCTCCTCGCCGACGCGATCACGGATACCTTTGACGCGACGCTGCTGGAGCGCGGTGAGGATGCGCTCGTTGCGCGCGAGCGTGCTGTTGCTGTTCCGCCGGCTTCTGGTGCCTCTTCTGGGGGATCGGGAGGGGCGGCTCGGTTGGGCAGTCGGCTGAAGCACCCTGTTGAGAAGCTGTCGCCGCAGGTGTTGCTTAGGTCCGTCATGTATCTTCCCTTGAACTTTGTGCCGGTTGTTGGGACGGTCGCGTATATTTATGTGCAGGGGAAGCGCGTCGGGCCTGTTGCGCATGGGCGGTATTTTCAGTTGAAGGGGTGGGGGAGGAAGGAGAGGGAGGCTTGGGTTGAGGGGGAGAGGAGGAGGGGTGCTTATACTGCGTGAGTTCCTTTATCCTGGTTGTTCTTTCTGTGGTGGTTGGTTGGGGTGCGGGTGGTTTGGTGTGGGGAGTGGGAAGAGGGAGGAGGTGGTGTTGTTTGTGGTTGAGATGGGCTAATCATTTCTGCTCCTAGGTTTGGCATGGCTGCGTTTGCCCTCGAAATGATCCCCTTCGCTTCGATCGTGATGGCTTTTACGAATACCGTTGGTGCGGCGCTGTGGGCGGCCGATTTGGAGAAGGCGGCGCGGTGAAGGGATTTTGTGTTGCATGGTGTTGGTGAAGACAGGGGTGTATTTGGTGTGAGGCTGTCGTTTCTCGAATAAGGATGAGGTATGGACTGTATATTGGCTAAGTGCGAATGTATATTCGCAGGCGTTATCAAAATATGTAGCGGCTGGCTTTGGTTCTGGTTTCTGCGCTATGTTTGTACTGTATGAACAACTACGCTACTCACTCAACTCATGCTCCGTCAGACACTCCTCGAAGAGCTCGGTCATCAAAGGAATCATCTCCCCCCGTCGGATAGCACGATATATCACTCCCGTGTAGGATCCAACCGTCGGCGCCTCCCGTCGCTGACCCGTCTTCATCGACTCAGCAGTAGGTGTCAAGATCTGTGCGGTGCATAGAAACGGGACCCCGAGCGTACGACGCACGAATACATAGACTTTCTTCAATGCCACGCCCAACACGGCACTGGCGTCCCCGTGCACCATATAGGCATTTCGATTGATGCACCATGCAGCTTGGAGAAAAGAAGCCATGCGCTCAACGAACCTCTGTAGAGCCTCTAGCGTTTGCGGGGACGCCGTACTAAAGTCTATATGGTCGAGTATTGGCCCCCGCATACTCTTCGCTATATGAATGAAGCGGTCATTGGTGTCCATGGTGACTGTAGAATCGAGCATCGTTCTCAGGTGGGCCCATAAGGTATCCTTGAGATCTATCAGAGCTGATGTCTTTGTATCGGTCTCACCCTCACCGGTTGGCGCGATACTGTGCACCAGATCGTGCAACAACACCCCAAACTCACCACGGATTGAGCCCAGGAATTGCAGCTGCATAGCCCGCAGATCCAGTGCCTGGCACGCAGAGAGAAGGTGTGCGGCCGTGAGCTCGGTCAAAACCCGCACGCCGGTTGCGGTGTATCGGGCCGAGATCAAAGCCAATGAGTTCAGCGACTGGTTACCCATCTCGGCGTTCTGGACGTGATTCACGGGGCCCGCGAGAAAGCCCAGCTCCGACTGCAGAGCGGAGATGTAGAGGTCGATGGCCTTGAAAATCCCGGACTTGCTGGGATCCTCCGCGACGAGGTTGGGCGGTAAGCCCCAGCTTGTGGCGGGGTTGATCATCTCCTGACACTGCGTGAACAGCATACGTCCGATGGTTTGAATCCCTTGACGGCTCTTCTCCATGGCCGACGTTACAGCCTTGGCTTGGAAGTTGCCGCCGTGAAGAAACTCGCCCTCGCGCGTCACTAATGGGTTGTCCGTAGTCGAATTGCACTCGATGCTCATCTGTTGGTGGGCAAGGTGTAGATCCTCCAGCACCGGGCCAAGCCATTGTGCAGCCGTACGAATCGAATATCGGTCCTGTCGTAGGGCCCCGTCTTTGCCGTCTTTGGTCCGAGCCAGCCCGGAACCCCGCAGGAATGCTCGTATATTGCGCGCGCTCTCAACCTGGCCGGGGTGGGGCCGTACCTCGCCGAAGAATCGATGGAAGCTTTCTGGGGACCCGAGCAGCGCTTCTACGGTCATGGCTGTGAGGATTTGAGAGAGCACTGCCAGCTGCTGTACATCGTGAAGCACGAGTGAACCGCAGGCGGCGGAAATAGCTGTTCCATTGACAACTGCTAAACCCTCTTTTGCCGTCAAGTCCACCGGAGTGATACTCGCACTAGCGAGGGCTTCATCTGCGTAGAGGTCTCCCTTTTGATTGGCAGCTGAGAACACGCGGATTGTGGGCTTTCCCTGGATGACGCCACTGATGTAGGCCAGCGGGCTGAGATCCCCAGAAGCCGAGATACTGCCCCGGATGGGCACCATGGGTATAATGTTATGTGTGAGCAGCGCCTGCAATCGATCTAGAAGAACCGGGCGGATGGCCGATTGACCCCGCAGCAGCGAGTTGATGCGTAGGAGGATAGCACCTCGGACCCAGGTCAGTGGCAGATAATAAGATTCACTCTCTTCCTCCTGTGCTAGGTCGAAGAAATCATGGTGATCTTCACAAACGCTGCGCCGACGAGGTTGAGCATCGCGAGAACCAGGTGGAAGGATCCCATAACTTAATTCTCGAGTGAGAACACGTTGAAGCGCTTGCACATCACTCGTGCGAGTATGCGCGGAGGCACCGAAGCCAGTATTGACACCTAGCCATCAGACGTATAATTGTCAGGGCGGAATCTTTACCAATAATGGTTGCGCTAGTTTGGCCGCTTACCGTATATCACCTCTCCCGACGATAGACTATCTAGTAGTGCTTGGTGGCTCCTACTAACCTCTGCAAATGCCGTTGAGGCACATTGAGCACTTCTGGCATGCCTGCTTATCGTTAGCCTGAGCAGGTCCTGGGAGAATTGGCAGCCCACCTTGCAACATAGACGAGATGAGGGATGTCCAACGTCTCACCGTCGATGATCACTGCCGCCCCTGGCTTACCTGCTAAATGGCGGCACAGTCTCCATTGTTGCACCACCAAAGACGTGTGAAACTGGAAAGACTGCATTATAATCCTGAAGAAGGATATTCGTGGGGCGAAGCCAGTTTTGAACTCGCCTGCTGTCTGCAAATTTAAGCACTGAATTAACTACTTCGACCTCGTGTAATCCTAAGACCAGCCGCGACGATGCTGTCAGCAAAGTCAGACTGTTGTGGGACATCAATTCAGGCTTCACTTTGTTTTGGGCTTTCAAGTACTGACACTCATCGTCAGCAAGGTGGGGCGCTCTCCAGACCCGCTTCGCCGCAGATACTTATGCAAGGTATCGTCTAGTCTTTTGAACTTTTTTGATACATCTCCGCTCACTAGTGTGTCTTGATAGCCCTCAAGGCTGTAAATAATCAGTATGATGGTCGTATAGCGCCATGCAAGTGTTTCCTGGGACAGAGCCAATGTTTACTATTACCTTTCGAGCCATAGCCACCCGAACTCCATTCTTGGACATCAGTGCAAGACCCGCGCTCTCGACCCAGTCGTTGGGGTCTTGTGAAACTATCGATCCAAACTCTTGCGCCAGGCGAATGAGTACATAGGTAGCTTCATTTATGGCCAGATCCACTGCAAAGTTGGTTGTGGCGTCAATACGGACGCCGCCATGGGCATGGATTGGATGGAATACTTACTGCCAATGCAATTCCTCGGTCCACCCAGGAAGGGGATGAACTTCTGCATTAAGTTAGAACCGAGTTTCTGATGTCATACAAGAATAAGTACATCTTACCCAATTCTGCTTTTGGTGTATCCAGCGGTCGGGATCAAACTCTTCTGCCTCGTCGCCCCAGAGATCTCGACGGCGGTGCAGTGCATACGTTGCGACGTGCACCATTGTACCTTTCGATACGAAGATTGGCGACTTGCCGTCGGGTCCTCCGCCGGTGGGAAGGATCGTATCCTTGTTGGCAATCCGAGAGTTAGAAGCTTGAGGTGGATGGATACGGAGGCCTTGATCATAAGCATCTCGTTAGCACTTCCTTGCTAGTTAGTATTTCAGACCCCTTACTCTCCAGTATGCAACCATTCACATATCGTAAGCTCTTCAACTGCTGCAAAGTGGGTTTTTGGCCTCGTAAGTGCTGTATGTCTATGCGGACGCGCTTCCATGCATCAGGTCGCTTTGAAAGGACGAAGAAAAGATTAATCAAGAGGGCCGCGACGGTGTCCGCTCCGGCAAAATACAGAGTTGTTATCTCATCCTGAAGCGATCTTCTATCATGCGGTCGTTGGCAAAGCTGACTCAGAAAGTCCGGCCGGCCCTTTTCATTTTTACCTTGTCCACAGCCTTGATGATCTATCTGGAGCGCTTTATCGACATATGGCTGGATGAACGAGTGCACGGTGCGGACATGCGCCAGAAACGCTCGGTTCGGCCAGAGAAAGGCTAACTTTCCAAGCAGCCATCGAAACTCACATCCTGCCGCCGCCTCGTAGAACGCTTCTTGTAAGCCTGACTCAAGTCTGTCAGGATGGCTGAGTGAGCCCAGCGATTCCCCAAACAAGAAGTCTGTGGCAACGTCGGCCGCGAAACGATGGAACAGCGGAGCTAGATCCAATATCTTTTGGTTATCAGGAATGGCCGCGAGAAGGCTCTGGATATGAGGTTCGAGAAGGTCCAGGTCATCAATGCGAGCTTGGGCGAAGCATTTTTGCAAGAGGGAACGCGCTGAGCGCCACTGCAAACCATCACTCTGGAAGATGCTATTCCCCAGCAAAGGTTTGAAAGCCCTTCGACGCCGTGCTCCGGCATCGTAGTCTGCGAAGCTCGTGGACAAGATAGCTCGCAGATTGTCTGGCTCGATTGTGTTCAACACCCACTGACCAAGAAAGAGGGAGCGATAGGTGTTTCCGTTCTGTTGGTGTAACTGCTGTTCGCGTTGAAGATAGCATTGATTATCCCTTGCCGTGATTGAATCACGAAGGTAATCCAATCCCAGCAATTTCTCTCGATGAGGGTAGCTCTTGGGCAGCTGGCAGCCATTGCGTTGACCTAGCTTAGAGTACGAAGTGGTAGTGGTAATGAGATACCATCCACAGAGGACGAAGAGACCGCCAATGAGAGTCAATGGGTAATCTTGTATCATCATGAGTCGTCCAGGCACTTCAAGGTTGCTGTGTAAGCTGGAGAATAGAGATGGTAGGAGACTAAGGAAGGAAAATGTGTTGAAGCAAATGAAGTCGGTGGCAGCAGCAGTACGCCTGACCATCAAACCCAGTGCATAAGATGCGAGTGCTACGGGTCAACTCCTTCACCCTCTTTCTTACTTGAAAATTCTACGCTTTCGCTCTCACGCTGTGCAAGCCTCAACCAGAGACACCTTTCTCTCTTCTAGCATCATACGCTCAAGCCAACTTTCTTGCATCAAGATTAAGAATGTTTGTTACTCCGAGAGGAGTTATATGCATTCTGAGCCATGGTCCGTTACGAAGCCTCCGGAGCCGACACCAGATCCGCAGCGCCTCACCTGTGAGTGATCAAAATAAACAACCCATTTCCCTTCTCCCCAGTTGGCTATTCCATTATACAACTCAATGAATTCTCTCCAAGGATCTTGTTGACAACCTATAATCCCAGGAAAGGGCCCCGATTATTCTTACACGCTCAGTAATGTCGCTGTCCTCATCGGCGTCCATGGCCACATCGCAGTGTAGCCCAGCCGACTCCGAAGCAATCGATACTGTTTTCTGGAGAGAGACCGTTGGTAAAGATCTGCGGACTCTTCTGAGAGGGGCTGAGTATGATTACGCCTCGCAGCAGGCGGCTCTGGAGTCAATGAGCCGCTATGTGGCCCCTTACCTGGGGCCACGTCCTCCGGTGGGGGAGGCTGGCAGGGACCAGCCTTGTCCAACGCGATGGAGAAGTTTCATGACGGATGACTTCTCTCCATTGGAGTATAGCTGGAGCTGGGAGAACGTCGCTCCCTCCGTCCGCTATAGCTTTGAACCAATTGGACGGCATGCGGGCACTGCGCGGGATCCTTACAATTGGACGGGTCCGATAGGATGCGTGCAACAGATACGGGGATCACTTTCCGGTGCAGATTGGCGTTGGTTCGACCACTTCGCTCAAGCCTTTCGGCGACCGACGCCTCTGCCGCGCAAGGAGTCACACTTCCACTCCAGCCCCTCGTCCATCTTCCTGGCTTTTAATCTAGAGAAGCACGGGCTCAAATGTAAATCCTATCACGTTCCACATTCCTCAGCAGATCAGCAGGGCGGCTCGCGGCTTGACGTCCTGCATCAGGCTTTTGGGACCCTGCAGCAGCATCACGAATTGCCCGCCTATGACTGTGTTGAAAAGTATCTGCGACAACAGGAGCCATTGCCCATCCCGCCATTTATAATTGGAGTGGCGGTTGATTGTGTGCATCCATCTCTTGCCAACCTCAAAATCTACTTCCGATCTAGTGCCACGAGTTTTGACAGTGTCCGGGAGACTCTCACTATGGCAGGCGCCTTGTCAAGCTGGGATGATGATGCCTTCCAGGAGCTTCAGCAATTATGGCATCTCACATTGGGCCTGCCCTTGGCTTATCCCAGTTCTCAGCCTCTTCCAACCCTCAACCATGAGACATCAGGTGTACTGTACAATTTCGGTTTCAAGCTAGGCCAACGGTATCCTGACACCAAGGTGTACATTCCCGTGCGGCACTACGCGTGCAATGACCGGGCAATTGTTGAGGGCTTAGCCGAGTTTCTGGCACGTCAAGGACGAGCCCAACAGGCTAAGCGCTACGTGCAAACCCTCGAACAACTGATTAACTCTTTCCGTTCTCTTGACGAGACGTGTGGCCTGCAGACATACATTGCTTGCGGGAATAAAGGAGGTCGACTTAGTCTGACCTCCTATCTGTCATCTGAGATATACTACCCTGGACGATGGTCGTCATCAAGACAGCCATGAGCTTAAGATTCGTGGAATTGCCATATACTGATATACTCTTCTCACATCACAAATCAGGCTCATGTCGGGTGCACAGTGGCTTGAGTAGATGATGATTTGCCTGTCTTTACTGCGCTAATTAGGGAGATGCAGCTTGAAGCTGAGGTTGCTAAAGCTTCTGACAAATTATGACAATCGTTCCGTAATGCAGTATACAGTGAGTGAGCAGCTGGCCTACCACTCAATCGGCGATGGGCAGTCAGGCTGTGAGTCTGTACTACTGCTGTGGTACTTGTGCTTACCGATAGTACTTTTTATTGAGGTGTCAACACAGCCTAGTTGTACTGTGGTCTAGGGCTCGGTTGCCTAACATACCATAGCGTGGAAATGACCGGGCTGGCCGAGAGTTATTTGGGGGCATTAAACAGAGACCTTGGATTTGACCATCAGATCTTCCCGTTACGGCAATGTTGAATGTCGGTCGGGAGGGGGTTGCAGCGAGGGGGTGCAGCGGCGGAGTCAATTAGGTAGGTGGTTGGTGTGACAGTAGCAGTAAGTGGTAATCACCGATTTTCTCCCCCTTCCTCCATCCTTCCCCACTCCAACTCTCGGAGCTGACCACCGTGTCACTAAATGACGGCAGGTGGTACAAAACCTCGATCTGTCTAAGATGGCCGCTCACTATCCAGCATATGGCAGCATTTCAAGCCCCTCCGGCCGCGGCAACTTACAGGGCAATGATGATTTGCCCTTCTTCATTGTGGGTGTAACACCTCTTATTAGCAAGGCTTCTTTAAACTCGCTCCGATCGGCCGATTTGGCTGAATGACGATCTCGACGGGATTCCTTCGGTTATAGAAAGCTGTCGGTATCAATTATGGCATCTGCTGTCACCGAGAGCTATCTGAACGAAAACATCTCCGGTCGACTCACGGCCGCGACGACGGTCATTGTTGTACTCACCACAATTCTTCTAGCTCTACGCCTATATGCGCGTAGCCTTGCTCATGTCGCTAGCGGTTGGGACGACATCCTTCTGGCGCCTGCTTGGCTTCTTTGCCTGGGAACATGTATAACCGGCTATCGTGAGTCGAGTTGTCTTAGCTACTAGCCTTGATTATCTTCACTAACTCCAATTTCACTAGTGGCTATCGCGCATGGAGGTTCCGGTCGTCACGTAGAAGCCGTGGTGATGGAAGACCCCGATAAAATCGTCGTCCGTGGAAAGTTGCTGTATGCTCTCAGCTGGCTGTCCGCTTTCTCCAATACCTTCTCGCGAACATCGATCCTGGTCTTGTTTCGACGCATATTCCCACCCGGTATAACTCGTACCGTGACGGATCTTACCATTGTTTACTTGGTCCTCTTTACTCTCGCCCAGGCGATTGTTGGGCTCACGGAATGCCGTCCGTTAGCATACTTTTGGGACCGTAGCATTGCTGGGGGATGGTGTCTCGATCAATTTCTCTTCTACAGGATGTCAGGCATCTTGAATATCTTAGGTGACGTGGTCATCTTGATTTTGCCTATTCCCACTGTATGGACTCTTCATGCATCCCTGGCTCGAAGAGCTGGTATTGCCATGGTGTTTCTATCAGGCAGCTGGTATGTACCACTATCAACTGTCTTGTTCTGAAGTCTAACTCTCTTTAGCGGCCTAATCGCCTCGTGTGTCCGAACCTCTTACTTTTTCACAGCAGCCAAAACCTCTATGACGGATCCGACCTGTAAGTGATTTTTCTCCTATCATGCATGCAGCCGTTTCTAACTGGCTACAGGGGCGGACATCAACTTGATGGCCTGGACCACCGTTGAAAGTGGTCTTTATCTCTCAGCTGCGTGTATGATTGGGCTACGACCCCTTCTCAACCAGATGGCTGGCTGGGTGATGAAATCTCGTCTGGGGGTGTTCACCACAAGAGGCACGAATACTCGCTCTCGGAGGAGCGATCGAGACGATGGATCCCAATTGATCTCAAATATGAAACAAGACCATATCCGCTTGGAGACATTCGATCGAGATCGAGACACGGACGAGAGGTCAGTCCAATGGGAAGGAAGAAAACAACCGGCCGATGTGTAGAAGGAGCTCTGGGTTATGAAGGACGTTGAGAACGAAAACCCGAGATTCTATTTGATAGTTCTAGATAATCTACTAGCATAACAACGAAACAAAACCGAAATGCTTCTTCCACGGGATAAGACTGTCTAAAGATATTCGGTCCTGAGACTAGCTGTCACCAGAGGGAGACAACATTCGTGGAATCCGCGACCTCTTCCGCCTTCCCACACTGCTCGTTGGCTCTGCTAGCATACTTTGACGCTCCGAGTGACGGTCAACTTCAGCTAATCCTGAGTTAAATCCCGTCTCGGGAGTTTCTTCAAAGGTCTTGTTTTCGGAGGGGCCTGCAGCGAGATATAAGTCTTCTTCGCGATCTTCTTCAGAGTGCTCCTCGAGGTGATCGGCATCTCCGCCTTCTTCACCTTCCTGATCAATAGGGTATACCTCGTAGTTGTCATCAGGATCCTCTTCCTGGGCAGCGATGTGCTCTGCCGGATCCGCTTCTTGATCTATCACAAAGCTTACTCTCTGACCCGCTTCGCTTCCACATTCCACAACCACGGTCTCTCTATCACCAACCCGGAGAAGGCTTTCAGACCTGCCCTTACTGATACTTAGTGAGCTGCGATTCTGACTCTGAATCTCGGGAGCCCGTGAATCGCGTTCCCGGGGCTGGACCTTGACGTCTCCATCGCGCGCACAAGGCTGTACAGGCCGCAGAGCAATTCTCCTTCCACGCAGATGGCGACGTAGGAGCTCATCCATGGGCCCGGGCAAAGCAAGCATAGCAGCGTCCTCGAGATGGAGCGCTATATGCTTTAGTAAGTCCGTATCTCGATTATCAAAGGGACCCAGCTCATCCTCATGGGCATCACAGAGAGGGCAGGCATCGAATGGAATAGACCGCTTGCCCGCGCTTGCAGCCCGGTGGGAGCGCATGTGTCTGATCCACGAATACACATCCCCACAGGCCTTGGAGCAAGACTCCCACAGGCAAAAGTAGGGCCGGAGATCATGGAGCACATGGCTGATCCATTCGACCTCATCGAAGTCCTCGGCTGGCAAGTATACCATGCAATACCGGCATTGGAAGTTGGGCTCACCCCGACGGCGTCTCGGGATGTGCGGCCACGCGAACACATCCGGCAGCGCGCGCGATTTACTATGCACCGCATCGCGCGACTTCCGGTGTCCGGAATGCCGGCTGTCGTGCCGAGAGCGTCTGCTGCGGTAGTGACGTTGCTGGTAGTTGATGGCGATGCGGCGGTCGACGACCATCGTTTGGATCCGAGTGCAGAGGTTGGGGTCGGCGCCCGGGAACATCTGCTTGATGAGCTTTAACACGAACTCCTCGAATTGGGAGGTTACATCCTTTCTACCTGCGTCGAGAACCGCGTACACCGCCCCGGATGAAGGCACCTGCTTCTTGGGATGGTGGTAGTCGTACCTATGTCTCCACACATCGGAATCGAGCAGGTACTCCTGCATGTCGCTGATGATTCGGCGGACGTTATCCATGTAGGTGAGCCGGGGCTCGGGTAGGAAGGACAGCTTGAGGAGATTCCATCGAATGGACCAGAACTGGTTCGTAAAGTATCGCATGGTCTCGGGGTCCCTGGCCTGGTATCTGACAGACGCTTCCTTGTCTCTCAGGAAGCGAGACTCATTGACGAATCGCTTGAACTCGACATACAAAGCATCGAACGAAAGGCTTTTCTCCATTTCTATCCCGGCGTGGATACTGACTAACTCCTTTAGCTGCACCTTGCAGCTTCGCGCCTGGCCGTACAGAGACCCGGAAATTAGGCTCAGAACCATCTTGGCTGTCTGTGTCGAAAGGCGTGAAGTATAATCAGTACCCTTGGGTAGTGATTTCCATTCGATTACATTCGACTGGGTGCTTGTCCGAAGCTTTATATGGTAGATCTACGGCAAGTGGTGGGCTTTGTTCACGTTTTGGGAACAATGCCATTGTTCTCAGATCGATTCACTTGTTGAATATCGATTGTGTGGGATTCATATGTTCGGAATTCACCAGTACTGCTCACAAGATCTTCACATTTGAGTAAAATCAGAGACGAAAGAGAATAGAATCCGAAAGGGAATATGACCTCTTTATGTCTTTGACTCGCGATACGGTAATTATGACCAGCTTGAAATCGACTGTGCCTACTATAAAAAGATGAACGTCCTTTTCAAGGATTACATTCAGTCTACTATGCGAATAAGGTGCCTCTTTATAGTTCGATGTTCGCACATGCCTGGCGCATGGTGTTTGTGAGCATAATCCATGCATCTCCTACCTTATGATTCCTCCTTATAGAAAGCTTTAGCAAAACAGACTCTTGAGATCGCGACCATGATGCCTGGGGCTGTAGTTATACCTGATAACATATTCTTACTCACTCGCTTATTCTAATATGCACTCTCAGAGGCATATTTAGTGTATCGCCTGGTCTCTTAATCACTGGCGGCTACGGTCAGGACTTTTACTTGTGAACAAGGTAGCCGCTGGATCATGAATACTCTTGAGCTAGGTTCAATTATCAGCACTAGCTCTGCAAGCTAAGCCGTTATTTAGATTATCAGTTGTTTCTCTTGATGGAGGCAGATCACTATATGACTTGTTCGAGGACTTCTCGCGCTTAGAGGGATATGTTTGGATCTCGCTTAGCCGACCACAGCACTGAATCACTGCCGCGTTACTCATAATGATAGTGAAGCCTTGCAAATAGATAGTTGGTTAATTAGAGAAAGAAGCCGTCGAGCGGAGCAAGTAGGCTGTTTAGCTACATACTGCAGAGAGGTTGTGCCCTTCATTATGACGGTATAAGTCCGTTATAGATCTAATCGAAACCCAAAGCTTCTTACCGAAACTTGAGCCACTTGGTCTAGGGAGATCCAATGATATGGGAGAAAGGATACATCTACAATGTTCCAGACTCAGCTTATCCTTGAGAAGCCAATGGCCCATTTGCAATTGTCTTGGGTCCCCGGCTCAATGGTTGGCGCCTCGAGAAACATAGCCTCTCTATCAACGCTCTTGTTTGGAGTCGTTCTATCCCGCTCCTTGCTAGGCAAAAGTACCGGTAATAGTCGGATTCGCCTGATTGAAGTCTGAAATGCTATGATCAGCTATAAGTACCATCCATGCTCCTGAGTATCCATCGCTGTCCTTCAAGTTACTACCTATTATCACCACATACTGATTAGTTCCATATACTTCAGTGTTGAACTAGCACATTTTCTATACGCCCGCCGTCAGATCTGCAGTATGTAGCTCTTCGAAGTTCAATGGGTCATACGCTGACATCCTAGGTTATCCCACGATGTCGAAGCAGGTCAAGGAGTTCTTCACGAATCAGGAAGAATTACGATGTTGCGAAGAAGTTCAGCGCAGCCTTCATTGCCGGCAGTCGCATCCTTCCATCCAAGACGCGGTCAGGGTGGTTGGCGCCCGGGCGACTCATTGGTTGCACGGTAACCCAGCAGCCGACAACCCGAGCCCTTAGGGAGGAGCGGTTGAAAGACACATTGGTTCACAAGAGCTGAGCTCCTGGGTTGACAACGTTGGAAATCAGGATATGAACCCGATTATGCTTGGGGGGGGGGGCGCGGGAGCACGCATGGCGGATACGAGGGGCAGCGGGCCCAGGCAACCAATCAGGGGTCGAGAAAAATCCATCGACGGCGCGGTTCATCCCCTGGGGAGCAGAATTCCGCTCCCTTCGTTTCTCGCGGCTTAGTTACACTATTGTATAAACTTACGGCTTTGCCCGACTATTGGTATATAAGAATTAAAATGCTATACATTGAATGATTATACTGAGCAATCTACCGCCGCATAAGCAGCTTTTTCCTCTGCCTTTCGTTAGGAACATAATAACGGTTGCCAGTAAACAGTTACGTTGTCTGGCGGCGGCGGGTGATAGTTCTCATCCATGGTGGTATGTCAAGACGTAATAGGAGAGAGAGTAAATGAGAAGGAAGTCGACGGAGCTGAGGAGCGAGATCTTCAACTGTCTGGTCGTGCATATAAGGGCCCATCCCGCCTTTTCAATCCTCGCTGATGGTTTTAAACATCTGTTTCTCAATCCGCTGGACTAATAGCCCCGACACCATTTATACATCTCTCTCGCACATCACGATGTAGTGTGCTCGAAGACTTATAAGAGCCATTACAGTCAGGTATCAGAATATGGAGGTTGAAATGGCGGCAGAAAATATTAAGGACCGCATCCGGTTCTTGCTTGGTCGTTGATTCCAGTCTAAGTCAATATCAAAGACAATATCAAAGACAACATCAAAGACAACATCAAAGACAACATCAAAGACAACATCAAAGACAACATCAAAGACAACATCAAAGACAACATCATAACCTCAAAATCCTTATCACTTGTGTCACAAGCGCTATCCTCACAGCATCTCTCTCCGCCATTCATCTGTAATGTCTTTGATCAAGTCACTTGGGATATCATGAAGAAAAAGATATTCATTCCAAGAGCAATTGTCTGGAGCATAGCATGGGAGCGTCGAATGAGCCCGGCCAAGCCATTTCGTCAATTTCTTGAAAACAACTCTGCAGTTCCTGCTCCTGCTATACCTCTCCAGATCATCTGGAACTTTAATTTTATACACCCTAACATTAGTCTTTCCCTCTTGCTTGCGGCGACTTGCTTCATCAAACACCCAGTCTCTATCTCTTGAAGTCGAAATAAATGGAGTCGGAGAACGATTACGCCAATCGAGATGAGCCCAAAGCTCTCCTTTCAAACTTTCCCGTTGCCGCCTGGTCAGGGGGTTATAATGGACCCATTTTTTATATCCCTCTGCCCGTATACCTCGACCCTGACGGAAACGAGCCCTTGATTCGTTATCTTCGACACGGTAGAGAGGAACACGCATTTTGAAGGACAAAAACAGCACCAAAGTGACAAGAATTCGAAAGGAAGTAGCCAAGTAAAGCCAGAGATGCACGGTGAAGGTACTTCAGAACTTCTACAGAAGATGGGAGAGAAAAAAGAAAGGAGAGAATATGAGCGAAGAAGGCGTATATATGTGTTTTTCATTTCAGCCTTGTCAGCATTCGCCCGCTACGAGTTGGGATATCAGGCAGATATACTGATACCACAACGAGGCTTCCACAAATCAAGCGGCGACACATCAGATACCCTGGTCTCGACGAGCTAATAGCAATCAGACATGTTGTACGTACAGTTGGCATGGTCAGCAGGTCATACCACAGACAGGTGGAAGTCAGAGGACCACGTGTCGATGTCGAGACCTCGGCGCGGGAAACGTGTACGCTGCTATAACATATAATTGGCTGGTCTTTGAGAACGGACTTCACCTTTCTCTTGGCCGAAGTGAATGATATCGGTGGTATGTACGCATTTTCAAGTTAGACTCTATGAATTCTTTAGTCTTGGAGCCTTTCCACAGCCCAGAAAATATTGCCATGGGCAAAAACAATACCAAAAGAAATGCCCCGAGCTCGAAACCGATGAGGAACGAGTTCTCATAGGGAAGAGTCAAAAAGAAAATGCTCACAAGCGGATTAGAGCGCTGACCTCATGATTATTAGTTTTGCTGACCAACTTAAATAATCCTAACATAATCTGTAAGCGAGCAGGCCATGTATTGATAAACAGATCAATGATACCATACATTGTAATTTATCCTCTATCATCACAGTATCTGTTTTATGTTCTTGTGGCTGTGCACAAATCAGTATTTAACTGGACCAACTGTGATCAACTTTTCGGCTTACTTATCTTAAGGCACTAACTAAGTCTGTCTCCTCTATTCTTTTCCGGTGCAGCTACGAAGTAGCTAACTGAGAATAGAACTAGTGTGAACTATGGTCGAGTAGTGATCGACTACAATCAACTCTAGGACCCACTCAGGCCAGAGCTGTCCACTGTGATCAACTACAATCAACTGTTTGCCCCCCTTAGGATCAGGCGCTATGCAAGCAGCCCAAATTGCTTCTTGCCTTTCTGGGCTAGCGGTGCTTAGCTAGTTGTAATGACAGGTTGTGGCTGTAAACTTGAGGCTCTAGTAGTGGCTTACTCATACCGACGAAATTCTTACTTAGGTCTTGGCAATTCTAGTAGGTCTGTGCTTGTGCGAAAATGATAGTATTACGGTTGGACCCTGAACATCTCTGTGCAGGTGATGAATATTAATTTGTTACAGGAACTTGAGATTAATAACATGAATGAGTATTGATGATAGGTGAGAATGTTGAAGCTCCCGCTACTGGAGATAATAAAGCTATTAAGCCTGTCTCTGAAAGAGTAGAGGTTGCCCTTGAAACACCTGCTATTCTCCATGAAAATGTTCTTGTTGAATATACTCAGCCCAATTGAGGTGGTTAGATGATGATAATATTATACATAAAAGAGTGGGCACTAATCTAAGGAAGGCTAAGTTATTATGAAGGTAAAGTTGTAATGGCCTTTATTGGCCATAGCAGAAAATGTGACACCTTTGTAATAAACATGTACTGTGTCGAGGAAGGACTAGGCAATGGAAAGCACATTTCCCATTGGTTCAACCTTACTCTAACGCATCTGGATTCCGTCCGGTATTCTTTAAACGAATCCTTTTCGCGAGATACCGCTTAATCAATGTGATGGATTGTCTGATCTACACTTCAATATCACCTCCCAAGAAAGGAAGAAAAGGCGAGCCATGCTAAGATGGAAGTGGGTTTCAACTACATGTTCGCGATCAATCGACTTCAACATTGAATATGTGATTATTAACCCTGCGGCAGCAAATAATATGCCATCCCTTTGACCAATTCCCCTAGAGTATCAGAAACTTCCGACATGATGTTGATGCCCCTCTAGGCCAGAACCTTGCCCTCAGCTATCTGAGATTTTGTTAGAGCTCTTCTAAATAACCATCCCCTTGCGTCTTACACGTATGATGCTGCTATACCTTCCTTCAGAGTTGCTAAGAGCAGCTCTTGAATATGTACATATGTAATTCTTCAAACCTTCCAAATTCCGCTGTGTTAGAACTGAAGAATATAGCTTCCATCTGAGGATCTGTGGACACTCTACGCCACATCAATGACACTTCGAGCTCATGTGCTGGGACTACTCTTCAAGCACACAGAGATATGGTTCCATCCCATTCTACCCACAGTCCTGAATCGTAAACAACTGCCGGCGGTACGAATATCTGAAGTCCTGGGGCTATCGATAATGCACATTAGAAGCGTACATATCCTTCGCTGTTCGCAACATGGGCTACAAGAGGTATTCGGTCAACTGGGTAGAATACCTAAATTGAAACGGTGTGTGTATGTAAGATTGCCTCCCGCTCCCCTATCACCACCGCGTTACCGCCTACTGTTGCATTCGTTCAACTTTCCTCAGAATCGAGTGCGAGCAAAACTCGACCTATAATGGCGATAGGAAATTGAAACCGGATGGACACCGTGATCCTAGTGGCATGCTTCCCAAGAGCCTGAGCTTCTTCCCTGATGTGGGCTCGTTTTACCCGTTTCAGTTTCTGGAAGCTCTTAAGGTTCACCAAGCCTCTACGAACCCAGTAGTTATCCCAGAGTTCCCAGCACTTCCAAAGCTGACAATCAGTTACGAGGATTCTCACTGCGATTTAGGCTGTGTTGAAGTGGACTCTTGTCAACACTCCCTCGGCTATCAACATTCGGGTTTGAGAACATGGAATCACACTCACAGAGCCTGCGCATCTCAGGAGAGACACTGGCCCTAAGACGTGCCACCATAGGCTGCTCAGAGTTTGATCTTCTGGATCTTCAAAGCTGGGCCAAAATATTGAGGAGATCGAGGCAAATTTTTCAAATCTATCGTGCCCCAGCCCCCAGTGCAGGATCGAACTCCCGAAGCTCCGGAGCCTGGTATTGCAGCATTGGGTAGGTTTCTTTCGCCATCTGTTAACAATCGATCTGCCGTCTTTGGAAGACCTCCTGATTGAGGACATAGATAATGATCCAGACACGTGTGAATTCTTGCCGGAACTCTCTAACCGCCACGACCGAGACTCCATTCGGCTGAAATTTAATGATGGCTTACTGCCCCAATCTCTGCGTCAAGCAAGGAGTTGGGTGGAGCCTATTGTATGATGTAAGTGTTTCTAGAAATGCAAGTTTCGTCCATATTTGATACTTACAGTAAAGCTACAGGGGATAAGGACTAGTCTCTAACAAGAAGGTATGAAACATCGAAAGCCTATCTTATTGTCGCCGAAATACTCGGTACTTTAGAGGAGTGAGAGTCTTTATTACCGCTGCGAATTCTTTGCAGGCTGACAGCTTGAAGTGAACCTTAAGGGTTACGACAATATACTGTGGATTTCATGTCATATTATGGTGTTGATGTTTGATCTGAGGAGCACTTTATTTACGAGAGCAGAGTTGGTCGCGCCAATTATCTTTGTCATATGCCAATATACATCGTGAAACCTTGTTCCATGGAGGCTTCTGCAGGTTAGCGGCTTGGGTCAGCCGATCACGGTTTTGCTGCCAGGCTTAACTAGATTTGTATTAAGAGATCAACACCATGCTAGAAGAGGGCGGAATAAGTGCATCGGCCGAGGTTCAGATCAGTGTAGGACTAGCAATTCAGAAGTCGCAACAATGACATACCGTAAGACTGATGATCGACTTCAGAAATGTACCGATCTTGGGGCTCATTAATAATTGTTACTCATATAGTTCAGTCCAAACTCCCGCTTCTTATACCCAGAATACTAGACTGGAGCGATGATCCGTCAATCGCAATCGGTACTGAGTATATTATACAGGAGCATGTTGCCGGGGTCCAGTTGCACCAAATACGGCCTGGAATGGATTCGGAACAACATATGCTCTATGTACCAAGATGCTTTTGATGGTAGTGTAAAATTTAGCATCCTTGAACTTTCCGGCCTATGGCAGTCTATATTTCTCAGATGGGCCGCTAAGGTCACATAAGAGGATCCTCTTCGAACAAGGCTTCTGTATCGGTCCATACTGCAGTCCGGTTTTCTGGAGCCAAAGTCCTGATGAACTTGACCTATATGGCGGTCCGAGCCCGAATTGCGGTTCTTATCAGTCTCGCACTCCGTCATCTCTTGTATAAGAACGATTCCAATGTCACTGGCGTGGAATTAGGGGAGGACCTCACGAGCTATTGCCGTGGCCTGATTGAGACTGGATTCTCTCGTCTACCGAAAGACGAGTCTGTCGCTCGCAAGTATCCCGCTCACCAAGGTTCCATTCAAGAGCACATCCGTCTTTTGCAAATAAGCCAGAAGATGATTATGGAGCTGGCGAAAGATAAGCGCATTCAATCTGCCGCTGTTCCTGCCATGCTTCACCCTGATCTCCACAAACGAAACATCTACGTCTCAGCCGAGGATCCAACCCTGATAACCGGCCTCCTCGATTGGCAGTAAACGAGCATTGAGCCAGCGTTCGTTTATGCCAACGAGACCCCTGATTTTGCAGCATCCCCAGAGCCAGAGGAAAACACATTCGAAAGCCAAAAGAACGACCACAAGAATCCCGACCGCAAGGAACAAGCATGGAAGGATGCGTCGATATGCTACCAAACTTAAGATGTTTGCATGAAAGGGCTTGTCCCGAAATTGCACCCCGCAAGGTTATTGGGCCCGACACTGTTTCGACTCTTTCATTGCTGCTACACGACTTGGAGAGATAGCGCCCCAGCTGTTCACCAAGAGTTGGTCGAACTTTCAGCTCGAGGGACGGAATTGGGTCTGCAGGGCTTGTGCCCGTACTCTCCCACTGAAGAGGAATTGAAAGAGCACGCTCGCGATTATGAAGACGTTTCGGCCGTGCAGAATCTCAAGCTATGGTTGAGGAAGTCTCTCAATACGAGCTCAGATGGCTGGGTTCCGAGCGATGTATGGGACGCGGCGAGAGACGCCCATCGCGCGGTGTATGATGAATGGATACAGACAGCCAGAGAATCTGAGGTTCGGGGCGAGTCTTTGACAGTAGACAAAGCGGAGAGGCTGTGGCCGTTTGATGCTACTAGTAGATGATGGGTGTGAGCTGACAGTTGGTAGAGGGTGTATTTTCCTATCCAAATGACTAGTTACTCTCAGGCGGATATTTTATTCCGGTTGGTTCACGAAAGTCAAGGTCGTCGCCTCAGCCAGCTAAGAGAGCGCTTACAGGGGCTTGTGTGATAAAAGAACACAAAGCCCGCTCTGGTCAGGCTGCCTTAGTATGCCTTGCGTATAGTAAACTTGACTAGCTTGTTGATGGGTAAGGTCGGAGCACGTTCCGGTCGGAAGCGCGATGCCCTACGACTGTCAGACTATACTTCACCAGAGAGATTAACCCAAAACAAATGCCTCAACACAGTGCATTTCAAACCACTTCATCTCTAGGAACATACCACCATACATGCTTGGCATAGTTGATGACGGTTAGACTCACTGCCTGGTAATTTTGGTATCACCGCCCAGGCTTACCTCACAGTCTCCCTTGCAGCTGACTGCCTTTTCTCCCCGCTTCTTCCCTCCCACCTCTTCCATCTTCTTTCTACTTCACCTTTCCTCCCCAAGATTCTTCGCCATGGAACAAACACCGTTCCCTCTCCCAGGTATTCAGCATGGTCGCCGGATCCTCGCCACCGTCGTGGAAACGCGTGCGAAGAATGAGCCTAACAGTCCCTGGATTTCGGTACCCATCGACGATGCCGATTTATCGCGGGGCTATCGAGACATCAGCTTCCAACAATTGAACAATGCAGCCAACCATGCCGCGCGATGGCTACACGAGAACTTGCTTGCTTCGACAGAGCCGTTTCAATGCTTTGCCTATGCAGGTCCCAAGGATTTTCGCTATCCCATTCTTGCTGTGGCCGCTGCCAAACTACAAAAAGTGGTCCGTTCTCGCGTATCTCTCTATCTGGCACCGGCGTAATACCAATGACATTCTATAGATCGTGCTTCCGTCTCCGCTTATAACACCCGAGGCTCAACTACGCATCTTTCGACAGAAGAGCTGCACCCTGTATCTGCGCCCTGCAACAATGGCAGAGCATGTGGCCACTATTCTTCGCGAGGCGCCTGAAATCCAGACTCTTACTGTTCCGGAGCTCGGTGAATTTTTGCGGGAGGCCGAGGCTGCGCCGTATACGTACTCAAAGACCTGGGAGGAGGGGAAGGACGAGCCCTGGATCGTCTTTCATACGTCTGGCACAACAGGTGAAACACCTGTCCTTATCTGGCCTCCGTGTTGAGCCGCTAGCTGACAATCTTGAGTAGGCTTTCCTAAGCCTATTACATACACCCAAAGTATGATGACGAGTCCAGACATTGCTGCATCTTTGCCTGATATTGAGTATACTCATGTGCATCAGTATGCGCTTCGTCGGTGGTATACGCCACTACCCTCGCTTCACGTACGTCTGTGGATACCGGAGTGTTTCTCGTTCATCTTGATGCTAACGATTCCAGTTTGTGGGTACGGTGATGACTCTATCAATGACTTCCTTCCTTCACATGGTCGCTGTCGTAGGCCCTGCAGCACCCCCTTCACCACCGGTTGTTGCAGACATCCTGCGATATGGCCGGGTAGATGGTGCCTTGCTCACACCCGCCATCATCGATGAGCTATGCCTCATACCGTCTGGACTGGATGCTCTACGGCAAATGAAGTATGTGCATTTTGCCGGAGCGCCTCTTTCCGCCAAAGCTGGTGCACAACTGTCAACACACGTTCATCTAGTACCCTGTATAGGCAGCACCGAAGCAGGGGGGTATTTCACCACAGTACAAGGCAAAGACCGTCCGTGGGATTATATTACCTTCCAGAAACACGCAGGAGCCGAGTTTGAGCACCGCTTTAACGAATTGCACGAGTTGGTCTTCGTGCGGCGACCCGAATGTACCATGCAGCAGATCTTCTCGGTATATCCGGACCGAGATCGGTTTGAAACCAACGATCTCTGGGTCGAACATCCTGAATACAGAGGCTCGTGGAAGATAATCGGACGTACCGATGACTATGTGGCTCTCGCACATGCGGACGGGTTGCATGCTTCGCTGTTAGAGCCTGAGATTGAAGCCCATCCAGGCGTGAAGTCCGCTCTAATCGGGGGCCACGGTCGTCCAGCCCCTGTTCTCATCGTCGAGTTCTTCCCGGAGGCGGAGATGGGCCAAGACCAACAGGCAGTGATTGAAAGTCTACGTCCGTATCTCGAGAAGGTCAACGCGCATGTGCATGAATGCGTCAGCCTCTCGGCGGACCGAACCATAATTGCGGGGAAGCACAAGCCTTTTGTGCGTACAATCAAGGGGAGCGTAGCCCGGTTGCAGACCCTCAGTCTATATGAGGATGAAATAGCTGCCTTGTTTGCTAAGAAATAGGTTCACAATCAAGTTGACTGTAATCGGGGAATCCATTGTAGCAATTCTTTTCGAAATTGTCACCTGTCACATGTCAATCTGTAACTACGCGGATTTCTGCGCATTGAGGGATCAGATGAGATCAGCACTAAATCATTGAGTAACCGCGAACACTTGGGTGCCCTGGGGTGTCTCTCCGCTCCCCGCACCCGGCGGCGGGCTGTCCCTTTGGTCTCTTCTCCACCTCTCCAAGCCCATCATCAACAACAGCGACATCTACAATACTTCTCCATACTAAGCACCATGAGTCCCAGTCCCTTCCACGTTATTGAGCACTCGATACTCGGTCAACACATTCGTGATCATCATCATGCGATCAAAGGTCGTCAAGAAACTGCTCTCCGACTCGCTATTAAGCAATACATCCCTGCAGACCAACCCCTCGACCCCGTACCCGAGAACGCTGTCACCATCATAGGAGCCCACGGCACAGGCTTTCCTAAGGTACATTCAGTGTACATATGGTTCCTCATAAGATAAACGCACACTAAAGTTCAATAGGAAGTCTACGAGCCCTTGTGGGAAGAGCTCTACGCTCAAATGAAGCTCGCTTCTATCCCGCTGCGCGCCATCTGGGTCGCCGACGTCTCAAACCAGGGAGCCAGCGGTGTGTTGAACGAGGATATCCAGGGTGATCACAGTATGTTGTTCGCTCCCTTGCTATTACACCCGATCGCAGGATTAATTCCCTCATGCAGCGCACTGGTTCGACCACTCCCGCGATTTGCTTCATATGGTCAACCACTTCCGCGATCAGATGTCGCGTCCGATTATTGGAGTCGCGCATAGTATGGGATGTGCTCAGCTGTATGATCTCTCATTTCCCCTTCATTATCCGTCGGGCCTGACCATACCCATCTTCAACCTTCAAAACGAAAACATCGGTTGAAATGCTAACCTCCTCAAACCAGCGTTCATCTTTCGATCATGCACCCTCGCCTCTTCTCCACGCTCATCCTCATCGAGCCTGTGATTCTCGACTTCGCCGGCCGCACCGCCGGCAGCCCCAACCCCTCCCGCTCTGCCGCCCTCCGCAAAGACCTGTGGCCCTCCCGCCCCGCCGCCGAGGCCGCCCTCCACAAAACCCTCCTCCGCAAATGGGACCCTCGCGCTGCCGCCCGATACATGCAATATGGGCTCCGCAACCTCCCGACCAGACTATACCCGGACGTCGACACCAACAATATCACCACATCTTCTTCGCCTCCTCACACAGCCCACGATGACACCATCGTCTCTGCAATAACCTCCAACCCGCCTGCTTCGGCCGTTACGCTAACAACGACCAAACACCATGAGGCATGGAGCTATTCGGTCCCGAACCTGGAGCCCGCCCGCGCGGGACTAGATTACTTGCTACTGCCAGACTGGGACGCGGAGTTCGAGCGCCCGTACATGGTGTCCCGCCCGGAGTGTCAGGTCAGCATGCACAATCTGCCGTTCGTGCGGCCCAGCGTGCTCTGGGTCTTTGGCGGGCGGAGCTATCTGTCGCCGCCGGAGGAGCAGGAGAAGAAGGTGAGCTTGACGGGGTCCGGGACGGGGGGCAGTGGCGGGGTGAAGGAGGGGATGGTGCAGAAAGCCGTTCTAGAGAAAGGGTCGCATATGCTAGTGGTGGAGAATGTGGAGTGGTGCGCGAAAACGGCGGGAGCGTGGTTGGCGAGTTGGTTTCGACGGTATGCGCTGGAGGAGCAGTTCTGGCGGGAGTACCGCAGTAAGAAGTCTGAGGGAGGGGAGATGCTGCGAGCGTCGAAGCAGGGCTTAGAGGCGTCGTTGGGGCCTTTGGGGGTGGAGAGGCCGAAGGGGAAGCTGTAGGTTGATGAGTGTCTTTGCTTACTGCCATACACAGCTAGTTTTTCAGATTGATAATTGAGGGCAAAAATCGATACCTAGCCAGTTATATCACCTCACAAGATTATCCAGCCGCCTTGTATACCTTGCATTAGTTCGTATTCTTGTAATCGACCGCTTTCGCGGTATCCTTAGCAAGCACCTCAAACACGTTACTGCTCCCTGTGCCTTCACCCACTTTGCATCCAATCTCACGGAGAACAAGGGAGAAAGAACGATAGAAACCTGCTGGGACGAACCATTACTTGACGCAAACGACAAACAGCACCCTTCTCCTGCCAGAACACCAGTACAATCTCCTTCTCTTCCTCTCAAAGTTCTAAGTGATCATCATATCCCTTCCCTTCTAATACTTACTTGAAACATATAGGAACCACAGCAGAACGACCTCTCCCCGCCGGCCCACATCTTTACCCATCTCATCTATGATCCTAGAGGTCTGGACTGGGAGGCTGTTCTGGGATATGTAAGCTCGTTTATCCAGGAAGTATACTTGCTTCGTCTGTCAGTCAAGATTGGCTCAGCTGTGTTGGCTTAACGTAACAATCAGGCCCTGTGGACGTGAGTACAAGAAATGGTAACTTTAGTCTTGGGGAGGAAATGAAATGGGTAACCAGAACGAGAAAGAACTGGGTATTGGGAGGAATGTATATGATGGGAAGTTTGCATGCGGGTCCGGCTATTCGAAGTGGCAAGGTTATGTGTGGCGAAGCAGTGGAAATTCTGAAGCGGGTGGCACGGGATCATGAGATGACATGGGGACATGAGATGGTGTGGGAGCATGAGATGGGGTCCCTTAGGTATATCCGTTGACTTGATTTGGTGAGTAGCTCACAGCACCTTAATCAGTCGAAGCCTCCGCTTACTAGCTAGGGAGAGTGGTGGCTTTCAAGTCCGCCGCTGAAATCGCTTTCAGGAAGTCAGTATACTGCTTTGGAAAAAAGTCGGCGAGGCCGATATGAAATTCAGGAATGGAAGAGTCAAATTGACCACTAATTAATCGTGGCGATTCTTCTGGTACTGGGTGAGGTGTCGGTTCGTTTGATCTAATGGACTGTTTCACGCTGCACTTGCTGCCCGTAGATCTGCTCTTGCTGCACCTCAATGGCAGTAAAATCCTCTCGGTTAATCACTCTCAGGTTCTTGGTACGGCCATAGCCTTCCAAACAATTCCTTCTCCTCATCATCCTTGGCCAGCCCGATGAAGATATCCTTCAACTTCCGACAATTCTCACGAGCCACATCGTAATCCTCGGGAGCAACCATTCCATCCACAGGCAACGTCGCCTGCTCCTGGAACAGCGACAGCATACTCCCAACACCCTGGATATTCTCCTCTTCCTTGGCTTGGAGCTCGATCTCCTCGCTACTAAACGATATCGGGCACGGTGCATCTTGGCCTGCAACAAGCCGATCCCAATGCGTTTGTACATCCATGAGCGCATCACGCAGGAAAAACAGATCACGATTTTCCCAGACTCCTGTCACAAGCCAGACAGGCTTGCGGACAATAGGGAAGATGGACTGCTGGAGCACGTCCCAATGGCGGGGTGCGCGCTTGAACAGCTGTGCCTCGTAGAACTTGTGAATCATTTCGCTCTCTCGATCATCATCGATTCGCTTCTGTTCATCTGGGCTCAGGTCCTCGTAATTATCGGGGCGTTCGGGGATGACCCACCCCTCCCTTACAGGTCGAGGGTGTCTACACAATCGGGGAACGGCGGATTGGTAGAATAGAGGAGCAACACACGCCGACTGCCAGTCTACAACACGGGTGATCTGACATGTTTCTGGGTCGATGATGATGTTGTCCAGGTGGAGGTCAGGATGCCAGGGGACGTTGAGAGAGCATGATTTGTCGTTTGGCGCGGGCACGAGGTAGGAGGAAACATCCATATATTTCTCCAAAAGCGCTATGCCATCTTGGGGGAGTTCCTTGTTCTGATTCGACCGATTGTAGTTCATTCGAGGAGTGGCATGTGACTTGATCCAGGATATTTCGTTGTTTCCCACTGCTCGGGTATATCCCCGTGGGTGCTTCCCTGTGCGCAGAGTAAGAAGATCAAGAGCAGTAGGTAAAATTGAATGGCTAGATCACTTACACGGCCCCCGATCCAGGTTCATGCTCCCTCTTTGCCCGTTCCACAATTCGTTCGTGGTCAGCGGTCCAATGGTGAACTTCTTGATAACATCGGAACCGAGAGCGTCGGCGTGGATATCTTCTGCTTTCCCAGTAAGTGAACGTAGAACTTCTTTGAAATGAATGCAACCGTGCGCATCAAAGCTGACAGAGGCCAGTCTATTTTCCAGCTCAACCACTTGAGTAATCAATTGCAGCTTCTGTTCCCACGCCCAGTGCTTCCATGCAGAACCAAGCCCGTACCCCGGGTGCCTTTTCCTCGAGAATATATTCGGCCTCCACTGGATTCGTTGCGCCGCCGCACGACCATGAAAGTACCCTAGGCACAGGGATATCAAGCACGCGACGGAGCTATAAGCATGAGCAAACCATAGGCGGTAGCTTGGCTTTATAAGAGCCGGACAAACAGATGGCTTACCAATTCCCGTGTAGCAACTTCAGAGGCAACTGTGACATGAGCTGGTCCAGCGTTAGGATTCGGAAGTTTTGCAAAGACCTCGGACCCGTTGTCCATTCTTAAGATGAAGGCTTTGTTGTACAGGCCCTCCGCACACTTGGTGACTCTGATACCTTTGAAACTTTAGCACGAATCATTTTACAAAATAACCGAGTCGAGAGCACACGCACAGGAACTCGCTCCATCGCATGCAGTGATTGCGACATTAATGAGTTGCTGTATGTTAAATTTGAGGTAACGTTTCGAGAGCTCGCTCTCTTCGTTGTATCTTGGGGTTGGGTCAGCTAGGACCTAAATCCGGGCGAGTAGAGGTGCCTACAGCCATCGATGCTTCGTGTATTTGTACAGATCTTCTTCACAGATTTGTTCATTTGGAGCCAGAGTCAACCTCATAATAAATGTTTGGGATGGTATTCAATAAAGCTTATCCTGACCATTTGGTCTTTCAAGGTAGAATTCAGGGTTGCGAGCTGGTGGCTGGCGCCTACTCGATCGAAGATACGAAAAGAATCTCATGCTTCGAGGGTAACTGCGAAAACGCAGGCTCTTGAGTGCATTCCATCCCTCTGGTACAAAGATATGCATTGGTACTTTTATCAAATGCCGAGATAGAAGGCTTAGCCCATATGTTATCCGAGGGATGCTGGGATGTGGAGGGGAAAGAGGTTGAAGTCGTCCACGATGTAGTAACTTAATGTACGATGTATGTGCTGACTAACTTCCACCCAGGGATGAGAGTTGAACTCGGAGATTTGCATAAGCAGCCCCGGAGATAATTTTGCATGCTTGAGACAGGGATAGAGGTTTCTGAGCTACCTGTATACGGAGATTGCACTTCTTGAAGAAAATGATACTTTAGATTTGAAGATTGTGGGGCTGAAGCGAAGGTAATGCCTGTCGGAAGGATTAGCACGAAGGATGGCTAAGACAAGTCACGGTAAATTAAACTAGGGGATACTATTATTGAAGGTACATATCTGAGCCAAGAGAAGAAAGATGACCGAGTACTGATATAAGGGCCATTCTAGTGGACGAAACCATTCTTCAAATAATGCTGCACCTGACACCTACTATAGCCGTGCTCATATCTTTTGCCATGCATTAGTGGCCCAATTGAGCAAAGATTAACAACGCTGACAGGTTTAACGAACAGAGTCCTATTAAATAAAAGAAAATGACTGTAAAGCTGTTTAAAGAGAAGCGACGCCAATTGACTCAAGGCTCGATGCACAATGCACAAAGTTAATGCTTCCTAGTATGAAGATGCTTAAACAATGCAGTACAAATCGCAAATCCAGACCCAGAACCCGACAGCTAACGATATATGCCACAAATGATACAGAAGATATACACTCACACATCACAACAAACAGCCAAAGAGAGAGATCCGACTCAATATATACACCCTACTAGATCCCAGCCCCAGGCACACAGCCCCAACTGCACCCCAGCCGACGGAACGGCAACGGACGCAGACTCTCCCCGGAAGGCCGCGGCCCCTTCAGCCCATTCTCATACGTGCTGCAATCCCACCACTCAATCCACTCTGTGCGCGCGATGACAAAACTGCGGTGACACACCGAGCAGCTTCGGCCTCCGCCGCTGCGCACTTCCCTTGCATCCCGCAGCAGCCGCAACATCAAGGCCGGGTAGTCCGCCATGTCCGAGTCCGCGATGAGTTCGAAGTACGAGGATCGACTGAATGAGAGGAGCGCCACTTCCCGGAGGGACGGGACACGCGAGGCAGCCAAGGGTGCCTGCCCCTGTGGTCCTTCCGCGTCTATCTCCATTGCCGTCTGCGAGCTGCCGACGTCCCGCTCAGCGAGCACTCCTTCTGCATTGTATCGCCGGACAGGTCCCGTGGCAACATGTACGGGGGCCCACGCTTCCTCAGGGGCCGGTCCATCATACAAGCACGACCGCAACTCGTCCGGTGGAACATGCCATTCCGCAATCTCCTGTTCTTCGATCTGCAGCAAAGGGTTTGGCCGCACGGTGAGATGCTTCAAGTCGCCTTTTCGGATCAGCCACAGCAGCTCCCACGGCAAACTCTGCAGCCGGTTTACAGAGAGGTTGACCTCCTGCAGCATGGTCAGTCTCCGTATGGCGGGTGGGATCTCTGTCAGCTTATTGTTCCGCAAGCTCAGTACGCGCAGCGAATCCAGCTCGAACAGCTCGCCCGATAGCTTGGGGAGGGCATTTCCCGCCAGAAACAGCCGCAGGAACGGCTCGAGAGAGGTATAGACATCTTCCGTGACGGGCGGTTCCTTGATGGCAGGTAACTTGGTAAGATGCTGCAGGGGACGAAGCAAACCAGAAGGTATGCTGCGGAGGTTGCCACCACTAGAAAAGCCATCAGCTTCGGAGCCTGCATGATGCAAGTGCGGGCGTTTGCGGGCGTTGCGATAATGCCTGCTCGAATGCAAGCCGAACAAAAGAAAAAACTCACCTCAAATCCACACTATCATCCCCCTTCTCCAAGCAATCATTGACAATCGCGCGAGCGATCTGATGCTCCCTGGGCTCTTCTTCGACCCTAGGCCTCATCCCGCCAATCCCCATGCCAGAACCCACCCCCATCCCCCGTTGACTCTGAAACGGAGCATTCAGAGACTGCCTCCAATGCAACCGCTCCTGCTCCTGCTCCATCTCCTGCGTCCGCTGCTGCTCGCGCTGCTCATTCTCCCACCGATCTCCCTGCTCCTGACTCTCCTGCAGCAGTAACGCCTCATCCCCTCTCCCCTCCTGCACCCCCACCGCTGAATTCAACAACCCACTCTCATTACCACAACCACCACCAGAAATCTGTCCCCAAACCTCCTCACCCCACGACGCATCGGACGCCAAAAAGCCGGAGTCATCACTCCCCATCCAAACCCCACTATCCACCAACCTCTTCTCCTTGAAATCCACCCGCTTATTGCGCTTATGCCCTCCTCCTCCTTCCCCTCCCTTTTCCGGCGATTGTTGCTCCTGCTGACGCCCGAGCAACGACGAAGACGAAGTAGACATCTTCTCCCCCCACCACGTCCCACGATACCGACGCTTTCGACTGCCCCCAACCAATCCCGCCGCAGGCACATGATTCCGATCCGCCACCGCTGCCACTAATGATGTCGTCACTGTTCCGACCGTATAATTCTCCAACCCGCCGGAGCCGGGAATATCATCGCTGGAGAAGAACGCGGGGTCACTGGAGGGTTGGCTGGAGCGGTCGTCGTGGTAGCGCGAATGCGAGACGGCGGTGAGGCGGTTGTACTGGTGGTGGTGATGGTTGGGATCGCGGGCGCTGCTGCTGCTGGTGGTTGTGGTGGTGCGGCGGGTTGGGGAGGCGCGGTGGTGGATGCGACGCGGGGGTGGTGGGAGGGGAGGGTCGGTGTTTGGGTCCATCTTTGCCTCCTTTGCTTTTCGCAATTCGCAATTGGATTAGGGAACAACGCGAGGAGAGCAGAGCGCAGCCGAGTAGAAATGAGAAAAGGGGACAAGGTGTTGTTTATTGACTCGAGCGCGGGGAGAGAGGTCGAGGTAACGCGGCGATCGGAAATCAGATCAGATCACCTCCGCGAGCTCGGATGGAATGACGTCCGATAGAATGTCAATGTCGATCAATTCGGGCAGGGCGTAAACCCTTATGGGAAGAAAGTTGTTCCCGATTTTGGAGGCGTGTCAAGCTGTCAAATTCACTGCCCCAAGTTCCTTGAGGAATGTTGCTCGCGCGGGTTTTTCTTTAATTTTGCTTGTTGTTTTGTTGAACGCGTCGCGTTGGTTCGAAGCGGGGCGATAAGTGTGTTTGTGTGTGTCTGGGTCTAACTAGTGAGTGGGAGATAAGTTGATACCACCAGCGATTTCCGTCGGATCATCGGGTCAATGTTTCGGATTTACGGATAGTAGTGTACAAACTACGAGTGAACTGAATTGTACTCTGATTTACCGGTAGTTCAATTAGGGTCAGAAGTCAAATCTTCAGCAAAGAGTGACGGTCCGCTACAACAAGACCAGCAATAAAGTAATCAAGTAGATTGTGGGGTCGGCCACTATACATTTGATTCACCACTACTTATGTGCACAGCTTCCAAATCACAGCCAGACCCCGAGAAAGTAAATAGGTATATAAACTAAATCCCCGCAAAGATACTTGCGCTGGTCAATCCCAGCCGTCAAATCCATCAACTCGTCATATCTGAAACGTCATAAAGGGGGTATATGGATCCATAACCGAGCGTCCCGTCCGGTTCTTGATCGCGATCCAGAACCAGAGGTCGAACGAAGAGAAATTAAGTATAGGCGATAGAAACAGATAACAACAGATGTAAAGTAAGGAGTCTGGCGGTCCTCATCCGCAGCTCAGGGACTTCACAGTAGCCCCGAGCCCAAACGATGGCGACCGAGCTGGCGTTGTTGACAGTCGCTCACAAAGCGCCCATGATCAGGGCCAGGGATCCTGCGACGAGCGCAACAGGCATACCAGCAGTGTTGACGTGACCCGCGCCAGTGAAGACGGAAGAAGGCGTGGCGGAGGCACTGGCCGAAGGAGCAACGACAAGCGAGGTCGGGACGGCGGAGGAGCTGGCAGCCACGGAACTGCTAATAAGCGGGGCGCTGGGGGCGTGGGTGGGAATCAAAGGTGCGGACGTGGTCGACGCGCTGGCAGAGGTCACGGTGTCGACATGAACCAGCGTCCGAGTGAGGAAAGTGGTCACCGTCGAGGTGGAGGTGGTGTCTCCCTCTGCGGCGACTAGCTGGGCAGCCGCCAGGCAGAGGAGGGAAGAGGCAATGGCGCTGATCTTCATGTTGACTGATTGAGTTTTGTATAGAAGATTTGTTGCAATATGGGCTGAAATGATCGAGTACCGGGGGCCGGACAAGATATATACGTGGAATCGCAATTGGGCGAGCGCAGCTACCGATTCAAAAGAAGTGAGTGACAGGAGGCGGACAAAGACGCGAATGAGTGAGCGTCTGATTTATAATGCCAGTTGGAGAAGAGTTTCCGTAGGGGGAGCGCTGCTCGAAGCCGAACGAGTGTGAAACAAAGCGATGTTTGATGCGACGCGCCGGGGTAGCAGGTAAGAAAAAGGGACAGCCGCGAGCGAGGAGGAGCCGGGGAGGACATTAAATAAGAACCCAAAAAGAGTCCCAGGAAGGTTCGAGGCCATCTGTCTCGAGCCCGTCACAACAAAAGGAACCACAACACGAGCGATGGGTCGGGAAAATTCCTCGGCGAGTCGCAAGGGGCGCTTAGAGCGTAGTCGATTGGCCCTGGGGCCGTCAAGAATGCTCCGGGGACATTACTCACGTCGAGTCGTCCACACGGCGCCTGCCGAGAACCAAATCACGGTGCCACGAAGCTCCGCCAGCACATCCCGGTGGCTCCGATGTTTTGTTGGCGGTCGTGGTCTGGGTTGAGGTGGATGAGCGCCCGACTCCTTTCTCGCCGCATTTTTGCAGGCTTATCCCGGTCGAGTATATGGACGATTGGATGTGGGCTCTAGCGAAGTCACTAACCCGACCAGGCCCCGTATTAGCTTTGGTTCCTGAGAGTGTCAGCCCAATGGCGAATTTGTTGGAACCGAATCCATGGAAGAGGGGTCTGGCAGTCTTACCAGACAGGGTTTGGTGCTCGCGAAGCTAGTCTCACTCGTTTTGCTGACCCTTGATTGAGCCTGAGCCCCTGGATCGATTCGGATGCGCCCGGCTGGCTGTGAGTTTAATCTGGTTTCTCATTCATTCAGCAAGTGTCCTTTCTCTGCCACTCGTTCCCTTGCTTTCATGTTTCGTTTCATCATTTTGTGCGACATGATGCTTTGTCTGTTGCAAAGAATTGTTTCGCTGTTTCCACAGTGAGAGAGACGAGAGGTTTGAAAAAGGGGAGGTGATGACTGATTAGTGGACACTAGACCGGCACTAGAAGGGTTCTAAGGCACCCACTCTCTCCACCCGTTCCTGAGGCAGAAAAGCCCTTTTCTTTTCCCCTTGCAGTGGCTAATCAAATCAAATCAACCGGGGATCCTCTTCAATTTGGGGTCCGCCCAGCACACAACAACAAAACAACAATGAAGCTCCGTTTACCGTAGGTTTGTTGTCTGGAACTACTGCCTGGCTTGCAGCGACCATCACACCATTAAACCTTTTTTGATGCTGTTCCTCGACGATGCACCCGCATAGCCTCTAGCGTGGCGCATCGTCGTCCTCATGGCTAGCTATGACAACATCTCAAATGAATCCAAGTCATTTGCTTGCCAGAATGGTAGCCGTAACCACCGAAAAGGAGGAAGGTGAGACGACGGTTGTTGGTCCAGAATCCAAATGCACAGATCATAGCCGCATCCAAGCATCACCAAGAACAGCCGCTGAGCTTAGAATGCGGGCCCCGTAGAAGAAGGAAAAGGGGGTTTCGTCACCGCCGCTTCACTTGGACTACACTACTCACAGTCACCGAAGAGAAAGATGAAGCGCTTGGCGAGAGCAACCAACGACATAGGGGCTCAATATCTCACAAATGATGCCATCGGAAGCCGGTAAAGGAGTGTCGGGAATGGACCGGAAAGGACGGCCGGCTATCAGGGTTGCCGGCAGACCCAATGGCCTTTGGTAGTTGAGCATATGAGGAGCGGGGGGATTTGACTCCAGAACCAGGTTCGGACGAGAATTTCTGGGCTGCATGCTAACCCCGCCTGGATCCGAGTCATCAGTCACCATTGTACCAGCCTGTTATGTTGAGTTCGTGCTGCATTGAAGTGGCAAAGAGGACTGAGAGTCGGAAATCGCGCTTGCGTCGGGGGAAGTCTGCTCGAGACCGTCAATGACCGAATGGACGCTGGCGGTTCGGACTAGGATGTACGACCATCGGCTGAACACTCGGAGTCAAGCAGCGGGGATGCTCTTGAATTTTCTCTTGTCAATGGGTTGATACGCGTTCTAGACCATCTGCGAGTCGAGCCGTCTTCGAGGTCCCATACGCATGCAGGCATCCTTGAACTTTTTCTTGCCGTCGAGTCGCTCAACCAAGCGGTCTAGGACTCAGGAACAATCCCAGACTCGTCGAAGGACCTGCAGTAGTCTTCGAAGACATCTTCCCGGGCGGGAATAGCTCAATTTCAATCCCAAAACTAGAAGAATCGAGATCCTCGAGGTTTCACGAGAGGGGTAAATACAGACACTGTCGTCGTCTGCACCGAAACCCCGCTATCTTCCGGTGGTCGACTGCGGTGGGTTGAACCCCGCACAGGATTGACAGCCAAAGGATACTAGAAGCCAGACTCTGTCCCTGTATGAAGACTGCTTGACAGATTGGCATGGCTAAGTGCGGACAAGAAAAAGCATGACTATCAAAATGGGCTGATGTTCCTAGTTGACACCCAGTTGCCCGAAACAGTTCGCGAGGTATCTCCATTAACTGAAAAAAAAATGCTTGAACAAACGGTACGCAGCTAAGCAGCTTCACCTTATTAGGGCCAGAGGGATGAGCGTGATGATGTCATTTTCAAGCAGAGGCGTGCTAGATCGATTCCTGTAATGCGTTCAAGGATTGAGAAGAGCAAAATCCCCGATGCTGCTGCACCCTATTTTACACCGATTATCTCCTTAACACCTTAGCATGTGTCTCTTGCAGGCCCTGCCACGAAGCCTCTCAATCATTCGCCCAACAAGCCTGCGAGGTAGGCCGAGGCAGTAAGGCAAGCAAGCCTACAAAGGCTCTTATCAAGCATCTCTTATCATAATCGCGACATGCATAGGAGCAACTCATTGGGCTCTAAAGATGTAGAATAATCTAAATCCTGCCCTCTGGCCTTCACCTATCCTGCTGCGTTCTGAACGTAACTACTAAGGCTCACTTTGTTAGTGTCGATGGCTAATTGAATAGCCAGAATTGACGTTTGGGTAGTCTCACTCAGGCTTCTTCAAGCTTACGCCAACGTCATGTGCCAGGAGACTTCATGCACATTCGTCATCGCTGCAACGGCTTGGTTGTAAGCTGGAGAGGAGAGTGCAGGTTTGATGGAACTCTGCGGGCTTGCTTGCCTATTTCTACTTGTTCCTAGTCTCTCGAATGCCACAATTCCGCATCACTCATCGGTGATAGAAGCATCAACACGCATATCTCTCACCCACAGTATCTCAATTGAGTCTTGGATTCAATGATATATCTTAAAAGAGTTTCAAAAGCTATAGTCCAGTATAGAACTTCGCGTCTATATATGTTGCAGTCAAGCTAATGAGCAATGAAACAGGACACCTTAGTCTTAGAATTAGTAACGACGGTAAAGATCAGAGTTAGGTTTCCCGCTCTTCCTATCGTTGAGAAACACTTGCTCCTGCCAGTGGATCATACGGAATGTGTCAAACCGAGCGCCAAGAAGCCGAATATCCTTGGCCCCTGTCTTCTTCAATATATCTTGCCACAACTCTACGATAGGGCTGAAGTAGGCTGTATCGCCTGATGCGTTGCCCTCGTAGCACATTCCGTGTACATACCCGCATAACCCAAACAAAAAAGAACCCGTGACCTCCGAATCCTGCCACCGTGTATACATGGAATGCACATAGGCAATCGACGTTTCACGTCGGAGTTGGGACTGTTGATGATTCTCGCGGTCCGCAATCCGTTGTATAAGCCATCAATTTCCTGCCCTGAGTTCAACCCTGTGTGTAAGCATTGTGGAGGGCCTGTCTTATGCCACCACACCTCAGGAGAGAACAGAGATGGACTGCTAGCTTGATATCTTGCGCCTTTGATCTGATTTAAACCGTCAGTGAAGCGCTATTAGACTTGGGCAGAATGCTTACAATGTTGTCCCCAAGCGGCCGGTCTTCCCGCGGGGATACAAGTGCCCAGTCCAGAAATCCGTCTTTGTGCTGCGACTCCAGCGCGGACGCTGCCACCACAACACCAAGGATATTGCTCTTGCTGTCAAGATACGCCTGAAGCTGTTCGCGTTTCGCTTTACGTCTGAGGAACATTTCGCTGAGATGCTTTGAGGCAGCAGCCGATTTATCAGGCGGCATTAGCTCGTCCTTCTCTCGAGCGCCTTGCACCTCAGTGGAAACACGCTCGGCTTCGAAGGAGCGAATTGTCTCACTGAGGTCCTTAATGTGTGACATGATCTGCTGTTAGCTCGGACTTGCCACCAAGAGGTGCTTTGCAGCTGTCATATCCCTGAAAGGCACGCCGTTGGCCTTCCAATCGTCGAAGATGGAATTTCTGTTCTCTTGAGAAGACCCGTGTCCATCAGCTGGCAGCACGCACCGCGCGCAGGTTAGTGCATATGGTACCCATTTGTCAGTCTCAGGATCCTGGAGTTCCACCCAGCCGCCCAGTGTTCCGGGATGTGTTGCAGGCAAACCATGCAGGGCCAGACTGGACCCCAAATTGGCGGGTGTGTCATCGGCGAACATTGCGGTCCAGAGATTTGGATATTCATCAGCCTGGAGGCCTTTCTGGTCCTTCCAAATGAGTAGCCCAACTGACTCGAGGCCGAACGCTTCAAGGATTGCGATGATCTGTTCGCGAATCATTTTCCATTCCTGTGGTACCATCCCATCCTCACCCAGCAGGACGGTGGCTGGGAAGTCACTTGATAATTCTAGGGCACCAGGTCGACAACAGCTGAAGTAGTGAATTCCGTTCAAAGAGATCGTGCGCAGAATCTCAGCAAGCACATTATTCCATTGCGAGAAGATTGCGTCGTCCTTAGTACAGGGCCTCAAACGAAGGCGCTTGTAGAATGAGGGATCGTTTATGATCACGCTAAAAGTCTCAGTCGTTTGCGCTTGAACATGGCGATAGATTGTCCGGGCAACTTCAATCCACGCTTCCGTATATTCTTGCCCTGGTTTCTGATGTGCTGAGAGCTGAACGGTTGGCACGGAAAATTTGTCCGTGCCAGACATAGGGGACTCCTCCAAGCATCCTATGTCGCAGATCTCGAACCCGGGTTGTTCCTTACACAGATCCAGGAGCTTCACTATCTGGCTAGCGCGCAGCAGCGTACGAAGAGACTCCGACTTGATGCACGATAATCGGCAAGGATGCTCAAGTAACGAGGGAACCCCGACACGGAGGTCTTCAACGGCAATACCGATCGACACTGGGGCCGAACTTTCTTCACGAGATGACCGGTTGGCTCTTCTCACGCGAGTGCGTTGCTGGGCTTGCGACAAGAAGAGCCCCGAGGCGTAACTGATTTCCCCCGTGGTGACCGGCACCACTATCGGCCCTCCCGCCAACGCCGTGACTGTTGTCAACAGAGTCAGAAACTGTGCATGAGATCTAGAAACTCGATACATACTTCTTCCATCTTCCTTTTCAGCATTGGTTCTGTTAAAAGTTGCTCGTGGCATTTTGCTAGCGATGAAATTTGTAGGTGTTGAGGATCCTAGGGCGAATAATGTAGGGACGGAGATATCTTAGGATGTCTAAGACATATCAGATTACAGTCCAGATATTCCACTTATCAGACAATCCCGAATGAGTCACCCCTTATATCACGGTCTTTGTCTATATCATTCTGACGTGTGGCGATCCGTTGGGGAATTCCATTCCGCCTTCAACCTTGGGAAGAAGGTCTTGCCTCCCTCTCTGGGTACCATCAAATCGCACAGGGTGACAATAGCTAGTGCTTGCTCGGACTGCTTTACAGGAAATGACAATTATGGGCATTGCTGCATTGTGATGAGCCCACTGCTCACACGTAGGACGTGTGGAACGCGCCTCAGTAACGAATGTCGAATTCCACCATGGCAGGAAACCCGAGAGCCGTCATTCTCAAAGCTCAATAGTGAGCCGGGCGTTCGAGTGGGAACTAGTCCCTGCGTACGACACGTAGAGAGACATTCATGATAAGAAGCCTACACGAGAATTATACTAGTTTTATCACAGACAGCGCCCAGACGGTTTAGTGTTTTCGGATATCGGGATAGAAGAATTCCCCACAGGCAGAAATGAACCTTGATTGTCAAACAATTTTTAAAAGACAGGGGTTCTCGCAAAGACCGAAATAATCAACATTGACACTGGAGAATGAGCGACAGTAGATAATCCAGATACCAGAATAGTAGAAGCACAAATATTGAAATGAAAAGAGAGAAAAAAAAAAAAAAAGAAAAAAAAAAGCATCAATACTAAAGGATAGATATCACTTTGAAGGCGCGCCCAATCGCATAGCAAGAGCCGATAGAACGAATGCATAGGCCAATCAAGACATTTAGTCGTCGAACTTAGACCTGATATCTCGATCATTGGGGTCCGGTTGGTTTGCGTCAGATAGGCTGGCCTTGACTGCTTCCACCACAACCTCAGCCTTGCAAACCAGGTGGGAGTCAAGATCGTCCGGAGGTTCAACGAGATTGTTATGCTGATAATACGGTACGAATTTGTTGGGAAGGTCGTAACGGTATACTCCAGGTTGAAGGACGAGAATCACTCGGCCATGAGGCTTAGGTACAATTTGCGAATCCTTGCGCTCAACTGAATGGACCCAGGCTGAGAACATGATTCCTGTAGAGGGGTCAAACTGCTCTAACTCAGGCAGTTGATGAAGCTTTACCATTCCACCCAGAGTAACCTCATGCGCGGTAAGGTAATTCGCACCAAGTTTGAACTCTGTGGCCAAACGGTTGCGACGTTGAGTCTTTTCTTCTGCACTATCTAGATTTTTGAGCAGCAGTTGGAATAGGCTGTCTGCTAAAAGCTGGTCCGCCAAGTGCTCTGCTATTTTCGCCTGTCGGTCGCGATTCTCCTCTCCAAAATCATAAGGAGGCCTATCGTGAGGGCACTTGGGTTCGCAGTCGTCCTTCAGGTTAGCAAGAGCGAGGGTGACCATTCTCCACCAGACGGCATTGACTGGGCTCGCTAGAAGGCCAAGAGTAGCAGCCCACCTGTCAGCAATAGAACCACCGAGCAGGGCAGAATCAGGCAGAATACTTACACTTATAGTATCTCTGATAGAGGTACTGAAGGCGTTCAGAAAAAAATGGATCTCCATCCTTATCTGTCTCGGCTCTTTTCCCATCCAGAAACCAGAATGGCCTATTGACAAAATGAGTAAACAGCGATTTATTAATCATCGCCTCACACAAGTACAGGTGAAACCACTTCCGAGATAGAGGAGAAAGTAGCGACTGAATCGTATCCCAAGTCTCTTGAATACAGTATGACTCTAGACTTTCGATGATTTTTTGTTTCTGGTCCTCAGAAAGTAAGGGTGGTTCTTCGCAGATGTAGTCTTGAGTCCATGCTTTCACTCTGAGCCTGAGAACATCATAATTGGACATGACTGTATATGGACTGGGTTGGTATCCGACTCGAGTGATCATCATGCGATTACAATGGCTCTTATAAAGCTCGTATTCCTCAGCGGTCAATTGTACCGAAGGCTTGCTGGATGGCTGAGAACAGCCGTCAGCTAGCCTCGCCTTAGAGGGTGCATCAGACGGCGAGTCGATCCTCGGAGGGTCGTTAGTCAAAGGCTCGCGCGGCGCTTCAATACTCCTGGGCGAAGACGCCTGCTGCTCCTAAATGAAGACCAAATACGTGAGTGGCGGATGGATGCGTAATGGTAGGTGGATGATATGGGGACTGACAACCTCGGGTTTGTTCTTGCCGCTTCGTGGGGTCACCATGATGTTCAAAGTCGAAGGAGATGGAAGATGGTTCAAAGTCAATGGAGATGAAGGATGAATATGTGTCTGAGGATGGAAAGAAGAAAACAAAGAGGATGAGGGGTCATCACTGTGGATATTGGTGTCCCATCCCGTGACTTGATCTTCTTTGTTTTGTTTCACAAGCCTACAAACGCGCAATAGCAGGAGCAGGCAACAGCAACAATGACAATGACAATTTCATTATCCCACCTGCTAGTGATCTCTTTTCTCAAGACTATACAAGAGCTGTTATCGACCACTTCTCAAGCTTCACTCACTGTAACTCACCTGAAATCTTCCAATTCCCTGCGAACAAAACATTATGGAAAGCAGAAACATCACCAAGAGAGCCACATGTCTTTCTGTCGGAATCGATTTTGGAGCCAGTAAAACAGGTATCATACCTCCAGATGCTCTCTTCCCTGAAGTGTGATCCTTACTCACACCTCTATACACACAGTGCTTTCCTTCCTACGGTCCAGTGACGACAACATACGTCCTCATCTTCTCTCGCTCCGGGGGGATACAATCATCCCAACGGTGGTTGCTTACCCTTCGAAAGAGCCATGTGTTATTGGAAAAAAAGCCCTACAGTATCCGAAACGCATCTCCTGGCTCAAACATATATTGTATGAGTCTAGCATCCTGGATAACTCCAACAAGACATTGGTGCAGGATCTCGTTAAGCTGGCAATCGATCGACTACCTAGAGAAAAGCAAGATAATCCGTATCTTGTGGTGGCAGACTTCTTAGGCACGCTGTTACAACACTTCCAGACCTTTTTGGAAGGATATCCTGATCTTAAAACACTGCCACGGGTCTATACTTTCACAATCCCGGCCACCTGGTCGGAACACGCCCGCTCGATGATGTTGAACGCAGCTCAACAGGCGGGCTATGGACGCCAGAAAGCAACCATTCGCTTCACCACCGAGGCCGACGCTGTTGCAGTCTATGCAGCAAATAAGAGTGGTTTGAATATGGGGCAGTTCAGTCAGGTGAGTAGAGCATATTGCCCATGGCTCACCATAGTTGTTATTTTAATGACAGAGGCTTTCCTCAAAAGGCAGATGATGGTGTTATCATCTGCGACTGTGGCGCCAGTACAATAGTACGACCCCCTTCCTGTAAAGCACATTCATTCAATTTACTAAGAAGCTAGGATTTAACTGCATTCTATGTCGACCAGACAAGCCCCTCTTTTGAGTGTCAAATGTTAGCAGCATCGAACAGTAAGCTAGACCTCTTAAGTCTATAATTTTAGCTAATCTCTATCTAGGTAGAATCTGTGGGGCTCTTGAGCTTCAGTACCTAGTCTACGATAGGTTGAGTCAGTTTCGCAGCACCAAAGGAATTGGAATTCCAAACCCTGGTGTGCCGTTTGCCAGAAGGGCTGACTTCAATTTCCCGGCCGGTTCTACCTCAAACATAGATCTGAACGTCCTAAGTATTGACTCAACAGTAAAGGATGAATTGTACGATACACTTATCAGAAGGATTGTTTGCTATATTCGGAACCAAATTGACTGCGCGAGCTTATGCGTCGGGCGCGATAAGATCAGAGTACTCCATCCTTGAGAGCGAACTCTTACGCTGACTTGAATAGCTAACATGTCTGGTAGAGGCTACTGTTGGTTGGTGGAATGACGGTATCAGATGAAATCTCGACCAAGTTCAGAAGCATACTTGGAAGTGATAGCAAAATCACGGTCTATCAACCACCTGAACCGTAAGACTCCAGTCTCCCTCATTGCAGCACGTTCTGTCCTACCCCCTTCCAGAACTAACCAAGAGTACAAAGAATCGATCGGGTGCACGCAGTTTCCTTTGGTGCCACATTGTGTGGCATTAGGCAAACGCGACTCAGCTTCAAATTCTGGAAACATTACTATATGGTCTGCTCCAACTGGGAGGAACTTCTAGAAATGTTCCCCAAGGTGATTCGTCCGCTTGACTTGTGTTTTCTACTGCTGACGCGATAAAACTCTTGGCAGGGACACTCATTCGATGATGGAACTTGTAGGGATTGGAGAATCACCCTGCCACGCAGTGGTGAAATTGAGATTGTGGAGAGTGCTGAACCGCTGAGCCTCAAGCAGTTTCGTGGTAAGTCTATTCGCTTTCAGAACATACTGCATCTCAGACTGAATCATTCTCAGATGGTGAAAAGGGAACTAGCGTCGGCAAAATCACTTGCGACTTTACACGAGTGTCGGGAAATTGGCAATTGGTAACAGTGTTGGTCAATTGCCGAGCCACAGTGAGATTCGAAGACCAAGATTTCCCTTGCGAGCGCATGCTTCACCTTGCGGTCTATCACGGAGAAGGTTTGAACAAGCGGCTTGTTGCTCACAAGAGATTACTCATGCAGGGTATGTTTTGAAAGCATTGTGGTGGTATTCTTGCTCAGCTAGTGTGAGCACGATGGGGAGCAAGGGGGGTGGGGGGTTGGGAGAGAGAGGTGGGGGTTTGAGATTTAGACACGGTTCTGCAGAGACAACTTAGACAAGGAGAAGGTCGATTCATGCACAGCCCCCAAAAGCTGATAGCCCATCACCAAGTGAGAACGTCACTGGCCTCATCTTAGACATGAGTGAAAAAGGCTAGAATTGTATGAAAGTCCATGTATTCCACTGAACGAGTGAACACCACTCAATAAAAGTCATTAAAGCAGACAAGCTAAATTACGTATCACGTCTCCTATAGCCGGCTTTTCTCGCTGATTTTGGTCCAAGCACTTTCCTTGACCTGCTGGAAATCCATTATCGCGTTTGGGCCTCCAAAACGGTTCTGAGTTGCTTTCCAGTCCCGGTTGATAGCGGTTTCCGGTCTCCATCGAACAACATCCTTCAGCTCTTTCTGAAGATGCCCCTCTAGTGTATCCGCAATAAACCCTCCAATTGAGGGCATCTGCATTGCACCATTGCCGGAGGCTCCTACGGCAACGACTAGCGAAGGATGTTCGGGGTGTTGATCAATCAAGAAGGCGCGGTCTGGCGTATCAGCATCCCAACAGATCCGCGCAAATGACAGCGGTCGATCCGCAATCTGCGGCATTGTGTCCCGTAGAAAGTCTCTGGCACGAGCTTCGGCTTCCAGCGGAATCTGATGTGCTGCAAATGGAATGCTTCTAATCTCGCCATTTCGCTTGGGGTCAGGAATAAAATTGCAATACCCAGGATGCTCATCGCAGATCTTCAGCTCATGCTTATCCTCGTCAGGCTCCATGAAGAAGCCCTTGGCGATGTTGAACAGCACAGGAAGATTTTTGTAGAGCTTGGCCTCTTCAGGACTCATCTTGATGTGGCACAAGGTCCAAGCCGTAGGACGCAGCTGTTTCTTGAAGTCTAGAAGACGGTCACTGCCCGCACCGGCTGATAAGATAGTGCGGTCTGCGCGGTGAAGGACCCCATCAGATGTTTTCGCCCCTACAACATCGCCACCCTCGAAAACAAGAGATACGACATTCCCTTGGGGAGACCCAGTGATAAACTTAACTCCCAACCGCTTGGCCTCGGTGTAGGCGGAGACCATGGCTTTCTGGGCGTGAATCCATCCCGCGTTGGATTTGTTGAGCCAGCCCTGCCAGCCAGGGAATTTACCAGTCAGCACGCCTGCCGGCATCGTCTTGCGAAAGTCCTCTGCTGTGTCCAGCTTCACAAAGTCAGCCACAGATGGCTCGATCTCCGTCTCGCGAATATGCTCTATCAATGCCGGGGTGTGGCCCGATACGACCACGCCCGTCTCATGGAAATACGGCTTGAAAACGGGGTCTGTTTTCCAGCCTTCCAGCGCAGCGCGAGTGCATGTTGCAAAGGCAATGCTGCGGGAATCGGTATCAGACTCTGCGTACCCGTCAGCTGGTTCTCGCGCCCCGCAGTCGAGAATTAAGATTCCTTACCCTTCGGCTCCCGATGTTCCATGATCTTGTTGATATCATTTCCGGCTGCGATCGCGGAGGGAACAGCATAAGGATCTAGAACCGTGACATTTTTGTAGCCACGGCGAACCAAATGCAAGGCTGTGGAGCATCCCCAGACACCGGCGCCAACAATGAGGATGGTTGAATCATGATTTAGGCTTGAGGGGGCCATTGTGCTGTCACCTAGGTATGTATGTAGCGGGCAAGCGGGCAAGCGGAAAGAGGTGCTATGGTGCAAATAAGGACAGGACAAGATGTAACAGATTCACGGGGAGTATTTGAAGGAAAAGCTTCATCATGCCATCCCCACCTGTTTATCGCGGAAATTCCGCCGGCTTGAGCATGAGGCACAGTCGAAGACCCATGATGCATGCCAGGTTGAGGAGCCGAAAGGCGGGGGGGGGTTCGTAGGGTTCCCAATGTGGTTTAGCTTTCCGGCTGGACCTTCCCTGCCTCTGAGCATATCTACTCATACTCATTCTCGTACTCTTACTTTCAAGTTTACACCTCCACACAACCCTGTGAGTTGGGCCTTGGCCCGAAGCTTGCAGTCTCTCACTACCATGATAAGGCTGTTCGTGGCTGATGTTATCAGTCGCGTGCAATGCCCACACTTGCCTTAGCTGGTGAACCTTGCACCTTCTCCGCATTTCCTTCTCCCGGACTCCTTGGCAGATGGCATCCGTGCCGACTTCATTGTGATAACACCCATCGTTTGGAACTTCCTTGACAAGTATACTTATCTTTAGCTCTTTAATTATACCTTCTCGCCCAAGAATAATGGTCTCGTTTGACTCACCCTTATCACTATGTACTGCATTCACAGTATCGCGGGAATTGAGTCATCGACTGCTCCGTAGTTGCAGTGGTGGACAGGCCAAGGGCAAAGATCGTCTTGCCTTATCATTCATCACCATCATGGCAATACGCTCGGTTAATCTCATCCAATCGGGTAAACCAGAGGGCTCTGATAGAGTGGAATCTTAACGCCTCCCCGGTCGTGAGAGTGTTCATTGACTCAAGTCAAGCCGCGTGCTTGCTGCAGAAATGCCTTTAAAAGTGCGACCAGTTCACCTCTCCATGGCCATTGTTGTATTTCGTGCTCTATATTCTAAGACATCATGGCTCACTCTGAGGATATAGAAACAGACGTACCGGGAACGGTCTACCTCGTCGATGCAGCAGGACACTTGAACGATGCTGCACATGCTGGCAATCAAGACATCCTGCTGATTCCTCAACCTACCTCATCCGTCGCGGATCCTTTGGTATGTTTGAGACATCTCAGAATCAATTACATCTATTTTGTTCTCGAACTGACTACTTGCTGTTAGAACTGGCCAAGATATAAGAAGTTCTGGACGCTCTTCTTGATATCCGCCTACGCCTGCCTAAACTCTTTTGGCGAGAACAATTGGGGCGCAGCATGGACAACAATCTCGGAAGACACTGGGGTCAGTTTGAGCAATATGAACGGCGGCTCCGCTTTGAACTATCTCATGCTGGGCTTCTTTAACATTATTTGGATTCCGACGGCCATGAAATTTGGACGAAAGATTGTCTACATCCTCAGCTTAGTCTTTGTTCTAGCTAGCGGGATCTGGGGTGGTGTCTTTAGTGGCGTTGCACAGTACTATGTGATGATGACTGTCAATGGTATCGGCACTGCAGCCTACCAAGCCCTAATCCAACTAACGGTATGTGGCCTATATCGGCTCTCTTCGGGGATACTAACTTGTCACAGATCTTTGATGTCTTTTTCTCTCATCAACGAGGCCGTATGTTGGCTACCTATATTTTCTTCCAGCAGCTAGGGTCCATCATTGGTCTGATCTGTGGTGGTTACATTTCCGACGGCATTGGCTGGAGATGGAGCCAGCCCATCGTGGCAGGGGCCTGCGTAGGCTATCTTCCTCCCAACACTGAGCTAGGCCAGAATTAATATTGGCCTAGGCTTTCCTGATCCTCCTTTTCATCTTCACCTTCGATGACACTATGTTCCCAAGATACCGGTTCTCAGGCCGTGCATCCTTCGAGGACTCAATGGCAGAAGGGCCTACCACCGCATCCCCCGTCGAAGAGAAAGATCAAAAGATGGAATCGCCGATATCCATAGTAGCAAGCCATAGCGCAGGACAGATCGCAATGCCCCCACGAACGTACCGCCAAAAACTCGCATTGGTACACTATTTCAGTGACGATCGTACGACCTGGTTTCAATATTTCCGTCGTCCACTTTTCCTCTTCGGATTTCCCAACATCCTCCTGGCCGGAATTCAATTCGCCCTAGGCTGCACCGCCGGTATCGTGTCCTTCAATACTATCTCGGAGATAATGACCGAGCCCCCATATGACTGGAGCGCGGGCCCCGCTGGTTTGATCTTCCTGGCTGCCCTCGTTGGCAACTTCATCGGGTACGCTCCATCCATCCCCATCCCCATCCAGCTTCAACCTAATCAACCCCCCAGTATGAGCATCGGTTCGCTATCCGACTGGCTTGTTGTCTTTCTCGCCCGCCGCAACAAGGGATACAAAGAGCCCGAGATGCGTCTATGGGCCTACGGTCTTCCCATCCTCCTCGCCGCCGTCGGCTACTTCACTTACGGCTGGGGTGCCACCGAAGGTGCCCACTGGATGTCCATTGCCGTGGGTCTCTGCTGCATGATCGCTCAACAAGTCTCCGCCACGAGTATTGCGACTGCGTACGCAATGGAATGTTTCGATCAGGTCAGTCGTGAATGCCAAGTATCCAAGCACAAAAGCCCTCGCCCCCCACCCCATCGTTGCTTCTGCTTTATCCGTTCTGGTTAGTTGTAGCACCCGTGTACGGTCCTTTCTAATGTCCTTGAACGATCTACTAGATTTCCGGAGAACTCGTCATCATCCTAGCATGCTGTTCCTCTATCATCAATTTCGTCATCTCCTTCACGGTGCAGGACTTCATCGACGGCACCAACTACGGGTGGACCTTCACCTTCTACGGTATCCTGGTTGTGCTGTCCATGCTGATGGGCGTGCCGATGCTGATCTGGGGCAAGAGTTGGCGCCGCAAGTGCAAGCCGCGGTATGAGAAGTTCCTGGCGGAGAAGGATCGTCATTGATCTCAAGAACCCCGTCGAATCGCACATACCCGGAAGCAAGCTCGTTAAATGCTCTTATGCACTGTTGCTATGACTTATGATTGTTACGTCTGACTTCGTTTCCATTTGGTTTTCGCTTCTTCTTTTTTAAAGTCTTTATCAAGTCATGATTGATTCGTGACATGTGATGTGGGTACATACAGACAATGCACAAAGGTTCTATCCTCAACCTCTCCTACGCTTATCGAAAGGTGGTTTTGTGGGTTTTTTTGATAATTCAACAGGTCTCTAGCAACCAGGAAGTAAAACCACAGTTGACTTCTTTCAGCGAAGAGGCAAGCAGCAACGTGTAAAGATGCCTTTGGCCGACGGGCTACGAACTTCTCAGGGTCGGCTTTGGGGGAGATTGTATGGGGTGTGGTGAAAACACGCGGCCCATGCGAGTAGAAGAATGTAGAACAGCCGGAGCGATTAAACTAGGTATGTGAGGTGGTAAGGTAGATTGTGTCACTTTTTGTAAGTGCAAGTAGCAAAATGTGATGCTAAATCATGAACTCATGAATCATGCCGAATGGCCACGACGTCTCAGCTCTCATGAAAAGAATCTCTGAGCGGCGGCGCGTTCCTTAGCCAGACGGCCCTTAAGAGCCTTCTTCACGTTGGCAATCTCGTTGGTGATACCGGCGTCACCAGGGGCCAGACGGTCGGCCTCCTGGAGATCCTTCAGCGCCTCATCCTCCTCCTTCAGGCCGCTGAGGGCGACGGCACGGCGGTAGTACGCCTTGGCCTTATCAGCATCCTTGGCTTCGGCGGCAGCAGCCGCATCGAGAGCGTAAGTAGCCCAAGTCTGGGCGTTCTTGAACTGGCCGAGCTTATTCGCCAGGAGGGAAGAGTTAGAGTGGAGGGTGAAGCGAAGGGCCTTCATCTGAGGGCCCAGCTCCTTGGGGTCCTGCTCGTCGGGCTCGGGGAACTCGTTCAGATAGCGCAGACCCTTCTGGTACTTCTCGAGACCGAGAGCGATGTTACCGCTCTTGAAGGCGGTGTTTCCGAAGTTCTTCAACTCGGAGGCGATCTTGAAGCACACAGGGGCACTCAGCTGCTCGCCCTGGTGGTCGTCAGGGAAGTCCTCGTAAGGGTCACCAGTGGTATCGGGGATCTGCTTATCGGCATCCTCGTACTCCTGGCCGGTGAGCTCGCCGCAGTCAACGATAGTCACGTCCGTGGCGGGCTTGTCTGCCTGGGTGGGCATGTTCTCGATCTTGCGAACGACGCTCTTTCCGTTGATCACCTCGCCGAAGACGACGTGCTTGCCGTCGAGGTGAGGGGTGGGAACGGTGGTAATGAAGAACTGACTGCCGTTGGTGCCGGGACCGGAGTTGGCCATGGAGAGGAGGAAAGGCCGATCATGCTTGAGATCGAAGTTCTCGTCGGGGAACTTCTCGCCGTAGATGGATTCGCCGCCCGTGCCGTTGAATGCAGTGAAGTCACCACCCTGGATCATAAACTGCTTGATCACGCGGTGGAAGATGGAACCTAATTAAGGCGTGATTGGTTAGTTGGGGGCTTGCGAAGGTCTTCGTCGGAGTAAACGGAAGCGGAGGGGAAAAATTGGGGCCGGAAAGTCGTCTGATCGTACCCTTGAAGCTCAAGGGCTTGCCCTGTTTGCCCACGCCCTTCTCGCCTGTGGAGAGAGCGCGGAAGTTCTCCGCAGTCTTAGGAACAACTATCAATTGGTCAGGGTTTGCGCAATAACCTCGTCGTTAAGCTCAGGCTGTCACTATACCATCGTTGAACTGCACGGGCGGGGTAGGTTAGCAAGGCTCTCTTCAGCCGGCGACCGCGGCGTCGCAAGGGAGTGGGCTGCGAGATGGAGGCTTGGTTAGCTTACCAGTTCGAGAGCAATGCGACCGGCCTTCTGCTCCCCGATCTGGATGTCGAAGTAAACACGGGGACGGCCTGTGAGAGCGCAATCGGTCAGTTATCTGAGCTTCCAAAGCTGGATCCCCGCGGCGGGGAAGAAGGAAAATCGGTACGCACGCTGAGACTCGGCCATGGTGGTGGATTAATTATTGGAGGCGTGGGAGGAAAATGGATGTAGAGGGAGAGAAGGGGAGAGAAGGACGAAGGTTGGCTGACACAAGAGAAAGAGGTAGAAGTGACTGAAGGAGGAAGAAGAAGAATGGTTGAAGTCCGACAATGCAGGAGTGGATAAATGAGGAGAAGTGAATGAGTGAGTGAGTGAGCGGGCTGGACCGGCCGTTGTTTGCGATGCTTCAAGAAGCTTCCATCGTTTGGCGCCTACCGGAAGAGCCAGCCAGCCATTCTTGCCCACCTATCCATCCGCCCTTTTCCTCCCTCTCTCTCTGTCTCTCTTTCCCTCCTTTCAGATTTCCTTTCCCCTCATTATTCCCCAGATTCAGTATTATTAGCCTTTGGAGCTATGATGATGATCTTATTTGATTATCTTCCATTAAAACGCCCCTCCCCCAGATCTATTATGGGTATGTCTATAAAAGAGCTTTTTGTATATACATCCGAACCAGAAGCTCAGGATCTCATTCCCATCGTATACTCACCATCATGATCATCATCATCATCACCATCATGATTGACGTGACGCATTTTGATCAATCTAACAACTCCGCGGGTATCTGGAATTCAAATGTCTGTGGCCGCGTTTCTTGTGGCTCGGCCTCCCCCTGGTTCTTCTTCTCCTTCTTCGGTAATTGAGTGTTGATTTCGATCGTAACCTATATCGATCCAAACACATCAGCGTCAGTCCAGCATTTTGGTGAAGGAAGCAGGAAGAGAAGCGAGAGCTTTACCACCGCATCTTCACTGCGGTAATCTACACCCACCGGCCCATCGTTCTTCAGCTCGACCTCCATCATCGCCTGGAAGATGCCATTCTTCACCCGCTCGGGCTTGTAGCTATTGCTCAGCTTCTGAAAGAAGTAGTCGTAGAGTTTGCGCGCGGTCTCCACATCGGCCGCAGCGTGAAAATCGGGTTTGCTTCCTTTCTTCAACTCGCCATAAAGTGTGAACTGGGACACTAGTAAAGGGGACCCGGTCAGTGAGCGCATCCGACAAGACACGGCGGAGTGACGACTGTACCACATAGCACTTCCCCGTCGATATCCTGGACGTTCTTCTTCCACTAGTCGGCAATTTGCCTCCGTCAGACGTGTTCTGCAAGAGCCGGAAATCTCCCTCACCTGTTTCTGATTGTCGTCGGACCAGAGCTTGGCTTTCAATATCCGCCCAACCATCGTATCGGCGTCTTTCTCCGTGTCTTCCTTACCCACGCCCGCGAGCACAAGCAGCCCCTGGCCAATCGACGACACTAGTTGTCCATCGACAGTTACTGAGGCGGACTTGACTCGTTGAAGAACCGCTGTGTGAGGCATCGGTCAGCGCTGTGTTATGCGCACTCATGGGAGGCCGCGCACCCTTCATAATGTAATGCGCCGAGCGGCAAATCAAGAATAGGTTGGGGAGACCAAGCGGAATTATATCGATATTGTTGTAGCGAGGCTATGAAAGTTTCTGGGCTGTTAGTCAATATCGGCCTCAATGCGGCGAGCGGATAAGTGCAAACGGCGGCGCATACCACTGGCACTGGACAGTAGCTGGTAGGATAGTGGTTTGACGTCAGCACAGTGCAGTCTGAATTATTCTCATCAATAAGTAATATTTTCGGTCTTCTACCTCAGATCTTGTCAGCCACAAAGAATAGTACTGAGTAGTTGGAAATGTAGCAGATACAATGAATCATGTATGACGGAGATCGTGAAGAGTGGTTGACCCCACGCCGCCCGTGCTCATTTCTGCCAGCCTTTTGCTACCGCCTACTACCTTGGGCCTTACTCCAGCTTCTGGGAAACCAAGACAAAGTATCAGGAGATTGACACTCCTTTACTACATCCCTGGAGACGGTCACGCCGCCCACGTATCGGTCAACAAAGAGTCGCTTAGGCAGATCCTTGCCCATAGTCTAGAATAATCGCACTTTCTCTCGAGCCGCCCTACTTCCCTTCTGCCCTGTGCATCCGATCGTTCCTCGGCGCTCGAGTTCCACTACCACGTCAATTTTCGAGTCCCAGCCCTCTCTGTTCATGTGAACAGCCCGCCGTCATGACGTCCCGAAAAACGCAGCAGGAGATCGATAAGACCTTCAAGAAGGTCGCGGAGGGCATCGTAACATTCGAAGGCATCTACGAGAAGATCCGCTCCGCGACGAACCCTACCCAGCGGGATAAGCTCGAAGAGAACCTGAAGCGCGAGATCAAGAAGCTCCAACGATATCGAGATCAGATCAAATCATGGGCATCTGGAAATGAGGTGAAAGACAAAGGTCCGCTGCTTGAGCAGCGCAGAGCCATCGAGACCGTGCGCCTCCCTCCGCCCTTCAATGCCTCGGCGAGGAGGAGAGCTGTTTGCTGACTAGGAGCTTAGTGTATGGAGCAATTCAAGGCTGTCGAGAAGGAAATGAAGACGAAAGCATACTCCAAGGAAGGCTTGTCGGCAGCGTCGAGATTAGATCCCAAGGAGAAGGAGAAGTTGGAAACCTGCGACTTCCTGTCGAACATGGTCGACGAGCTACAGCAGAGAATCGAGGCTATGGAAGCAGAGGAGGAGACGTTACATATGCAGATGAAGAAGGGGAAGAAGGACGTGGCCAAGACGAATCGCTTATCAGATATTTCGCGGATAACGGAACGTCATAAGTGGCACGTCAACAAACTGGAATTGTTGTTACGGTCGCTGCAGAACGGCAACGTCGAGACGCATCAAGTACTGGACCTGAAGGAGAGTATCAAGTACTATGTCGAGGATGGGCATAACTTGGACTACTCGGGCGAGGACGAGACCCTATACGATGATCTGGACATGGACAATGAGGCGGAGATGCAGTTCGGCATCGCAGGCGACAACGACCGCGTATCGTCGCAAGATACCCAGTCGATCCAAGAAGAGGAGCCCGAGACGGTCAAATCGAAAACGAAGAGCGATAGTACTGGGCCTCGACGACCATCCGCGCAGATGAAGTCCCCTCTTCCCGTGCTGGCCACCCTTCACCCCGCAACCTCGACAAGTGCCACCTCCGGAATGAAGCCCGCTCCCCCTCCAACGCGCCTGCCTGGAGAAACACTCAAGTACGCCTCGGCGGCCGCGGCGGCCGCTGCCAGTGACAAGAACGGAGTGGGAATTGCACCTCTACCGCCACCGCCAGGCGCGAGCCCCGCTTTCCCGCACGCCGTACCTGTATCCAAGCCTTCCACCTCCACGACCGCATCCCCCAGCGTCGCTCCTGCACAGCCCGTGTTGAAGTCGGCGTCGGGGGTCACGATAGCAGGCGAGGAGCCGAGTAGCCGTCACAAGACCCCTGTTGAAAGTCCGCACGTGGCTAGCGCGAGCACTTCGCGAGGCATGCCGCAGACCCCCGCCATGGATAAGGTTGAGGCCTCGACTAGCAGCAGCAGCAAATCACGGCCCACAACCAACGGTGATTCAAGCAAGGAGGACTCGCGCGATGGCGAGGAATCCATCTATCACCTCCCTCCGGGGCTGCAAGATCTTATTCAGTCCTTCGAAGTGACGAAGAGCCGTGCCGCGGCCAGTGCGACCAACCCGTCCCCGTCGGTGCAGCGTCTGTTGGCGGCCTCCCTTGCCAATTGCCCTGAGCCCGCTGACGCGGAGAAACCCCGGCACTACAAGCCACAGAACCCGTACAACACTCCTCTCTACTACCCCCAGGAACCTCTCCCTATCTTCGACGATCCGCGTCTTTACGACACGGGTCGTATCGACACGGACACTCTGTTCTATCTCTTCTACTACCGCCAGGGCTCCTACCAGCAGTACCTGGCTGCCAAGGCATTGAAGAACCAGAGCTGGCGGTTCCACAAGCAGTACCAGACATGGTTCCAGCGCCATGAGGAGCCCAAAACTATTACCGAAGAGTTTGAACAGGGAACCTACCGCTTCTTCGATTACGAGAGCACCTGGTACGTTTTTATCTTTCTTTTCTTTTTCCTTTTTGGCCGCAAGATTGCTTTTTTTTCAGTTTGGTCCAACCCAGGAAATAAATTAACTTTGGACTACAGGATGAACCGTCGTAAAGCGGATTTCAAGTTTGTCTACAAGTACCTTGAGGACGAACTATAGATATACGCAACATTACAACGACATCAAGTCGAGGGAAGGATTCTGTCTGTGTACATGTGTGTCGGTGTTTATTCCCATATCTCACATATGTAGATGAAGAGCGAAACAAGCCAGAAATCATTAAGACAAATCAATCTTCTCCGACAGCAGTCCGGTTGGGGGTTTTGTTCCTCGAAGCCTGATTCCATGGAGGACAGGGTTCTTCAGGAATACTGTTTCTCTTTTTACCTTTTCCGACCTACCCATACACAATCTCCCCTAACCCCCAACCCGTTTCCAACTGTCTGACCTGTCATCTGTCTGTATGTGTGTCATGAATCGATCTTGAACGTGATCTATGTGCATCTCACCTTTTCTCCTTCCCGTCTTATCCTTTTGTTTTCAGCTGTCAAATTGTCTTTCCAAAGCATGCAAGGGACGAACGAGGGCTTTATGAATGGGGGGAAGGGGGTTTTTTTACTTTCTAGGTATTTGCGGGATTAACAAATCCGGGGATGGAGTTTTTTTTTTATTTATGTGTGCTTTTTCTTCAACGTGTTTGAGCAACCAGCACGAACAAGAACAAATTTCTTTCCTAAACGATTTGACCCAGGCTTGAAGACTTGATTGATTGTTATTTATTTTGGTGGGATATCTCGACCTTGATATTGAATCGAATCGAATCGAATCTAAAGGGTTTGTTTGTGTTGCTCCTTTTCCCTCTGGTCTTTTTTTTTTGTCTGGTCTGAATCTGAATTCTTCCTGGAACCAACAAACCCGAAGCTAAGCTCGTCATTTTGAGAATGGAACGACTTAGCTGAGGATCGTTTCCCTTTCCCGGCTTTCCATTCGGCCGGACCGTGCTTCGATCTTGAGTACTCCGTTGCGTTACGTATGTAGATTGTACCTAGATGTATTTGTTCCTTGAGGAGGAAAGATCGGCGGGAAATGGACATGTTCTAGAATAGCGGGGTTGGGGTTGGGATTGGGATTCCAGGGTGATCCTTGTTATATATATATATATGTGTGTGTGTGTGTGTGTGTGGTGTGACTGTGGGTTTGATGTCTGATGTGTGATGAAGGGAGAGAAGGGGATGCTTGTATGAAACGGGGTCCATGTCTCCATGGAGAAGGGGGAAGAGGGAAGGGGGAAGAGGGGCGAGGAGGGGAGAAGGTTTAGGTTTGATACTTCATACTACTAGCAAGAGAGGGGGGTTGCATCTACCGAAAGTATATTCTGGTTTCGTGTTTGGATAGAATAGAAGACATACAGTACACTCAGAAAAGTATGTACTGTACAGTACATTCGGCAGATCTGCGACATGACATGCAGCAGTTCTTCAACACCTTAAGAAAGAGGAAAGAGGGGGAAAGAGAAACCTTGAAATATGCAGGGGGACTAAAAGAGTAGAAACGAATGAAGAAAAAAGGCAAAATGAAAACAAAGAAAACACAGTAGCAGAAGAATTCGGACATAACGTCATCGACTCGTGAAGATGGGATCTTTTTTTTTTCTTTTCTGCTCACCGTATAGTCAAGTTATCATCAATCAGATGGTCCGGTAGAAAGTCGGTGTAAAAATAGTCAGTCCACTAGCACGGACCCGAGAAACAACAAGATCGAAGGTGGTTTATTTGGTATTATTTTTTTTTTGACTCAAGATTGATCCGAGTTAAATCCTTTAGTGGCGGCAATGAGCGAGCGGGAGGGAGTCAATTCGATGGAGCGAGTGAGAAAAAGAGAGGAAGAGAGGGAGGGGCCTGTGAAGATGGGAAACAAAGGAAATCGAAATGAGCTCTGCGAAATAGCAGCCTTGAAGCAAGACCCAGACTCGGATGATGAGTGGGAACTCGAAGGAAAAGAAAGGCAAAGAGAGGAGCCGGACCCGAACTCGGACCCTCTTTCTGCTTGCTTGAGAGCTCCGTAGTACGTCCTCACCTACTCAATGTTTACTGGAATCGTAGATTGGGTATCACACCCGTGGAGACCGAAGGAATGGAAGGAAATTAAGGATGTTCGAGGAGAAGAAGAATGGGTCTGCGATGATGAATTACCGCCCGCTTGGATCAACTTGGTGAAGGAGGCAGAAACAAAAGACCAGTCGAGACTCGAGACCAAAAGACCCTGCCTGGCTAGCTAAGGATACTATAGATTCTTTCTCTTGTCAGGCACGGATGCCGGGTTGCCCAGTTCCCTCTTGCTATCTGCTATTTCTGGTTGACCACAGGTGCTGCGTGGATTACTGAGAAGATCGTGATAATGGATGTATTATTGTTCCCAACCCTGGCAGAGGCAGACAACCTCGCGGGGAGCCCTGCTGCTTCAATCTCTTTCTGCTTTGCTCGGATAACTCGGTCCGTACAACATGTCCTAAGTAATCATCATGCAAAGCATCAATAGGAACACTCCCGGGTCTGGGGTAATATCGCGCAGTCGCCTCACTTCCTCATACCGCAGGAACGATAGAGACTGAGCTTCAATGTCATGCGCGATTTTACACGCGCAGGAACAGGCTTGGAATGGGCAGTGGTGCCAATCATCGCAGGTCAGCTTCAATCTCATCCTGACCGCGAAGGGGGCTGTGCGATGCGGCAATTGAGTGCATGTGGTGTATGTGGTGTATGTGGTGTATGTATTCTCTCGTGCGCCTCTCTCTCTCTCGCTGTCTCTGTTCTTCTTCGGGGTCTTTGCCTTCAATCTCGCCATCATCGTCATTGTTGGTTGCTTTTCCCCGGACCAGATCCCACCCACCACCCGTGCTTCTTGGCACTTACAACAAGGCTGTCGAGCATTGGAGGCTCGAGAGAGAAACGGGAAATCGATCGTTGACAAAAACGCCCCGGGAAGCCCGTGCCGAACTGCGCGGTCGCCGCTGGCTGAGTCTGTCTATTCCCGGTTGGGGAAAACACCATCGTCAAAATTCGAGGGTTCTGGTGAATCTGACAATCTGTTCTCTTATCGCCCGCCAACCACCCACGATCCATTCCGATCGATCATGGATGGATTCGATCCCCTCCTCCTCTTCCTCCTCCGCTCTCTGCGGTCACGTTCCTCCCGCCGTTTCCCCAATTCTATGCATCTTCTGCATTTTCTTTCGCCCGATGGCCCGGGGTTCCGACTACTGCACAGGAGCGGCTCGTGACAGCTGAGCTGTAGCTACTTGCAGTAACAGTACTTTTGAATTTCTTATCGACATCATGATCGGGATGGTTTTCCGTTCACTCCCTCTCCAGTGCAGCTGGTGAGCTTTCGTCGGCAGGCTCCGCTTCAAACTTTCCCGCCTCCCTCGGGGAGAAGGAGATGAAGGACAACAACAGATCGAAGGGAAATGGCGGTCTTGTTGGAACGAGTCAGGAAATGGTCCTAGCCCGCATCATTTTTTTCCAGAACCTTGGCCAGTCCTTCATCGAGGCCCAACTTGCGACTAGGATGGTTGCAGCCGAAGCTCCACCGACTGTAATAATATTTTTTTCTTTTTCACTATTTGTGGGGGATCGCTCTTCCCTATGACGATATCTGGATGATTAGGTTGTTTTCGAGTGTCAGCCTTCACCGCAGAGTGTCTTGGACAGTTGGACTTTCTGCTGTTTGCCTGGAATGGCTCCTCTTTTTTCTCGGGCCGGAGTGGAGTCCGTCGCTGGTTACTTTCCGTCCCAAACACCAATCAGTAGAGCACAATCGCCCCTAGAAGCCTGGAAGAAGGTTCTTTGGTTCTTCGGTGCTTCTAGCGTCAGCACTAGCCGGGATCGCTTCACTTTGTAACCCGCCCGCTCGCCAATTGAAGTGCCCCGCTGGCGGGGGGGCTGTGTGTTTGTGAGTGAATGAGTAAGTGCTCAACTTACCAGTAAGTTGGCGCGCAGTCCCTCCCTCCTGCATTATTCCCGGCTACCACTCCCACTTCCACTCCCACTCCTTCCCATCCCCTCATTTCTCCTTCCCAATCCACTCTTCCCTTCCCACACCCTAGTTTCTTAGTGGAAGATCATACTAGTTACCTAGTTAGTAGCGCCGCTCACCTGATGATGTCGCCGTGGGTGCGTTCGTGTTGCTTAGCTTCTCTGGCGCTGGCCGTTTGGGCTGTTTTTACAGTGGAGAAGCACCGGCCGCGTCTAATGCAAGTGCGACGTAGTCGACCTGACCTGATCAAAGAAAACAATGGTTATAAAAACCCGGAGAGCCCTGTCTGGCCGGTCATGCTTTTAGTTGCTTTCTAGTATAACAATTTCTGTGTGGACATAAGAACCCTTGCAGACCATCACTTGAACTCTCTCTCTCTCTCGTTTTCTTTGATCGCTTCTTCACCGGTGTACATATCCTTTTCCTTTTCTTGACTCCACAATGTATGCCATGTCTGCAATGGTGAGTCCCAGTGCCGAGGCTCTTCTTCCCAGGGTATATCATGACTGACCCAACCGGCACAGAGCCCTCCTATGCATGAATGCCCACCAATGGAACACTCGTACTCGACCAGCAGTGAAGAGTCAATGCAATCGACTCTGGGATACATGGGCCACCCGTCGCTGTACGGGATGGTAGGGACGGAGATGTCCTTCGTGCCGCCCACATTCGAGCCCTCATCATACGACTCGACGCCCTTCAGTTCCCCCCAGACTGTCGCCTCCTCGACATTCGACATGTACTACCCCAGCCACAACTTCACGGCCTCGCCGATGGTCTATTCGCCCGAAGTCTACTCGTTCCACCAGCTTCCAGTTCAACCGTCTTCATTCCCGGTGCCCAATATAGAGTGGATCCCCACCCAATCCAGCCCGAACCCGGAAGTTGTCTACTCGCCCGTTGAAAGTTACGAGACCCTCGACGCGTCTAAGTGAGTTTCCTCCCCACCTATCTCCATTTTTTTTTTTTCTGTTTGTTTGTTTGTGTGTTGGTCAGCAGCAACAAGGACTAACCTTCGAACCCTGCAGACCCGTCAAGCCCTACACCTGCCAGGACTGCAACAAGGCATTCACTCGGCCCGCCGATCTCAAACGCCATCAGACCAGTGTGCACAACCCTGTGTTCCAGGACTGTCCCGTGCAGGAATGTCTCCGCAAGGACGGCAATGGTTTCCCCCGTCGGGACCATCTGATCGAGCATCTGCGCTCCTTCCACCACTGGGACGTGCCCAAGCGGCGGGCAGCCAAGCGGGCTAAGACTGCCTGAGCGTGTGTCTTGTCTGTCTTTTGGTTGTGTGTGTGTTATGAATAGAGATACCCATTTCCTTTGTCTCTTGTCTGTTATTGTTTGATGTTTTAATGTTTTAATGTTTTAATGTCTTTATGTCCCCAACTTTCCTATGTTATATTATCTCATGTTATGTCTGTATGACCTCACGGAAGGGGGTGGGGGGGTTCTGGTTAAAGAACGGGGATGGCGTTGGCTTTGCTTGTGACATAGAATGGATGGAGCCTGGGGTGTTCATATCCGCATTTTTTGTCTCTCTTTTGGATCTTGGTGTTTCAATCTTCTTTCCTTTACTATCCTTCCATGTTAACATCTTATATAATTAGAGAGACTTATACACAAACTATGATCATACACTGCCGCCCTCCCTCCCACCTTAGTCCTACCCAACCCCATCCCAACCCCCTATCATCCTTCCTCAACTCCCTATCATCCTCCCTCAACCTAATACTTAATACAGATCCCCAAACTCAACAAAACAAACCCCCCTCGCCACCCCCTCCGAGTCAAACTCCACCCCCTCCCCCTCAAGCAACCGCCTCTTCATCCCAACCCCCTCCCTCGCCTTCCCGGGTGCCGCCCCTGCACCACCGGAGTACCCCACCAACCGGCCTGCACCCCCCAGCACCCGGTGACACGGCACCTCCGGCGCGAAAGGGTTCAGGCGCATCGCCGCCCCGATCGCCCGCGGGCTGGTGTCCAGGTGTCTCGCGAGCGCCGCATAGGTCGTCCACCTCCCTGCGGGCACGGACAGCAGCGCCAGGTAGATTCTTCGGCGGTGTGGGGGGAGGGCTGGGTGGGTTTTGAGGCGGGTTATTGTTTTTTGCAGGGTGGATTTGGGGGTGATTGTGGTTTGGGGGACAAGGCGGGAGGGGGATTTGGGGGTTGGGATTGTGGTTTTGGTTTCGGTTTTGGTTGTTGTTGTTGTTGTGGTTGTGGTTGTGGTTGTGGTTGTTGTTAGAGGTGAGGGTTTGGTGGTTGCCATGTTGCTTGCTTTGATTCTGGGGGATTGTAGAGATAAGTGTGCGGATGCTAGGTCGTGCTAGGCCTTAGGACGGGTATATGTGATGCAGTGCCCTTTTGCTTGTGGCTTATCTTGAGTCTTGTAGATTGTGTTGCAAATGTGGGTTGAGGCGTTTGAATTCGCTTGTTGCTGCTCTGTTGCTGGGTTTATGGATGCAGGTGCTGGTAGGGCTGGTCGAGCGTATTAGTAAGCTTGTGTATATCCAGGGATTTTTACTTGCCTTGGGCAGAATTCAAGGATTGGTAAGTCTCGAGTCTTGAGGGTAGGATTGAAGAGCGGTAGTGAGGTTATAAGCTAGGAGCAAGCTTATAAGTCTCAGTGACGGGGGTGTCGTGAACCCCCAAGTATGGATGAGGTCGCGTTGCGGTCAAATTGACCAATCATTGTCGACTCTCTCCGCGTAGGTTCGGAAGGTTATCCGGCCGGGGTGCATGCAAGCTGATGCCGCTGTCATTAGCTGACTGCTATCCTGTAGTGCAAAGAACATTTGCATGCTTGGTTTTGGGTGACTATGTCAGTCGGTCATTATGCAGGTTTTTCGTAATTGGTGTGTGCCTGATTAGCCTGATTAGCTGCTCTAGTAAATGAGGTACGCATACTGGGACGCACTACTATTTTCTATAGAGCTATCTACTGGCAAGGACTGCGGATAGTAACCGCTGTGTCTAGTCTACTGCACTCATTCTCCTTCTTCTGCTCGTCCACCAGCAAAATCCCCAACCATTATCTCCTATACATTCACATGCTCCACCACCAGGCTCCCCTTCCTGGCCGTCGTCTCAACATATCCCGGGTTCTCCGCCTTCAACCTGGCAAACGTCTTCTCCGCATCCCACACCCAAGGAGTCTCCGCCGCAAACAACAGATCCATATCCTCCAACGTGCGCTGGTTACTCTCGGGATACAGCGCCCACACCATGGGAATAGTGATGACATTGCTAGCGGCAAACACATACAGGGTCTTCTCGCCGATAGCGCTGAACATGACGGGGCACAAAAGGGTCTAAATCTGTTAGTGTCTGTTCGCACCCCCAAATCAAAAAAGCACGGGCTTATGAAAGGCACAACTCACCAGCCATCCGTTGCCTATACTCCACCCGACCACGCCCCAGGCATTTCCGCGGGCCCGCACCGCCAGCGGATAGATCTCCGCAGGGTAGATCCAGGGCACTATCTAAATTAGCCCCCGAAAACACACAGTAGGGTCCGAAACGATCGACCAAAAACATACCGGTCAGCCATGTTGCACCGAACACGGAGGTGAAGATAAAGATCATCGCGGCCGCCGCCGCGCCGAACGAGGCCGCCTTGTCGTCGTTGCCCGCCTCCCGCGCGTTGATGGCCAGCCGCGAGAATCCTCCCGCCAGGAACATCGCGATCCCCTGCGCTGTCGAGCCCCAGTACAGTGTCCACCGGCGACCGATGCGATCAAGCGTGAATACGCAGACAAGAGTGGCGAACTTTTCCGACTGTTAATGTCTGCGTGGTGGTGCAGTCCGGAAGCTGATTTACTTACCATGTAGAAGATATTGTTCAGCCCACTGAGCCATTGGCTTTTCATCGAGTCAAACCCGGCGATACTGAAGATTGTCGGTGCATCTGTTTGGTGTTAGATTCTGAGCCTACTTCGAAACGGTCATCTGGACAAAACGCACAAACCGTCACGCCTGCAATGCCGACCCACTCCTGCATGATCTGCAACCAGATCACCAGCTGTACTCGTCGGCCCAGGTGCAACTTCCCTGTCTTGTATCCGAACAACATGGCCAGGTACGACGTGCTGTGATTCAGAGATCGCTCCAGCTCGGCCACACTCTGGATGTCGCGGAACTCCGCCTCAGCGCGCACAGCATCATCCCCCGTGTTGCCGCGCAGCCGGCCGAGGATGTACCGGGCTTCTTGCTCCCGGCCGACCTTGACGAGCCAGCGGGGCGACTCGGGGAAGAACCAGACCACGCCGAACAACATGAGCAGGAAGATGATCTGGAAGGCGATGGGGAAGCGCCAGCGGAAAGCGGACCGGCCGCCGTCGATGAAGGACAGGCCACTTTGCGAGATCGTTGGTTAGCCATGCAGAACAAAGAGCGACCATCAGGGTGAACTTACAACTCCAACCAATACGCGACCACCACACCGAAGATATTCAGCGTGAACTCAATGGCAATGAACTGTCCTCGCGAAGTATGCTCAGCCGTCTCCGTCGCCCAAACAGGGACGATGGCATTCAGGATCCCCGTCCCGATACCATTGACCAAACGTGCTACCAACAAACATCAGCCCAATTCCCTGTACAGTCGCCCGAAATCAAATGGGAAAGGAACTTTTCTCACCGCAAATCATCCAATCGTGGTTCTGCGCCGAACACTGCAGACAGGCGCCGACGACCGCCCACGCCGCACCAACAGCAATCGTCCTAATCCGGCCGATCTTGTCTCCGATCCAACCCCCCAGCAACGCACCGCACAGCGTCCCAAGGTAGTAGACGGACACGATACCCCCTTGTAGTAGACTGTCCGTGACCACGGCGGTCAGCTCCCCGTTCTTCATTTCCGTGTACCCGAATCCCATCAAGTCGATGTAGTCCTTGGAATTGTTCACACCGGCCATCACACCCTGGTCATAGCCGAAGAAGAGGATCGAGAGCGCGGCGACGCTGTTGATGGCGATCAGGAGCGCGCGCTTTTCGAATCGATGCACCACGTTCCATGATGGGATGAGGTCCATTGTGGCGGTGTTGCTCCCTCTGAGTGATATTGCGTGCGAGTGTTATATACACTTTCTTGATTTGAGTGTGATACCACAGACTCCCAACCTGAAAGTAAAGGCTAACCCACGTGGAAACGTGAAGCGCATACACTGAAATCGAGAAAACTAGAGGAAGACTAGCTAAGCTAAACTAAAGTACAGGGTGACACAAACGTCTTTAAATAAGGGCCTCGCTGCAAGCAGCCAGCTGGCACGGCACTCCTCCGCAAATCTGCATGAATCTAGACGGCTAGTCCCGCTCCCATGGGGAGTGAGTGCAGGATACAGCGTTAGAGTGGTGGTAATAGCTGTAATGGTGGCCTGGACCCCCACGATCTTGTCGAATATGGTTACATTCCGGGTGGGAGAAAGTCGGGGGTTGCGGGGGGTGTGGTGTGGGATGACTGGCTGGGTGCAAACCAGTCTCGCACGAGATCCACCCGAGAGACGAATCTGGCTCGACAGGGTTGGGTTGGGGGACCATTATGGATGGGGCTTAAAGCTGCCAGGGGAATATCGTCATCCACGTAAACCGGGAGGATCGGCCGGTCAGGGTTTCCGGGTCGGGGGGATGGAAGGGGAGGGAGGGTTCGGGGCGGGCTGGTCGGTATCAGGGGATGAGGAAGACTGCCACGCTATGTGTGTGGTCTGCAAGGGTCATATGAGATGCTACGTGAGGGGCTATGAAATGTATTCCTGGTTGGGCAGTATAGTTTGGGAGGGGATGTGTGAGATAGATAGGCATCCTGGTCGCTCTTCTGCAGGCATCACCACGGGTGAGCATATCCCGGATACATGCGTCCAGCAAGTCACTGAAGAGACGATCACTCGGCGGTCATCTTAGCACAAGTCTCGCTACCACACTGGCTCTAGATACTCATTGCTAGAAATAACAAGCCCATAAAGAACGACAAATTGGGCAGCATCAGATAGTCCAAATTGCCGTTACCCCTCGTTATTCCCCATTGCGGGGATGGCCTATTGGGGGAAATCGGGCGGATCTGCTCCGCCTCTCGCCTGTTTGGGCAATTGCCGGGCTGGACGGAGTCAAAACAAGCCTGATCGATGGCTTTGATGGGAGGAGTGTCTCTATCTCGGCTATCTACTTAGGTTTAGCTGTTCCTCCTGCTGATGTGCTACTACCATTTCAGATCTTCTATATTCAACCGGGGATCTTTGCTGTGCTACTGGCATCTCAGGTGACTATTGCCAAGAAGGATCTACTAGATTACTCTATCCAGCGGAATAATGGTTGGAGACATTGGTCGTGCAAGTTGAGAGTCGAGACGGTACGTCATCGTTAGTTAGTCTGAATCCTGCTCACAATACTAGATACTTACTCATGCTAGCGCCGTTAGTTACCGATCACGTTATGGCTCCCGAGTCCGACGGGCCTTTCACAATATATATCTCGCGGGCTTGGCAGCATTGGCTTACACAACCACTGAGAACTACTACTCAGGTGATGTGCTATTAGTCTACTAGCAAAGAGGCGATTTACTGCCGGAGTAATGCTAAATTGGAAGGTTAAGCTACCCGAATGATGGATCTGAATAATGGGTCGACTAGCTAACATCTTGCCTGAGTAAATATATCTGGCACGTCTCGTCTCGTCGATCACCAGCCCCTTCCCTTCAAGCTTTCATATGGCCTTGCCATGAGGACTGTCCATGCTGCAACTGTCATGGGGACAGCCTCCGCTGCTGGGTCCCGCAAGCTAGTTGGCTTGCCTCATCATAAACTCCAGTGTCCCCAGCTAAAACTCTGTCAATATTGTTGACAAGCCGTTGAGGGACGACGGCGGAATTATGCCTGGACTGATCGAGCCAAGACAGCCGCGCTGTACCCGTGCTCATCCCTGTTAACTTACCCGCGGGTATTGATTCACCAGGTAACCTGCAGTGTTGCTGGGATCAGCCGCCGATGCAAGCCGCAGCTGAGCGGGGGGGTTGAGGTCATGGCTGTTGTTGTTGTTATTGTTGTTGTTGTTTAGTTGTATACAGCTAGTTCCCGTCTCCTCTGAAGTTTGCAGTTCTGAGACTGTTGAAGACGGAAGGCTCGGAGCGGTGACCGCCAAAAGGCAGTGAGTGGTCCAGACGGAGCCTGAGGTATTTTGAGGCATCCAGCCTGTATTACTGATCCTCCGCCCGTACCATCCGTTACCGCCGATGCATTGATCACACTTGATGATGTTGTCACAGAGTCAGAACGTTGTTGACCCCGATTCCGACTGACACAGAAAGGGCAATGAACCAATCATCAATGAACAGCTGAGCTCTTTCGGTTTCAACACTTGATCCTCATCCTGTAGCGGAGACTCGGCCCATGCCTTTCTTTGCACCGGCAACATGGCAGACAGTTAACCGAATTGACCCGACGCTGACGCTGACTGGGTGGTGGTGTCCGGCTGATTACATATGCGACGGGATTTACAGTACGAGCGGTATTGATTGATACCGACCGGCCCGCCAGGCTGGCGAACCTCGAAAGCTTCGTTCGTCCCAACATCCATCGCCTTTTTCCTAATCCTATCCCATCCTCTCCAATCTCCTCCTTCCTCCCGCAATTGTCCCCTTCCCTCTCCTCCCGACCTCGCTCACTCGGAGGATTGGCTGTCTCTTGTAACCTTCATCTCCATCTGGGTTTTCTTTTTCTTTTCTTCGCTTCCTTCCCCTTATTCTCTCGCCATGTTCCGCACTCTCCTACCGCGGGCGACACCGCGGACTGCCCTCCGCTGTGCCGGCCCCAAGGCTGTCCCTTCCAACTTCGTCGCTGCCCCCTCCCTCGCTTTCTTCGGACGTACACAACGTGGCTATGCCTCTGAGTCAGGTACGTGACCGTTTTCCTCGATGTCCGGGCGCCTGCTGAGGCCTACTGAGCTCGATGCCTGCTCGCCCGGACTAACCTTTCCCGGTCTCTTCCCGGCTAACCGCTTGCTTCATGGGGCAGGCGAGCACGACGTCGTGATCATTGGTGGTGGTGTCGCTGGTTACGTTGCTGCTATCAAGGCTGGTCAGGAGGGTCTGAAGGTATGATACAATCCTCTCCCCCGCTCATCGCTGTCGGTGTCGGTGGGCTTTACTAATCTCCGTCACTTTCCCCCCAAAACAGACTGCCTGTATCGAGAAGCGTGGTCGTCTCGGTGGTACTTGCCTGAACGTCGGCTGTATCCCCTCGAAATCCCTGTTGAACAACTCCCACCTGTACCACCAGATCCTCCACGACACGAAAAAGCGCGGTATCGAGGTCGGCGATGTCAAGCTCAACCTTGAGCAGATGATGAAGGCCAAGGACACCTCCGTCGAGGGTCTGACCAAGGGTATCGAGTTCTTGTTCAAGAAGAACGGCGTCGACTACGTCAAGGGTACCGGTGCTTTGGTCGACGAGAACACCGTCAAGGTCAACCTGCTGGAAGGTGGTGAGCAGACTCTGCGCGGCAAGAACATCATCGTCGCCACCGGTTCTGAGGCCACTCCCTTCCCTGGCCTGAACATCGATGAGAAGAGAATCATCACCAGCACTGGCGCTCTCTCCCTCAAGGAGGTCCCCAAGAAGATGGTCGTTATCGGTGGTGGTATCATCGGTCTGGAGATGGTAGGATATATCCGGTAGCGTTGCTTCAAAAGGTCTGCGCTAACCTGCTGTTCTTGTAGGCTTCCGTCTGGTCCCGTCTCGGTTCTGAGGTCACCGTCGTTGAGTTCTTGGGTCAGATCGGTGGTCCCGGCATGGACGCCGACATCGCCAAGCAGGCTCAGAAGATCCTGCAGAAGCAGGGCATCAAGTTCAAGACCGGCACCAAGGTCACGAAGGGTGACGACAGCGGTGCCACCGTCTCCTTGAGCGTCGAGGCCGCCAAGGGCGGTAAGGAGGAGACTCTGGACGCCGATGTCGTTCTGGTCGCCATTGGTCGCCGTCCCTTCACCGAGGGATTGGGCCTCGAGAACGTTGGCATCGAGAAGGACGAGCGTGGCCGTCTGGTCATCGACCAGGAGTACCGCACCAAGGTCCCCCACATCCGTGTGATCGGTGACTGCACTTTCGGTCCCATGCTTGCCCACAAGGCTGAGGAGGAGGCCGTTGCCGTCGTCGAGTACATCAAGAAGGGTCACGGTCACGTCAACTACGGCGTCATCCCCAGCGTCATGTACACCCACCCCGAGGTCGCCTGGGTTGGCCAGAACGAGCAGGAGGTCAAGGCTGCTGGCGTCAAGTACCGCGTCGGTACCTTCCCCTTCAGCGCCAACTCCCGCGCCAAGACCAACCTCGACACCGAGGGTCAGGTCAAGTTCATCGCCGATGCCGAGACCGACCGCATCCTCGGTGTCCACATCATTGGCCCCAACGCCGGTGAGATGATCGCCGAGGCCACCCTTGCTGTCGAGTACGGCGCCTCTTGCGAGGACATTGCCCGCACCTGCCACGCTCACCCCACCCTGGCTGAGGCTTTCAAGGAGGCTGCCATGGCCACCTACTCCAAGGCCATCCACTTCTAAGCTCCTCCTCTCTCCAACCCGCCATTCTGTACCTCATCTCTAGCCTAGCCCCTGCTAGCAAATCCCGTGTAGCATTGACACCATTATATTTCCTATGTCGTTGAGTGTAATCGAACTTTCATGAATCAAATAGTGTTTTGGAACATTAGACCGGCATGGGCACATCATCTTTTGTTTCTCGCCTGAGGACTATATACTTATTATCGTCGCATAACCAGCTCGCATGTCAAATGTGGGGTGGTTAGCTGCAACTCACCAATAATGGCACCTTACGAAAATCAATTTGTATGTAGTCCTCCTACAAGCCTCATTTAATAGAGACCAAAGCAACGGCTCCGGTACATCCGAAGCTACAAGATCAGTTTTTGTCTTCAAAAAAACCCTTCGTATATTGCTTAGTTCAAGTAGATTCATAAATCGAATTACTCTCATCTCTGGACCTCATGGATCTCAATAAGGAAAGTCAATCTAACTAGGATTCTCTTCCAGCAGATTGATGTTCTGTAAATCGAGATATTGGTTTGTTCAATAAAGCGTCAAAGTGCGATCTGCAAAGATGTTCGTTCATACATCAGTAGATAGCGCAAAAGAATCCATATCGAAGAAAAAAAAAAAGGAGTCTTAGTGTTTAATGTAGGAAATCACGGTACAATTTTCTAATTAAGCCATATATATGTATCGCTGTCTCTAACACAGCAAGCAGCTTGGGGAAAAAAAAAGAATATCAAAAAAGATATCTCCGATGCGGGGAATCGAACCCCGAGCTGCTGTGTGAGAGACAGCGATGTTAGCCATTACACCACATCGGATCTTGTTGAATGACAGAGGTATTGTTGATGTCATGTTCTGTTACAACGTTTCGAGGCAGGAGATGTCCGTCCAAGGCGAAATGTGGAAGGTGGGGTGGGCGTTGCTGATCTTGAGGGTTGTAGTCACTATAAGGCAAGGCTGGTGGTAATATGTTTGCTGCCTTTCATGAGTCATGTTTATTTGCGCTAATATCTGGAAATTACTTTGAAGTTCTAGCTTGAAGACAGGTGAAATCGAGCAGTATCGTAGTCATTAGACATTGTTGCAGTGGTCTAGAATGATATCGGTTTGCGCCGAAATTTGGGAAACTTTCTCAGATTTAGCAGCAGCAGCAGCAGCAACAGCCTTATGGCCCCACGCTCTCAAATTCCCGCTCGCAGTTAAAGCTTCGAGGTGGTTAACTTATGTGAAACTCTCTGCTATTTCTGTAGCTTGGTTTGGAATAGATTTGGTAGGTATATATTGAAGTCAAGAGCTTGCCCACGGACACAGGGCTCTGGGGGTAGACGAACTGGTGGTAGACGAAAGAAGGGCATTTCTTGATTTTTGCTGTTACAGGCGATAAGAAGCGAGGAGAGTTGCTCGGAATAATTCTGGGCTATAGAACTCTTTTCCTATTTTAGTTTGCTCTCAACTAAGAGGGGCTCCTGGTAGTAAACATCCTGCCTAGATTTTCTACGTTGAAGTTAAACTTATTCCGAGAAAGATGGATACTTCGATTCTCAAGAGTCTTTCGAGGTAGCGGAAGCTCTGTTCACCACGAACTACGGTGTTAAGTATAGAGTAGTCTTTCAGAACCATTAGGATATTATCTGTGGACTTTCTCAGTAGGTCGCCAGACAAGAAATTAAATGAAGTAAGAGGACGAAGAGAACTTGATTTTGAGATACCCAAGAATCCCACCTATATAAATGATATGAGCCTGACGGTGAAGACAAGAAAGATTTATTATACCATCCGGATGATAGTCTTCAGAATATCCGGGGGTACCAGACTCCCGTGGAAATGTCTTCTTAGTATCCACAGGAACTTGTAGTGAGGTTCAAAGACCATGAAGACATGAATCCCGCCGTGCGGACCTGGTAGGTTAAACGAGTCAAGCAGAGTGAGAACAAAGTACCGGCCTTCGTCGTCGGAATTTGCCTAGGTGATTAGCTTCGTGACTTGTAGCTCTATCAGCGGCGTATTCTTGGGATGCGTGAATGTTGGCATTAACTTTTATTGCGACGTAAAGTGGGAGGCAGCCAGTGCCATTCTTTGAAAGAGTTCGAGTAGATGAGGGGATTGAGGTGGTAGTAGAGTAGAAGTGAAATAGATAGTACTTACTGGTCAAGATCTCGAGCCAGCCAGACTGTGGACTTGATAGTGCCCACCAAGCTTCACAGCCACTTGTTATCAGTTAGCAAGCACCACATGGGTTTGGATGAGACGGAGACGCTTGGAGTCGTGGCGAGGTGCGCGCCTCTCTTCGGCACATTGAGAAGCGGAGAAAAGGCTGGCCGGGGCAGTTGACTGGACTTGGTACGGACTTCATCGCAGGAAGCCGAAAAGCGACGCTCATAGTGGTCTGAGTTGGAAGTTCATGGTATGACCTGGAAGATTGAGTAGTGGAGTTCGTGATCAAGTGTTGGCAGCATACAAGAAGCTCCTGCGGCAGCTGACGGTAGAATCTAGATCTCCTTCCTCACTTGTAGCGAGCTCGTGAGTCCCTCCTTCCCCTTCTGTTTAAATTCAGTGTGCTCGGTCTGTGGTAACCACGGTGGTCAAACAGGTACAAGATTCATGGTTGCAATTACCAATAGCTGTAGAAAGCCAGTGCGTGGAGTGATGAACGATTGGGGATTTGTTGTTGTTGTTGTCTAGATGGAAACATACTACTTGCTAATCAAAGACGACTACTAATGCAACAGCATAAACCACCCCAGATTTTGCATTCCAAAGTTTATGTCATAACCACCTCCCACACTAACACAGACGGATCAATCTAGAGTCAAAGAGCAGATATAACCGAGCTATGCCAGCCTTTGCACGTAGGCAAGAAGAACAACCCTTGCCCTCACAATTTTGCCTTCCACCACACACGTAACAAATTCCCTTTCCTACCATGCAGACAAAAGCAATCTCCCTTCCCCAACAATCCCCAATTCTGGGACAAAGCATATTGACCCTTCCCAAGTGGGCTTTTCAAAGTAAAGCTAGAGCTAGAGCTAGGGTGCGCCCAAGCCAGAGTCAGAACCAGAACCAGAGATAGCGCTGGACGTAAAGCTAAAACCCAAAGGAGATTCACCCACCTCATATCGGCACAGCATATGGTCCTCTTCGCAGGTCAGAAAGCGTCTTCGCTCTTCTCGTGGCTGTGCACATGGGAAAGCGTGGCTGCAGGTATGAGCGAAGGTAGAGTGTCGATGGGTTCCGTGACAAGGGTCCCCTGCTGCGTATACTGTCTCTGTGCTGGAGAAGGAGGACGATGAATAGTTGCTGGAGCAAGGGGAATCGAAGTCGTGGCAGTGATGCTGGTGATGATGGTAATAAAAACCCATGGTGCCGCTGTTACGTCGACATCTGCGGTGGATATGGATAGAATGGGAGTAATGTGAGTCGTAGTGATGGTGATGGTGTTGATTGCTCTCCCTTGAAGGACATGGAGCAAGGAAGGTTAGTTTACGCTGCAGAGCATCTCAGTCCCTAGGGACATCAAAGAGCATACGTTTGGGAGCTTGGCGAGGATTGCACCGTGGGGGGAGCGCGAGAACCGGAACGGGAACGAACGGACGAGATGTCGCTGTCTTCGCCCGGTGGGAGCTCGTTTCTGATCCGGTAGGTCACGTTGTTGGCGTTGGCGTTGAAGTTTTGCTCGATATTGGGAGCGGAGTGTCTGGGTCGACGGCAAAGGGAACGCTGAGGCATGATTAATGCGGGGGGGTTTGCAGATAGGGGAAGGTGGCAGCCAGAAGAAATGCTGTTATTCAAACTGCTCATATTGCAAGGTGGGGATGATGGAGCGCCCATTCTACATATTTATTTCCAGGGGGGCAAAGATGGGTCGCAGCTTGACTGCAGGCTACTCCCTGAATGGGCTAAAGCAGAACAGCATCCTCACCCAGCTTCGGAAGAATGTGCTACACAGACACAAAGCCATCGTCACACATCTGATGGTGTAGTTTGCCTTCGTCCTGCAATGCCTGCCTAGGGTCCAGGCACCAGTTCGGAGGGGAAGCTCCTCCAATCACCTACACTTGTAGTATGCAGTTACTTTCCGGGAGAGAGATGGTGGTGATGGTGGTATCTTAGCGCTATATTCATGCAATTCCTGCAGTAATGGGAATCAAGAGTGGAGTCAAGGCTTCCCTGCAACCTATGCTCAATGTGTTTCACGGACTGTCAAATCAATACCCAATCCAGTGTTCTATTCAATCCAACTTGAAAATGTGCCCAGAGGATGTAGGGAGCTCTTTGCTGTAAGACATCGATGGGGCGAAGGGCTGGACCCATTCTTTCAGCACAGCCAGGAAGGCGTCACTGACTGCGCTTACAGTCTCGTCGCGTGAAGTACCAGAGCTTTCAATGTAGACTAGATTCAAACGATCAGCATGAGGCCGGTCTCAGTCGCGGGGCATGAAACTTACTCTTGACTTTCGGTTCGGTTCCAGAAGAGCGGAATGTGAATCGAACGTCGCGGTCAAGCCATAGAGTCAGCATCTGGCTGTTCTTATCTATTGGAAGCTTGGGTTTCTGATCCTCGGTGCCGGAGTCGTATCCCTCTGTCATGTCTCGCCACCTGTGAATCTTGAACGAGCCAAGCGCCTTGGAAGTCCGGTAGGGACCGGCTCGGATGGCATTAAACAAACTCGCCGTGACCTCTGGACTGGGTGACCGGAAGTAAGTGTTAAGGGTTTCGTGATGCCCATGCTCCTTGAACAACTGTTGCAGTTTCATATAAGGCGTCATGCCCTGTGCCTTCCATTTTGCTTCTGCCAAGAGGAAGACCATTGCGGCAGAGATACCATCCTTGTCGTATGACACCTCGGGAAACATGTACCCCAGAGCCTCCTCATAGGCAAATGGAACGTAGTAGCCTAGCTCTTCAAGCCTGCGGGCTGTGTTCCCCATCCACTTGAAGCCAGTGAGGGATTCCTCATAGTGCATGCCCTTTGCTTTGGCCATCTTCTCCAGCATACTCGAAGAGACAGCCGAATTCAAGACCGCAACTCGTGTGTCACTGTCGATGGTCTCCAGAGAATCAAACAGATGTGACGCCAAGAGGACGCCCAGATGGTTTCCGGTGTAAATGAACCATGACCCGCTGCACATGGTTGCCAATTAGCGCAGAGCTTGCAACTCAGGCATGACTGATACTTACTCCACTTTCTCGGCCGCAGCGAATCGATCGGCATCCGGATCGTGAGCAATAACCAGCGGCCTCCCCTCCTTGTCCGCAATTTGCAAAGCCAGGTCTAGAGCGCCAGGCTCCTCCGGATTCGGGAAGGCAACAGTGGGAAAGTCTGGATTCGGATCTGCCTGCTCGGGCACCACTGTGAAATCAGTTATACCTACAGAGCGACACAACCCGGGAAATACCAAGCCTCCCACTCCGTGCAAGGGCGTGTAGACAAACGGCTGCGGTTGCTTCCATTCTCGAACGGTATAAGTCTGCAGGAGGTGTCAGCTGCGTCGAGCAGGTCTGGACAGGGGGTTTCTTACAGCATACTGCCAGACCGCCGTGTTGTAATGTGGCAAGATACTTTCGTATATCTTGTCGCGCAGATATTCGCTTGGTTGCAGCTCGTCCCAGGCCGTGGGCCATGGCGCCTGATTCTCTTCGATTGATTGGGCTATTTCCACGTCCATGGGACTATTGATCTGGGCACCATTCTTGAAATAGCTGGGATTCGTCAGTGATACTCAAAGGCAGTTGGAATTGTGCGTTCAGACACTTTGTAGCCTGTAGCCATCAATCAGCAATCGATACTCTCCCGGCAAACAAAGCGATGAGTACGTGTGTGAAGACCTACCATTGTCCTGTGCGGGATTCTACGGTCGTAAATTAGCCATGACTGTCTAGCTGCCCAATGGGTATTCAACATAGAAAGCTTACATGGCTGGCAGTAACCATAATGCCTGCAGCAGCGTGCAGGTGAGTTACACCGAAAGGGACGGTTGGAGTAACCGAGGACTCGGAGTAGAACCAGACCGGGATCTTTTGTGCGATGAAAGCATTGGCAGCCAATGCGGCGAATCTGTCCGAGTGATACCGCGCATCGTGACCGATGACCACACCGTAAGATGCAATGTCGCCGTGGTGGGTTTTCAGGTACTTTGCCAGTCCTTGGGAGGCCTGAATGACGGTCAAGGAGTTCATACAAGAGAAACCTGCTGCCATCCGCCCACGCAGACCCGCGGTCCCGAATTGGATACCTGCGAGATGCGATTAGACATAGCGGACAGAAGGTAGGCGCAGGTCGACGGGGTGCCACAGAAGCGGAATCAAGCGATGAAGTAAATGTGGTTATCAAGTCCAAGTTGAGACATACGTTTTTGCAAGCGCTGAGCTAGTTCCACCCAATCGCCCGAGTCGCGAAGCTGTTCAATTTCGGCACGGGTGGAGGGATCCTGTCATGGGGCGTGAACATTCATGTTTCATGATCCGCAACAGAGCCTATCGATAAACATACCTGGTCCCACTCCAGCCACCTTTGGATCAGTGGAGTGAGTGCTTCCTACGCAAACAACAACAAACCAGATGGAGTCAGAAATAAGCAGAGTCGGGAAGCCGTAGATTGCCGATAGAAGACTACTATACCTCTTGTGGATTGGTGGCCATCTTGGATCATACGACGAGGGGACGACAAAAAGAAATAACGGGATGAGATGATCCGGATGTCCAAGTCGGAAAGAAGACCGATGGAGGGGAGGGGGGGGGAAGAAAGGGGAAGAAAGTAAAGGGGAAATAGACAAGTAAGGGAATAAGCAAGCAAGCAAGCAAGCAAGCAATAGAGTTGGACCAACAAAGAAAATGCAAAGAGGAAAAAGGCTTGACTGGGTCTGGATGACAGTACAAACAGTCAGTCAAGTTTGTGGTGGGGGGGAGGGGAGAAAAGGGGAATACAAAGAAAGAGGGAAAGGATGGAAATGAATTGAAGATTCAAGATTGGGAGGGAGTGTGGCTTTGCTTTGCTTTGCTTTGCTTTGCTTTTGCTTCTGCTTTGTTCTTTTGCGTTGGTTGTCTGGATTCGGTGACGATCTGCGGCTCTCCCCGCCTTGGGCCGTTTTATTCTTAGCGGTTAATTGCTTACTGCACTAACAGTTTTAGTCTCCGCCATTCTTTCCGCCCGTTCCTCGACCTCGACGGACCGACGGACAGACAGACAGACAGACAGACAGACAGTCACAACAACAACAACAACCACCACTACCACCTCTTTCAAGTTTCATGCAAATCTCCTTACATTCTCTCCCTCCTCCCTCCCTCTCTGTCTTTTCTACTTCCCCCACCCCCCTTCGTTAATTCCTCTTCTTTTCGCTTTTCTCTAGTCTGCTATCTTCAATTGGATGTTCTTAGAGTACAATGCTCTTTTCCATTGACCGTTCCTGAACTCCACCGCTCCCAATTGTGATCTCACCGCGCAGGCAGCAATGGCCACAACGGGGAAGAATTCCGCAACCCGGAAGGAGACCGTCCTCTCGCGCCGCTACATCGAGGGTCTCATTGCGGAGGGCAAGCAGATCATCATCTTTGACGATCGCGTTCTGAAAGTCGACGCTTGGATTCCGTATCACCCCGGAGGTGACAAATCCATTCGACACATGGTCGGGAAGGATGCAACGGATGAGATCAATGCGTACGTGGCCTCACGCTTGGGCCATACGCCCATACGAACTATACTAAACTAACTTGGTGCTTCGATATGATACAGATTACATTCCAAGGAAGCGCGTCAACGCATGCTCTCGTTCCAGATCGGTCGCATCCAGGGTCCATGGTTGAACTTCCTGCCTCCGTTCCAGGGCGGGAAGTTCCGCCCGTATGCCGAGGATTGCTTGTCCGATGATGAAAGTTCAGGCCAGGAGAGTTCCGGACAAGAGACATCACAGCCTCCTTCCCCGATCTTTGACGCAATAGATTCAAATGCTTCGGTCCGTCAGCGTAAGCCTCCGTCCTCCGCCGATACGGCGATTCTAGCCGAACCACTCGAAGACGAGTCCAAACCGAAACCGTTCTTCCTCGATGCGCGCACCCGGGAAGAGATTATCTTCGACACGGCCAAGTTCCCCTCCCTCGACGTGGACAACCAAGAGAAGATCCGACACCGATATCGTCTGTTAGACCAACAGATTCGGGCCGAGGGCCTGTACGACTGCCGCTATTTCTCGTACTTCATCGAATGCTGTCGGTACACACTATTCGTGGCGCTCTCATATTACTTCCTCAACCTTGGGTGGTATGGGACCTCCGGATTCTTCCTGGGATGCTTCTGGCACCAGCTCGTCTTCACTGCCCATGATGCTGGCCACATGGGCATCACGCATAACTTCCACTGCGACACTGTGATCGGTATCATTATTGCCGACTACCTGGGCGGACTGAGTCTTGGGTGGTGGAAACGGAGCCACAACGTTCATCACATCGTGACTAACGCCCCCGAGCATGATCCGGACATTGAGCATATGCCTTTCTTTGCCGTTTCCCACCGCTTCCTCACCAACCTTCGAAGCACATACTACGACCGCGTGATGACCTTCGACGCCGCGGCGAAATTCCTGCTGCGCTTCCAGAACTATCTCTATTACCCCATCCTACTGTTCGGGCGATTCAATCTCTACCGGTTGAGCTGGGAGTATCTGTTCATGGGCCAAGCGCCGAAGAAGGGGCCCGCCTGGTGGCACCGCTGGTTCGAGATTGGCGGGCAGGTGTTCTTCTGGTATTGGTTCGGCTACGGCGTGATGTACTGCACGATCCCGGACTGGAGCAGCAGGATGACCTTCCTGCTAATCTCGCACATGGTCACCTCGCCGCTCCACGTGCAGATCACCCTCTCGCACTTCGCGATGTCGACGTCCGACATGGGCGTCAACGAGTCCTTTCCGCAGCGGATGCTCCGTACCACCATGGACGTCGACTGCCCGACCTGGCTCGACTGGTTCCACGGCGGTCTGCAGTTCCAGGCCATCCACCACCTGTACCCGCGCATCCCGCGCCACAACCTCCGACGCACCCAACGCCTGGTGCTGGATTTTTGCCGCGATACGGGCATCCCCTACACCATCTTCACCTTCTACGACGGCAACAAGGAGGTCATCGGCAAGCTGGGCGACGTGGCTAAGCAAGTCCGCATCCTGGAGGAGTGCAGGAAGGCGTGCGCTCAGCAGGGCGTGTTCTCCGATGACCACTAGATGCACTCGACATGACGGACGCGGCGGGGGACCAGCTGGAACTTCGATTTCAGGAGCTGTTGTGGCTGTGTTATGCCGGTGGCGTGTAAGCGTAGAATCAACGAATGTATATAGCCCCCCTGACCCACACTCACCCAGGCACCACTTTGTATAGTTGGACACGAGACTTACGAGGGTGGCTTTGATGTTACTTATGATGATTGGTATTCTTGATGACATGACGTTCGTTTGCTTACTTGGAGTCATGATGATCCCCCCACTCATGCCTTGGACGGGTAAATAGATAGATAGCAGTGCGTCTGAGCATCCGCTCAACTACTAAGCCTCGAACTCCCAAACCAGGGTATACCCTCCGCAACAGGCCCTCTAAGCTAAGCCATCCAACCGGACCTCTACTCTAGTAGACCCTGCATACTCACCCAACCAACCCCCCAGCACGAGCAACCTTCTTAGCCCTCTGCAGCCGCCGATTATGATTAGCCCGACTGGCCTTATTCTCCTCTTTCCGTTGTCTCGCCGCCGCCGGATTCTGCGCAGCGGAGGTGTTATCACCAGCACCAGCACCAGAAGCACCGCGTCCCGCACCGCGACCCCTCCCACCGCGCCCTCTCCCGCGACCCCCACCCCTACCTCTCATCGGCGACGACGACGACGACGAAGAACCCAGCCCCGACGCCTTGCCCCCGCTCTCCCCATCACCATCGCCATCATCACGACCCTTCCGATACGCCGTGGAAGCGAGAACGGGCTGATTGAACCCGCCACCAGCGCTCGCAACGCCGAGTTCCAGATCCTCGAGACGGGTCATCCGCGCCGGATCGCGGGAAAGCATCACCGCCCACCCCTCGATGGCCTCGTCCGTCATCCCGGTGTCGCGCTTCAGCGCGGCGCGGGGCTGCGCGCGCCGGGTCGCGGAGTCGCGGGCGAAGAGCGCCGGGTTGGATTTGTAGGCGCGGTACAGGGTGAGTTCGGTTTGTTCGGCCCCACCGCTGGGTTGTTGGTTCGCGGGTTTACCGGTTGTGGCTTCTTCGGCGGCGTCGGTCGTGTCGACTGTTCCGCCGACGTCGGTTACGTCGTAGGTGTCGTCGCGTTCGTCGTCGTCGGAGTCGAAGGTGGCCAGGGCGGACATGATGGCTGCTTTGTGGACGGCGTGGTTGCTGCGGTCGGATAGGAGTGAGTCGGCGGTTAGGGTTGGGTTGGCGCGGCCGAAGCGGAGGTGCTGGTCATCTGTGCGGGCGAGTTCGGCGAGGTCGATCTCGTTGTCGAAGATGTTTTTCCTTGGGGTCGGCGCGGTTGCTACTGACTCTAATGCTGAGGGAGAGTGCGGTGGGAAGGGGTCGTGGTGGTGGTGGTTTGTTGTGGGTGATGGTGTTGGGAGAGATTCGGTTTTGTCGAGGGATTGTAGCTCCGGTGGTATGGAGTCGTCGAGGAGGTGCGCGACGATGGTTTCCGGGTCGTCGTTGTAGTGGTCTAGCAGGCGCGCGATGTAGCCTGTGCCTAGGTCGGGGAATAGGTCTTGGATCTGCGTTATCAGGGACATCTTATGGATGTGGAGGTCTTCGGCGGCCTTGGGGAGGTCGTCGCTTGCCCGACCCTTGCCTTTGCTAATGGCTCGCTTGCGCGGTTTCTGGTAGCGGCGGTGGAAGTGCTGGGTTTCTTCTTGGTATGCGCGCAGGCTGGCGAGAAGGTCCTGACCTCTCTTCTGAGGGTTGGCGATTGCGCTTATGTGGCGCTCAAGACGACCCAGAAAGTCGGTGCTGCAGATGACGTCGGACAGAAGAGTGGGCTCCTTCTTCGTGCTGCTGCCAACCCCCGCACTCGCTTTCATGCTGTACAGCTGGTCTAAGAGAGAGGACAAATTGGGCTTGGAGCTCTTGATGAAGGAGCACAGCCCGACGTAGACATTTGCGACGAGCACTTTGCGAATATCCTCCCGTTTATGCGTCTGGTATGCGTCGAAGACGGTATCGAGAAAGTCGGAGCCCGCCATGAGCACTTTGCCGCAGCCAGGCAAGGCGGACGACAGGATAGTCAGAAGTCTGAGATCCATCAGGACCCCGGAGGGCCTGCTGGGATTGTAGGATGAAATTTCCTTGATTGCTTGGATCTTGGCCTTCTCAAGGCTGGACGTGATCGCATCCTCATGCTTGTCCCATGCATCAGCCAGTAGCCTCTTCAATGCGGAGCTCGAGGGGTAGCAGCAACACATGCCAGCAAGAAGCCCCCAGTCCAGCAGCTGTGGCGGAGTCGGCGAGACATCGAGGAGAAGTCTCCGTGTCAACAGGAAGCATAATTTGCGTAATGGGCGTGCTTTCGACCCGACCTGAGAGCGAGAGGCGCCGGATTGCACAGACTGATGGTAGAAGGAATTCAAAAATATCACAGTAGAGTCGTCGTCGACCACATAGTCCTTGAACTGCGACGCGGGCGCTTCGATGCGCAAGCTCAGAAGCATGACCCATGCATCTATATAGAGCTCCCATTCCGCGGGGGGGATGTTGCGCTGCACCTCCGGGGGTGGAACCGGCGCAAGAGGTGGTAAGCCGGGCATGACAGTGAAGCTATGATGAAGCGCAAACAGCGAGTAAGCTGGCAGATCTAGAGTCAACAACGGCGCAGCAGTCTATAAAGCAAAGAACAAGACAAGGTATTCATGAAATCATCAGCATCATCAGTGGTGGTTGCGACGGACATCATCATCGGCTCCATCGCCCGCCGCCGGATCAACTCTTGGCTTTACCCAATCCAGACGCCGCCGCGGAGCAAGACTGACTCAGCAATGCTCCATCTAAATCGGGGCTAGCGGCTGATAGGCGAGGGCGCCAAGCCCGACACCCGCACAAGAGCCGCTAAGCGCACGATCAAGGAGAAAAAAAAAATAGAGCGATTCAAACCCATTGAACTAGCCCGCGATAGCTACAGACCCTCTCAACAGCCATCATCACCTTACCGAACCCCCGAAGTTCAGGTCTTGATTGGTAGCCAGCCTCACCTTACGGTATGTTCTTCCCGCTAAAAGTTCTCTCTTCTTCTCCTGTTGTGAACGACAGCTGATCCTATCCCCTCCCTCTCACCAGCCATCTCAATCCCACGGTCTCACCCCACCGCTCAACTACATTCAAGATGTCTTTCCAGAAGCCCGAGAAGGATTTCGGCGAGGGCCCCGTACGTGATGATGCCTCCCTTCGATCCTTGCTGTCTTGAACATCGCAAGACCACGCATCGAGATTTGATTGCTTCGTGGTGGTCCATGAGACGAACGCAATGCGCGCAACATTTGACTAACAATATCTTGCTCGTCGCCTGTATATAGAAGGTCCACAAGATCCGCATCACTCTTACCTCTCGCAAGGTCGCCTCCCTCGAGAAGGTCTGCACTGAGCTGATCGACCGTGCCCGCTCCAAGTCCCTCCAGGTCAAGGGTCCCGTCCGTCTCCCTACCAAGACCCTTCACATCTCCACCCGTAAGACCCCCAACGGTGAGGGTTCCAAGACCTGGGACAAGTACGAGATGCGCATCCACAAGCGTCTCATCGAGTGAGTTCACCCCTCTGGCCCATAGACCGCATGTGCACGGTGAGAATCTGACCAGAGATATATAGCCTCCTCGCCCCCACCGAGACCGTCAAGCAGATCATCATCAACATCGAGGCTGGTGTTGAGGTTGAGGTCACCATTGCCGCTTAAATGCGTGCCTAAACTCTTTGTTGAGACTGGTGACCGGGGCGGCGGCGGCGCCGACGATGTGCTCGTCTGGCTTTTTGGGAGAGCTCGTGCTTCTAGGCTCATCCCGAGCACTTGTCGATGTCCGCTAAAACCTGGCATAAAAATGAAAAACTCAAAAAACCCGTAATCACGGCTCGCGGAGATGTAGCATGAAGTATGTTATTAGGCTGTAATTCTGATCCAGTACTAATGTCCTGTCCGATCCAACCTGGACGCCATTCATCTTTGGGAATAATATGTAAGCAGCTATTTACAATAAAAGGCCGTCCGCCCTATTTCTTCCGTCCATCAAAAGTCGAAGCTCACCCACTCAGTCTTGGGCGGTACTCTCGGGATGACCCCATCCTTGAAACATCCATTCGTCACGAAATACTCGTATTGCTGAGTTACCTCGGCCGTGTATTCCTCGGGTTTCGCCTGAGCATCCCTTAAACTGACCCCCTCAGGCGGTCCATCCGGGAAGAATATGCGAACATATGTTGCACGATCCTGAGGGTGAAGATAGCACGGCACATCGTTGATGTATTGTACCGGTTGCCCCTTCCATGATTTGAGTTTCTTTGTTATCGGATCATGGATTGTTTGCCCATTCAGAGGTGGAATGGGATTGAGCTCGCCCGGTTCACTCAACTTAATAACAGGGGCTGGCCCGGGTCCCAATGGCGTAGTAGGAGTGGCGGGTGCCCCTGAAGCTGCCGCTGGCGCCGCTCCTGCCCCGAATCCGGGGGCTGCTGCCGTGCCAAATCCAGGAGCCGATGCTGTGCCGAACCCAGGGGCTGCTGCTGTCGATGCTGTTGTGCCAAAGCCGGAAAACCCAGATGCTGTTTGGGAAGGGGCACCGAAACCAAGACTCTCCCCAGGGGCCGCAGCAGATGGCTTTTGGCCCAGCTGCGAGAATCCAGACTGGCCAAATGCTGGCGCAACTGGTGGTTGGGGCATGGTCCCAGACGGGAGCGCTTTGCCAAACGGGTTCGATTGCTGAGCACGAACAAAAGGCGATTCCGATGCATGGCCGAGGACAGCTTCAGACGTTGAATTCGCGAGCTGCGCAAATGGCGAAGGTTCTGCTGCGGACGCACCAAAGCCGCCAGCTGCCTTGGCGAACGGAGAAGATGTGCTGGGTGCTCCAAATGCGGTAGTCCCGGCAGTTGCAGGCTTACCAAAGGAAGGCTGGCCAAATCCAGATCCTGCCTGCCCAGATCCGGGCTGCCCGAATCCGACCTGCCCAAATGCTGGTTGGCCGAAATTTGGTTTCGCTGATGGCTGTCCAAACGTGGATGCCTGATTCAAAGTACTCGGCTGTCCAAAGCCAGATGCATGATGTGCGAGATTAGAAGATTGACCGAACCCAATCGCTGGGGCGTATGCAGGCTTTGCAAATCCCGACTGAGCCCCCAGGCCAGATGGCTGACCGAACGTTGGACCTGTGGGAGTAGGAGCCTTAATCTCACCAAAGAGCTTAGGCGAAGCCCCAAAATTGGTGGCGGGTTTCTTGACATTTACAATGTCGTTTCGATTCGGATGCTCCCTGGCACCGTCGAGAATATATTTGACAGCACCGTCCAGATCATTTAGAGCGGTTTCCATTTGGTTCACCGCAATGTTGTGTAGACTCTGGGCCTCTGAAACCGCTACCTCGGCTGCGTTACCGGCAGCAATTAGTTCGTAATGACGGAGTCGAAGTTCTTCAAAGCTCTGCTCTCGCTGAGGGCCTCCGAACAGTTGTCTCGGGGCATCTCGTCCCGGACCATAACATGAAAAGATCCATTCAGGGAGACCCTTGCCAGGAGTCAAATCTGCTTTGATATCGTCTGCAGTAACTCCATAGCTGAGTAGCGTCAGCGCCATACGTGAAGCCATGGGGAGGTGAGATGGTTGACTCACGGTGCATTCGGCTGGTTCTGTCCACCGCGACCTATATACTAATTAGCAAGCGCGCCAAACAGGGTAGGCTGCTGAGGGTAGCTTGTAAGCTCTGACGCGGGAGGTGAACAATCATGAAATGAATGCCGGGGCGGCAAACGCAAACACAGGGCCAATGAATATCTACAATCAACCCTGGAGGACTGATTACAGAATCATACATGAAGAAACAACAATGAATTGAAGGACACGGCGAGGGAGAGTGCAATTGGCGCCAGGGCCAAGAGATTAACATACCTCCTCCGCCTCCGCCTCCCCCGCCTCCTCCGCCGCCGCCGGAGAGAGCAGCGAATTTGTTCCCGCCTACTGTTTGCTTGCCGGGATGCTCATTGTAGCATCTGTCTGTAAGTCAACTTAGTAATGGATCCGTGAGACATGATTCAGTGCTAGAACAAGCATATCATGTTTAAAGGGTTGAGCAGGCTCGTACCTCCGTATTTACACCGGCCTCTCAAGAAATGCTGGCAAACGGGCATCTTGTGTTCGCGTCGTTCGGGTTCACGCAGCCAGTAGAAGCATACCAATGCGTCCTGTAGAGTCTTCGCGCAATGGCAGCCTCTTAGAGCCTGTCCGTTGATCCTCGGGAGACCAATCCAAAGATATGCGAAGGGCTAATGAAGACAAGCACAAAAATGATCGGAAAGTGAACCAAGATAAAGAGTGTTTGCAGTCTTCAGTAACTTGCAGACGACGACGATATTCTTTGTTGAAATGAAGTTGGGTTGTTCCGGTGACAATACGTTTAGTTTACCCGTCCCGGGCTCTCTTCGCCGCCTTCTGGCAGCATTTGCCGTGTTTGACCTGTACCGGCAATACATGCCATCCACACATGGGTGGTTACTTCCTTACATGCAACGCACATTTACTGTCTGTGTGCTTGGAGAGCAAATCCATTTGGTGTGAATGTCAAACAAAAGGAGATCATTACTACGCCTTTGATCTGTCCAGTAAGCGGTCATCAGGGCGGCAACACAAGACAGCAACCATGGCCTCTAATACACATAGCAATGCATCATAAAATTACATCAATCCCCATGTAAACTCCTATTCACCGAGTAAATCCCCATGAAATTAGTGCCGAAACGGATCATAGCCAGCACGACGCTGCACCTCAAGACTATTGCTTGGCACCACCGGTCGACGACACGAGTTTTGAATGGGCCAGGCTTTGCCGCAGAACGTCCCAGTTCAGCCCATCAACCTTCTCTCCGCCCAATGACTCAAGGTCGGTGGACAGGCTGCCCAATCTCCCTGTTGCTAGGCGTCGCATCATGACCGTATCCTTGTGGCCGTGGAGACCCCGGGCGTTTCCACGGAGTAGAGACTCCTCGAACCATTGTTCCTCCTGCTCATCGAATGGGAGTCCGATCAGTTCCATCGCCCTCGCACTGCGCGCGGGACCGGCCTCGCTTGACAGGACGTATTCGATGAGCTTCTCCAGGTAACTTTGACGGAGTTCTTCGTCGTGCTTGCGCGTGAAGTAGAACGCTTCGGTGATGCTTGCGCGGCACATGGTCTGGAAGAAAGCCTTTTGCACCTTCTCGGATGCCAGTGGCGGGGTCACGGTGAGGTAGTATGCCATGACGAGATTATCATCGTGTCTGGGGAGGTGTGGGAGGGTCAAGACGTAGAGGATCTCGTCGGGAAACGTGGGGATGATGGAGGGCTCGGTCAGGTATTCGACAGCTCGCTGCTCATATGCGACGGTCAGTAATCCGCGCATTCTATTGCCGCGGAGCTGTGGGATTGGAACATACTCTGAAATCCAGTCTGTCCAGGTTCCAGAGTCCATCTATGAACAGTCTGTACTTCTCCGGCAAGTGACACCGGCGTGAAAACTGAGTAGCCGCATCGTTATTGGTGCCGCGGCAGTCTTTGAGAATGTAGTATATCAATGACTGCTTGTGATGAATGTCGAGTGGAGAAGAGACAATATGTCCGATGAGTGTGCGCAGATCAGCATTGGAGCGCGGAGGATATAGTCGCGTCACTAAAGATCATATCGAGTCAACCATATGGTCAAGTTTCCAGCCTGAGGAGGGGAGAGCTACCTGCTTTGACGCCGAGCAACCCCAAAAGCCTGTCTGCGAAAAGCCGGTCCTCTAGCGCGCGGCGATTGGAAATGATCTGTTCGAAGAGCTTGCCATCGTAGCTGAAGTCTTTATTGAAGTGAAATATAGAGTCAAATTCCTCCCAAGGCGCCATCTTGACCTCTGTTGGCGAATTGACACTCTGCTGGAATCTCCTCGAGCGCCGACGGTAATATTGAAGCCGATGTTTGACAGTACCGTACAGCCCGATCCGTACAACGGGCGGGCTAAGGGCGGTGAGGCATGTGACTGTAAAGATTGCAAATGTTGTGGCAGAAAAGCAACACTATTCCGCTTCGGGCCGATATGTAAACAACCCACTTTCCACCTGCGGCGCTTTTTAATGTCAACTTTGGCACCTGCACACGGTCGTGATTCAGCCTTGATGCAGCTTCCACGGGCGACTAACATCGATACAGAATAATGTCGTCAATTGCAAGAGGTCGGCCATCCCGGCGCGCTGCTCCTCGCAGAAGTTACGTCCCAGAGGAGACGCCGTCAGATGAGGAGGATGCTGGAAACGTCACCCCCACGGCGCCCTCCCGGCACGAAGACGATGATGATGAAGATGAGGGCGAGCGTACTCCGGTCCCCAAGAAACCCAGCGCAGTCAAGAGATCATCGCGCAGACAAGCGACTGTCGAACCATCTACCGCTACATCGAGTGCCCCGCGCGCAACACGCAGACCCCGGAAATCGAGGACGGTGGATCCAACCGAGTCGTCGCAGTTGATCGACGAAGGCGAAAGTCTTGCGAGTGTCGAAGAAGCAGCCATTCCATCTACAACAAATGCTTCTCGTGCGACTCGCAGAACCCGCAAATCCAGGACGGTAGACCCTTCGGAGTCCTCGCAGCTCATCGACGAAGGTGAAAGTCTCGCAAGCGTCAGAGAACCAGAAATCCCCGCTACTTCGAGCGCTCCTCGCACAACTCGCAGAACCCGCAAGGCGAGAACAGTAGACCCGTCAGAGTCATCTCAGCTGGTCGAAGAAGGCGAAAGTTTTACAAGTGTGAAGGAACCGGAAGTCCCTCCGACCTCGAGTGCCCCTCGGCGCAGAACACGCAAATCGAGGACGGTAGAGCCATTGGAGTCGTCGCAGATGATAGACCCCAATGAAGAAGGGGAGAGTATTGCGACTATCAAGCCGCCGGACTCTCCGTCCGAGAACACGCCGGTGGCGGTTAAGACAAAGGGTAAGGCTTCGCCCCGCAAAGAAATTTCGCGTCTCCATGCCCAAGCAGGACCGTTGCTCACTTCCAACTCCAGAGCCCTCCACCTCCCCGCAGCCCCAGCCTCACTTGCAAACAGAGAGCGTGCCTCAGCTCGCCGACATCACCGAGACAGTAGTGAACAAGTCGCCGTCGAAGTCGCCGTCGAAATTCGATGAAGATGAAAAGCCACAGATCGCTCCCATAAACCCAAATACAACCATCCTCGAGAAGCCCATGGATATTATGCTGAAGTCCCGGACAACCGCCCCCTCCGCTTCTCAGGAGCCGTCGGGCCCAACGAGTCGCTTGATGATCACTACTCTAGTCATGATGAACTTCAAGAGTTATGCAGGCAAGCAGATTGTCGGCCCCTTTCACGCGTCCTTTTCCTCCGTCGTCGGACCGAACGGATCCGGTAAATCGAACGTCATCGATGCCTTGTTGTTTGTGTTCGGCTTCCGCGCAAGTAAAATGCGTCAGGGCAAGATATCGGCTTTGATTCACAATTCGGTCAATCACCCCAATTTGCCCTTCTGTGAAGTGGAAGTTCACTTCCAAGAAATCATCGACCTGCCGAACGGCACCCATGAAGTAGTCCCAGATTCCCAACTGATTATCTCCCGAAAGGCATTCAGAAACAACAGCAGCAAATACTATATGAACGCCAAAGAGACGAGCTTTACCGCCGTAACAACGCTGCTCCGTGACCGTGGTATCGACTTGGATCATAAGCGCTTTTTGATCCTCCAGGGTGAAGTCGAGTCTATTGCACAGATGAAGGCCAAGGCTGCCAACGAACACGAGGATGGACTGTTGGAGTACCTTGAGGATATCATCGGTACATCGAAGTACAAGACACCTATTGACGAGGCTGCCGCGGAACTCGAGACGTTGAACGATGTCTGTGTCGAAAAGAACAACCGTGTCCAGCACGTCGAGAAGGAAAAGGTTGCCCTCGAGGACAAGAAGGACAAGGCCATGTCTTATGTTCGGGATGAGAACGAGCTTGCTGAGAGACAATCAGCCCTCTATCAGATCTACATCGACGAATGCGCTGACAACATCCGAGTTACGGAAGAAGCTATTCTGCAGATGCAAGAGCTGCTGAACATGGAGCTCGAGAAGCACGAGGGTAACGAGTCTGGTATCAAAGAGCTTGAAAAGGCCTACAAACGTGGGATGCGGGAATACGAAAACATGGAAAAGGAGGTGCAGGCGCTTGTCAAGGAAATGGCCAAGTATGACAAGGAAAATGTCAAATTTGAAGAAAAGAAGAAGCATTTGGTTGCCAAGAAGAAGAAGCTAGAAAAGTCCATGGAGAGCGCTCGGCTTGCTGCTTCCGAATGCGAAAGTCTGGTACAGAAACATTCTGATGACATCGAGAAGAAAACCAATGAGACCACCGAGCTTGAGAAAGAAATGAAGGTCGAAGAGGAGGAGCTAGCCGAGATCCGTGAGAGTCTGAAAGGCAAGACCCAGGGTCTCTCGGATCAAATCACTGCAAAGCAGAAGTCCTTGGAGCCTTGGGATGAGAAGATCAACAAGAAGCTCTCGGCGGTCGCCGTGGCGCAAAGTGAGCTTGACATCCTTCGCGAGCGGAGCAACGCTGGTACTCTCCTGCTCGAGGAGGCACAGTCGAAAATATCTTCGATCGAGGAATCGTTGGCAACCAAGGAGAACGATCTTGAGGAACGCAAAGCCCAGAAAACTACCCTTGAGGAAGAGGTGGCGAAGCTGAACCACAAACTCAAGAAATATGCTCACCGAGAGCCCGAGGTGCGGGCCCATGTCTCCAGCGCTCGACAGAGGGCCGACGAGGCAAGAGCCAGCCTTGCAAGTACCCAGAATCGTGGCAGCGTTCTGTCGGGGTTGATGCGTTTGAAGGAGTCTGGTCGTATCGAGGGTTTCCACGGCCGGCTTGGAAACCTCGGTATGATTGATGAGAAGTTTGATGTTGCTATCTCGACCGCGTGTCCTGCTCTAGATAACATGGTGGTTGACACGGTTGAGGTTGGTCAACAATGCATCGACTACCTACGAAAGAACAACCTCGGTCGGGCCAACTTCATCCTGCTTGATCGTCTTCCTCGACGGGATATGTCCAAGGTTTCTACCCCTGAGAAGGTGCACCGACTCTTTGACTTGGTCAAGCCCAAGGATCCCAGATTCGCCCCAGCTTTCTACAGTGTGATGCAGAATACGCTCGTCGCCGAGGACTTGGAACAGGCAAACCGCATCGCGTATGGTGCTAAGCGGTGGCGAGTGGTGACTCTCAATGGACAACTCATTGATACATCCGGAACAATGAGTGGTGGTGGCAACCGAGTTGCACGGGGTGCGATGTCATCGAAACAAGTTGCTGATACCAGCCGAGAGCAGGTGGCCAAGCTTGAGGGCGATCTTGAGGAAATGGAGAAACAATTCCAGGACTTCCAGGAGAAGCAACGACAGATGGAGGCAGCGATCAGAGAGAGGATGGATGAGATTCCGCGAGTAGAGACTAAGATCCAAAAGATCATGATCGAAATCGAGAGCGCCAATCGCAGTCTGGCAGATGCTCAGCGTCGCGTCCAGGAACTCAGCGCCGAGCATAAACCGTCCAAGACTGATGCCAGTCGCGCCGCAAGCCTTGAGAAGCAGATTGCAGCCCTGGAGGAAGAGATCGAGGATCTCCGTGAACAGAAGGGCGGTATCGAAGAAGAGATCCAGAGCCTCCAGAACAAGATTATGGAGGTTGGTGGTGTCAGGCTTCGCGGACAGAAGGCCAAGGTCGACGGCCTCAAGGAGCAGATCAAGCTCCTGTCCGAGGAAATCTCGAACGCCGAGGTTGGCAAGTCCATGAATGAGAAGCTCATCACGAAGCACTCGAAAGCTCGCGCCAAGGCAGAGGAAGACCTTGAAGAAGTCGCGCAGGAACTCGAGAAGCTGAATGAGGACGTGGCCAACCAGGCTAGTGACGCATCGGGATGGAAGCAGAAGGTGGAGGAAGGCCAAGATGTAAGTTATGGTGTCATTGGCGAGCCAGAGCGGTTGACTAACTAGTGACAGGCGCTCGAAATCAAGAAAGAAGGCCTCCAGAGCATGAAGACCGAACTCGACGAAAAGGTGGCGGAACTTAACGAGTCTCGAGCGACGGAGATTGAAATGCGCAATAAGCTTGAGGAGAACCAGAAAGCTCTCTCTGAGAACGAAAAGCGTGGGCGCTACTGGCAGGACAAGCTGTCCAAGCTGACGCTGCAGAACATCAGTGATCTTGGGGAGGAGCAGCAGGCCACCGAACTTCAGGTTTTCACCAAGGATGAGTTGTCCGAAATGAACAAGGAGTCGCTGAAAGCCACCATTGCTGTCCTGGAGGAGAAGAACCAGAACGCTTCGGTTGACCTGACCGTCATTGAGGAGTACCGTCGAAGAGCAGCTGAACACGAAGCTCGCTCGGCCGATCTAGCCACTGCTCTTGCATCGCGGGACAGTGCCAAGGCTCGCCTCGACGGTCTCCGGTCAGCCCGTCTGAACGGATTCATGGAAGGCTTCGGTATCATCTCCCTTCGCCTGAAGGAGATGTATCAGATGATTACCATGGGAGGTAACGCCGAGTTGGAGTTGGTCGACTCGCTTGACCCCTTCTCCGAGGGTATTTTGTTCTCCGTGATGCCCCCCAAGAAGAGTTGGAAGAACATTGCCAACCTGTCTGGTGGTGAGAAGACATTGTCCAGTCTGGCGTTGGTGTTTGCTCTGCACCACTACAAGCCCACGCCGCTGTACGTCATGGACGAGATCGATGCTGCTCTGGATTTCCGAAACGTGAGTTCCCTTGGTATTTGGGACATATGAGACCTTAGCTAACAAGGAGGACAGGTCTCCATTGTGGCCTCGTACATCAAGGAGAGAACCAAGAACGCCCAGTTCATCGTCATCTCGCTGAGAAACAACATGGTAAGTCTATTTGTTATCTACTCGCCGTGCTGCTCATGCTAATAATTCTGTTCAGTTCGAACTTGCTTCGCGACTCGTTGGCATCTACAAGGTCAACCACATGACCAAGAGTGTGACAATCGAAAACAGGGACTACATCACCGGGCGGTGATTTCCTTACTGCATACGTTTTATGGCTTTCAGCACTTGGGCTGGTTGGGATAGGTTGGTTTACGGTGTGCGGGTTCGGGAATCTGCTCTATGGCTGTAAAGGCTGATGATGATGACTTTTTTCTATGTGTTTGATTGGATAAATGCAATTCTTGCGGTTTCATAAGGTTTTTTTTTTTTTTTTTTTTTTTTTTTTTTTTTTTTTTTCATCTGATTTCGATGTCGATGATATTGATGCGGATTTTCGTGTGGGCCATGGAAGTATATATTGACTGCAATCTAACAGTGACTTTGCAATATTGAGTGGGAGCAATGACTAGCTCGCGTAATCGATGTGAGTTCTACTTCATTCGAGAGAAAGTCTGCACTCTTCCTCGTCCTATGTCTTCATTCTCAACCCATTGTATACTCTTTCAATCGGTATAGACAAACCCTCCTCCCTTCAAAACAAACAAACAAACAAAACACTATCCTCCAGACCCAGCAATCAATCTTAGTAATTCGCTCCGGTCTGGCCTTTCTAGTCTAGTCTTACCGACGCACCCTCTTTGGGTGAGTGGTGCACTGGTGACGGAGTCTAAGGTTTAGACGCCGCGCCGCCGCGGTGGAGCAGCACCTTCCCCCCTCCCCCCCTCTCCCTCCCTCGTGCGGTCTTTTACTGAGAGAAACGAACTGAGGAAGGAAGGGTGGATTTTCTGGTGGATGTGGATGTCGATGTGGATATAGATGTGGGTTACCTTGCTTGTGGTTGGACAGGTGGGGCCGGCCTCTGCTTATTCATTGTTTGATGGGGATTTGAGGGACTTTCGTCTTTGGTGGGTTGACTTCTGTCGGGTTGGGATATGGATGCGGATGGGTTGGATGGGATCTCGTATGTGTTGTTTCTGGTGGTGTAGGTAGGTGGTTTGTATGTACATTAGGACTGTCTGTCGAGAGAGTTGGGACTCTGAGAAGGCGTGGCTGGGACGGCGGGTGATGACCGTGATGGTACTCGGGGTGGGTTGCTCCGTTTTGAGTCGGGTTTGACGGGCGGACGGCGGGGGCCTAGGGACTCATGGATCATGGATGGATGGATTAAACTGGGTGACTCCGGTCTTGAGTTGAGTCTGCGTGTCTCGACCTCGTTGATGTGAAATGTCTCAACTCTTAGGGTAAGTGACTAGTTGTCACTGTCAGTGCGGTGACAAATAGGTGTGTTCTGTTTGGAGGTAAAGTAGGCTGGGTTGTAGCTGTGGAGGGAATTTTGTTAGGTAACTCAATTCGATGCCGTTGGTTGCTTCGTCTGGATTCTGATTGAGGTCATCATCATGGTCATGCTAGATCTTTAGAATGTACTGGTATGGGTTTAGTGATGGTCCAAGAGAGTAGGAAACTGTCTGATACAGACAGTCAGTCTAGTAGAGTTGGACCAAAAGCATAGACGCCAGCACAGGCCAGGGCTGAAGCGGAAGAAGAGATCCAGGAACCAAGTTGAACCATCCACTCTTCCGCCCCCTTCCTGCGCCGTCACTCAGACTCTGAAGTCAGTCAGCTCAGGTCTTCGGAGCAGTTCACCGGCATTAGGATAGGGACGAAGGAATGGATAAGGCTAGGTAGTAAGTAAATAGGGCTAGGCCGAACCGTGGACATTGCCTACTCGGTAGTCCTAGTTTTCAACATGCAGAGTCAATTAATATACCAAGGAGCTCTCCTCGCTCTCATTCTTTAGTTCTTTAGCAGCTGAGCTCAGCTCAGCTCCTCACATGACCTACTAAATAGTCTAGTCTACTGTAAGAGTACCTGGCAGTGCCGCAGTGGCAGCCGACGCCATGCAAAAAAGCGGAGAATACTCGGCTGGAACTGCTGGACTCAAGGCCAAGCATCAAGATTGAAAGAAGAAGAGTCAAGATCAAACCGCCGGTGGTTGAATTGAGCGAATTTTTTTTCCTTTCCTTCGCGTCCCCGCCGTGGTGTTTTCCCTCTTTAGTCCGTCCGGTCGCAGCGGGTGTTCAGTTTCTCGATCCACTCTTCGCCAATCACACGGCCGCATTGCCACGTGGAGTTGAGGCCTGTTTCTGTGGTGATTGATTGGGTAGTTGAGCAGACTATGGGGAGTGGAGATCGAATCGAATTGGACTGAGATTGGAATTGAATTGATTTGCGGATGGATGTTCGTTCGTTCGTTCCCCTGGCACTGGCCAGTGGCCACCGTGACCGTGGACCAGGTAGTTTGTTCTTCCGCGGGTTGCCTTAGCCATTGCATTTACCCGCCCACAAGAAACAAACTCAACTTTCCCTCTGATCGTGTGCTTTCTTGCCTCATTCTCGTGGCCCGCTTCATCTCCCCACTACCCGGACTGGTAAATACCCTTACTTGTACTAGGTACTATGGTATTCTATAAGTATCTGGGTATTGATGGCAACTTCGCTGATCACGGGCCATGATCGCAATATGACTATCATCGGTGTACGTGTACGTGTAGCAAGCATCATCAGCCGGCACTGTGGCTTGCGGATAAAGATCCCCAGATGCAGCGGAGGCTGAAGATAACCCCGATAAGCGCCGATTCCCAGAGATAATCGGAGGAAACTGCATCCAGGACGCTGGATGCGGAGGCCCGGAATATACTTGTTGCTACGATGTAGCCAGGCCTGGCTTATGACATATCCAGCGCTGGGACACCTAACTCAAGTAGGGGCAACCGATTACACCTATCGCTCACGTCGAGTCCACTTGGATGGATAGATCGCTTCCTTTTCCTGGGTCGATCTATCGCCAGCTGCAAGGCTATTATGGGCATTGGCAGGCAGACAGGCAGCATTTGGGGCCCGGGGATATGGGGGCCGCGCTCAGTCAATCGCGTGGTGGTTGAGTGGTCCGGTCGGTCGCGATAAGAGAGGCAGAGCACATACACACCACCACCTACCCCCCAACAGTGGCCAGAATGATCCATGAGAACATTGACCATCTACAAGTTGACTCCTATGATGCATTGTGACGTGGTGGCCAAGCCCAGTCAAGAAGGTCAACAGGGAAGCTTCCCGGTCGACCTTCAGCCTAGTGCCCATTGGCGTCGGCTTAATTTCGTCGAAACTCGAGAGAAGGGAACGAACGACCGTTCAGTAAGTACAGTAAGACAACACGATCGATCATAATGAGACATTCTTGTTGCCCGGACAAAAGTCCCCGTGAGCTGTCAAGTAAGGAGGAAGAGAAGTCGTTCAAAGCCCGCGCGCGCGAACTGTCAGGGTTGCATGGGGGATGCGAATCGCCGACAGGCAGCAAAACCGCTACGGTAACAGCTGCTGTATGTATGTATGTATGTATGTATGTATGTATGTATGTATGTATGTATGTGTGCTGCACTCCGCATGCAGTGAATGTGAATCAGAAACCGTCCAGGAAGCAGCAGGAAACATCCGCGTGGCTAGAGATTGGGCTGAATGCGCAACAAGGTTCAATGGCCCCACGAAAAGCCGTTCCTTGAAGGGGAAGCACTGACAGAGAAGATGTATCGATGCTTTTCCTCAGTCTGTAAGATATTGTACTGTATTCCGTATTTGACAGTTCAATGCCGTGAGCCGATGTAATGGTTCAAGGTTAAGGGTTTCGCTGCCGTTTTCGAAGGATTGGAATCCATCCCGGTTGGGCCAATCGCCAACCCGCCCGGGAGCAAATCGGAGTGTAAGGAAACAGGTCGAGAGACATTCCATCCTTTGTTGTCTGACTCGATCCCCGGATATCTGACTATATCCTCATGGGGAGGGGAGAGGGGAAGAAAGCGGACTCGAGACTGGAGAGACAAGAGGAAAGGCCAAGGGTGGAAAAGTTCTAGATTGCTTCGTTTAACTTCAGGACAAGAAAGAATAAGGGAAGTAGCGGGGAAGGATTGCGTTGCTCCTCCAAAGTTCGACCATTCGCCCATTCATCCAAGTAGTAGTGAATCAATGATACTACCATGCTCTACTCCGGATTCCCTCCGCGTCGCAAGCCCACGACGATCAGTTACAACTTACAAGAAGCCTGCCTGGTTTGATCATCTCATTAATGCGACGCTATGAATCAATCTCCTACAGCAAGCGGAACGAAACACCCAACGAACACCGCCTGTTTCGTCGGGTCTCAACGGATAATCCGACCGTTGGCTTTTTCTTCTTCTTTTTTTCCCCTTTCCTTACTTTTTTTTTGCTTTTACCTTTTGTTTCTATATTATTGATCGTCCCTGGGCGGGCATGTGACAGGCAGAAAGCCCTCTCGCATCTCGACTCTTACTGAGTTGGGTTTAAGGTCCAGTGGTGGCTGACCGCACGGGAGAGACGTTGCCTGCAGAGCATCCAATATTGGTTGATTAAGGGAGGGAGTGAGTAACTACAGTAGGATGGATGATGCTGACAAGGTGGTGGCGGCGGTCATGCCAATCCCCGATTTCGCTGTCTGGCCGGTCATCATTTTTCCGTTCGAATATCATTCCGTCGAGGGTTGGCCCCGTAGGTAGGGGCCGCCAACCGTCCGTCTCTTATTCTATCCATCAATGAGGGGGCACCATTTAGAGTAGGCGTATCGAGATACGATTGTGATGCGCGGCTACGGAGACTGAAGTTGGAGAAACCACTCTTCCCATTCCCACATTCAACTCGCTTGTTGACTGGGTGTAGTTGAGTATGAGTACTGACTTACTTAGTTACTCCTCTACCTACCGCAGCCCGCAGGGATCCAGGAGGTAACCCTGGTTGCGCTATCGGCTATCTCGGACATGGGCGGCGGCAATATTTGATGTATGCTGGTCTGATCGATCTCGCCGGGCTCTTTGGCAATGCATTCCAGCCTGTGATTCCAATCGGCTCCTGCATGTCATTACTTTTCTTGCTGCCCCTCAGAAAGTCCGTACAGCGGCTTCCAGATCAGAAAAATAACAATGAAATAATCAAAAATAATGCAACCATAGCGAATACGAAAGACAGGAGGGGGAAGGGAGGGGGGGGGGGGGGGGGGGGGGCGCCGTGAGAACGGAGGGCCGTGGAAAGAAGAGCAGCAATGGCCGAGCAATTGATCAACAAAGAGAACAGAGAAATGTTCACTTCGGCGCATTCCAGTAAATTGAAGGGATCCTTGCCGATACTTGGGCTGATCGGAACCAGCAGCCTATCTGGGAATATCTATCTACCTGAGGGGAGCTGGAGCCGGTCAGAAATTCCCCAGAATAATCACCCGAGGTAGAACCACGAAGCTGGATAGGGTGTGGTCGTAAGGGCTCGCTGGGCCTGAAGTAGAGCATTTCCGGTGGTAATAATTGACTTCTTCCATCGGTCGTTCTATAGAGCTTCGATTGCGTAAAACGAAGCAGAGGCCGTCCCGTCAAATTGGGTACGGAGGTTTGTTAGGGTCCTCGGGCGTTTGAGAAAGTACCGCCTAAGGGGTGTGTATGTATGTCTCTGATTATTACCATACCACTAAACTACCACGACCGGCAATATCAGGCGCGGTTCTTCCTTACAGCCGGCAGACACTATGGCTCGAAGATCGGCAAGTCATCGGGTATGTTGTGATGAACATGAAGGGGAAAAAGATGACTAGTATAGTACTACATACAATCCATGCTCTCGTCCCGAGTCAGACCGTCAGACCGTCAGCATCAGCAAGCAAGTAATCGTGGGTTGAGATGCTTGTTCTGGTTCCCAAGTGGCTGCTGTCCTGCTAAGTCGCCTTAGGCCGAAACCGTTTTCTGTCGGGCTCCATCCGGCTGACGGGCTGAAGGGCGACTAGTCTAGGGCAGGGCTCTTAGGAGAGCTTACTAGATAGGGACGGCCTCCTGCCAATACAATATGAAAGGGAGGGGGAGGGGAAGGGGATCCAGAGCAATAGGTAACCCCGAGAAATCCAATAAACTATTTTAAACCACTATACGGGGGATACCCAGCGGAACATTGTTGCTGCTGCTCGTAGTGAGGGATGTTTCCCATGGAACGATGAAGCGCTGGAAGTACTAATTCCATAGTAGCTAATTAGTTAGTTAGGACTGGAACCAGAGTATGTGCTTGCGTTGGTAATCGGATAGTGTGGGACTCTCGATTGGTGGTTGGGTCACAATGCAGTAGAGGAGGGCTGAAGGTTCATGCCTCAGGCGGGTATGGTTACGTTACAGTTTGCTGTGTTCTTACCCGGTTTTTACCAAACTAAAACTAAACCCGGAACAGCCCAGACCAGCCCATGGAGTGAGTGAGTACTCGAGTTGAGTGCTGCTGCTACTGCTGCTTCTTCTGTTGCTGCCGATGCACTCCACTTCCGGGCGCCCCCCCCCCCCCCCCCTCCCCTACTTCAATCTTCTTCTTCTGCTTCCTTTCCCGATAACCAAATTCAATTAACACTAAAACTAACACTAACACTAAAACTAATCAGTATCAGGAAAACTAAACTAAATGTGTCTGTGATTATTCTAACTTGTTCCGCTCTACCCTCTCGAACCCGGTCTACCATCTCTCTTATTCTACTGCATCCCACCTCTTCTTCACTTCCTCTCCCTCTTTTTCTTTCCTCTTCTTACTTCCTCCCTCTTGGTCTTTGCTCTTGTCCCTGCAAGCTGGTCTTTGCAGTTGCAGTTGCACTGACTGACCATTGCTCGCTTGCCCCTGCTTACTTATTCGACTGCCTCCCGACTTTCTGGTTCTGGGCCACCCATACCCAGAATTTCCCTTCCCCTCCCAATTCTTTCTTCTCCCTCTCTTCTTTGCGGTGGTATCTTGCGTCATTGCTCCAGACTACCACCACTGTCGTCACCTACTTTGCAGTTTGGAAAGCATGTATTGCAATGATGGTCTAGTATGGTTGTTGGGTTACGTTAGACCTTAAGCTTTCACGGACATGGATTTTATAGTAAGTGGCGTCCTCCCCGTTGCTTTTCCTCATCGCAATCAGTTTGGGCCCTGCCTGTGAAAATGTGTGCTGGTGACGTGCCACGCCCATTGGATGTCTCAAGCGCATCGGATCGCATTGCTTTCTCGGGCATATCACCGTCGACTGTACGCGACGGTGTCTGAGACAAGCGTGCGACATGGCAAGGATTTTTGACTCTGCTCTTGTTCCACCCCGCCCTTGAGCCTCAGTCTAGCGCGCCAGTGGACTAACGCACGCGCCTTCAGCTTTCTTTGACGCATTTCTGCGAGGTGCATGGTCCAACCTCCATCATCTGCTCGCAGGTCCTCCCCTTCTCCTGCCAGCAATGCTATCCCGAGACATCCGATTATTCTCCCACTGATACCCCTGCCACCTCCCACGACACCGTCTCCTCCCAAGGCCTGCAGAGTCGAGCAAACAGCAAGCCCCCTTCGTCCTCGAAATCATCCGAAAGGCGTCCGGAAGCCGGCGACCGGTCGCCTCGGATTGAAGACCATCCGTATTTTTTGAAGAGCCAGGCCACACCCACCGAGGGTCAGCAGACTTCTGGCCACCTGGGAGGCACGGAGGGCGAAACCTGTGCCAGCTGCAGTTTGACGCTACCAGAAGATGTAAGCAAACAACTACCGCCGGGGGCGCCGGGGACTGCCAAGAGCGATGGCAAGGGTCGGAATGGCAGTCCGGTCCTGCGGTCCCGCCAGGTTGTTTACACCTGCGGCAATGGTCACGCTGATCACGAAGATGGCGGACACGACCCGCACAATTATTCGTCCTATCCGGAATCTCTCCATTCGTCCTCTGTTGCGTCAGATGTCTCTTGCCACACTCACATCCTCACATACTTGTCCCTGCGTGGACCTCCGAACCCTACCGATTACGCCATACTTCGTCGCTCCTCTATCCGGACCCTGAGTTGTGAGCTCTTGCCACGCGGGCTTTCTTCCGGACCCTTGAGTTTCGGCGACGGGATCGCTGGCTATACCATTGCGTTCATCTTCCGCCTCCCTGATCCCATGGCACGTGGCAAACGGCGCAGCTACGCGTTCCTCGCCTTGGCCGGCCGGGATGCCGGCAGGGCATTTCGGGCTTCTCCTGTGATTTGGCGTTGTTTTGGACGCATTGCGGCTGGCATGGCAAACTCGGCGGAAAGGTTTCAGGAGGAAGAGAAACGTCGGGAAGAGCAGAACAAGGGACCTGATCGAGATGGCAACAAGCCATACACTCCTGTCTCTTCGTTCCTTACTGGACGTGCTCTGGACCCGGCCAGTCAACTCCGCCGCCCTGGTCCGGTCCGTGCCAGAAACCTGTCCGAGATCGTGGGCAACCAATACATTTTCGCAGAAATCCACGCCAATTTCGTGGCCCTTCTCCAACAGCTGGGTAGTATGTTCGGCACCTTCCCTGTCTCGGAAGAGCAAATTATTAGCACCATCCGCGAAGAGGAGGGTGTTTCTGCAGCGAGACGGCAGTCTACCTCTACGGCAGGTGGGAAAGAGAAGTCTCGGCGCAAAGCCTCCCAGCAATACGATGATAATGATTTGGGAATGTCGACCTTGAACTTGTCTTCGGCTTCCGGGCCAAAACCCATCCCGATTACCCCCCGTCGCTCTGTCATCGCTTGAGTGATTACTCAACATTTTTGAACATTTTCAACAAACAAGTGAATCTTAGATTCATACAAACTACCGATTCCACAACACATTATTCTCTGTGGCATCTCAATACACTCCCAACCGCACCTTTCGGTCCGATCCGATTCTCATTTCGGACACTTCATGGTCGAGCTCTTCGGTGCTTACAATTTTCCCCTTTCGCGTACGGCTTGCTTCTGGGATTTCACATAGACTATGGCGTCTTCATCAAGATTGAGGTGGAGTTTGGGTTAGCTACATTCGTGGGGTTGCGTTAATCGTTTTTCATCATGTCTTTAGACAAGCGACCTCTGGCTTTTTTTTTCACTTCTTACCCCATGCCGCGTGTCACTGGCTGGGACTGTGTTATTATGATACTAATTTTGAAAGAGGCGGAAAGGTGAATGATGTGGTTCATGAATCCATGATTGAATGTCAGTACGAGGCAACGAAGGATGCACTTGTGAAGACATTTAGCATGCATGCATGTATGTAACTTATGGTATTAGGGTCTTATGGGACTTAATCACGATGTACTATCATAACATATTGTTCATCCTACCTAGACTAAATCATCAAGATCTATAGTGTAGTAGCGGTGTGGACTGTTTCAATTCCCCGCAACCCTCGGAGCTTAATGCACTGCTACAGGGGTATTGTATCAGAAATATCTCCGCGATAAGCTCCCCAAAGAACCCAGCGAGGTTCGAGTCATGACGGATGGACTGATTAGATATCTAACCGATATGCTAGATCGATACTTTAGATAACTCACTCCTTGTCACCGTCAGTGGAGAAATCTTGGAGTTTTATCAATCTTAGATTGTAGCTTGGTGATCCTGTCGAGTCATGTCTGGGGTATCCTGGAAATTAGACTAGTTGGGGCACCTGTGGCTCTTGCTTGTGGGAGTATATCAAGTAATTGCCTACAATGCTGGTCAGTTCTCTTTCTAGCGTTTAGGATACTTTCGTTCGAATTGAGATGGGATTCCCTATTGCAGCGATGCGGTGGGCATGTGCAGACAGCTCCTTGACAAGAAACATGGCATTTATACTACCTCCTACTCCCGAGATGTGATTAGAACAGCCTAAGCTGCGTGACAGGGTAGGAATTTGACACTCTTGGATTGCATGTTGTTGGGGAAGGAAAGGGTCGGCCTTGTTTGCACACGTTTGGCGTCGAAGTGGTTCAGCTTTATCTAGTTCCCACCACTCCATACTCCAACCGTTGAGTCTCACGACATTGGATTATTGCTTTTTACCATCCTCTATTTCCATCCGCTCAGCGGTCCTGCTCTTGTTTGTTTATGACTTTGCTCTCCGTTGCTCGTTCAAGAGACTACCACGCGTCCTTCCAATCCTTCATCCATCTATATGCACCCTCGAAAGAGATGCTACCTGGAACGGAATCCAAGCATATAGTCCCCATTCAGCTGTGCTGCTTCATACACCATGATTAACAAGATGATATCTGAAACTATTTAGTTGATTCTGGAGCTTGCAATGTACCCATCTATATCCAAACTACCGACTTTTCACATACCGTCGTCTCCATCTATATACATCACGCAAGCCCCCTGAGAGCCAACCTACCACTCCCCCTCCCCCTCACTCCCACTCCCCGAATACGCCTTCTTCCGCAACCTCCACAGCCCCCGCTCACGCGGCAACGAAGAACCCCCCGCCTGCCGATTCCTCGGATCCTCAATCACCGTCATCCAGGGCACGTTGGTACTCGCGCGACGCACGCGATCCTTCAGCAAAGCCGCCACGCGCTTCTCCTGGGCGTTGAGCTTTGCGTCGCTGTTGCTGCTGCTGCCCCGCTTGGCGAGCGAGATCTGGTGCTGTCGGACCGCGGCGCGGGCCGCGTAGTACTCCTCGCTGATCGCCCAGTTGGGGTTATCCAGCTGGCCGCGCACAAGAACCAGCGCGTGGCCTTGTTCGCGGGCCTCCTGGATCCGGGCCGCTGGGATCGGCGTTACGAGGTCTAGGGTCTGCGTGCTTGGGTTGATCTCCCGGACAAGCGCGAGGCCTAGGCTGTGGGATTTGCGTGGGTCCAGTGGGTTGGAGCTCCCTGCGCCGGAGAAGAGGTAGGGGAGGGATTCGTGGGGCGTGAGGGTTATGTTTGTGGTTAGGGTTGTTGATTTTGTTGTTAATGGGGGCGGGACGTTGGCTTCGGTGTCGTCGTCGTCGTCGTCGTCGCCGTCGTCGTCGTCGTCATCTGCCATGCTGGTGTCGGAGGCGGTGTCTGTTGTTGTTGTTGTGGTGGTGGTGGTGGTGGTGAATTCGGTGGTGGTGGAGTTATCGCCCAGAAGCGCGTTGGGCGATTCCACTGCGACGACGGCCACGATGCTTCCGTCTATGACCTCCGAGAGGAGGTCTGCGTCGATGCGTGAGCCCATTACCATGATGCCCTCGATGTTTTTGTTGGGTCCTGAGTAGTGGATTTGCATCGGCTGCGTGCGCGAGAGGGGCTGCTCGAGCCATATTGGGTGGTCGATGTCGCTGGGATGCGTCATGTGGAAGTAGGACTGCATTTGCATGGAGCGGAGTTGCGCGCTGGACCGGCTCACGAAGTCGGTCGGTTGCGATGGGAGGATGGTCAGAGGTACTTTGGCTTGAGCGGCCGCCTGGCCCAGTGGCTCGATCACCTCGGCCGGTCCCTTTTCGCTCATATAGACTACGTCGGATAGACCCAGAGAGCTCACCAGGTAGGTGGCGACTTCGAGTCCGAGCCCGAAGATCCATCCGGGGTAGTTGATGATCAGAGAGCATTGTGGGTAACTCGCCAGCAGCGAGCGGTAGCGGTCCATGAGATCTTTGGCTGCCAACACGTAGTGGTCGGGGTCTTCCTTCGGAGAGCTCGCTCCGATGTGATGCGCTCGAACGATGGTCCCGCTGCGAGAGTCATCCAGTGATGGATGAGAGAACGGAGGACCAAACACCGGGGAGCGCAGGTGGGCAAGGTATACCTGTCCCATTGGGGAGAATTCAGGCTGGCCGGGGTCCAGATCAAGAAAGGCGACGCCGTCGGTGTTGCGATAGCTGGACTCGGTTTGCGGCGCAGGACTAAGGAGATGATTCAGGAGGTAGCGACTGAAAGTGGACTTTCCAGATGCCTTGGGACCACAGATCAGTGTGCGGAGTCGTCCACCGCGCTGAGACAGCGACTTGATCGCCGAACTCCACTGCTTTTCGAGGTGCAGTGGCCGCAGATGTCTCTTCAAGGAGTCGTCCGCAGAGGTATACAGCTGAACAAGAGTTAGCGGCGGGCCTGGTAGAAGGAAACATGCGACCTACCACTGAGAACGTGCGCTTGGTTGAAGGCGATGCGCTCTTCAATGTCAGCTTGTCGGCCGCGGTGTTCTTGCCGTTCCAGACCCGTTCATACAGAGGCGACAGATGCCTGAGACGGTAGATCCCGCTGTGACATGACATGACTTCGATCTCGGCCGCACCGTCGACCCCAGATACGCATTTGATCACTGGCAGGGAATGCGTCGAAGGGGCGTAGACCCTGTAGACTCGGGACGAGGGATGCAGCTTCGCGCCCATGAGGCTTACCACGCCACGCTTGACCCAGAGATCGTAGTGACCGATTAAAACGAGGCTCTGAATTTTGTTAGCTTGCAAATATACGTTGAGGCTGGCAGTCATACCATCTTCTCCTTGATCCGGACGCAGAGCCTATGCTCGTCGCTGTACATGATATTGTTCTTGTTCAACCGGGTCTTCGATAGCGGAAATTCTTGCAGTTGCACGGGAGTATCGGCGGGTGACTCAAACCTATAGACATTAGTATGAAATGGAGGAGCTCGGTCTCAGAGGCTCACTCGTCAGCATCTCTCTGGAGCGAGGCGAGTTCGACGCCGTTGGCCTCCACGACGGCATTCTCTTCCTCCTCCGATTCTGGTTCAGATGAGGTTTGATCCTCGCCCCCTTGATTTGTGTCTGGAGTATATTGCTGCGAGCTTTTCTGCGAGCGTGTCACCCTGCGCGCATCTTGCACCGGCTCCTTGACTGAATCGGCATCCTTTCGCCGCGTAGATCGTGTTGGCTGGTTCTCTTCCTGCTCGACTGCGATCGCTTCTTCGGGAGAGCGCCGGGCCTTTTTCGAGGGAGGCTCACCGGCCGACTCGGCTGCGACAGGCTTTTCGACTGCCGCTGCTGCACTCTGTGCTTGTTGCTGACGAGCTTTGCGAGCCGCGACGGCGCTGAGCGGAGCTACCATGAACCAAGTCAGTATTGTTCTCGCTCGCGCTATCGCGCTAGCATGAGATAACAGGACGGGATCGAAGTACCAGCTGCTTGTGATTTTTCCGCCTTTCTCTTCATGGCTCCTGGTAAAGCAATTGACCGCACGTAGACTTACAGCTGCAAATGCGCAAGAGCGAGTTATCGGCGGCGGGACTACCAAAAAAAGGTTCATATTTGAGGCCGCGGACTTTCTCGGGTGGTCCGTGCATCGCGGAGCAGAAAAAAAGGTTATCGCTCAAAAAGTCCGGATCGGGTCCTTCGCAACTCGCAGAGACACGAGCCTCGTGCATGACTGTCTCACGTTTGCCTTTACGCTGACTCAGAGGATATCCGTATCTCAACGCACTTCTTCTTCGCTTCAATTTGTTCTGCAGCAGTGGTCAGGAGCAGCGCGTAACTGCTTGGCGTTCCGCATCGTACGTTGCGGTCACTTCAACTTGGAATTCCCGCATACACCAGATATCATTCCCCGAAGTCGCAATGGCATTCAAATCAGAAGACAAGGTCGCCGCTTCCGACGATGATGTTTCTATGAACTCATCATCCTCTGCTGAGTCGGCGACGAGCTCGGCGGGAGAGTCGAGCAGCGAGAGCGGAAGCGACAGCGAAAGCGAGAACACAACCACCGCTACCAAGTAGGCTCCCCTAGATCTTCTGGACACTACTTACCACTAACCACCTTTCTTTCATCTAGGCCCTCGTCCAGCGCCCCATCCCACGCCGCCCAACCATACAAGCCCCCCTCCGGGTTCAAGTCCGTGAAACAGCAGAGTGCCCCGAAAAGCAATGTCTCGTCGCTGCTGTCCGACCTGCGCGGCAAGCAGGTTTACCACATCACTGCGCCCGACTACCTCCCGCTCTCGAAAGTCGAAGAAATCTCGTTGGCCAAGATCATGCAGGGCAAGCCAGTGCTGAAATACAAGGGTGCACAATATGGGATTCCCGTGGAGAGCATCAACCAACCCGGTGGGGGCGGACAGACCCTCCAGCTTTACGATCAGAAGACCAAGACCTACTACAGTACGGCCGCCAGCAACATCCCGAGCTATCACATCCAAGAGCTGGTGGACCTGCCCCGTGAGTCCGAGGAGAATATCCTAGAAGCCGCCAAGGAGCAAGTCAAGCCTCCGCGCAAGCAACCCAAGAACCTCAAGATGCGCTTCCACCCCGTTGGAAGTGGCCAGTGCCCCCCTGAGACGATCGGTTCCAGCTCCGAGGAGTCCGAAGGCGAGGAGCCTACATTCAAAGTTCCCAAATCATTGGAGAAGGAGCGGGAAGAACGGAAGCGCAAGCACCACCCTACGGAGGAAGAAGGCGCTCACACTAGCGAGGTATCCCGCAAGAAGTCCAAGAAGCACACATCATCCCAGGAAGTGGAGCATGTAGAGGACGAAGAGGACAAGAAGAGCAAGAAGAAGTCGAGTAAGAGCCGAGACGAGAAGAAGCGGAAGAAAGCGGATAAGGCGGCTTGATTGAGACGAGAAGTGGAGTGGAGTGTGCACATGGTGTTGTGCTTTGTTCCTTATCCAAAAGTTCGGCATTATTAGACCAGGTGTAATATTGCGATTCTGTTTAAGCATGTGATCACTGTGATTGTGTCTACCTGTATATATGCACCAATCGCCAGCACCTCAATCTGGGCCGTTGTGCCTATTTTCAGCATTGGTCTTGTCTGCCCTTTATCGGGGAGGGTCTCCCCACTGCACCGGCCACCAATTACTAGTGTCGATCAAGCCCCGACTTTTGGGTTTCGAACAAGGCTGCTAGGCGTAGCCACTAAATCCTCGTACTGGAGCCTCGTGGATCAAGGAGACGATAGAAGCTGGGGCCTGTCAGGCTGCCTGAACAACATGAGGTCGGATAACCACATACTCGAAAGTATCTCTCTCCCTCTGGTTCAGGGAATCCATCCACCACCGGCGATCTTGTCTTTGACCAGAATTGGCCAGAATTCCCGGGGGTCCTCTCCTTGCGCCGGCGAGTATGGTAAGTAATTTGGATTTCATCCTAGATACCGCTGGGTAACGGTTGTCAGTGCTTATGTCAGCAGATCTAGTCAATGAGAACTGATAAATGACCAAGGCAGGCTCTGGGGAAAATCACATGTCAGAATAGTGATTGGAGGCTGTAATTTTGGGTGAACAGCTGATACAGACAAATGACGCCAGATGGAGCCGACCCCAGACAATGGATGAGTTGAGTTCACTCCGTACTAACTATGCATTGCTGCTTGCTTGCTTGCGTCTCTGCATCACACAAGCCAACCTGCTCCTACTTACTCACTTACTGCTCCTGCTCGACCGCCTAATTCTTCTTTCACTCTTTGACCCTCACATTCCAGGAGCTTTCCCCCCCCTCCCTTCCCCTTCCCTCAACTATCACAGTCTCTCCTTTCAGTCATGTCTAATCCAGCTCCGTCTCTGCTGCCTTGACGGCTTGCCTAGCCTTTGTGATTCCGGCATTCCTTCCCATAGCTATCTGTCACATCAGCTCTCTTATCAAAAAGCTTGTTAGTACACGTCTGGTGCGTCTGGCTCTTATTTTCTACGCCCTTTCTTCAGTTAAATTCTGGGAGACGAGCTTGCTCTGTGCGATCATAAATCCTTCTCAATAACCTAACAGGTCACATGCTTGCAGAACAGCTGTGTACTGTGTACTGTTTGACCTTTTAACGTGACCTAAACCTACTGACTCCCTTGATCCCAAAAGGCCGATCACGTTCCTCAAGGCTATCATCCGCCCAGATAGAGTCAGCATCTGCATCAAGTCCAACTACTCTGTAACCGTTTGCTTGACCTTCAATCGCTTCTGCCACCTTTTTTTCCAACCTTCTCAACAATGCGACCTTTTGTCGACGATACGAAGCGGCGGGCAGACCGTAGACTTAGCGCAAGCAAGCAGTCCATCTCGTCTAGCCGCATCTTCGCCAGTGCTTTCCCCGAACGACTGAAAGACGACCACGATGCTCAAGCCGACTTCTCTGCGCCTCCAGGTGGCGTCACAGCCCGCGACGGTCACATGCAGTACATGCAACAATCCATATTCTCCATGATCGCCGCTGTAGGATCTCGATCGGATTTCCATGCACGATTCGACGAATCTAGCGACAGCGAAGGGGAGACTGAAGATCGTACACCACGAGAGCCTGGAGACGTGCCATCGACATCTGCGTTGCCCAACAAGGTCGGGCCTGAAAGCAGCCGGTCTCCCAAGCCCACGAGCCCAACGCAGGATAGAGGGCGACGTCACCAAAGGGTCCTGTCCGAGAATAAGCTTTTGCGATCATATATGTCGACCGCCCAGCGAGGCATAGGGCGGCAGCCCACCATACATTCAGAGCCTCCTACAGATGATGAGATGTCTCGGGCCTCGACCCCCAGAAGACCACGCAGTGCTACGCCGCGGGCGGCTCCTGTTCTCAGTCGCATGGTCGAAGCCCAAGCCGCACTAGAGACGAGGGAAGCGTCCGGAAGTTCTTCGGATCGTGCGGGTGACGAAAGCGACAAAGATGGCAAGCAGTCGTCGGGGTCTTCACTCTCCATTCGACTCAAGGAGATGTTTGGGTTCGAGACCCCGGAGAAAGTGGTCGTCGAGTACGCATGTTCTCTGTTGCAGAGTATGCTGCTGCAAGGGTACTTATATGTCACGGAAGGCCATATCTGCTTCTACGCCTATTTACCGAAGAAATCCACCGTGGCTATCAAATCGGGCCATCTCCACAAACGGGGCCGGAAGAATCCGAAATACAATCGCTACTGGTTCTCGTTGAAAGGCGATGTACTATCATACTATGCGGACCCGTCGAATCTGTACTTCCCTAGCGGTCATGTTGATCTCCGCTATGGAATCTCTGCATCTCTAGCGGAGCCAAAGGACAAGAGCCGGGAAACGAGAGATTTCCAGGTCACGACGGATCAGCGAACCTACTACTTCAGGGCAGACAGCTCTGCGAGTGCCAAAGAATGGGTTAAGGCTCTACAGAAAGTCATTTTCAGAACTCACAACGAGGGCGACAGTGTCAAGATTTCCTTTCCAATCGAGAGCATTATCGACATCGAGGAAAGCCCGATGGTTGACTTTGCTGAAACCTTCAAGATCCGCATTGTGGAGAGCGAAGAGACATATGCCATTGATGAGGTACTCCCATCCACTGATTGCTCCGATGACGTCCGCTAATCTAAAATACGCAGTACTACTTTTCATTCTTCGATTCCGGCCAAGATGCTTTCAACTATATTAAAGGTCTCGTGGATAATTCTCCGATGAAGAGATCTCAACAGACTCTATCACCTCAACCCGATCGCTCCTGTCGCTCCCGGGTGGCGCAAAATAGGTGGTCGATCACCAGTGGGACAAGCCAGCCTCGGGGCATCGCAAATGCTAGCATGCAGCGAAGAAGAAGTGCAAGTGTCGGCCCGGTCGGTTTTGGCAATGATGCGATGGCAATGTCTCCTTCCCTGAAACAACAGGATTCTTCGATATCGTTCAGTAATACCCTGGAGCAAACCACAGAATCTTCAACTCTGTTGCAGTCTATGACAGATACAACGGAATCAGCCAGTCAGATCTTGAATAGGAGCGACGTCTTCCACTCGCCCACAATCCAAAGCTTGCGGAGGGGTTCCGCGGCTAATAGGACCCCGCGTCGATTCTCGGATGAGACGACTCGATCGATGCACGCCTATGCTCATGATGGCACAGGGGCCGCGTTGACAAGAGAAGGACAAGAAACTCAGTATGCACTGAGTGACCTCGATCAGGAGACTCAAAGTTCTTCCCGAGCTCAGCCCTCGGCGCACGCGTTGAATGACATCGTACGGGCGGGAACGTATCCCCTACAGCGCGCTGCAGGGTTTGCCGAATTCCTGCGAACACGCTCGAAGCAGATGAGCAACATTCTCGCAAGCGAGTCTATGGGCTACATTGAGAAGGTGTCCGGGATGTGGGCCGGGGGCCGCAAGCATTATGGCGAAGCCGAGGGGATACTGGCCGATGACCAGGCTGTCGATCCTGAAGACAAGGAAGGAGGCTGTAATGATGGCGACCGTTTCCGTGCGCACTTTGCGCTACCACCAACGGAGAAACTTCAAGCTACCTACTTCGCACACCTGCACCGAGTGCTACCTCTCTACGGAAAAATCTACATCAGTCAGAAGAAGCTCTGCTTCCGCAGCCTTCTGCCGGGCACTCGCACGAAGATGGTTCTTCCCTTGAAAGATATCGAAAACGTCGATAAGGAAAAGGGCTTCCGATTTGGCTATCATGGCCTTGTGGTCGTGATCCGAGGGCATGAAGAGCTGTTCTTCGAGTTTAGTGCTTCTGATATCCGGGATGATTGTGCTGTGACATTACATCAAGGCTTGGAGGCTGTGAGATTTCTGGCAGAGTCCGGTTTACTTGCCGCAGAAGAGGAAAAAGATGATTCGGAAGAAGCTAAGGCCGAGCATCGCATGCTCCAAGAAGCAAGGCTGGATGCATCCGCTTTGCATAGCTCTCGCTCCCCACTCGTGGAGTCCTCTGAACTGCACCCGATCTTCGATGATCCACGCGCCTCTATTATCAACTTCAAACCGCCCGAGTCGTTGAGAATCACTTGTCTGACCATCGGCTCACGCGGTGATGTACAGCCATACATCGCTTTGTGCAAGGGCCTCCTTGCGGAAGGCCATCGACCTAGGATCGCAACTCATGCTGAGTTCGGGCCGTGGGTGAGAAAGCACGGCATTGATTTTGCACCCGTTGACGGTGACCCCGCGGAACTAATGCGGATTTGCGTAGAAAATGGGATGTTCACCTATTCCTTTCTCAAAGAGGCTTCCATGAAGTTCCGGGGCTGGATTGACGATCTTTTATCGTCTGCCTGGAAGGCTTGTCAGGATAGTGACTTGCTCATTGAGTCACCGAGCGCAATGGCTGGTATCCATATCGCAGAGGCCCTCCGGATCCCATACTTCCGTGCCTTCACGATGCCCTGGTCCAGGACACGAGCTTATCCGCATGCATTCGCCGTTCCCGAGCACAAGATGGGCGGAGCCTACAACTATATAACATATGTTATGTTCGACAATGTCTTCTGGAAGGCTATCGCGGGACAGGTGAATCGGTGGAGAAAGAACGAGCTGGGTCTCAAAGCCACTGGGCTAGACAAAATGCAACCAAATAAGGTGCCGTTCCTATACAACTATTCCCCTACCGTGGTACCCCCACCACTGGACTATCCGGACTGGATCCGTATCACTGGATACTGGTTCTTAAATGAAGGAACGGACTGGACACCACCAGCCGATTTGGTGGAATTCATTCAACGGGCCCGCGCCGATGGCAAGAAGATTGTATATATTGGATTTGGCTCAATCGTCGTCTCCGACCCATCCGCTCTCACCCGGACTGTTGTCGAGTCTGTTCAGAAGGCGGATGTCCGTTGCATTCTGTCTAAGGGATGGTCTGATCGGCTGGGAGACCCTTCGAGTACAAAATCAGAGATTCCCCTGCCGTCGGAGATCTTCCAGATCCAGGCGGCGCCACACGACTGGCTCTTTTCGCAGATCGATGCCGCGGCGCATCACGGTGGGGCGGGAACCACTGGAGCTAGCTTGCGTGCTGGCGTTCCTACTATTGTCAAGCCTTTCTTTGGTGACCAGTTCTTTTTCGGCACGCGGGTCGAGGACCTGGGAGTGGGAATCTGCATGAAGAGGCTGAACGTGGCCTTGTTCTCAAGAGCTCTATGGGAAGCCACGCATGCTGAGCGGATGATCGTGAAAGCGCGTGAACTGGGCAAACAGATCCGCAGCGTAAGTCTGCTTCCCTGCAGAGCTTCTCAGTATTTAAGCTAATGTGAAAACAGGAAGACGGAGTGAATACCGCCATCCAGGCCATCTACCGTGACCTGGAATATGCAAAGACCTTAGCCCGACAGCGCTCGATTGTTTCATCGACGCCGTTCTCTCCGACCCCCGCAGCTAAGACGATCGCCGAGCAGGAGGCCGACGATGATGTGGCAGACATCGAAGAATGGACCTTCGTGGGCGATGACACGGAGGTTGAAATCACGAAGCGAATGCGCGAGTGAACAGTGTTCCATACACGAGAACCGCATATGTGGGTTCGACTTACTAAATAATGACTGATGACTACGTAGTCCAACATGGATAATCGACAGTAATGAGATTTTGTTTTGCGGTGGTCAGGACGCATGAAGCAGGATTGTATGCGCGGGCGTCTATCATGCTTTGCTTTTTGCTTTTTGACGATTCATGACGCTTTGCTGGGGATACTTCCGATACACTCTAATTACTTACTCTTCCTGTGTATGGAGCGTGCAGTTTGTTATATATAGATTGAGGTTTCATAGACTGATATACCAAGGGGACTGTTTTGCGCATTCAAACAATTGTGAATCTTGTTTGTTGAGAGAAATTCCAGCCTGCGGTCGACTGAAGCACATACCTAAGTACATGCAATGAGAAGATAAAATCAAAGACGCCAGATCATGACAAGACCAATCAACAGGATGTCGGTTCGGGAATATACAAAGAAAGTTTCGGGGTCTCCCAAGATTACTACTAACTTATTGCTGCTTCTCATCCTCATCGCCCTTACCCTCAGCCTTATCCTTCCGTCGTTGCACGACATCCCAATTGTAAACTCTAGCGGTAGCGACCTCGAGTGTCTGCGCAGCCGGACAAAATCAGCATCTTCCTTCCCCATACCCCCCCATACCATTGAAAGACTTTTAAAAAAAAACATACCGTAATCTGCTCCCTCAAAAACTCCAAATCCTCCTCACAATTCCCCAAACTCAACCGCGCAGCGGCCAATTTCTCCGTCAGCATTGTCGCGGCCTCGTCAACAGGGTACGCCAGCATGACATTCGCGCCGAGCCACAGATACACCTCGTCGGTGTCGGCGGGCGAGACGGTCGCGCGCGCGTACAGGGTATCATTGAGCTCGAAGTTTGTCTCCAGCGGAGTGGTGGAGGTATCTTTCCGGGAGGCCAGGAATCGCACCATCTCCAGCGTCTTCTTGATATCGGGGATCTTGTCGCGCAGCCCCTGGGCCCGCTTCGTCGTGTTCACTTCCATGAATTGGTACTTTGAGATCATTTCTTGGAAGGACCGTAGCGTCGGCTCGACCTCGCTTCGGCTGGAGACGTAGTCGGTTACGTTGTCGATGAAGGGGGCTGCGGGGATGCCGCGGGGGTTTGTTGGGGGACTATTTTTTTTTGGGGGATCGGAGGTTAGTGAGGGGGCGTGAGGGTGTATCGGGGGCCAGAGGGTGCATACGCGGGTTTCGTTTGGTCGGGCATTTTGTTTGGTGGTTGTTGGTTTTCTGTATAGGTGGGAGAGGAAGTGTGTAAGGTGGATGAGGGGAGTTTATCAAGATTAGTTCTAAGTTACTTGCGCGGAACTGTTAAGTGGGGGAGAGTTGATTACTGGTTTGGGAATGGTCGACCGCTGCCGGGGTGCTTGGTTTTCTGCCGGTTGGTTTATTTGAGGTGCGGAGTACACCCGACGGAACTACTACATCCTTCCATCACAACACAAGCACCACAGTACACTTACTGATACACCAGAACAATGAACCACCAGCACTAACAAAACCAAAATGGTCAACCTCCTCACCACCCCCGCAATCCTCTCCGCCTGGGAATCCCTCCCGACCTCAACCCGCAACGACCTCTCCCTCCCCTCCGCACTACACCTCTCCGACCCCATCTCCCACGCCCAATTGATCCAACTAGCCCGCTACTTCCGAACCACCCCATCGTCTACCCAAGATGCCAGCCCCCCCGACAAGACCAAGAATGAGGAAAGGACACTAAACGCCCTCCTCCAAGGCACAAAACTCCACGTTCCGCCCCCGCCTAAGAAACCCGAACCGGTATGCTCAACCCTTCCCCCCCCCCCTCCCCTTTGCTCTCCCCTATCCAAAAAGGAAAAGAAAAAGAAACTCAGCTAACCGCCAAAAGTCAAAATCCTACCTCACGCACAAATCCGCCCTCCTAGCCGCCGCCGAAGCAGACGCCTATAACCGCATGCTCACCTCCGCTCCTACCGCGACCATCGCCCGTGAATCCCCATCGATCTTCACCTCTAGTACCCCGCTTCTCTCTGCTCTGCATGATAAACACCATACTCCAGGGGTAATAGGAAAGGGGCAAAGGAATGCGGAAGACGAAGAAACAATCACCCCGTCGCTGGTGCTGAATATCTTTCTCTCGGTGTTGATCACGGGGTTTAGTGTCTTCTGGGCATTGCATAGTCTTATACCGACGGCCGGGGTGGGGGATGGGGTTAAGGTGTTGGTGGCGATGGGGGCGGCGGCGGGTGTTGGGATGGTCGAGGTGGGCATTTATGCGATTTATTTGCGGAAGGTGCGCGTTGCGAGGGGGAGGGAGAGGAGGGTGCGTGAGGTGAAGGTTTTGGTGGGGAGGGAGGAGGTTGGTGGTCGTGGTGGTAAAGATGGAGATGGAGATGGAGATGGAGGAGTGGTGGTTGGGGGGCGGGATGGCGATGGTCAGACTGGGGAGAAAGAGGAGATTTGGGGGAGAGGAGTTAATGGTGGGGTGAGGAGGAGGGTCCGGGAGAGGTGGGAGGAGAAGGAGAGGGGGAAGAAGGATCTGGGTGGTGGTCTTGCTGAGGAGTAGGTAACCTCCGTGGTTGTGTATACTATGATTGAATGTATGATGAAATGTGATATTATGATATGTATGCTCTATATTATGTAGGACGGGTGGTGGGTGGCATTAATGTAACAGGTAGTGTTCTATGGTGTGATTCTATGAAGCAATTGCATAACTATACTTGAAGCGTTGCTGATGTCTCTAACCAGATCTCGCGGAGATACACCCGTTGCCCTAACTCTTTCCTCAGGTTGAATGACCCGAGCTCAAAATGAAAACTACAGAGGAAAGTCGCCTGCATGTGTACGTTATTTACGGCTGAAGATTGGATAGTACCAGAGAATTATCATTGAAATCGAGTTAATATCACTAGGTATGCATGTGAGCACATGACAGAACAATGCCCCGTCAGATACTGCAATGAAGGCAAAGTCATGAGCACAAGCATAAGACGAGCACAAAGCAAACGACAGGCACAAGCCTTAGCTGACGCCACGCATAAGCAAGAGCAATGCTCAAGCAAACAATACCAAAATAGACGAGCCCCGAGCCCAACCTAAGAACCTTCTTCATCCTGGCTAGCCTCTTCCTCCACCACTTCCAGCGCGTCACCATCAATATGTCTAATCTCCAACTTTGTCTCGGCGTAGTTCTGATCCGCAAACGCCTGGTTCAACCACCCCAACACATGTTTCCACGCTCGCGGCATAATGCACTCAGAATTCAACTCCTCGCCCGACGCATAGCAATTGCATCCATGCTCGAGCATCGGCTCCACCGGCATGCCCAACGGATGCTCGGAGAGCACATACCCGCGACAACGCGAAGCGATGAAAGCCGCAAAAGAGGACGGATCAGATACGGCCATGTCCTTGTTCGCGCTTCTAAACTCGAACTTGGCCAGGTGGAGAGGGTTGGCGAGACAGATAGCTGAGATGAAAGGTCTCCAGGAGCACCCTAAGATTCACCATATGGAATCAGTTTCACTTCCATGAGTCACGTTCGGAAGGAGTGTGATCACGTACAATTCGCAGCCAAGTACTGAACAGCACCCAGTCCTCCCTCGGATACACCCACGACACTGATCCTCGCATCTGGACGGACCCGTCGCCCACGCGCGGACAGGATATCCTCGAACACGCGGTCGATATGCTGCTTCCAGGACTCATGACCGGGGATCGTGTTCCTGTGCGACATCTCCGGAGCAGGGTTCACCGCTGAGGGCCGGGGCAGGTGCTGCCAGTGCGTCTGCGTGATGGCTCGGCCAGAGGCGCAGTGCCAGACCAGTTGGCCGGTGTTAGCCAGTACAAGGGCGGTGTTGGGCATATCATTGCCGTCGTCAGCGTGGCCCTGGCGCAGAACGGCTTTAGCAAAGGACACGAGCGAGCCTGTGTTGATGCCGTCACAGCCGACGCTGCGGTAGGCCCAGATGCCCAGATCCTGGATGGGCTCGCCAAACACGACAACGATATGGGAGGCAGTCGACAGGTTCTTCGAGACCATGACCGGGACGTGAGCTTCCCCGGCTGTGGCAAATAATGGGAGGCGTAGGTGGTCGAGTCCGAGATCGCGCAGGCGGGCCAAGACGATGTTGCGAATACATTCTGGTCGGTAAAGCACAAAGTTATAGGATATGAACTGCAGAGACTGAGGGGTTTCCATGCAAACTCAACGTACCATTCATTGCCTCTCTCTGGACGTCATTCCAGCGGGGGTTACGATTGATTTTGTATTGAAACTCCTGTGTTGGGTCGGAGATCTTGCGGATCTGGTCGTTGTCGGTGATTAAGTATCTACTTCGTCCTTAGCATGGTGGGTACTTTGTAGTACAGAATGGAGACAAGTATACCCCAGTCCTCCGAGGTCCGCAGGAAACACTGGATCCTTAGGGAGATTCTCGCGGCGGTAGACAAACATCTCGCTATGTGTAGATAGACGAAGTTTGCAAATGTTGCCTTGTGAAATGCAGCAAGAAGAATGAAGCGCAAGGAGAAACAGATACCGAGGAGAGTGAGATATATGTGAAAGCTGCGATGCCGGTACCCGCTAAGAGACAGGGGCTGGAGCTGCGTTTGTATGCTTAGTGAATGTGTTACTGAAAGATATTGTGAAATCGATACGTCCTGTTCCAATATACAAGTGACCATTGAATAGCTTTGCCTGTTAGTGTTGATATTAGAAGTCCATCGGTTGCGCGAAAATGGGTTGTTTATCTTCTGGCGCCGACTCAGATCAATTGACGTTTCGAGTCCTCGTTTTGCCTCTCTTTCACACAGTAGAGTTCGTAGCTTCCATCCTTGGTTGGTACTGCTTCCCTGGTGAGATTGACCCAAGCCGTGTCCTGCGCATAGAAATTCCACGTGCTGGCAACGTCTTGTCATTTTCAAGCATAATAGTCACCTGCGAGAAGTAAGACAGAAACAGCATTGGCAACAATCCCAACAACAACAATTAAGACGGACAATGCTCTCCGCTAGTCTTGCGCTGTAGCACATGAGAAACTGATGCCAGACCCAGACACGACATCCGTGAGATACCCAAGCCATCTCTCACCGAATCTACCAAGCCACAAACGAAAAGCAGTTTGCTCACAGGACACTGATGTTATATTCTCAGCCCAAGCCATCATAACATATAATACAATGCCCCCTTCCCTAAGAACGAACGAGAAGGAGGAGACGAAAGAAAGAAACGTAACGCCATGAGGAAAGAAACCCAACCAACCCAGCAAGCTGTCAAAGCAATGAGCTTCTATCACATAAGAACAACAACCAATCGCAGACCAACAACCAAACACTCGTGTCTGTTGTTCTCCTTCTACCAACTGGCCTTCCTCACACCGGGCAGCTCTCCAGCCAAAGCCTGTTCACGGAATTGGAACTATTGTAAAAAGAGATCCCCGAAGTTAGCCCCATACTCTCGCTGTCTGTCAAGAACTCCAGAACAGCACTGCTAAGGACATGACAGATTGACTCACTCTTCCAAGTCGGAAGTCCCGGATGATGAATCTCGCGGTACCACCGGCCACACAGCGGTTCTTGATCTGGGTGGACCGGGTGTAGGCGTGCATCGTGGCGAGCTGCAGTTGGGCCTGGGCGCGGGCACGCTGCGGGAGGCTGGTGTTGCGGATCACATAGCGGAGAGCTTGACTATATAGCATGAAAACGATGGGATCAGTACTATTCCTGAACGGTCGGAGCGCAGGGAGAGAACGAGGAGGGTTGCGGAGCAGGAGGAGTGTACCGTTCGGCTTCGTGCTGCTCGAAGACCTTCCGCTTGGTGTGGTCACGGATGATCTTGCCGTTGACGAAGCCACCGAGGTCGAGCTTCTTGGATCTGAACATCGACATGTTGAAGGTTTGGAGAACGACGTCTGGTTGAGACTGAATTGGACTGCTTGATGAGTTCGTTACCAGTCGCTGGCTGGGGTTTGGCCGGAGCGGCGAAAGTCACGGGGAAGAAAATATGCCTTCCCGATTGGGGTTAGGGCGATATCACATTTGCGTTTCGAGGTACAGTACACTGCCAGGACCCGCGGACGTCAGTCAAGGTCTATGTCAGTGTGCTATTGATTTGAGTACAGTTATAGAGTAATATAGTAACACTGAGAAGTGTCATCGATCGCCCATTGGGCAGTCCAAGCCGTTATACTCTATATTGCCCTACTATCAAAAATCAACCCGTCAAAACACCTCGACTCACACCCTGGACTATGCAGAATCTCATTCGGTGGTCACTGTCCAATCGAGAAGTCAAATAGGGGCCAGAATTACAAGCCAAAGACTCGTTCACTAATCCTAGCCCCTTTGCGCCTTTACCGAGCATCACGCAAAGTACATCTGAGCTCACATCCACTAACTCCCCACACCAAAGCTTCCAGACTTGAGAATAAGAGAGCCAAATACTGATACAACTTGTTCAATTCACCAATATGTCCCAACACGGTATCTCTCTATATGCTTGTACAGGGTGAAGAGGTGTCCGTAGACTCGGAATGACAACGAAAACCTGCAATCGCGGTCCGGTCTCAAGCCAGACTCAAACCAACCCACTTGACATCCGACATATCAGCGTCCTCCGAGGGTATAAGCATTTAGTGCTTGGTCTTCTTGGCGTTGGGGTTGCGGGGGTCGTTCTTGAACTCGGCGGCTATGGAGCGAAGGGTGGGTTAGCATTGCATTGGAACAACTGGAAAGTGCAACCGTATGGTAGACAGATCCTGCCTCGGAGAGAACGTAAGGGAGGCGATAGCTGGGATCACTCACTGTTCATGAGGGCGTTCTGGAGAGAGTTGACGCCGTAGAGGACGACCAGACCTAAAACACTCATGGTTAGAACCTCCGACCATCGCATCCCGGCTGACGCGACTCGCGCCATTCCATCGTATCGTACAGACGGAGCGTAACCGGTTCAAGGAGGGAGACTAGAAGTGCATACCGGCAGCGAAGAAGGGGCCGATGGGACCGGCTAAAATGGCATCCAAGTCAGTCATTTCTCATTCATTTGTACTCATGTCACACCGGTTGAACTCTGAGCGCGCGCGCCCGAAGCGAACAAGAGACTCACCAATGGGGGTGGGGAACTTCTTTCCGAGGAGAGACATGGTGAATGAGTTGTGTAGGTCCGAAGCGAGGTGCTGGATGTAGCGGGGAGAGATAGAAAGATGCAGCAGCTGGTCTGGATGAAGGGGAGCGGGAACGAGCGAGGTGCGGATCGCAACGAGGTTTGTCCGGATGCCCGACCGCCCCGGCACTGAGCACGACGTTGGCTCCCCAAAGAGGCATAGTTTCCCCGCCGCTTTTGGCCGGCTGCCCCTCCGACAGAAGTAAACAGTTCCGGCAATCGATAACAACATCATTCCTTTGATACTAGACTATACCCAGTAACGTCCAAGCAATTCAAGAACCATATTCTTTGAATACGACCCGGACCAACATGGCAGAACATCTCCAACTCTCCGTCTCCTCCCTGCAATCCTCCCTCCAACTCCTCGACTCCTCGATCTCCACCCTCGATGCGGGCGTCAGCGACTTCCCGCGACTCTCCAAAGTCCTACAAACCACCCGAGTACGTATCGTTGGCGGCGCAAACTACAGCTCACGCCTGAAGAGAAAACACAGAAATACAACCAACTAACACGGAAACCAGCACTTCGAACTCCTCCCCGAGCCGACCCTCCGCGAAGCCCAGCAATCCCTGCTCGACGAAATCACCCCCAGCATCGCCCACCTTCTGCAACTAGCGTCCAACCACGTCGAGAAGCTCTCCCGCCGCGAGCAAGGCCTTCGCGCAAAATGCGACCTCCAGCAGGGACGACTGTACTCCGCCGAGGACCGTCAGAAGCAGAAGCCGAAACCCAGTGCGTATGGCGGCGACCGACGACAGCGGGCCGGCGCCGCAGCCAGCAACGCGGCCAAGGCGGCGGAGCTCCGGAGACTGGTGCAGAAGAAAGAACGCTTGCAGTATGCGGTTGAGCGGTTGGAGTTGCAGGGTAAGCAGAGGGAACGACAGCTTCGGAAGAGTATGGCGTTCCAGTGATTGAGCTGGGTTGGCTATCCATCTTTGAGATGCGAAGAACATGGCGGGGAAAATGGGCTCGCCCGTGCTGCCGAACCTCTCGAGCAGAAAAGCTTTACCCTGGCCGGAATATGACAGAGAGACTCGTGCCCTGCGCTCGCTCCCAGTTAGGTGCCGGATTACTGGTCCGTTACTGCGACTTCGGGTCGGCCGTTGTGCAGATTGTCTAACGGCCTTTATGCGCATTCAGAGCACCTGTTGTATGTCTTGCTTGCATTGTGAAAGTTCCAGCAATCGTCAACACTCCAGCAATAGTTGGCGAAAGTCGAAGGAGCTGAGCCACTCAGAAGAATTGCACTGAGCCGGGCTGACGCTTGTCACACACAAGCGTCAACAGCAACGAGTTCTACGAAACGAGACGAAACCACGACGAGGAAAGTGATGTTATGGCGAATATGCTTTTGAGTGAAGAGCTCGACTATGACGGCTATTACCTACACAATAGCCCTATGACTTATCATACATGAGATATACAAGATTTATGCAGATTTGCTCCGAAACCGTAGATGATGCCCGTAGAGTGGCGACCGAATCCCCTTGAGACGCCGCCAACCATATGTAAGAAAATATCCCAAACAGAAACTCCGACCTCAGACAACGAAGTCAGACGCATCTGACTGCGCATGCCTCGTCTGGTTGTAATGCTGCCGGACCTTTTTCTTATCCTGATGCTTCTTCCAGCCAGGGATTTTCTCTCCCTTCTTCCGCTTGGGTATGACGAGTTCCGGTTGCCTGCTCTGAGCAGCCGCGTTTTCATCCTCCTCTTCCTGAGCCTCTTTGGCCGCCTCTCTGGCGGCGGCTCGCGCTTCCAGCTTGTCCTTCTTGGTTAGCCCGTGCTTATTTCCAAGCTTGACCTTCCGTTCCAGCTGCGTCTTCGACCCCAGCGCCCACAGGTCTCCCCAGCGGGACTTGCGCACATCCCGGTATGCCTGACGGCTGAAGGAGCGAGGGACGGTCCAGCGCTCAATCTGCGCATCGGGGGTGCAAACATCGAAGGTGACGTGGCCGCGGCGCTTCATAGGTGAATAGATAATCCGCGGCAGCGTCAGCGACTCGAACTTGGCTTCTTGCTCTGCAGTCTGCTTCTGTTCGATGTCTGTCATGGACGCCCTCGTCTCATCGTCGGGCCACAAGTGTTCGTAGCCCTTCATGGCTTTGTGCTTGGCGACGCGGTTCTGCTTGAACCCGCGCTCTTCGCGGAGATCCACCCCGCGCTGGACGGCAAGGTAGCTGTAATTCAAGTCCTCGTGGTTCCGGGTCTTGGCCTCAAGAATATTCTGCAGGAACGCCGGGCGAATGTATCGTTGCCTGAAGTGGCACCAGTCACCGCGCCCGACTGCGTGGCCGGGGATGCGGTACATGGGGCATTGGGCATGGTTGGTGCACGGCGCAATGATCATACCAGTTTCTTTCTCGATTTCAGCTTCGTCCTCCACGTCCTCCTCCGCAGTCGTCTCCTCCGTAGTCGTCTCTTGCTCCGACGAAGTAGCCAGATCAGTGTTGCGAATGATGCGCTTGAGCAGCATGTCACGGGCTCCAGCGATGGCTTCAAATCCTCTCTGGTGGCCCTTTTCGAGGAGGATGAGGATTCCTCCATTGGGGTTAACCATCTGCCACAAGTTCTGCACATGCTCCTTTCGCATGTACTCCTCCTCTAGCGGGTGGATGGAGTGGGGAGCGATGACGATGTCAAAGTGCTTCCGTTTAGGGGCGCGGTCATCGTCCAGCGTTGGCGCTTCACGAGAGTGGACATAGTCCGGCAGTCGCGGGAGGAAGGTGGTGTTCTGCAGCAACGCAGAAGCGCGAGCGCGAAGACTGCTCGATGCCACCACTACTGTCGACTTGCCCAGCGGGACTTCGGAAACAGGACGCCCGGGGTCCATGGCCTCCCATTCCGCGCGCATAATATCCCTCCACGCGATAATACCAGCACCTCCAGCACTGGCGTCAAGGACACTCGGTCCTTCTTCCTTGGACAACAGATTCCGCAGCCACTCGGTTCCCAGTCGCTTGCGGACCTCGACGAGGACACTGAGCACAGACGCATACAGACCAGGGTACATAGCCGCGAGGTAGACGTTAGATTCCATCTCGGTCATATGCCGTTGCGTAGCTTTTAAGGGGCTAGGTAATTGGGGAGCTTGAGCTGCTCTTGGGGGAGTCGAGACGGATAAAGGAAGATGACGGCCCTGGAAGACACGACGAGCGACCTGTCGGAGATGCTGATTCGAGAAGTCCGACAGGATCATCGAGATAGGCTTTACCAGCGTATCTTGTGGCAGGAAAACGGTGCTGGGCATGGTGCCGGACTTGCCCAATTCAGTCGCCGGGTGAAACCTAGAACTATCATCCTCTTCAGGAAAAGCCTGGCTCTCGAACTGCTCAACCATGATTTCTCCGCCGAGCTGCTCGGCTACCTCACGCGTGCGTTGCATGGCGATAGTCTCCTCCAGCTCCGGTTCCGCCTCCATATCGAATACCACTGGGAGGCCTTCCTCCTCCAACTCCTCATCATATTCTTCCGCTTCGACCAGTTCAACCTTCTCCCAGCCTCCTTGGCCATCTTCACGGTATAGCTGATCGACGCCTTCCTCCGCCTCTTCAGCGGCAGCGAGGTCGGCGTCGGGCTGGATGGTGGCCATGTCACGGTACACTGGCTCGCCGTAAAGCCTGGTGTATAGTTGAATTTCCCGTTCATTCAAGTAATCCGGAGGCAGGAATTGCCGAAACTCCTGTTTCGCCATCCGCACCCGAGCTTCCAAAGTCTCCTGGTCCCGGTGACCGATGGTTTGACTGAAGGCGTGATCGTAATCCAAAGCATCGAGATTGAGCGCCTGCTCGAAGTCATCTAGCAAGTCCAGATCTTCCATAATATCGGCCATCGCGGCTTCATTCTCATTGATCTCGTCAATCAAGGCATAGATGACATCCTTCCGCTCCGCATGCACAGCATCGGGCACGGCAGACGTCGCAGACGAAGAAGAGTATCTCGAACCGAAGGCCCAGTGTGCACCCCGGAGGCCTGTTGTTGTTGTCGTCGTTGCTCTCGGGAGCTTATCGAGATTCGAAATCGACGAAAGGGGTTTTCTGCTAATCGTAGTGCTGGACCGCCCGTTCGTGATGCTCGCCGCTCCGCGGCGGAGTTGTTGTTGCGTGCTAAATTGCGGTGCTCTGATGGTCGCTGCGCGCAACAACCCCTGGGGGGTCGCTCGTGTCGCCGGAGTTCTGGACAACATCTTCACCCGTCCCGCGACTCTGAAAGTGAAGTACAGAAGGTTGTGTACCTGACAGAAAAAAAATTGGCTAGCTTGCCACCCTCTCTTCAGCTGCGTAGCTCCGGAAAACTTGCGCCAAGACGATGGAAATTGCTAAACTCTCATTGGCAAACGGGCCGGCGTGACATCTTACGTAATCCTTCTAGAAGGGAGCGTTTCGAACAGAGAAACTAAAGTGGCAAAGTATGGAAGTTGATGGTTGATCCCTACAGAAATAATTATGAGACTAGGAGTCGCTGTCGGTGTCTTCATTGCCCATAAGCACCTTCAGAGCCGAAATCCATTTCTGAATTTCATGCTCCAAAGCAGTCAGTTTGGCCATGACGGCCATCAGGCTAGGGTCCTGGCTTTCTACGCGGACTTTCTCCTTGACCTTCACCTCGTCTCCCTTCCAGGTAAACACATCGCCTGCTTCATCATGAGGCCGATGGCGGGTACCAAAGAGCCGGTCTCTGATGTTGAACCCGGTGAGAGAGATGTCGCTGGCGAACGCCGTAGGTGTGTGGGTGGGTGTGCTAGACTCTAGAGTCCGCAAGTGTAGTACAAGCGCGGAATCAGCAATAGTGAGATGAAAGGAAAGGCAGGGCGGCAGCGGAGGGTCGAACATCTTAAGACTCCAGATCAGTCACTGACCGATAGTAATAGACTGAACGCAGTCGCTACTCACATTCTCTCCTGCACTCGCCTCCCACCATTTCTGTTTGACCTTGTCATTCTCACCCTTGAGCATCTGCCGTGCTTCAGTGATAGTCTCGCGCAGAAGATGCAGTTGGCTGAATATGAAGCTAGCATTGAGCGGATCGCCGGTCCAGGTGCTAACATCTACAATGTCCAAGCTTTGATTGACGAGATCCCTCACAGAGACCAGCTGATCCAGCACAAGCTCTGGAGCCTCAGGGGCGTTGGATAAGCATAAGCGAGTGTTGGATGAACCCCGTGTTGAGGCTAGAGAATTTAGCCGAAGTTGGATGTCCTATCATGTCAGGCACAATCAGTACGATGTTCCTCAGCGTGTAGATGCAGCACGCAAGGTATGATGCATGTCGATCGATCGAAATTAAAGTTATCAGAAAATTGGGGAAATGACATACGCCCTTGACGATTTTCGTCCCAACCCGGGTTACGTAGCCTTTCACATTTTCAGACCGGAGGGACGACAACACTAAGGTTGAGCCCGGCTCTTTGGGAGCCAGCAAAGCAGCGCATTCATGTAAACCTTCCCTCAACGAGACGAGAGAGTCCTGGAGGGAGCACAAAAGCCACTCTAGTTCCTTGGCCTACATCCAGTCCATGAGTAAGCAATGAATAACACGGATACAGTGCTTTCGATTGTATGGTGGTAGGTCAAGATAAGCACAGAAGGGCATACCAACGTGGATTCCACTTCTTGTTCCAAACGCCCGGGGGGCAGAGGTGGATATGCCCAAGTGGCCATAGTGTGAATCCGTCTGACAGCTAAAATTCCACAAATGTTCTCTGGGGCTTGGCGTGCGGCAGATCGGATGTGCTTAGGGCTCTAGGGCACATATGTCGTCGAGCAATTTGGCTATGGCGAGTTGTGAATACGGCTCTGAAGGGGGTGGGAAGTCAGGCAGCAGAATTCAGCATCTAGGCCTCAAGGGGAGATGATGATGCAGTACGTAGTAGACACTAAACAGAAGAAAATTTCCGCGGCACTAATAGCTTTGTAGGCGATCCACGTCCAGAGGGTCGGGTACCCAACTTAATCGGAGGGATACTGGAGTGAATGGTGAGTGGGTGGTGCAACGTCCAGCGTGGAGTTGAAGTTGCAAACCATTCGAGACAACGTCATGGACAGCCGGAGAGGTGAAGTCTAGCCTACCCGATCTGGACTAGTGTAGCACTAAGCAGCACTAAAGTTTAGACTAGCCGAGGCCAGTTAGCGGGGCTTGCTGCAACCATGACGTCGATACCGTCATTCTTCCCCCGATGATTGTCTCCTTTCAGCAACTCTGTGAAGAGCTTTCCACCCATATGAGGGAGACTGCGGGTGAAAGACGCCGATGATGATGCATCCTCATTATTATATCACTACCCCCCTGGGTCGAGCCCCGCCTTAAGGGACTGCCCGGACGCTCCGGATATTATAATACCACTGCATCTCTTCTGAACCCCTACCCTTTGACCATTTTCTTCTTCCATACCTATCCCACCATCACTTGGTGTCACAAGCCATTAGTTCAACCAGGCCCATTGCCAGGCGCACGTCCTAAGATTCTAGCCACCACCAAGGAAAGCTCTTTTAACCTGAACATAAGCCCCTCGGCGCAAAGCAAACCATCCTAGTATCACGATGGCATTCAGCAGTAAGTCCCCATCCCAGCCCTACGATCCACCCCACCTATAGCGCATTGACTAACCCTGCATCCTGAAGGAGTGTTACTGGGCTTTCTCGGCCTGTTCTTCACAGCGGGAGCTCTTTTGCTAATGTTCCTCACCCTCCTTGGCGGCGCCACCAACACCAGACCCTTGAACGAGATCTACTTCCTACAAGTCGACACAAGCAACATCCCCGGCGCACCCTCTTTGTCCCGCTGGACTTTCTGGCAACTATGCGCCGTCGTCAATGGAAAGAGTGACTGCGGATCGTCGCACCCCGACTACCCCTTCGACCCCCCAAGCTCCCGCAACTTTGGCACCACCACCAACATCCCGGCTGCCTTCATCGGGTAAGTGATCCGACTCATGCTCTCAAAAAAAAAAGAAACCAACCAACTAATCCGCCTGCCCAGCACGAACCACTACTTCCTCACCTCTCGCTTCTCCTTCCCCTTCCTCCTCATCGCCCTATTCTTCGGCGTGATCTCATTCTTTACCGGCTTCCTGGCGATGTTAAGCCGCATCGGCGGCTACCTTTCCGCCCTGATGGCATGGATCTCCCTGATGTTCCAGATCATCGCTACCTGCCTGATCACGTAAGTTCCAGAAAACACTCTTACCTAGTATCCAAACCAAATTCTAACCCACAATTCCCAGCGCCGTTTACGTCCAGGGCCGCAACAGGTTCAACGCCAACAACCAAACCGCCCGTCTCGGTGTCAAGGCCTTCGCCTTCATGTGGACCGCCGTCGCCTGTCTCTTCCTCGCCTGCTTGATGTACTGCATGGGTGGCGCCGCCAGGAAGGACAGAGTTGGCAGAGGTAGTGGCTATACCGGCCGTGGTGCGCGCCAGGAAAAATGGTTCGCGAGCTCCCGTCGCTCCGGCAGCCTCAGACATGATAAGGAAACGGCCCCTTGAATAAAGCAGGCCGAACCAAGTCTGCCGATTTCTTTGCGGGGAGGTTAGAGCGGGCCGGATATTGTACGTGGGAGAGACTCCTCTGACCCGCCCACTTTTTCCAGAATTCTTCGCTATGGCTGGAGAGCTCATCCGGCTGACGCTCCTCGCTTTCTTCAAATGTCCAAGATCTATTATGTTTATGATTCTCTTCAATGTTGTATTCCTGATGCTATGTTACGCACACCCTCACACTATCACTCTGACTGTATACCATCGTCCATGATTTGGTGGTTCGATTAATTCTAATATTTCCCCTGTTGATGATCTGCTTGTGCGTTCAGTCGGTTGTTGCTCCGATTGCCAACCTGTATTTTGTACTTCGTATACTTTCCTTCCTTACTGTTGTCTCATTATATTTACATCCATCAAGTAGTTGTAATATAGCTCATTCAAAGATAAAATGTATAAAAAGACAAGAAGCGAAACGCCCATCAATCACGGAGGCGATGCTAGGTAGACGGTGAAAGGAACATATGCTCTAGGCCGCTTGAGTAAAATACAACTTCACATCATTATAATTCTGTCGAAAACAAGAACTAGCTCCAGGTATACTGTCCAAGCTGATGCCAGTTGAACTACGACGTAAGCGAACAGGGGTCGCCCAAGCAGCCCCATCGAGTTCTGATGCGCCCAGCTACACCCACAACTCACGCAAAAGCGCAATCGACGGCCACAAAAGTGCAGGCTCCATCCAAGCGCAAGATCGCAGGGACAGAGCAGAGCCATACATACCACGCCAACAGCTAGCTCCGCCGACGGCGGACATGCCTTGACGCAGACCGACTCCGTTCGACCCTCGGCCCCAGCGACTCCATAGATATGGCCTGCTCCTTGCTCAGCTTATGTGTGAATTGGCTACCCCGGCGACTTGGAGTCGATGTACCACGGCTTTTACACAGTCAAAAGCAGACCAGGACACGGGGGGCGGGACTACGGGGACGAACGATCTCGAGAGAACAGCCGGTTTACTTACTTGGTTCCAAGTTCATCAATGTTATTACTGTATTTGTCCGGAACTGCCAGACAGGCTTGCAAGGGGCATGCATCTTGAGGCAAGAAGAACGAGGGGCGGATGGGATTCGACGGGGAGTCTCTAGTAACTATTATTCATGGTACCATAGGTACTTTATCCTGGGTACTAGCAGTGCTGCAGTGGGCGGCCAATTGTGAGGCGACTGAGAGCACAGATAATGACTAGATACCCCAAGATCGAGGTGCCGAGGATGGCCACTGGGACAGAGACTGAAGCGGCTTCCTGCTTCGGTTGGCTTCTTGTCTTATTGCCTTACAGCCAAGCTACCTGCTATCTGAGAGAAGCCTTGCTGAACCGGAGGAAGTGGGCGGCATTTTTGATCAGTCGGTCAAGCTTCGCGGATGTGAAGTATTCGTACTGGTCCACGGCGGTGCCATGAGTGCAGGCTAGAATGAATGTCGGGTTGTTCATCTTCACAGGGCCTTCAAGCAAGTAAACCATCAATGAGATACCTTGGAGACGAAGAAGAGAGGAAGCCGGGCATGTTGGAACTGTACACGTAGCAGCCTCCAGATCGGTGTTGTTGTCGAACTTGTTGGATAATGTATAGTGCCTTATATCGAGTTACCCACGCCCTGTGTTAGTTACAGTACCTATGAGTCTAGGATGAAGGCCATTTGGGGTGTTCTTGTCGCTGCCATCCCACTGGCTTTCCATAAAAAATGTCTGTGTCTAACCAGTTTGACCTAGATAGATCCCTGTATGGTAGTGAAGTGAAGTTCCTGAGACACGGCAAGCGGGAAATCAACGTGTAGCCAGCAGCTGAGAAGGTAAACAAGCAAATATTGGGCTGTGCGGGAGTCTAATACGTAAGGAGCATGTTCTTCCTAACCTAGCATAGCTGTTACACTTTACCGGAGGTATATCAAAGGATGGGATGAAACAAAAAATGGTCCGTTCCTAGAATAGCAAGATTCGCGACGCCTAAACTAGGGCAGAATCTCCGATGTGTGAACTTCCAACAGCAGGTCTTGCATACTACTCGCAGCTCAGACGGCAGGACGGTCCTGGTGGAGGACCTGCCCAAGTATCAATGCCATCGTTTCGATAGGTCTTGCGAACCTGATCTTGCTTAAATGAAAGCTCCGGGAAGGTGAGTAAAATGAATATTAGCATTTTGAAAACTCTTATACTCTTACATAAAACTCCAATCCCCCCTCAACTTCCGCGTCAAACTATAGATGCATTTCACGCAAAGCATTCTCCAGGTCACTGGCACGGGTTACACCGGCGGTTGTTCGATGGTGTTGGCCACCAACAGCCGCACCGCACTCCGGACACCGGGAAAGTTGCATCGCACCACCGCACTCCCCGATCGTGAACGGATGCCCGTTTTCGCAATAGTACCAGTGTCCAGTTCCCCGGAACTCCCCTGCCATGGCAGCCAACACCGCCATGCGCTCCTCGTTCGTCACTGGGGCATAAAACTCAGAGCCACGAAGCATCGCCCTTGTGCCTTCGATTTCTTCTAGAAAGCCGCGGGTCTGCCCAGGATGGAGCTTGCAGAGCCTCTCGGCCTCTCCCATCGCAGCAGTGCCCTCTTGCAGCAAAGCTTCTGCTTCGGATGGATCGGCGGCCAAGTTCTGCCGCTCGAGTGCGCAGAATTGGGCCAGGAAGATGTTCCCCTCCACCTGCTGTAAGATACGCGAGGAAGCCGCTGCGTTGGCGATGAGATGAGTACTTTCTTCTTTGTATTTCGCCAAATTGACACAGAGACCGGCAGGTCGTCCCTTTTTGCACAGGGAGAGGAAGTCCGCAAGGAGGGATGCGTCTAGGCGCAGCAAGAGGGCAGCCGCTTGGAGGTAGCCCTTCGTTTGAAGCACATTGGCGTCAAAGTCGAATTGGCCAGGGCTTCGTTTTCGCCGACGTGCATCTTCTACCATGTCGCGGACTCGAACGAACGGCTGCTCCTGCACGTGCACCCTACTCTTATAAGTGTTGATCTTCTCCCGTAGAGCTATAAGTTCCTTCCAACGATCCCAGTCATATTTGGCGACAATTTGTCTCATCAATTTCACCTGATGCTCTGGGGGACCTTCGAGCCGAATCTTGAGACCAGCGCAGAAGACTTGTCTTGTGGTTTCTTTCGCCGACGCTCGTGATTCATAGTCTTGCAACCTCGATATGCACCCCGGCAGACTCTGCGCCATGGGCACATAATCCTGGTTCAAATACAGTATGAATTTCTTCGTTGCTTCATCCAACAATGCACGTCTCACCAGTCTTCCGTAACGGGCCACCTGGCGCAAAGAACCCCGACAGATCGCACAGGTGCGTATATCATCAATTGAGAACGGCTGTGAAGACGAAGCAACCGAAACAGGTCGCCCATTTTCATCCAATGTATAGTGCTTCTTGATATCCATCTGCGCATCCATGCTTTCAATGGTCAAAAAATGTCCACACGGAGGGAAGATGCAAGGGTTCGCGGTTAAATCAACATCGCCGTACTGCTCTCCCAAGATAAAGTCCACCGTTGTCTCTTTTATATTGTCCGATGCGCACGTCTGACAAAAGTCACTTGAAGGGCACGGTTCCCCACATACAGACGGGCACTGGTGGCCACACGAGAGTATTTTCTCGCAGCGCAAAGAGCATGGAATATGGTCGCAAGGCGCGGCGCAGGGCATTGAGCATGAGCTATGCGGACACGAAGACAGGCATTCGGAAACCGCGCATGGAGCACACGGTTCAGAGCATCTGTACGGACACCTGGAATGGCCGCACTGAACATCACATGGCGACGTGCATGGCGGACATGGAGTATCCCCATGACATTCAGCATTGCAAGCATGGGCGCACGTGGAGTACAGGCGTCCGCATTTCTGCGTACATTTGCCATGCTCAAACTCTGGTTCCTCTGCGGTGCGATCCATGCACGACAGGCACTGCCGTTTGCAGTTGTGACCACATGGCAGCACTTTCCGACATTGGTGTCTGCATTGATAGTCCGCGCTATGAATGGCGATGTGGCATGCTAAGCGCGTGGTATGGTGGCAGTGGGGGATGACTCGGTCAACCAAGGTTGGACATTCCACTAGGCTCAGATCTTGTGCTTGCCAACAAGGAAGATTCATCATTGGATGTCCGCATGGGAGACAGCGATGTGGATCGGGAATGTTTACAGTGCATCTCTTAGGGCAGGGGTCTCCGCAAGGTTTCGGGCAAGGATGCGCGCACCCTTTCTGCGGGCGCTTGCACTGATCCGGGCAATAAACAGCGGCGTGGAGGATCTCTGAATGGCATTTTTGCTTGCACGGATGGCCACACTGAAGGCGTTTACCGCACTGCAGACTGCAGCCTCCCTCAGGTGCGTATTGGATAAAATGCTCCGGTTCTGAAACAGCAATAGGAGTGTCTGGGTGTCGGGGACATGTCAGATCCAGAGCAAACCCAATATTCCCATCTTTCTCCAACATATCAATCACCTTCCCCCACATGGTAACACCCCTGGAGGTTGCCGAATTGCCGATGATATACATGCCATGTTTAGCACGGGAGAGAAGCACGTTGATTCGGTTTGGTGTACGGAGGAAACCGCACTGATTTTGGTTGTTACTTCGGACCAAGGAAATCACCACCACTTTAGCCTCCTCCCCTTGGAAATTGTCAATCGTGGCGACCCTTAGCGCATGAAGCAGCGTCGATCTGGCAAATCTTTTTGTATCCAAAGAGGTTTCTTCTGCCTCGTCTTCGATGAAGCCGGCGTTATCCAGGTCGTCCTGGTCTCGTTCACCCACCGTGATAGTAAAGGACTGGCTGAGCTTCCGACGCATCCGATGCAGCTGGCCAAGGTATGGTGTGAGAACAGCAATATCGCCACTTTGGTACGTCCCTTGTCGGAGAAGGTGATTCACTAGTGCAATCGTCAGTTGTATCTCGTGATCATTCCAATGGGATGTTGCCATTGCGTCTTCGCTAGAGGCATGGCCTTCTGGCACACGGTGATCAAGCCAGAAAAGCCGCTTGCGGATCCCTACAACCTCTGGATATGTCAACACGGACGGCGCATCTTGCAGGCGTGGATACAGCGTATCGCGGATGAGTTGGGAAATCGAGGGATGCATCCGTCGCTGCGTTTCCAGGGTACAGAACGGAATCTGGACGCCGACACCATCATCTGGCTCCACAAGGCGCTCAAAGAGCGACCTATCCAATGCGTATTGGGCGCCAGCTTGACTCTCTCGGGATAGGGCGTAGTTCTGGATTTGAGGCCGGAGCTGTTGATGGTCGCCGATGAGTATTACCTGTTCGAGAGATGGCAGTAGCGACGTGAGCAAGTGCGCTTCCAAGACCTCCCCAGCTTCTTCGCACACTAGCACTTTGGATGGCAGTCTCCGGAGCATCTCGAGGTTTCGAGCCAACCCTGTTGAAGTCACTCCAATCACATCTGCGGCTTTAAGACAGCGCAGGTCTATTTCGTCTCGAATTCTGTCCCAGGAAGCTTTGGTCTCTAGATGGTGATGCAAGGCTGCTTGCGCTCGAAGATGGGTTTTTTGTCTGTAATCATATATCCAGTGAGCGTGGAGAGCTTTGCGTTCCGCGGCCGTCATTGCATCGACGTGAACCTTCGCAAGCTTTTGAATGGGGGTGGGCTGCGCTCTGCTTTTGCTGCCAGCCTTTAGCCACGACTGAATAGTGCGACCGGGATTCCTCTTTCTCGACCTCTGGAAACCATCTGCGTCCTGCGCAAATAGTTGGGCATAATGGTATGGTTGGTGCTGTTCGAGGTACGACTTCAGACCATGATCCAAGCCCATCGCGTTCAACTTGAGCTCGCGGAATTCATCCTCATGGTCGTCAAGAGCCGTATGTAGCTGCCATTGCTGTTGTTTTTCCATGCGTGTCTTTTCAACACCGCGGACAACGTTACGAAGATTCAGTGGCTGCAAGCGCTCGGATTTGGATTGCGAGCCGATTCTAATGATCTGCGAAGTGATTCCGTTATCCAGTAGGTCCTCCAGGAGCTGGTCAAGGGCGTGATTTGTATAGCACACGCATACAATTGGTCCAAGCCGTCTTTTGACTTTCGCTTTGTTGGCCAACAGTACCTTAATCAAAGCGACGCCCGTGAAGCTTTTGCCAGTCCCTGGGGGGCCTTGAATCAGTCCAATCTTACGCTGAAGAGTGCTAGCCAGCGCCAAAGCCTGGGCATCATCGAGTGTGGAGCCGTCCTGAAGCTTTTGTAAATCAAAGGGCCGAGAGCTGTGCAGCTGCAGGCTGGAATGATCCTTCATGAGACATTTCAGGTCGAAGCTGAAGTTTTGCGAGGCCGCATAGACAGGCGGGGGCACCTCAGCCAAGATTGACAAGGTGTTCTGATCCTGGGGCGCGAGAAACTCCGCCATGGGAACATCGCGAGCCTTCTGCATTTTCTGAAGAGCAAGTAGAGTGGGCTGAAATGACGGCAAGAGAACACCGGGGAATTCCACAAGGGAGATGGAAGACGGATTGTACTGGGACGCATGGCAGTCGAGGATGTACTGCCAGCTGCTCTCGCCAGACTCAACCAATTTCAAAAGCACAGAGGCCACATGAGGATCGTCCGACAGCGAACCAGCCAGCCCACCCTGTTGCTTCTGGGCGGCACCGGATCCCGGCTTTGGGCGATCAGGTGCAGCGACTGTGCAAAAGATTGTAAACCCACGGGGATCCACAAGACACACAAGTGCATCTGGCTGTAGACGTTTCGACAGCTGCCACCATTCCTGTAACTTCTGCTTCGCTGCCCCGCGGACATTTGTCGGCTGAGGAAAGTGCACGAGGAACTGTAATCCATCGAATCGATGAAAGCCCACCCCTTGCACGACTACCTGTCTATACACGTGCGTCCTGGTTTCACCTTTCTGACGCGACCGCTGCCTGCGATCGATCGGTTGCATCTCGGCATGTATTGCGTCTCTGAGCTGACCGACAGTATCTTCGCGTAGTAGTCGGAAGTTCCTGTCCAATAGTCCGGCGAGTCCAAACATATGCCACTGGCGCGGATCCTTGGGAGGGAGATACTCAGAGCGCGGAGACAAAATCTCCTGGAAGGTCGGCATGACCTTGATGTTACAAATATCAGCGTCGTCATTGTCATGGCGTCCGCCAGGGGGTTCTCTCCGTGTCACAAATGCAACTGGCCGATGATTAATATGTTGCTTTGCGGTCTTTGTTACGGCTGGCAAAGAAAGCCCGATATCAAGCCGATGCTGCAGCTTGTCCAGGTAATCTCGTGACTGATGAAGGGCGTCCGAGCCGTCCAAGGCATGAAGAATAAGAAACAGGTCTGCGAACTGTAGAGCCACGATCTTCAAAGGTTCTTGAACAAAAGCAGTCGAGTTCAGCTCGACTATCTTCCAAAACACCAGGAGAGACTGCTCGATGTATGCAGTCGCTGCTTTGCCCTCAGTCTCAATCTCCAGCCGTATGGCGCCGGCCAGGAACCTCAAAAAAGGTTCGCCCCGACTTCCATTAACCCCGTACAGACAGTTATATATAGTGCCCACTGCATGCTCCATCACTAGAGAGGCGAGCACGTTCGGATGCGTGATAATCTCCATGAAAGGCAGCATCTGCTTGACAAATAGATCACGTTTCGCAGATGGCGGGATAGAATCAAAGTTTCGCTGCACCAATTCCTGAATTCGTCTCAGCCCACCCTCCTTGGCGAGGCATTGGATTACGTCCTGGAGTGTGCTTTCGTCGAGCTCGATGAGCTCTTTGGCCTTGGCGAACATGGGACCTAGCTGCCCGCCCAGCGGACGATTATATTGATGACTGCCGACTTGTCGCTTCCAGATCGCTAGCTCGTTGGAATTATCAAGACTATGACCCCTATGGCTTGTGCGTTTGGTCGAAGCACGGCCATTGTTTTCGTTTTGCCGGACATGGGCGTATCTGCAAGGGTTGAAGCGACAGGATCCACGCTGCGCGAACTCATGGCAAATCCTCACGTTGTTGCTTGTGCTACCGGCCATTTTTTTTCAGTCGGAATAATATTGGTCTTTGATTAACGATGATGCCACGGCTTGTTGAAAAGGATGAGAAGGAATAAATGAAGAAGGAACCAACGGGGTCTAACTGGCAATTATAAGCAAGATCGTTGCAAGATCAATTCGCAATTGCCGGCCTTGTTGCGCAATGAATCTATGAGATCAAGGCATGGCGAGGCGCCTCGAGGCTTTGGAAGCAAAGTCTTCCTTCCCAATCATTTATGCGCTGTTGTGGCTGTGAAGCTCCATGATTGGATGATGATTTGCGCGGCTGCTGGATTGTTGGGCGGCACAGTGCATTTGCAGCTACCGCAGTCAGCCTTGTGCAGGCAGTCACCACTCTTATTGACCTGGCCGACTGCGATTGTTATCTTGAGTCGTCGGAGCGGCGCTCCGCTGGGGAGGTTGAATCCTGACCAATAATGCTTATGGAGGATGCTGTAGTTTGTGCTCATGCCTAAGCAGATTGTCTGTCAACATCTCGGAATAAGGCGCATCCGATAAGATTCATTCGATCATCTAGAAGCCTGAGCCTGATATGATGATGGAGGGTTCTATTACCTTGTCTTTGCTTCACTTGGCTGAGTTTAACAGACTAAGCGGACAGCTCTCCCATGGCCAAGCGGATAGGTTGCAAGTTGTTGTCACCACCTCCCCCACCCCCGCATCATGATTGTCTGGCGCTTCGCAACCTCCTGGCATGGCTACTTCCAAGTTGCCATGATTCTTGCCTTCGCTGACTGCTTGCCGGTTCGATCATTGGCTGGTTTGAGGGCCAATGAATCTGCCAGCAGTGGGCCTCTCCCACCACGACACCAAGCGACTCTCGTGGCTGTAGTGGAACAAGAAACAGAGGCATGATGCCACAAGGCTAACCTGGCCTCGTAGTGCACTCTACGATTATCACTGGCAGCCACAATACAAATTCAAGATGAAAATGAAGTTCGGATATACTGGGTAGAGAGACCTTGATTCATTCGCCCGAAGGACGAAAGATAAGCACCGAAGAATGCCATCACAGAAATCTGGTCTCTTACTCAGATCTCAAACATCAACACGCTCTCCTTGTGTGGTCGACATACCCAACGTGGCCTTTGACGATGCTCTGCTCGCGGTGCTGCTCAACTTGTTCGATGAAGCAATCGTGGATCTTGTGTCTGCCATGCCTTGACGTCGCAGTCGAACATGCATCATAGATAGCCTGTTGTCTCGCTGTGCAGTCCTCCCATAGGGGAGTCCATCTTGAACAGCACTTCCCAGTTGGCAGAGGTGTTGTTCCTTGTGTGGATCGAGACAGCGATTCAATTCCAACCCGTAATAGACTGATGTTGCTTATTGCCTTCTATGGCTGTTCGAGGACGGAAAGTTTCTTATATGACAAGCAAGACGTGATTCCCCCGCCTTCCCCTCTTTTGCTCCCCACGGGTATTTTTGGATCTCTGGACTCCATTGCTGTAGCCATCTTTGAATATAATTCCGAGCTGAGAACAGTGACTTATGCAACTATAGTTAATTACCAATAGCAAACAGGGGTGTTCAAAGCCGAACTTCATAGGTCGATTGAGGCAACTAAGATTGTAGTGAGATCCGTTGTTCCTTGATTCTGCGATGATTATTATAGGCTGATAAACACTAAACATGAGACAAAAGACCCAAAAAGTCCTATATTCTGTATTATCACCGAGAGTTTGAGGAGATTACTCCGCATTTCCGATGTACCCTGACTTCGAATCTCGGTTCATCAGGAACGGTCATCCGTGGCCAACTCCCTCAGCCACCCTGGCCCTGCCCTGCCTTCAGCATTTTCCATCCACCTCTTTCTTCCATCATCATTTTCCCATACTATCATTGACCCTCCAGAACACCCTCACGTATCAAGTCTTTGCTGGAAGAGTTCAACTGGGCTTGTCTTGTCTCCTCCAGTGGGATCCAACAATATCAGCTAAATGGATACCATTATCTCTGTGGAACCTTCACACAGAAGACCAAAACCGACCGACAGCTTGTTTCTGGGGAATCAGTCAGAGCCAGACTGCAAGGGCAGAAATTCGACAGAGGCCACCGACCATGAAAGCGTATCCGAGTTCACGTATCCTGAAGGCGGTTTCGCTGCCTGGACTGTTGCGATCGGCTGTTGGTGCTCGATGACCGCAGGCTTAGGCCTTGTTAATTCAGTCGGCTTCTTGGAGGCTTATGTCTCCTACAACATGCTTCCTTCCTCCTCACCAAGTGCCATAGGTTGGATTTTTGGTACCTACGATTTTCCTTCGTACTTCTGCGGTGTACAGATTGGCCCTATCTTTGACGCAAGAGGTCCACGAGAGTTGATGATCCTGGGCAGTGTCTGCTCTCTTGTTGGAATATTTTGTCTGGGTCTCTGCACAGGTACAGTCCTCTTGACCGGTCCCTAGGCCCACGCAGCTAATTTTCTTTTCTCTTTTTTTCTTTTCTCTCTTTTTTTTTCTTGCAGAATACTATCAGTTCATCTTGTCATTGTCCATCCTGAACGGCATTGGTTCCTCCTTTCTCTTCACTCCGGCTATGGGCACTATATCACACTGGTTCAACGCTAGGCGCGGCTTGGCCAGCGGCTTCGCTTTCACTGGTAGTGGACTTGAAGGCGTGATATTTCCGCTAATGTTGCAGTCATTAATTCCACGCCTGGGTTGGGGATGGTCGATACGCTTGGTAGGGTTTGTGCTTCTCTTTCTGTGTATTGTCAGTGTAGTGCTCTGCCGGAGCCGCCTGCCACCGAAGCGTGGTGCAACAAGCTGTTGGCGTGACGTTCTACCCAGTGCAGCCATCTTCCGCGACGGAATTGGCGCAATGGCCGTCACATCTGCCGGAGTTCTTTTAGTCGAATGGGCATACTTCGTTCCCGTCACATACTTACCAACATACTACCTCACAAGAAAAGGGCTATCTGGCCGGCAAGCAATAGTCGATAGCGATGCGGCTTTTGCTTACCAATTGCTCGCCATCCTTTAATTCAGTTTCCTGCCTTGGGCGTTTCTTTATTGGTTATATTGCCGACAAAATAGGGCGATAAAATACCATGATCGTCTCGACCCTGCTATGTCTGGTATCTGTGATGTGTCTATGGTTACCAAATGCGGTGGCCGATTCGCCCCCCAATCTGGCGCTTATCATCACGTTTGTCATCCTTTTCGGGTTCGCAAGTGGCTCGAACATAAGTTTGATGCCCGTATGTGTTGGCCAGCTATGCGGGACACAGGACTATGGTCGATACTATGCGAGCGCTTACACATTGGTTAGTTTCGGGTGTTTGACCGGCATTCCTATTGCCGGAAGCCTGATGAAGGCTACTGGTGATTCTGGCAGGAAGAGCTTCTGGGGGTATATCCTGTTTACAGGCCTGATTTACATTGCCTCATTTGCATGCTTTCTATGGGTGCGAGTGCGTATCAAGGGCTGGAACTGGAAAGTTGTTTGGTAGTCTGACGTAGTTGGACACTATTTTGCTCCCTGTATAGTAAGACAACAGTGATAGCAGGGCTTGATATGAGCCAGGAGGTGATATTTTCGCTATTGAGGACTGTGTGCAGGTTTCCTGATTAGATTCACAGACATTAGTTCTTATATACGCTTTCTCGGCATCGATGTTATACGTACAAACAACGGCATCTATATCTTACAGAAGTCGTATATTGAGGACTGTCTGAAGCGTTTCGGCCTGTTTACCTGTAAGGCCTCTCCCTTATCTTTTAATTGCAAAAATTCTTTGTCTAGATGCGACGGGACGGCAAAGCCTGACGACATCAAGTCATATTATGAATATAACGGCGCGCTGATTTGGATTATGTTCGACACATGCTCTGATATTGTGTACGCAACGAGCAAGCTATTGTTCTTCGTAAGCAATCCAGATAAGCCTTATGTTTAAGTCATGACCCTCGCGTCGCATTCATTACCTTGCCGGCTCACTCAACCGCTACCTATTTTATTGTCATCGCGGCTCTGGTTTTGTTGTATACTGTGATGCCGATTGGGCGGGCCTACACTCCATTGATGCAATGTCTACTTCCGGCTACGTCTTTCACCTCGCTGGCGGCCCTATCTCGTGGAGTTCAAAGCGTCAAATCGCTGTCGTGCTATCTTCTACTGAGAGCGAGTATATCGCGCAAGCCTGGCTATGCAGGAACTAGTCTGGCTTCAACTGGTGTTCACTGAGCTGGACTTTCAACGGTTTAATGCTACACTGTTCTTAATGACTCGTCCCACTGTAATTCATACAGATAACTAATCCGCCATCGCCTTGGCCAAGAACCCCGAGTTCCACGCATGCACGAAGCACGTATCTAGCAAATGGTACTTTATACGCTGTGAGGTATGTGCTAAGAATGTTGACTTCACCTACACCAGTACGACCGAGCAAGCTGCCGACGGTCTTATGAAGCCTTTGGAACGCGTCGCTTTTTCCCGCTTCGTCAAGCAACTCGGTATGGCGGACTAATTAATCTGACATTCTTGTATCTACACGTCTTTTACTTCTTATTTCGGGAACGCGAGCAGCCTCACGTCTTCCTCATTTGTAAGTAACCTCGCTGACTACGTTTTAGTTCAATGAGGGGTGTAAGAGGTAACGTGACCTCAGACTCCTCACCTCCGGCTTCGCGCCGCGTAATCCAGCTATAAGTAGATACACACAATTAAGCATCATCGATTTTTCTGCTCATACACCTACTACTTTCGGTACCTTCTCCTGGCCCGTCATTCCATCATTTGAGGTAAATACCCACAGATCAACCATTCGGCAATCGTGGTTCCCGCTAGACATACTCGGGAAGGCTTCGCTCCTCTTCACCGAATCCGAAAGACCCCTGGATATGTCATCGCTGCTTTGCAACTCCATCGCCATGACATGTGGAACCGAGTCAAGATGAGCTCGGCCATTCCAGACAATAACTCGTTCTCTTCGCCACGAGGCCACAGCCAAAGCGAAAGGGACTCGTCCAACCGCAAGAAGCGCAAAGGCCCCCGTCTCGCCCACCGCAAGTCCAGGACCGGATGTCAGCGATGTCGCGCCCGACGAGTAAAGGTAAGGTAGATCCATTACTACAGAACTTGTTCTGACCGACGTAGTGTGATGAATCGCGACCTGTATGTCACAACTGCCATCGTCATGGGATCCCCTGTGTCTATGACAGGCCCGCTGAGGAGGGAGCGATCCTCCCCTCAGCCGGGATCCAAGCTCGCTCACTCGAGACCAGTCTATCGGATCCCGGTAATGACACAAATATGGAGCTGCGCTTGCTGCATCACTTTACTTTATTCACCAGCGCTACTATGCCTGGGGCCCACCTGAAGCGAATCAAAGACTGTTGGTCGATCGACGTGCCCCGACTCGCATTCAGTTACAAACCGCTCCTGCACGCCCTCTTCGCAATCTCTGCCCTGCATCTGTCCAAAGTCAACCCAGACGAAGCTGGTTTGCCGGATATCTACTGCAACGTCCTCGAGCAGGCTTTGCGCGAACATCGACTCTGTATTGGCGGTATAACTACGCAGACCGCGGATGCCGTATGCTTTACGAGCATCCTATTACAGATTAATGTATTTGCTACCTTACAAAATCATCCTGTGGTTTCTTACGAACAGATAAGTGAATGGATGCGTCTAGTGCGCGGGTCGGTCGCCGTCTTTGACGCGGCCCTGGAGATTGCGAGGCATAGTACTCATCCAGCGAATATCTGGTGTATCATTGATACCTTTCCTATGTCCTTACGGACAAATCCTGATGCTGGGTCATTTTCCTTCCTTCTTCCATTTGTGCCCGATGACGAGGATGACGAGACGGCGCTAGAAGCATATCGAGGGGCCGTTGGGCATATCAACGCCACCTGGCTGGCCATGGAAGCAAAAGAACATCCGCAAATCAGCTGTCGCCGGCTTATGGTCTTCCCTTTGTTCGTGACAACTGAGTTTATCGACTTACTTGAGAAGAGAAGACCTCGCGCTTTGGTGGTTCTAGCCTACTTTCTAGCCTTATCAGCACTATTACGCGACACATGGTGGATCGGAGACGCTGCACATAAATATATTATGACTCTTCAGTCAATCCTTCCTGCCTATTGGGAACGTCTAATATCTTGGCCAGTGGAAATGACTAGATCTCGTGGCACACATCAAACATAACTTGCCATCCAAGCACCTCTGCGATTCCCGCCTGAAGCAGTGCTTTCTTGATCACTGGCGCGTCTACAAGCCCAACATCCCCGTCGGTGGGTGGGCGTTCGAATACCATGACACGTGGTACCCGGATATCAATGATACGGCCGCAGCCGTTCTCGCCTTTTTGACGTATGACCCGGCCACCGCGCGATCGAGACTCGTGCGCGATGCGGCGCTCTGGATTGTAGGCATGCAGAATGCCGATGGCGGGTGGGCAGCGTTCGACCATGAAAATAACCGGCTGTTTCTGAACAAGATCCCGTTTAGCGATATTGAAAGTCTTTGTGACCCGAGCACGCCGGATGGGACGGGGCGGACGATTGAGTGTTTGGGCATGCTGGATATGCAGGATGATATCTTGAGTCAGGGTGACGGTGGGGCGGCGGCGTGGACAGAGCGCGAATCTACTAGTACAGGATTTCCCAACCATTTCTACATCTCATATACGCTGTATTGAGTTTATTTCCCTATTAACGCATTGGGGAGGTATTTTTCTTTGTCAGGTGGTCGAAGGAAGCCACTGGAGAAGAAAGAGAATGGGGGAGGGGCGATTAAACCGCTAGTCTTGTTTGGTTCAAGCTTTTTCGTTCGCAGAGGATTGGCTCTGATCGACAAGGATTCTCGGTCTCGTTTAGTAGCGTCTCGGCCTGCGGCTTGGGCCTCTTGGCAGCGTCTTAACTATATGCCCTAGAATTGGTTGCCTACAATGGATTATTTTATCTACCTTATACTTCTACCCCAATCCATCTCCCCTGTATCTCTCCTAAACCTGCAGTGCACCAACATCGTCCCTCTCCTTGACTGAATGAGTGAATATGACATCCGGACTCCGCATCACGCAACTCGCCCTCTACGCCCCCCTAACACTTCCAACGCTCTACCTCCTCTTCCGCCATGGCCGCCACGGCCTCCTCGCCTGGCTCTACCTCCTCGCTTTCTGTATTCTTCGCGTAACCGGGGCCGCCATGGGCCTCAACGATCCGCATAACGCAGGCGCCCAGATAATATCCAATATCGGGCTCTCGCCGCTGCTGCTCTCGATAGACGGGGTGTTGCATGAGGCGTATGTTACCCAGAAACTGACCCCAACGCACCGAGCCCTATTTCCTGTCTACCAATCCAAGGGGAAAAGCCAGTGCAATATCTCATATGTGTGTTGTTGTGATTTAGGAGAATCTACTGTTTATCCCCGAGCCAACGAACCGAATGGATGTTCATGGCGCTCATCCATGCCCTCGTTGCGACGGGGGTGGCAATGGTTGGGGTTGCTGCTGGCGGGTTGTTGGGCGATACACCTAAGCCCAGTGATTTATCCAACATCAAGGTCGGTATGGTGCTGTTGGAGGTTGCGTGGGGTGTGCTCGCTTTGTGGGGGCTGTGGACTCTTTGGAATAGGACGGGTGCGGCGAGGAAAAGTAATGGACAGCGAGGTGCACCGGCGGGCTTGGCCGCGAGGGAGGGGTGGTTGGTACGTTTTACCCCCTTCATTTTTCTAGATAGATCGTTGTTATGATTGTCTGGTCTGGCAGACGGAAGAATGGTATATGCTAACACAAAAGATGCCTCGAGACACAGCTCCTAATCGGCACTCTCCTCGCCCTTCCCCTCGTCGAGATCTCAGTGATATACATGCTTGTCGCGGAATTCACACAGCGCGCGGATCTAAACCCGACGACAGGGAGCTTGGCTGTTCGTGTTGTGTTGGGGTTCTTCCCCGAGTTGCTCGCGGCGATTGTTTTGGTGTTCGCTGGGTTTGTGACTAGGGGAGTGGGTGAAGTTGGTGCTGGTGAGGCTGAGCTGGGGCATGGGCAAGGACGCCGACACAGACATGCTCATGGCCATGGAAGGCGTTCGAGCTCCAAACATGGGAACCAGTCGCATTCGAGGTCACATTAGCTTTCGCTTCCGCACTCTGCTGGGGCGGAGCGGGCGAGGAAGATTCGTACCGTAATAGGAGGTCATCTCTTTTGTATGGTGCGCTATATGCTGCAAGGCGCCAGGTGTTATATAACCAAGACTATCACAGTTCCGGCGCTTAAACTGTGTATTGTGCTGTTATGGTCTCAGCCGGAGTTCGCGGCCTATCTACATAGTATATATATGCATATCTATACACCCCCAAGGGCCTCTCTGTGGTCTGCAGCAAACTAGAAGCCTGGCATAGCAATCGAGTGGTTGGGAATAACCACGGTCATAAGTGTGTACTTTCTTCATCATACCAGGCAGCAGTGCCGTACTCGAACGGTGAGAGGACAATTACTGTAGGGCTCCAAATATGGAATACACAATCCTGGGGAATAATCTTGGCACTCTTATCATGTTTCTTTCGTTTGCACCTGTTCACGCCTCATAGAAATCAATCGTATTTCGTAGAAGCTTAATTCTCTAAGTTTTTGTTAAAATATATGCCCACGTCGGCTAGCAAATACTAAACGTAGTTATTTAAGCACATGAATTCACTTCTGTAAAAGCTGTACTTTGATTAAAGTATCAACAGCCTCCTTGGTCCACTCCTGGCAGCAGTAAATAGATTTCCGTGGGTATAGTCGTCGGGGGCCCTCAAATTCTTTATGCACCGGGATTAATTCACAGATTATTTTAATACAGTTGAAATTCACCACGGTTACTTTTCTGATCAAGGCCTTATCTTAGTATATTGCAGACTCTTCAGGTTTTCTGGTACTTCTATTGTCATGCATCATACCTCAACCCAAACAGAAACGCCACCGCGACTCCAACTTTCTTCTCCTTGGACATCTGCAGCCGCCAGATAATCGGCATGGGGAGCGTCACAATCAGCAGACCCACCGCCAGGTTGAAGCCGGTCGAGGCGTACTCGGTCTGCGAGAGGTTGCCGCACGTCTCTGTGACTGTTAGGTCCCAGTTGGCGCGAATCGGGGCGGCAGAGCAGCGCGATGGTCAGCAGCGAGGCGATGAAGTACCGCACCACGATCACCATGATGACGATCGTGCTCCAGCGGAACCAGGTGCCGCGGAACAGCTCCAGGTAGAAGCACAGGATCGCCAGCCGGAAGCTGGTCACCGCGACGGCGAAGAACCATTCCGACACGCAGAATACCTGCGGAGCACGTTTTCTGTCGAGTGCCCTTGTCTGAAGTCTTTCATTGTGACGGTTCTTGACTGACCTTCAGCGATAGCGTCGGTTTGTCCATCGGCACGGTTGTGATGTTCCACCCATATCCCCCGTCCATAATTTTAACAGGGCGCAAGTCAATCGATGTTGTTGGCGTCGACGCGGGAGTGGCACTTGGTCTTACCGATGCCGATGAATACGTCGATCAAATAGAAAGACAACATAGCCTGCAGAATGGTCAGTCTTCAAGCTTCATATTGGATAATAGAAATGGTAGCATACCAAGGTGAGCGCTGTAAGGCAGTTATGACTCTTCCAGGTGCTCTTGCGGATTCGAATGGCGATCGCACGCAAGACTACGGCGATGGTGCTCATGCCCATAGGACTACAGCCGTAGCAATAAACTTGGTGCCCTGTCTTTTATCCTCAGGTATCATTCTGGGCAGCGACGGAAGGTATGGAAGCCAAACGGTGCGTCAGACAAAAAACCAAGAAGATGAAAGAGAGAAGAGGATGACATACCATAGTTACCCAGTGAGAACGGCACGGCCACGGCCACATACAAGTAACATGTACAGTACCATTGTCAAGGATTGGTTGCTACTTCGCTCAGTACAAGCCGTGTTGCAGCCTTTGGGGATGGCAGCACTGCGTACCATGTACTGCAACTGCAGAGCAGGCCTAGAACTGGCTTAGCACTTACCTTGAAGATGCAAAATATACGGAGTACACAGTACAACCTCGTCCAAAGATCAGGTCAGATAGTGTTGGGGGCGGGATTTACCCTATGTCAATATCATTCACTGGTTTGGGACTAAATGAGGGGCTGAGATCAATAATGGGGCCTGAAATCAGTTAACTAACTATGTTACTAGTAGTTAGTAGTTGCTGTGTAGTACCCGGGATCACCGGTTGAAGCGCTAAGAATGAATGCCTTGCATTTTTAGTGGTTAGATTCACTCCAAAAGTACCTAAATTCACTAATAAACAGAACAGGTTAGGTCTTACTGTCAAGTCTTTGTTGTTCCTGCGATCGACGATGGTTTTAAAAACCCCTTAAATCTCGCTGGATCTTCTGGTTTTCTCGTCTTGCTTAACACAACCAAGCATTTTCCGTTCTTCCTTCTCTTGCCCACAAACCAACAAGTGCCCTTGTCTCTTGATTCCCTCTCATCATCATGTCTGCTAATGACAATGCAAGCTTGGGAGTAGTGATCTGCACGGGCTCCTATCACACGCCAGACCCCTATGAGCCCCTCATGCAGGCTTTGGAGTCCAGCGGGTTCGAGGCCTACTGTCCGCTGCGACCAACATGCGACCTGAGCAAGCTGCACGTGGGAGACGTCACCAACCCTAACTTCGATTTGGGACCCCCTCCCGAGGGGTATCCCACTGATCTGGACGACGTCCAGGTGGTGGACGAGGTGTTGACCAAGCTCATCGAGCAGGAAGGCAAGGAGGTGCTTCTGCTCGCCCATTCGTCCGGTGGCACGATCGCATCGCAGGCGGCCGTTCCTCGGCTGCAGTACAAGACTCGCCAGGCAAATGGCCAGCAGGGAGGCGTGATTGGGATCTTCTACGTTGGCGCCTTTGTCGTGCCTGTCGGCGAATCGGTGCACACCTTCTTCCAACCCAAGGAGGGGCCGGTTGTGACCCCACCCTTCATGCAATTTCACGTAAGTGGATTTTCCCCCGAGTCCCTTGTCCCCACAACTGTCATAACTGACCATGCTGGGGCTCAGAAACATGGTGTTCTTGGGTTGGGAACCATCGTCGAAGCGCACAAGTACATGTTCAACGACCTGCCCGCGGACGAAGCGGCCAAGTGGGCGGCGACGCTGACTGCATCCCCTGTCAACACTGGGGTGTTGACCAATGATGCCTACTCGGCCCTTCCCTGCGCATACTTGGTGTTGGACAACGACCTGACCTTGCCCCCCACCTACCAGGAGATGATGATTGCATTGCAGGCAGAAAAGGGCAACATCTTCACTGTCTACCACGCCCCCTCGGGCCACTCTCCCCATCTTAGTTGGACTGGGCCATTGGTCAGCAAAATGAGGGAATTCGCCGACCAGTGCCGCAGTCACTAGTTCGGCCCTGCTAGTTTAGTGTTCCTTTAGGCCATGTAATTAGTGCAATCGATCAACCTCTCTGAGACAAAGACACAAAGCGTGGTACCGAGTCTACCGACTAGGATAGAAATGCACAAGGGTCACTCATCACATCACGCAATTCGACCCCTTAAATACACAACTCCCATTCACCCGCTCTTGTCTACAACTAACTACATTGCCTCTTTCCCTCCATCCATGTTCGTTACATCCATCCTTCTCCCTTAATACTAGTCATCTGTAAACTTCAGCGCCATCGTGTCGTCCGCGCCCGAGTATGTGATGAGCACCCAAGGGTTCGTTGGCGCATGGACCCGAGAGAATGTGGCATCCCTGGTCGAAAAGCTGGAGGCGGCGGGCATCCGCCACTACGACACAGCCCTAATTTACCCCGTTACCAATTTTGAGGCCGCCGAACGGCTTCTGGGCGGCATCCGCAAACGCGAGTTCGTAATAGACACCACAAATCTCTTCCGACCGGAGGCATTGCGCAGAGTCAACATGGAGGAGTCGATCTGCAAGAGCTTGGAAACTCTGGGCGTCACCAAGTATAGATAGCCTTTTCTCTCCTCCTTTCTCGGTTTCCTACCAGAAACACGGTGTCTGACATCAATAATCTCCTCCTGTCTCCACGGGTCACGACACTCCACGCGCATGCACCAGACAAAGCCACCCCCATCGCCAAACAGGCGGCCAACTTCGACCACTTCCACTGGGCGGGCTACTTCGAGCAGCTGGGCCTGTGCAACTACTCCGCCGCACAGCTGAGCGAATGGATTGGAGGTGGCGACGGCGCAATGGTACACCCTGCCGCGGGTCTACCAAAGCCAGTACAACATCTTCCGCCGCGACTACGAGACCACGCCATTCCCGCTGCTGCGACAGCACAACATCCGGTTCGTAGCCAATCCAACCCTGGCCGGCGGGTTTGCGACGGGCAAGCTCACCTTCGCCCAGACGGCGGAGCAGCTACAGGGCACGCGGTTCGAGGGTTCGAGCAGGCCGACGGGGTCATGATCGGGTTCTTGTTCCGGATGTGGTACGACAAGCCGGCCTTCCATGAGGCGGTGCGCCAGCTCTAGGTAGGCGGCGGCGGAGGAGCACTCTGCGACCAGTCTGGCCCAGACGGCGCTGCGCTGGCTGCTGTTCCACCCCGGGCCGCAGAGCACAGACGCGGTGGCCATCGGCCCCAGCTCTGTGACGCAGCTTGACGAGTAGTTGACAGCGCGTCAAGCGGGGCCCCTCCCGGCGGAACTGGCGAGCAAGATTGACGCGCGGTATGGGATGGGCCGTTGCGGGAGGAAGCGGCCCCGCTGGTGCAGGTCGGCTGGTGGTCCCAGTAATCTCTTGGTATGTACTGTACATTATTATACCTCCGCTAGTGACGGAGTATTCTGGTGCAGTTTGTGAGCCTTCCCCTCCCCTGCAAACCCTGGCTTCGCGATGGGGGCCAAAAGTGCCGTCGCGTCAATTGCTTATTCTTCCTTTACGACGGTAGCCAGGGCGTGTGCACTGGAAAAATAGTTCTTTTCTATATAAAAAAATAAAATTTAATTAAGTAATAAACCAGCTCTCACCGAACAGTAGTATCATGATTAAATATTAGAAACTATTGTTATAAATAATAGAAGAAGATTAAATAGTATTAACCTATAGTAGTAAGTCTAATAATTTATAAATATTATTTATAATACTAATAACATCAAAATATTAGTTAGACTTAGAAAGTGGTATGAAGTATAGCTGTTTTTGGCTGCTGGCTATCTGTTTTATTATTATATGGAGTACTACAGAATACCTTGATTAAGACTCGGGTGTCTTCTATACTATTCTCTAACGTATTCTTACACCTGCAGTAAGACTAGAGAATATAGGGCTTTTGTTCGCGAGGTATCTAGATAGATAAGGATCACCAATTCACCATGCCTCCCCATCACCTTTTTTTGTATGTGCATCAAATCTACCGAACAACTCGAGTCCAGGCGAATCACCTCTCCCAAGACTATAACAAGTCCAACGAGTCCCTCCATTATCGCAGACTTCCACTTCGGGTCGGCATACACATGGATCGGCTCTGCCTACCTGCTCGCAAATACGACCCGTAGTCCCGTCTGGGGCAAGCTCAGCGATATCTGGGGACGCAAGCCCATTCTGCTCCGTGCGATCGCCGTGTTCTTTCTCGGTTCCTTGCTCTGCGCTGCTGCCACAACCATGCCCATGTTCCTCAGTGGCCGTGCCATCCAGGGCAGCGGATCGGGCGGCGTGGTAATCTTGGTTGATATTTGTATCACGGATATGTTTGGCATAAGGTGATATCAAGGGTTATATTGAGCCAGATGTTTGCTGACTGACACAAACTGTCTGTCACCAGGCGTAGGGGCATGTATCTCGGGCTGACGAGTGTGGTCTGGGCATTGGCGAGTGGAATTGGCCCAGTTTCAGGCGGGGTCTTCACGCAGCTGGTCTCCTGGCGCTGGAACTGGTGGATTAATTTGCCGTGCAGCGCGGTGGCATTCGGCGTCTTGTTCTGGGTTCTCAACGTCGACGCCCAGAACCCGAATCACCACCACGAACTGTCCTTCCGACTGGGCCTGAAGAAAGTCGACTGGTTGGGGATCGGGCTCATCCTGGGCGTGACCTTGATGCTTCTGCTTGCTTTGAACTTTGGCGGGACAACTGTCAGCCTATCCTTGCTCAAGAATGACCGGGGTAGGTACAGCAAGTGTGATAGTAGGGTGGTATGAACTAGGAGCAATAGCAGTAGGTACTTTTGTCGGATAAGGAGGATGGCCACTGCACGGCTTCCCGTCGGGCGGTCCGGTCCGCACAAGAAAGAGGAGTTCTTGCGCATATGCAGATCTAGTCTAGTTACACCACACACACACGGTCCTGATGATCTACCAATATTGCTTCTCATTCGGTCTGAGTATGCTTCTAAATCCTAACGCCTTCAGCGGATATCGCTGACCTTTCCCCCACACTGGATAGAGATAAGGGGTCGGTAACAACAGTGGCCACTAAATACTTATGGTTCAGTAAGTTGATTCTTGCTGGGTACTCCAGCACCTAGATGGATGACCTTCCATTATAGTCTATGTCTTCAAGCCTGGAAACTCCCATTGTTAGACTTGAAAGAAGTATGCAACAGTCTGAAAATGACCAAAAGAAATCTGTCTTTGGAGGACAAAGATAAGCAAAGAAAAAAGAAAGACAGAAAAAAAGGTAGACCATTCTATCACTTCACGATTTCACCAAATAGCTGTCTGTCTCTCGCCCCCAAGTCAGAGAGGCTGTTCTGTCGGCTCTAATGTGGTCCGAAGCCTAGGATAGACGATAGGATGTAACGTGATAACGCAAGCTCGCTCATAGCTCGGTAGCCTATAAACGCAATACAATGCAGAGATTCGACTCCAACGCTGCATCAACGAAACTCTTCGAGTACCCTCAATGGTGTGATTGAGGAATGATAAGATAGCAAGATATGACAGGCCTGATACCCTTGCTCTGGTGGCTCTAGGCTTTTTCATGGCAGGGGGTGCATGTAGCTTTCACAGGGGAATCGTGATCAATGCATCCCAATCTAGGAAAGAGATCCAAGATTTGAGGGGGATAAGGGTCTTACAACAAGAGGACAGTCTTTCTTCCCACCGTTTGAAGAAAGGGGGGCGGTTCCTCGCAGGGGTACGATGTGAGTAGCACTAAGAACCTCGTGAGCCTGATACGAAAGTACTGCGAGCCGGAAGGAAAACCGGTAGAATCAAAGTTGAGGCATGAGGTCACTCGCGAATCGTGTTGATTGTCGAAATGAAAATAATTAGCCGATGGAGATCATGTACAGACGCTCTGAAAGCACGCATCCATTCAGTTTTCTGCAGGCCATAAGAGCCCAACAGTCCATTCGTCCTCAACCCATATGACAGTATAACGCATCTTTAATTGTTCTCGCAGGACGTCCGGCCTTCCACAAGATTTTCCTGTTGCTCAACTTAGGACAGTGAAGCTCTTCAAGTTGCTGCAAGGCGATGATGCAGAAGCCCAAAACCTACTGAATTTGTCTCCCGGACGATGAATGACAGCTTCGTGACCTGCCACCGCCCGCCCCAACAAGCCTATCCCAGATATCATCCGCCTCCTCAAGTACCCTGCACACACCGCACACAGACCTCAGGTTCGCTCGCATCCGCTCTTCACCCGGCAACCAGGCCTATTTAACCCTGCTGTGGGTAATAGCAAGTAACTCCTAACTAGTGGCGACTGGATCAAGAAGAAGTGTGGAAGTTTGAGGTTGGAGAGTCGCATGGAGGGGCAGGATTGGGTTCTTACGGGGCAGCGTGAGGCTTTGCCTGTCTGAGTAGAGAAGACGAGAGCATGGCACTAAGCAGAGCAGACGTTTGTTTCGATTCTTTCGCTTTTGAGCCCGGCTTTGTTCCGCGATATGAAAATTCATACTACTGAATCTTAGGTGGACAGGATGATTCTGATCCAATCTATGGGCATCAAAGCAGAAAGAAAGCTCGATGTAATAACTAGCTTTTCACATATACAGTAGACAAGTAGTCTTTGCATCCCCCCCCCCAAAACAACATAGTCACTTGGATAACACAGCATTGCCTAGTAGCAGAATAACGTGACCGGATGCCAAAGACTTGGCCGGGTAGGTGAGTACCAGGCCGTCCTACTTCTAATGGGCAGATGCAGAGTAGAGCTCTGCAACAAAGTCTTGGGAGAGGACGAATAAGGCTCTATAGATCTTCAACATTGTCAGGAGCTCGGAAACAGCATCCCAGACCGCCACAATCAACTACACTACCCGTGCACACTCAGTCTCCGTATCCAAGAAATCTACTCACAACCTGTCAGGATATCCGCAAAATCTATCTTTCTCTATTCCGCGTCATTGCAGTTCTCTATATAAACTTTTCAGAAGCCTTCGTGGATACATTCGTCATCAAAATGTCATAGCAGAGCAAGAACACAGGATTAGTGCCTCTTCAGAATGGGAACTGATGGAGATTTCGAGACGTGGTTCGTAAGCTTTTTGCGGGAGAGAAACCAGGTAAAAGGAAAATGGGTAATATCCGACAGGTCAAAACCAAGCAAGTGAGATTCTAAATCAATTCATGCAGAAGATGCGACGTAAATATTTTGGTAACAGATTCATAACTCAGTGAACGGCGATCTAGGCCTTGGGGGCCTCGACAGCACCGCGGACGGCGCTTTGGCCGCCGACTTCCCGAGCGGTGATCTGCAGGCCAAGGTCGGCATCAACGTGGATCATGAGCTCGACCTTGCTACCGGCCTTGACACCCTTGACAGCCAGTTCGGCAATGGGCTTCTCGGTCTTCCAGACGATCTCACGGGTCTCCTCCTCCTCGTCATCGGAGTCAGAAAAGTCGGAGTCATCCTCGTCGGCCTCAGTCTTCTCCTCCTTGGGCTTGGGCTCAGGCTTGGTGACCTTGATCTCGCGGGCACCCTCGCAGACGCGGATCAGAACGTCACCACCCTCCTTGGGGGCAGCGAACTGAGCGAGACGGCGAGCAGGGAGAGCGGTCTCGACGTGAAGGAGGGCCTTGAAGTCAACGGCATCGCCGGAGGTGACCTCAACACCGATGGCGTTCTGGAGGTGAGGGGTGGCGGTAACCACGGGGTGGATGGACTGCTCAATGTCCTCCTTGTCGAACTCCTGGATGAGAGAGGCCTGGATGGCAGCACCACGGGGGGCGAGCTCAGAGGGGTTGATGGCAGCAGTGAAGGTGGAGGGAGCAAGAATGGCAGTCTTCTCGGAGAAGATGTTGCGGGCCAACTGGGCGATCTTGGGAGTGTGGGAGGTACCACCGGCGAAGATGACCTTAGATTAAGCGTTAGAGGCAAGGCCAGACAGGCAAACGAGCGGGGTTACAAACCTCATCAATGTCCAAAACGTCCAGGCCAGCCTTCTTGACAACCTGCTCGATCAAGCCGGTGAACTGAGCAAAGACCTTGCCGGACAGGAGCTCATAGCGAGTGCGGTTGATGGTGGAACCGTAGTCAATTCCATCGGTAAGACTCTCGATGCTGAGGGTGGCGTTGGTACCCAGACTGAGGGCACGCTTGGTAGCCTCACCCTCAAGCTTGAGCTTAGCCAAACCACGAGCGTTCTCGCGGGGGTCGGTCTTGTGCTTCTTGATGAACTCCTTGGCGAAGTGGTCGATTACGATCTTGTCCAAGGTGGCACCACCCAACTCGTAGTCGTGGGCAGTGGCCAGGATGGTGTACATACCGCCACGGCAGGCAATGACGGAGGCATCGGAGCGAGTGCCACCGAGGTCGGCGACGACGGTAAGCTTGTCAGTCACGACAGCTTCGGGGCGAGCATCGTAAGCCAGGACAGCAGCGACGGGCTCGTGAATGAGCTGAAGAACCTCGAGGCCGGCCGCGTTGGCAGAGGCGATCAGGGCCTCACGCTGAGCATCGTTGAAGTCGGTGGGAACAGTGATAACGGCAGCGTTGACCTCCTTACCAAGGTAGTCGGAGGCAGACTGCTTGAGACGGCGCAGGTGGCGGGTAGCGATCTCAGAAACGGTAACAGTGCTGGGGGTTTCGCTGGTGGTATCGCGGATGGTGAAAGCAACGGTGTCCTCGTGCTGCTGGGGGTGGGCGGAGTTGTGGCAGGGGGTGGCGTCTATCGACTTGAAGCTAGGGAGTTGGTCAGCAAATTTCGTTCTACTTGAAATTAGAGCGTGATATCTTACTCCTTGCCAAGGTAATCTCTGAAGTATGCAACAGTGTTCTGGGAGTTGCGGATAAGCTGGGCCTTGGCCTGGGTACCGTGGTACTCCTCGCCATCGATGTAGGAAAGAGCGGTAGGGATTTGACGGTCTGTACGGCGGTGAGCCCATGATCTTTCAGAGCAATGCGCTACCAAGACTGGTGAGCGGAATGGGAAGAGTGAAGAACTGACCTCCCTCCTCGTTGGCGATAACTTCAGCCTTGCCCTCCTATAAGACGACACGATTAGCATCACGCTCGATGACATTGCGCGCATGAGGGTCTGATTGAGTTTGAGGGGATAGATGACGAAGTCGAATAGTTCAAAGCCAGGTCCAACATACAGGGTTGAGGCGGGCGATAGAGCTGGAAGAGTTGCCAAAGGAGATACCAATGGCGAATCTCTCGGCAGCGCCGTTAGTCTCGGAGCTCATTTTGTGAAGTGTGTTGGAAAAACGGAGAAGAGAAAGGGAGGAAGGAAAAGAGCAGCGATCCCAAAGGAAGACGGAGATGGAGAAAGAGAGAACGGAAGAAGAAGAGAGAGGGAATAATAATTGAGGCTGTTCCCGCGCCGCTTTCCTTCGCCCCGAGGAAAAAAAATTTGGCTCGTTTGCAATTGGCGGGCAGATGTGGCTGGTGCTTATCGATAGTGAGTGTGGCGGTGCGGCAGCCACCGCGAGTGCTCATCGGCATGATAACACAAAGGTTAGTAGCATGTTCCAGGATTTTAAGTCTTCCACCTGGAGATAAATAAGCTAGTGAGTTATAATAAATTCAAGGCCCAGATTCCCAGTTCAGCATGACTTGACCGGTCAACTGCATGTCAACTTACAACCCAGACCTGAAGAACACCGCGTCACGTGCAGATAAGACTGACCGCGATAAGCCGTAGACGATTTGCGCTTCCTTTTTGCAGAATGCGGGCAAGACTCATTCAACAGCCAAACCTCCCTCCCTCCCTCGACACTCTTTCTTCCATTCAACTCATCCCCGCGACAATCTGAATTCGCGAGAAGACAATATTCACATCATGTCATCGCCACTAGTCCTCCTCCCGGGCGACGAAGTGCCCTCCGAATACCTCCCGGCCAGCAGTTCCGCGCCGTTGAGGTTGGGCGCCGGTCTCCGTTTGCTCTCGCAACCGCATCCTACGACGACGAGCAGCTCGTCGACACAAGCGCCTAGCCACGTCCTTACCGCCACGCAGGCCGGGATTCTCTCCACAGACACCAAGCGGAACGCCCTCTCGATCCTCTCCTTCCCGCACCGCCGCTACATCCCGACCGCCAACGACCTGGTGATCGCGCAGATCCACCACTCCAGCCCGGATTACTTCCACTGCATGATCACGCCGCAAGCGCCTCACGCGGTGCTGGGGCAGTTGTCCTTCGAAGGGGCCACGAAGAAAACCCGGCCCATGTTGAAGCAGGGCGATCTGGTGTATGCGCGGGTCCTGTCCATTGGCCTCGGGGCAGGCGCGGAGGTCGAGCTGGCGTGCGTGAACCCGGCAACGGGCAGAGCGGAACCGGGCGGTCTGGGCCCGTTGAATGGGGGGATGGTGTTTGATATCTCGACGGGCATGGCGTCTCGATTGATGCGAGCCAGCTCGTCGACGGGGGAGCAGCAGGATGGGGTGGCCGGGTTGGTGGTGTTGGATGAACTGGGCAAGAAGCTGGAGAAGGCCGGCGGGTTCGAGATCGCGATTGGCAGGAATGGCAAGGTGTGGGTGGATTGTTCGAACTCGGGGGATGTCGCTGTCAAGGCGACGGTAGCAATTGGCCGCTGTTTGACCACGATTGACGAGCATGATTTAAATCCCGCAGACCAGAAGAAGTTGGTGTCGCGAGTCTTGCGGGAGCTGAAGATCGAAGTGTAAAAAAAATCATGGCCTTATCGATGTGTGTTACGAGTATTTCTGGTTCTGTCCGGTGTTACGATAGATTTGGTGTTAGTTTCGAGCCCCTCTAATACTATTTGTGTAGTGTCACAACTGTTTTCCTGTTTACGCTATCTACAGTTGTGGTAACAATCCAATGCACGGGTCGAAACTGCGGGATTGAAGGAGTTGGGGTTGACCGCCTGAGTTGCGAAAAAAAATAGAAGCTTAAGTGGACCGCGAAAGTTGGCGCCCGCCCGCGTCTTCCTCTTCGTCGCTGTTGATCAAAAAAGCTTCACCCCGGAAGTTTTCCCTTACCATTCTTGGGGAAACTGTCAGTAAATCCCCCTCCCCAAAATTCCAACCTTGCCTGTAAGGTTCCTCTCTTCCACTTCCATCCCTGTCATCCTCCTCAATTATTGTTGCTCCTTGTTCACCGCCCGCCCCGCCCTCGCAAGTCTACTCGAAGCGTCTGATAAAAATATCTGCCAACTGGTCAGTCTTTTTCTTCCCTCTGATTTCCCTGCCCTACACGATGGGTCTCTCCTCCTCCCAACCTGCTGCTGATACTACCAACGGACTCAACGAGGGTATGTAGCTGCTAGTGAATGAATTCGGTCTATTCAATATGATCAGGAAAAATCGCGCGCCCCCTCATGGTTCTGCAGTAGTCAAAATTCCAGCTGAAGCTGACTGACCTGATTTCCTGATCGACTAGACAGTGTCGACATCGCCTCGAGCCCTCCACTTCCCACGTCTATCCTCAGCCAAGCCAGAAAGGTCCTGCAATCGGATGCTCAGATGGCGTCCGCCAAGCGCAAGAGAACCGGCACGGGCTTGAATGCCACCCCCAATGCCGCAGGGAGAGTTGGCTTTGTGCCTCAGTCCCCCCAGACGCCTCTCGTCGCGACACCGCTCACCGACTCAGCCACGCACCCTTCAAAGCGCAAGAAGCTGGGCAGTGAATCGTCGAGCAAGAAGAAGCGAAACCACAGAGAAACACGCGAGGAGTCCGAGGAGCTCCCCTACGTCAGCAGTCCGGTCTCCGCGAAGCGGAACCCTGCCTCTGCCGATGGTCACCATGCGCCTCCCCCGGTGCCAGAGACTCCCCAACCCGAGATCCCCATTGATCCAGCTATCACGGGCGAGACCATGTCCGTTCGCAAGGATCAGGACCAGCCCATGGAAGATGCCGATCAGACAGGCACTAGAGTCTCGACCCCTTGGTCCAAAGATACAACCCGAGAATCCTCCGCGTTGAATTCTACGAAGAAGGGTCGCCGCGACTATGAGGAGACCAACGGTAAGAAGGGCTTTTTTGAGGCAGACGAGATCGAGAAGCTGGAGGCCTTCAAGCTGGAATTCTGTACCACCCACGGTCAGGTTGCGGATGTGTTCGACAGCATGGTGCAGCATTCGGATCGCGACCGCCAGGATTGGCCCGTGCACAACGACATCATCACGAAGTCGGAGTTCTGGAAGAGAGTCTACGAGACTCTCCCGAACCGCGACAAAAGATCCATCTACCGGTTCATGCGGCGCCATTTCCAGTGCTCGAGCCAGAAGCCCCACCAATGGACTCACGAGCAGGATGAGGAGCTCGTTTCGCTCCACAGACTACACGGGGCGCGGTGGGCTTACATTGCGAGGATGCTCGGCCGCAGCGATGACGATGTCGTCCAGCGGTGGAAGAACCGCCTGCAGCACCGTCGCACCATGAACCATGGGTCCTGGAAAGAGGAGGAAGTCCGAGCCCTGCTGGAGGCCGTGCAAGCCGCATGGCATGCCATGAAAGCCGCCGGGGAGAATGTTGGCCGGGATATCTACGAAATGGACGAATTCTCGATTGCCTGGGGCCCGATCAGCGACCGAATGAATAACTGCCGCTCCCGCCAGCAGTGTGCGGACAAGTGGCGGAAACTGCGGTTCAAGGTCATGGCCCAGCGCTCTATGGGCAATCCTGATGCGTTCTTTGACCCGGCGACCACAAAGCCACGCCGCCATCGTTATAACAAATCGCAGGAGAAGAGTACCCCTAAGAACCAGACATTCAAGAGCAATGAGTTCGTGGGGTCGGAAGATGAAGACGCGAACCAAGAACCGCGGACGACAGAGAAGGAGAAACACGCGCAAGAAGACGAGGTGGAGGAAGAGGAGGAGGAAGAGGAAGAGGAAAGCGAAGACGAATCCGCCGAGCCCACAGTCCCTATCAAGCATGAACGGCATTCCCCGGAGCCGGATGATGCCGACCTGCCACCCCCATCCAAGCAGCCCAGCGGCGCCGTGCGTCACATCACGACGACCGACTCACGCGAGGACTCCGTCGCGGAATCCTCTACCGATGAGGCCGAGTCCGACGACGAGCCCGCTGACCCGGTCATCAAGCAGGAGTATGCCGCAGAAAGCGAGTCGGAGCCAGAGGAGTCGCCCAGCCCTCACTCCAAGCGCGACATCAAGCCCAACCTCAACCTCCTGGACGACGAGGCCGCAACCGAGAGCGAGAGCGAAGACGACGACGAGGAGGAAGGGGAGGAGGAGGAGAACTACGCAACGCCGCCGAGCGGAAGAAAGGCCGGACTCCCGGGTTCCAAAGTCACATCCCCCAGCGCCACGAAGTCGTCGCACCAGCAACAAGACAACAAGCCCCGGAGCCCATTGACGACAATCAAAACCAGAAAATCTCCCTCCCCAACCGCCTCCGTCTCCTCTTCCTCCTCCGAAGCCGAAGATGACGAAGAAGAAGGAGGCAGCGAAACAAGCAGCACAGGCGGCGACTGGCCAGCCAAACCACCCACGCAAACCACCCCACTACAACCACCACCATCCTCCTCCTCCAACAACACCAACACCCGCAAACCCACGGGATCAACCACCACCACGACCACGAAGCGCAACATCACCTCCATGCACCAACAAGCACCCACAAGAACCACCCGCTCCACCCGCTCCAATCCCGCGCCCGAACCCGAAGAAGACGACACCTCCTCCTCGGACGAAGAAGAAGAAGAAGCAGCCTCCGCGCAAACCAAGCAAGAGCAACAACCCCGTCGTCCAACCTTCCCCACGCGTCCATCCTTCGGCTCAAGCTCCCAACCCTCCCAACCTTTAAGCCAACGCGCATCCCTCAAAGAATTAAAGGCCGCTAGTCTCCGTCAGGCGAATAGCAAACTTAAGACTCCCAGTGCGAATACCTTGATTGACATCGTTGCTGATGCGAAGAAGCGGGCGCAGGAGGAATCTTCTTCTTCGTCGGAGGATGAGGATGATGAGGATGATGATGAGTGAGGCGTTAGTTAATAGGTTGAGGCTGTTTGGGTGTGTAAGAAAGAGAGGGCTGGGTTGTGCTATCTACTGTGGATCTTGTTGCGGTGCTACATGATAAGGAGTGTCGGGAGAATGCTGAGAGAAGAATGATGAGGAGGAGAGGGGGAGGAGAAGGGAGAGGGAGCGATGAATTTATTTGATTTGATTGTTGTTTCCTGTTAATTGTTGATTCTCTGATATGAGTGATAAGATGAGGCAATTTCATCGTTCCTTCGGGCTTCAGAATTTGTAGTGCGTAGATTTATGTGTTGAGAGTAGATGTGCTTTGGAGGGTACTAGGTACTGCGGTATAATAGCCCTAGGTCGGAGAAAGGCGGTCTCCCACCGGAAAGAGTGTTATATGAGATCATTGAACCGCATCTATGCGCAACCGTACAAAACATCATCACAAAGATAGTCACTTATATGAAATTGAAAGGAAGGAAAGATGGATGGATGCTACATGGCTATACAATATAAACAGACGACATCTAAAGCTCATCTTTATCCCAGGTTGCCCCAGTCCCAGAAGCAGACACCGGCACCTCATCCTGCACCGTCTCCAGCCTCACCCTGTTCTCCAGGGCGGCGATCTCCTCATCGTACACCGTCCACTCGGGGACCTGTCTCCTGGCGCGCTCGAGCTTCGGCTCCTTGGTCAGCGGGTTATTGCACAGATCGATCGTGCGGGCCTGGCCGAGGGACTCGTCGGAGCACCAGGTCTCGCACCACAGCCACTCCTGCGGCAGGCTCTTGATGGGGATGTGATGCTGCATGTGATTGGGCAGGTCCTGGTCGAGGTTGCTCAGGCTGCCCGGGTCGGCGGAGAGCATCTGGTACTGGCCGCGCAGGCGGTCGCCGGCGGCCAGGGCGCGGAAGCGGCTGAGGTCGACCACGTACAGCGCCGAGATGTGGTACGGCTGGCCTCGCAGGAAATTCTTCCAGTAGCCCTGTTTCCAGAACCGGAAGCCTTCCATCTCGTGGCGCGAGTCGCACATCGGCGTGAAGCCGTACGGCGCGCCCTCCAGGTCCAGCGAGACGAGGTCGTACATGTCCGTGCGCACGATCTGGTCCGCGTCGACGAAGATGACCTTGTCCAGGCTCAGGGGGAAGAGCACGTCCAAGAATAGAATCTTGTAACCCCAGATCTCGCGCTGCTTCTCGGTCTGGGCCCGCAGCCAGTGCGGCCATTTGTATGTTACCATCTCGTAAGAAAAGCCGTACTCGGCCGCCAGGTGCGGGAGGAAAGCCTTGAACGACGGGGAGAGGAATTGCTCGATGAACCAGAACTTGACGCTGTGCTTGGTGTTGCGCATGACCGACACCATCATGATGTTGAGCATGCGCTCGTAGAGGTGGCCACTCGCCACGGAGAAGATGTTGATGTCCGCTTGTTTGCCGGCGGAGACATCTTTGGGGGAGCTGTTGATTCCCACACTAGAGAGAATGTCCGAGGCAAAGTTGAGGCCCTTGGATACGTACTCCATGGCGCTGCCGGACTTGACACCCGTCTCCAGCACGTCTTCCATTTCTTGACCCTTCTTGCGGGAGAGGCGGGGGAAGAGAGTCTTGCCTTGGAAGGAGAGGAGGGCGACCTCGTTGCTGGTGTCATCGTTGGGATGAAGGATGTAGCCTTCGTTCCCGAGGCTGTCAAGCTGGAAGATCCGCTCGCTGCGACCGGGTTTGAGGTTGATCTTCCAGAGGCCCGGCTGTGCTTTGAACTGGAAGTAGCCTAGGTTGGCCATGATGATGGTATCGGAGAGTTGGGGGTTCTCCTCAGTGCCCAGAATGAGCTGCACTCCCCTCGGTGGCGTCTTGGTAGTGAGATCCCGTGAGTGGCCTTCAATCAGGATGTGCTCCAAAGCGTAGATTGCGTCCACATCTGAGCCCTCCTTCACCGAGCTCAGCTTGATGTTGTCAAGATCGTAAACGGAGTCTTTAGGAGCCACGAGCCATGATGACGGAACATCCATGCCTAATGTGAGAAGTGCTTCCGCAGGAACACCGGAGAAAGACGCTGCAGGGTGAGCGACAGATCCATCCTCGCTGAAGGACGGCTCCGAGTCCAGCACATAGCGATAGAATCGCTTAGTGGGAAGCTCTTGCAATTCGTCGCGGGGATTCAGAACGAGGCGCATTCTGACGTTGGCCAGTTCCGACAGCACCTTCAAGATGGGCAGCCACTTCTGAGCGACTTCAGATGTCGGATCGATAGAGGCCACGATTGTGATAGCAGGATCTTCCGAGTTCGAGACTGTTACGGCTGAACGAGCTTTGTCCCATCGCTCGAATAAGTTAACACGGATGTCAGGTGTCGACTCGTAAATACCCTCTGGTACATCGGAGACAGTAGAAGAGGCCGTGAGGGAAGTAAGCTTGGCAAAGGCAAGAGGATCCCTGAGCTTTGCATCGAAACCCAATGCTTTGGCCGCCTTGGCAACAGGAGCAATACGCTTCTGGCGCTCATAAGCCAATAGCTGGTCCAAGTCAACCGAAGTCAACGCAAACTCGGCTGGCAGTTCAACGACCCTTCCGTTGATGATGATTGCACTTGCACCAGAAGCAAGTCCAAAGTCTTTGACTAAAGGTCGCTGCGCAGCCCAGAATTCGTCGACCTCCTGAATTTGTTTATGGGACCATAAATCAGTCCCCGTGAGCTCCTCCAAAAGTTGCGCGGCATCAAACCCATCTTCCTTCGTCTTAGGGTTCTTCAGATAACGGTGAATAGTGTTGGCTCCAGTCCAGACAGACGAGTCTGCGCCGGGGTTGTGGAGGAGTAACACTTCTGCTTCGCCGTGGTTCTTGAGGCTTTCGAGAGCTCCGCTCAACATCTTGAAGCCGGACTCATCATTGAAGTCGCCCACTATAATCACATAGCTGCTGGAGAGAACATCGTTCTCGATCGATGCAATGCGAGGGACTTGGCCAAGAAGCTCGCCATGCGCCTCTGCAACCTGCGACATATCTACTACTCGAACATCCTTGGGATCTTCGGGAACGATAACAGGATTACGTCTATCGAAAGCCTCCGAGAGGAAAAGGCCGGGTAGCCATGTGTCCTCGTCAAGCGCACCATCAGCGATCAGCTGTTGAATTGCCTGGATATCGCGGCTGACTCTGGCACTCAGTTCCTGAGCCCAATTCTCGTTGCGAACGATTGGAGCACCATTCACAAACGAATGTGATGCCTTATCAGTGATGCCAAGACGTTTCAGATAATTCGTAGTCCTGCTTGCTGTGGCGTTCAAGGAATCGTTCTTCAGCACCTCATCCAAGGTAAGGAGCTGCTTATCGGGGCGGACGTTTCGGTCTGCAGTGGCAGTTTGGAACGCCGTCTTATCCGGAGAGCTCAGCTTGTTCCTGGAAAGTGACTACATGAAACATTAACAGCGTGTAGAGGGGCGTCTTCTGAAACTTGTCTTACCGCTTCCAGATAACTCATCAAGCTAGACAGACCAAAGGTATCTTGCAGATAGTGAGCTACTTTGAGCTGCGCAATAGATCCTGCGGAGGAAGTTGTCGGCACCAAGCCGAACCTCACGGGGATCTTGTTCTTCACAAAGACCTGGATGGATTTGACGATGAGGGTGGCGTCATTCGCGTTGGTGAGGTCGACCGGGATGACGACATTGTTAGCTTCACGACGAACAGATGGCAATTGACCGGGGAAAACACGTTGCATGTACTATTAATCATTAGCATCGCGTTCTCGTGACTAGGAAAAGGTACCTACTCCACCGAGGTCGCTCGGCCATGATTCATAGCGTGCATCCTTTGCGAGGTCATTCAGCCACATGATTACACCGCCACCCTCAATCTCATCCCGGTAATTGTACCGCTGAGGACCATCCTGGGCCATTGCCGCTGCCAGGAATTTGTGCGACAACAGCTCCACAGACTCGCTGGCCGACAGTCCGAGGGTACGGAACTTCTCGATCAGCTTTCTTTCACGGCGGAGGTGATCCAGAAGAGTGAATGCGTCGACCTGTCGAGCATCGATCTGAACGCCATTGATCCACAAGGCGTTGAGCCCTGGAGGAAGCATTCGCAGCCGGCTTGACTGGATATCCTGCAACAATTCGCGTGTGACATTGTAGGCGGCAATTCTAGCCGAGTATTTGGGGAAGTCTTGCGAGAGCTTGACCAGTGTCTCCAGAGGACTCTCGCTGTCCAACACATAGCCGACAGTGCTCGGTCCAAGCCGTGATACCTCGGACGAAGACAGGGGTCTCAAATCATCCAAATCATCCCCCTCCATATCGACCGACTTCTTCGAGTCGGAACCGTCTGCGCCTCTTTCCTCGGCAGCCCTGTCGTCAATGACAATGTAATCCGTCCTCTTCAATGCGAGCTCGACTCCGTATCCCGACACGAACAGCGGGCGCGAGCTCCAATGCTGCGGAGGTCGGTATCGCACCCGATATGAGATCTGCCCTTCTTTGGCGAGAGCAGTCAGGGACTGATGAAAATCCTTGAACATCGGAGACGCCACATCTGCATAGAGAATGGCTGGTGGGAGAGAGGAATCCCCAAAGACACGATCGAAGGGAAGTTCTGGCGGGTCACTAAAGCCGAAGCGTTCAGCAGAGAACATCACGATTGAATCATGCACCACTCACCTTGGCCCCATCACACCCTGCTGGGCGCGTTCCAGAGTAGAGGAGCAATACTGCTTCCCCTCGGAATGGACCCAGACCGGGCAGACTGCGTCTTGCGCCGCCGCCAAAGACTGCTGGACAGAGGCATTGTAGTACTGGTAGTGTGCGGCAATACGGGGACTTGCGGATCGGATGGCCAACGACAGCTTGAAGGAGGATAGCGCTTCAGGGGTTCTCAGGTGGCCATCAGTGTGGACCGCCTCCAAGAACCGATCGTACAGTTCTTTGTCCGTGGCCGCATCATCGAAAGCTCCATCGGCAATTCGGTCAAGTAACGGGAAGTAAGATGTCGCGTTTTCCTCTGCAGCGGTTTCTCTTGATTCAAAAGTCAGCAAGAATGTCTCTCGGTAGTTAGGCGTTAAGTAATCGGAAGAGCCAGGTCTCTCGTACAGTAGCTCTATAAGATAAGGCGCTGAATCGAACGAAGCTTGGAGAGCGACGTTAACGGACGGCGTCGCGTGTACCAAGCAAGATAAGGCAGAAGCTATGACGACGGAAGTGAGTCGCCATGAGGCGACAAATGCCGACCCAGACACCATCTCTGCAGTTGGTGGCAGATACCAGGTGTTTTGAAATTGTCGACTAGCTAGCTACTCCACGGTAAACTAGCTAGCAAGCGGGCATCACGGGTGGGGGGTAGCCAGGCTCGAGGAGCGGCGGTAAGGAGAGCAATGAAAGGACCAGCTTTCAGACGATCAATTTACTATAGAAGAGAGTATAATCAAGCCTCAATTTCAGAGGAACAGACGAAAGGAGGAACAAAGGGCAGCGCTTACATCTCGCAAAGGGTTCTGGCCACTTCGCGGAAGGGAGATAGCTGCTACGGCGGGCGCAGCGGCCCAATGCGCTGGACTTCCGTGTCTTCTATCCACCACCGTCATTGGTGGGTTTGACTGACTGGCAGTTGTATACAGCAACTTGCAACTGAACCGTCTTCTAGGTACCGATGACTGAGAAGTGATTGAAGATAGGTGGCTAGGTGCTTGCTCAGATTCTCACATCTCTGAATGCAGTAGCAGATGACAGTCATCTGCAGCACACACAAGATTAGGCTCATTAGGCAACGCATCGTGGAGGCCCAGTTTCTATGGGGAAGACAGCTCCCCCAAAAATACCATTTGCGTCACGCATCGTTTGCAGGCACTTTTGGTAGCCAAGCAAGGCCGGCGGAAGAATAGAGGTGGCATTGACAATGTTGGTATCAGAAAACGTAGGACAGTGAACATCTGCCATAATGCAGGATAAGTTGATAGATTATTGTGATCCTTTGAAATTTCATTTCGTCGTTAGATACATTGTCATTATCATTTACTCGAATCAGGATTTCGAGCTTCTTTTCTTTCCCTTCTTCCCTTTTTGCAGAACACTCTGCTCTTCCCCAATGCCAGTGAGAAACAAACTTCTCGCGAGATCGTATCCCGAACGCCGGGATCTGATCTATGCCAACTCAGATCATATGACATACTCAAAACACGAATGAAAAAACCTTATGTAAACCTTATGCACCTCCTGAAACCTTTGAAACCTTTGACCTTCTAAGAACGCCAACATGACACTAACTCCAAACACATACCAGTGTTGAAAGCATCCAGGCTTTTGTCTTTCCTGCTTTTGGTTTGTGAAGGAAAAAAAAGCATATGGTGAAACGCTAAAATGAAAGAGAAAATAAGTGTGGAATAGTAGTACCGGGGCAACGTGTGCTCTTAACGCGAGCCCGTGCTGGACTGCTTCGAGTGAGCTTTCTTGCGATTGGACGCTTCCCAAAGAAGCCGCCTACGCTTCATCTCATCAATTTCGAAGATTGATTCTTCTTCGGAGCGACTGGGCACATTGTCCGACCGGACTGCCAGAGCACTCGTGGATCTCATCTTCTTGAGGCTCTTGACCTTGCCGGATTCTCCCAGCTTGCGAAGTTCCCGAGTCAGCCGCTCCAGAGTAGAACCCGACTTGTGAGGGGGTCTGGTTGATGGGGGTGGGGGAAGAGGCTTGTCCAGAATATCCTCAGCCTCCTTGCTGCTCTCACCACCCGAGGCGAGGATCTTCTCCGCTGAGCCGAAACTGATCCCGGAATCAACCTTGCGACCTTTGTGACCCCGAGGCTGAGACTCCGTGCCCTCTGCAAAGCTAGCAAAGCTAGCAAGACCAGTAACCGTGCTGCAGTCATCGTAAATGTCATTCGCTGCACGCAGGTATCGATCGAGAACGTCTCGGACCACCGGCCAGCCATTGTCATCTCCTGGTTGGGCGCCCTGAGCAATGATGTCATTGAGCACATCCGGGCCATTGCGACCCACAGCTGCAATATACCGGAAGAAACCATCCCGCTGAGACCTCAGGTGGTTAGGAGTCAGGTAGGAGGTCGGGGGTACAGTCGCGTCTGTGACCGGGGGGAACAATGTATTGAGCATGGCAATACAGTTGGCCTTGTTAAAAGGCTCCATCAACATCTCATTGATCAGGGTCTAAGGCAACATCGTCAGTAAGCGATAGCGGTGGAGAGGAGACGAGAAACATACCCAGCGACGGAGACCGACGTAGACTTGAGTGTACAGAGCCTCGATGCGGCGACCTTGAGCATTGAGCGACTCGAGCCAGGCGATCACGCCAGGATTCTTCTTAGCGAATGCGGATGTTTCCTTCACGTCGTCCGGCTCCACGCCCAACCGCTGCAGAGCGGCGGCAACCTCCTTCCGACGACGAATCTCAAAGTCTTTGAGGTAATCCAAGGCAGTCAAGGCCTGAGGGAAATCGACCTCTTCCAATTGGGGAGTGAAGCAGCGACGCACGAAGGAGGTGACGAAGCTGGGGGGCAGGTTGCATGGCTGCGAAGGTAAACGGGAGATTTGATGGCTCAATTGAGCTCGGAAATCGGCAGCGAGGTCCATCGAGTCCTGAGAGGAGGACGAATTGGTCGGACGGTGAAAGGCTGTTTCAGGCTGACGGGTAGTGGAAGACGGTTGTCTCGTGGGGTTGCAGTTCAACGCATACATGGAACGCAATGGGATCTCGTAGGTACCGGGATACCGAAGGCAATGATCGAAGATCCATGTCAAGGCGGACCCATCGGGCGCATCCAGTGGTTCTTCCGTGCGTGCCATTGTTTCGGGAGGATGAGACAAGGTGGGCGAGAAATGAATGTGAAATAGATGAACAATTCCTATCGATGAGGAACTACGAGATGATCGGGTATAAAAGTACTTCCTCAAAACCAAAAGGCTAGAAACCAGTCGGAAAAAAGAGGGTAGTCAGGGGGGTTTTGTGTGCGACGTGATGGTTCGTGCAGATGATCAAAAAGGGCAAGTGTTGCTCGCAATGACGGCTGGCATCAAGTGCGTGTAACGTGTCTTTCCATAGCACGAATATACACTTGGAGATCGAGCGATCGATGATGTAAAGTCTCCTTGGCTAGGGAGACAGGAGCAGGTATCCCTTCGGTTTCTGATGTGTGAGGGGCAACCGTTCCTATGGGATCAGTCGGGCTGGCGGTTTGTTGCGCGGGGGAACTGAGGGAAGCCGTTTAGCTTTCTTTGTGAAGCTCTTGGCGAGATTGCAAGTTGAAATCGAAGGACAGGCCGAGGATGAGCAAAGATCCCGAGGCAGACAACAGGGAAGGATTGATGAAGATGGGGAGACGGTTGCACAAGCGGCTATCGGGTTCCCGGATAAGGATGCTTTTGAAGCAAACAAAATAGACAAATGCGTGCGACGGAAGCTCCAAGCTGGCTGGAGCAGAGTTCGACTTCTAGGTAGGTACTTCTTTGATTTGAACTTGTGATGAGTCACAAAAGAGGTTTAGAGATAGACTGATAGCTTGTTGAAGACAACAGGAAGGGAAATCAGTTGAGAGAGTGTAGATGGGGATGGAAATGAACGAAGGCGAACAAGGGGAGGCGAGGGTGTCACTGGGATAAGGATTGAATCGATAGATAGGGAAGGGAAGGTATGATGTCTGGAACAAAGGAGGACGATCGAGAAGGGAGAGTGAGGACTAGTCGAGGACTTAAGAACGAGGAGGAGAGGGACTAGTAGTGAAGTGGAGAAGCAGGAGGGAGGGAGGGAGGGGAGGAGTGAAGGTTGAACGACGTTGTCTGGGCACACAGAGAGAGAGAGAGAGAGGAAGAATAACGGATAAGTCGAAGTTGGTGAAAGCCGTTCTGGCCGGGACTTTCACTAGGTAAATTGGTGGTGGAGAAAAAAAGGGTCGGCCAGTCACGGGCTATCGTCCTTTCCGGGTCAACAAACTCCAGGATCGACCACCACCCAGTCAGTCAAATCACTATCAGTCCCAGTTCCATGGATGTCTCTCCTGCCTTTAATCTATTCTTGTTTATTTGATTATTTATCCTCCGGTCCTTGCCCCGAACCACGCGCCCCGCGTGCCTGGACTGTCTGTTTGTCTATCATTCTGTCTGACTTGGTCTGACTCTCTCTGTTGACTTCCTCCTGGTTCTCTTCTGGAGTGCACATCCCAATCAAATCCTTTTTCCCGAGGGTTAACGGTTAACCACCACAGTGCCAATGCAACGGGAAACACAAAAAGCAAAGAGAGTCGCCGCTCCTCCTTCCCGTCCGAGGTTCTTTTTTCTCGGATGCACAGTGGCCACAAGCTGCATAAGGTATGTGCAGTAGTCGCAGTAGGTGCAGTAGGTGCAGTAGGTGCAGTAGGTGCAGCAGCAGCAGCAAGTAAGTAAGCAAGCCAGGCTTCCGCGTAAGTGCTCCCAGGCCCCATCCAGCGGGCTGGATTTGGACCGATCGGAAAGAAACAGAAAACCCACCCCTCCCTTCCCTCTCTTTTTTAGTCTCGTTCGCTTTCCTTTCTTTTCCTCCTGACCGAGGCTCTCTCTCGCTCTCACTCGGAAAACGAACTAAACCGGCCCTAAAAAGGACTAGAGGGGCCGATTCTCAGGTCCAAAACGGGCGGACGGTCTGGAAATTGAGCCCAGGCGTTCCTGCCCGGTGGCTGTGGGGGGCAAAGGAGGAGCACGCAGGAACTGGAAGGGGAAAATTGTCTCGCGCACTGATTTATTTGCCGCACAAAAAATAGATGTCTATCCCCCCTCTCAGGCCTCTATTGAACTCGACTCGGTCACGCCCGCTCGAAAATCTTTCTGATTCCCTTTCCTCCCCTCGCCACCGCGATAAGAAGCAGACAGATACTCGAAGTTACTCGGATCTGGAGAAACCCCGATTTTCCTTTTGCTAGTTGACTTCAGCCTCCGGGATCATCCCATGTATAAAGCATTTAGTAGGCTGTATCTAGCGTGGCGTGCCTGTCAATCGGATGTCAGGCTCCTTCAGATGAGGGTCCCGACGGTGACTTTCTGGGACTATCGGTGGGTCTCTCAGTCAGGACACGCAATCTATTCACCATGGAAAAAACAGTGAGTGCCCCATGGAGGAGGGACCCTCCATGGGGCACTCACTCTCACTCACGGCACCACAAGGCGAGAGCAATCATAATTCCAATCTTCGTCATCGATATCTAGACGAGAAGACCATACGGATTACCGAGTTTCAAAATAGAACCGCCAGTTGCGTCATACTTCTGTGAGGCTCACGCATTGCGTATGTACTGTACAGTCGCACAGATCAGAAACCCTAACGGCAAAAGGAGCTGTCGAAAAGACTCCGTGTGTGTGAGGGTGTGTGTGTTTGTGTGTAAGTATTGTTGGTGTTCTGATTTCTCTCTCTCTGGCTTCCTCCCTCCACTCAGGATGACGGCGTGACCCGATTTGCCTGTTCTTGTCTCTTACCTGAAACATATTTCCGACCGTATGAGTCCGAAAAAGATGTGGATGTGTATGAGTAGGATCTTACTCCGTCCGACGAGTTGAACCATCGCTCCGTGCACCAACCTGCTCGTCTCACTTACTCCATAAGTACAGCCCGGGAGACAAAAGTACAGTCCGGCCGATATCCGGGCTGTGTAGCGACAACCACGAACCCCCGAACACCACAAGATACAGATCCTACGTACTTACTCGCTATCCACATACGATCTTGATCATATCCAATCGAGTGAGCCAGATAGACACCCCTCCTCTCCTGCAGTCAATGTCTTCTTCCGCTACAAAGCGCAGCCCCAGGCAACAGGACCAAAGAAAACGACTAAAAAGAAAAAGAAAATCCCCTTGCGATCGGGGGATTCTCTCCTTGCATTGACCGATCTAGATAGTGCTGCTGTCTGCAGCTTGAATTCAGCACACCCACTTAGTCGCACGAGGGAATGCATCCCTCATGGGGGGTCGTCGAAAAAGCAAGCAAACTAGAAGACAGGCAAGCAAGCAAGACGGAAAATCCAGTTTGTCACTTTTCGCGCAGCGTTGCTGACGATGACACATTGATGGCCTCGTCTGCCTTCCCCAAATCACCTAGACAGCCGTCTAGGTCCCGACTCCCGAGAGAAATGGGTCCTTTGGTCGAGATGATCGCTGATGTCTCTCTGATTGTGAGACAGCGATTGATAATGTCAACCCCTTGAGTAAAGTTTACTAATGCCTGTAAATCAACCTGATCCAATCAGCGTCGAATTTCCTAGGGATTATCCGCTTTCCTGACGACTGACGTACGAGTAAATGTCTCAACCAGGCCCGATTCGCTACTGATCGACTCGGGATGGAAGGGAAACTTTGGAAAGGCAATCCGACAAACAAAAAAGCATCGCATTCTATCCCCGGTTGCTTTTCATTGGTGTAAAGATCTCTCAAGATAATGCTTCAGCTTGTCCGTGGCTGAATTACAGATGTTACAACCGAGGCTTTTTTTCAGTATTCTGCACTGATCTCCTTCGGAAACTTCGGAAAGAGCTCAACCCGATCCAGGTACCGCGCTCACCCGGGGTAATTCTTCGTGACATGCAGCATGCTGGTGTTGCCCCGGTGGTTCTTCGGTCGGAGAAAAAAAGTCCAGATCAAAAGCAATAATAATCATTGCTTATTCTTTGCATCCGCGCTGCAAGTCTTCAGCACCTATGTACAAGGCCGGAGTCGGTGAGTGTCTCCTTCCGAACTCTTCTCCCCCGTTCTATAGTCAACGCATTGAAACTCGGGACGAACTATATGGGCATTTGAAGCCCAAATTTGAGACTACAACCGCTGCTTGTGGACACTTTTCTCGGACTCGGGTTTAAATCAAGGCACAATTGACCACGATCACAAAGCTAGAGCAAGTTGGTCTGTGTAGTCGTCGATCGCTACTGTCCCAGCATATCACCTGGCGATATTATCCAGGGTCCGGCGATCCTATAGCATAACCCTTGCAACCTGGTAGGATTAAGAACAAGGCTGCTGTATCTGTATCTAACCGCGCTTCAAGCGGCCCTGGTCTAATCCCTGCTCGGCTGCAAACCCGTGCAGAACATGATAGCACACCAGCTCGTTGCACTGCAGCTAGTTCGCAGGTCACAGGTTCGCATGCAACAGACACCGACCCTGACACTGACACTGCCTGGGTTCCACTCTAGAGACCAGCGCAGCAGCAGCAGCATGAATCCAGCCGTAAATCCCGTCTACTCCAACCCACCTCCCCTTCCCAGAGAAACACCCCCACGGCACCACAAAAATCAAGGCATAGTCATCACAATCCGGGCGGCAAATCCTTCTCAATTCAGCCCAAACTTGGCCGCGATCCGCTCCCTCTCCCTCCGCTCATGCTCAGCCTTCGCATCCCTCACAGTCCGATAATTTCCCACGGTACGCACCAGCTCATTCGCCGAGAACTCCTCCTCATAGTTATCCACTTCGATGGCCGAGAACCGCACAACCACCACATCGCCCCTCACCTGCTTCTCCAAACACCGCGCCGCCAGGGCAATAAGCGGCAACCGCTCCGCGTCCGCCGCACCCACCCCTCCACGGGAATTAGGACAAGGTGGTTGCTGCTGCGAATACACATAATAGTGCCAGTCGGCGGTATCCTGGTGCGAGAAGAACGTTCCGGGCTCCTCGAGCGAGCGCCAGGATAATCGCGTCTTGACCTCTTGCTTCTCCTGGACCCAGTTGCCGTAGGCGCGGAGCGGGAATGGCTCGATGAAATCTGCGTCCTTGTGGCGCTGGTATTGGCTCTCGGTGTCGGTGCTGGTGCTGGTGCCGGTGATGGGCTGCGCGCGGATTACGAAACAGTTGTGTTTCTGGGCGCCGGCGCAGGTGCGTCGGTGGTTGCCTTGCTTCCAGTCTCTGGCTTAGCAGCTTGACGAGCAGTAGTGCGCTTTGTTGCGCGGGTGGGAGCCTGTGCAGCGGAGGGTGCCCGGGTTGGAGCAGGTGGTGAAGTTGCAGGTTGTGATGGTTGTGGTGGTGGTTGGCGTGGACATTGTGGTTGTGTCCTCTGCTGTGATGTATTCTGGGTGGTATTGCTTGGTATAGCTTGTGCTGATTGGATATAGCTGTAGACCGCGCCTGAGCACTGTGTATATGATATTATCGGCCGACTCAGTAATCCCTGTGTTAATGCCAAGAGTCGCGGAGTGTATGTGCCGAGAAAAAGTTGAACTGTCAGGTAGGTTAGTCAACTGGTCATACTGCGCAAGACGGGATTCGCTCTTTGATTGGAGGCTTAAACTTCTATAGCCTCTATGTTACGCGAGGGGTAATCTCTTACTTGGAATTAGTATTATGCTCGGATCAGCATCAGGTCTATGGCGCAGAGTCTAAAGCCTGGAATTACATATCTGTTGACAGCTGCGTGGATTCGGATGCGGTTTAGTGTCCCCGGGTGCTAACTGGAAAGGCTCAGTTGGGGCACTCCGGTCCAATCCCCTTGTTCCGTTGCCGATGCACGTGAGTGCCGTTGGCTTCTCAGTCCGCTGACATGTGAGTGAGAGCCTGAGAATTTGCTGACATACTGTACGGGAAGTATCGAATTCCTGGTTCGAGATTCAATCGGATGTGTAGCTGTTGTTGCGGGGTTGTGTGATAACTGCTGTAATGGTATTTTTCAGTTTTCTGTAGCTTGTGGAACATAATATAAATTGCGAGCAGGCCGGGTATGAATGCTACCAACTGAATGAAGAGTAAACACCTGAGATATGAGCCTGTTCCTACCTTTAAATGCATGAAATTATGATCTGATGATAATATCATATCAATACTTTTATTTATTTTGAATACCAGCATCAAATGCTTATTCACTTCTGCACTTGGTATGACTTGAAAGAAATGCCGAAGAGTATAAATAACGGCCCAGGATCATCAAGCCAACTACCTTAAACTTTAGAGTTGGTCGAACTTGATAAGAGTAGCTAGAGCAGCAAACTGCCTACCATTCCAGCTATGACTATCGCAGGTATTAATGGTTCTTCAGCACTGGGCTTAGCCCTAGGGCACTTCTTGTAAGTAGCGGAAGTTCTTCAGTGAAGAGCCAAGCTAATTCTCTACAGCTGGAGATTCAAGATTATCCAGGCTCGTAGGAAGGTAAGATGTAGCGTCTAGGACAAAAAGGTAAGGCACAGTTATGAGCATGTGAAAACAACGCTACGAGAATTAAAACAGAGACGCAGCTTCCCCTAAAAAAGACTCAAGTAGCTCACTAGACAGACACTCTTCGCAAGTGAAGCCTGCGATCAATGAGATACAGATCATCTCATGCTCCGATAAAATGCCCTTATCCGAGTTTGGAATCGTGTGCATGCTCGGGTATTTACCAAAGACTCTTCAAACCATATTATGTGCCATACGAGGCCATGATTGATGCCTGAAGGAGGATATTGATGAATAGGGTGGACACGATGCTAGAACCCGCTGGGAGAACAAGCACTGGGTGCGATTGCATACAAAATGTGCATCACGCATTATAACCTCATCGCTCACTGAGCGGCGAGATCTTGCGCCAGGATATTCTCCTGCAGATATCTCCCCAGAAGTTGCTGAAACCTACCTATCTATCATGACCTAACTAAATCCCGCACATTCGACCGGCCAGCGCAGATCTGTTCTTATAGTACCTCGAGAATAAGGTTTTATTATTGCCGCATTCATTGCATCATACTGATTCCGGTGATCCCTTTCATTTTTGGGTCAGAGGTCGGTATGATGATGGCCCTAATTTACTAGGTTCTGTTGATCCACAGATTCATTGCTCAAGGAAATTAAACTCGTGGTTTGTGTCCATCAGTCGATCGTCGGCGCTTCGATTTGACATGACTCTTGACGACGTCATCCAAAGTCACAGGATAAGACTGATCACTGTCACGGGTGTCAGAAGGTGGGACTTCAGCGAATAGGAAAGGCATGATCATCCTGTTTCATGCGAAGATGCGATCGCTGGTGACAGAAGTGTTCATGGCTGTGGTGACGACCTGGCAGGCAGGGATAGTTACATCTGTGTCACACTGCGAGTCGCTGGAAGGTTCTGAGGTTCGACATAGGTGGCTGATGGAGCAACCAAAGACTTGCTACGTTACGAACGCACGCAGTTAGACACCACAGCAAGGGGATATTCCACAAAGGAAAAGCAAACAGATAATTACGAACCAAAGTGAGTCAGTCGTCTGTTGGGCGGTTTTCCGTGCTGGACCAGGAACAGTGTCCAGTACTAGGTACCCAATCGCTAGCTCTTTGGTGCACATATCCCATTCGTCTACATCGCATCCTCAAGTTACTCGCAGAGAAACCGACAAGCGCCAATTACTTCATTGATCGTCTGGTCTATCTTATCTGGTCATTACATTCATTCCATTGCTTCTACAGCCGACACGCGGACTATGTGAACTATAGAATGAAACCCCGACAATTCTCAAGGGGGGGAGAGTCATCTGGAATTTTTGGCCTTACGCGGTGCAGATGATAGTCGTCGTCATGGACTTGGGCCATTACTAAACCGTTATTGGATGGGAAAGGGACCGATCGGCTTTCGCAAGGACGAAACACTATCGAGGGGAATCTAAAGCCGACAGTCTCTGAACAGAGAATTAAAAGTGGAGCGACGGGGAGGAAGAGGAGAGTGAATAAGCACTGTATCTCGATCATTCAGCAGTCAGTCAGCACTAGATCTACCGGTGGTGAGATCTTTAAGCGGCGGCATGCAATGCCGGTAGCAAGTTTCGTAAACTTGGCTCTCATGAAACGTGACAAAAGGAACGAACCAACGGCCTTCGATTGCATCCACAGTCTCCATGTTGCGGAGAAGGGAGGAGGACATTTGTGGGGTTATTTTGGATGCAGACGTGGGAGGGCAGAGGGGCTTACGAATCAAAGTATTCACAGGGGGGACTGCAATGAGAGAAGAATCTGTCGATCCATGATATGAAGAATGTTGAGGAGGGCAGGGCTGGTCGCCACACGCTCACTAAGCATTGGAAGCACCGCACCGAAGAAGACCGCCCCTAACAAACTTGCTTGCATTCCAAATGCGCGTCGATTGAGTTCACGTCTGACGTTACAGCGGGGAGAGCCCTGCGTGTCACCAGCAAATCTGCGTGTTTCAACCGTGGACCGACACTACGCAGTCCAAGGTTCGAGAAATGATGTTGACGATATTGACGGAATCGACCACCACCTTCCTTCCCGGGCAGGACTGTACGATCGATATTTGAGAATCGAGGATTCAAGGATATAAATCCACCATGGCCCGCTGCAATTGGGACCTTACACTTTTCCTGGATAGAATAATTCCAACGGCCTAAATCCTCTCTCTCCTCTCCAGACTTCTTCCAAATGTCATCCGCAACGGAATTCTTCCGCATCCCAGCGGCGGTCATCCGTCGCGCCGCGCCTCGACTTGGTTCAACCCTCATCCCCTTGGCCAACCGACCAGCCATTCCAGGCAAACTGGCTGCCATCTCTCGCGGGAAACTCCAGCGCGAAACCGAGTCCCAAACGCCAGACCTTCGCCGGTGTCTGGGCCACCACCACATCTTCCGTCGCTGCGTCGCAGCCGAGGAAGAAGACAACGCTCGTTACCGTCGCGAGACCTACGACGAAGATGATCTCGATGGCGAATTTCACCATCACCACTCTTCCACAAGCCGCAACAACTCGGGCTCCACCCCCATCCGCACCCAAATCACGAAAGCCGTCAAGGCGATGGTGCGACGACGCGACGCCGACCACAACGCATCGGCCGACAATGGGTTGGTGCGCATGGCCTCCACTCCCCAGAAACAACGAACATCCGTCAAGCACAGCCGCCATCATATATCCATGTTTGGGCTGCGCAAGTTGATGGCGTCCCAGTCGACGACACTCCCACCGCAGGTGTATGCTGCGGGTTAATATCATGGTTCCAAGACAATGGAAGGAGCACTGATGACCGAAGAACATTACACGACCTACGGTCTACGGCCCAGAGATACAGACACTTTTTCACCTTGTGTTTTTTTCTCTTCTCTATGATTTGCGGAACTGTGTTTATGTGACGATTCATGATTGAACGAGTATGAAGTTACGCATTTGTGATTTATTACTATATCCTGTTGTATATACCTGTACGTCTCATATTCAAACATCCTATGCTGCTTTCCAGACAAGCCTAATGAGTGTGCTGCTAGTCTGGAACTAAGTTGCATATTGAAGCTCCTCTATTAAAGAATTATCCTGTACATCATCACGATAACCAATACTATCGCCCCAATAATTTATAGTTCGCTCAAGTTTCATAACCTTAATTGCCTACTATGCAAGATTACTCATCGGAGACTAAACCCAAAGATACACATTCAGGGCTCGATTCTATACCGAGTCCAGAAAAACACTACCATGGAAAGTATGCTAGACACAGTGAACCTCCCCAACTCATGAGTCCACAATGCCCAATTTGATAAGCTCAACCGCCTTCTCAGCAACTACATACATCGCCGCCATGGGATTTTCGCCCAGATTATCTTTAAGCTCAATACATAGTAGTGATGCAAATTGAGATACTTCACCTAGTGCCATTTGGACTACTTTAGTATCTACCCACCGTTAAAGACAGGGCCAGGGTGAAAAGGTGATGCACCGCCTAATCTCACGTGAGAAGAAAGTATCCATGATCAGGATGTAAGCTCGTCTCTTACACCCAATCCAGCGAACAAATATTAGTACAGCCTTACCAGCAGATAGTGCTGCGCTGAGTTGGCAGACTCAATAACCAGAGATGAAGGACATAGCGACGGTAAGTGACTAGCCGAAATGATGTTCACTGTACTAGTTACACATTGATTCATTGTTTGATATGTATTATCTGCATCGATTCTGGCTTGAACTTTCGCGTCGATCGTATATCAACGAAAGTACTGTCAGGGTCAATAGCCACCTTTTCCAGAAGATACGGTTGCAATATGCATGTCTGATTCTGGCTATGAGTATCTTATTGTCTCTTTTCTTTGAGTGATGAGATAAAGGCAGAACTCCTAGTTAGCGCATACTGGCTGCCACTAATGACCAGACCCCCCTGTCACCCTCGATAGCGGATGGTTGGGGTCCGCGTAATCTTTATCTGCGAAAGACGTGATCTCACCTGCACTTGTTCAAAGGCACTAAAAGAGAATCAAGTCAATTCCTAGATATATTTTCAATGGTATTCCAGCTCTACGAAGCCCACCGATGACCCAGCAACCCGATCGGACGCGATTGACGCGCGTGCTCTTCCCGCTCTATCTAACAGCCTCCTCGTTTTCCTCGGAGAAAACATCCAACAAGGCCCACGAACGCAGATTTACGAGACAATTCTCTGCAATCAACTACTCCCAGGAAACTCGACCATCACATTCTCAAGTGATGGATGCAAAGCAAGACGGTCCAAGAGGACTTGGCTTTTCTCAAGGGCACAGAGAGATTATTAGGCGCACCGCCAAGTACGTACACCCTAACCATCGACTTTCCTTCCAATCGTGCGCCGACCTGTAGACAGCTATTCTAGTGATTCCATGGAGTATCTTTGCCGAGCGATACGGCCGCTGCCTCTCCCTCAGACTAGCTTTGATAGGCGTGTTCTGCGAGGAAGCATGGGGCTGTCTCATCTGCTGGTTTTCCACCACATTCCCCATTCGCCTCATCCTTCTGGCACCCTTATTCGGGGTGATAGGAGGCGGTCCTGCGGTCATTATCACCATGATACATTTACTGGCCGCCGGAGCCACCACGGAAGAACAGCGGACAGAAACCTTTTTCGTCATCCGCGCCATGGCAATCGCAGCAGCCATGCTGGCTCTGCTCGGCAGCTCAGCCCTCATGATCCGTCATGTCTGGGTGCCATGGTTTCTCGGGTTATTCTGTCTTCTACTCGCAATGCTAGCTACCCCGTCTGAGCCGCAGCCCGTTAGAACCCAGATCATTCCGGATGAGAACACTATCTTGGGCCCCGAACAACATCGCGTAGACGGAATGGGTACCTTGAATCCAGGGAATGGTTCCGTTGCGAAGAAGCAGGGGAGTCCTCGATCTCGACTCACAGTAGTAGCGCGGCAGCTTCACCAAGGGGCGAGGATTGTGTACGGGAATTACTCGCTCGTCATCTTACTGGGAATGTCCTTCTTGGGCCAGCTGGGCGAAGACTCGCTTCCTATGATCTTGTTGCTCTACATCTCGAAGCGATATAAATGGGAGCTCGCTGAGGTATGTATGAACAGCATACTCCGACAGAGACCAGTCCTTGGAAGAGCTCGGGTGGAGTGAGCTAACAATCCGGAGCAGGCCAACTTCCTGTGGGCACTCGGAGAAGGCGTAAGATTTGTCTGCCTAATTGTCCTCCTTCCGCAAATCAGTCGAATGCTCCTGGCGCGCTCCGGTTCAACGGCGTACAAGGCAGATTACGCGATTGCTTTGCTGAGTGCTGTGATGCTGAGTCTGGGCACTTTGCTGCTTGGACTGGGCGTTTCCATACCTGTTTCTGTTATAGGTATGTCTGCTTTTCCTCTACCTCTTTCACGCCAGAGCCTAACTATAGCTCTATCTCTCTAGGAGTCATCCTGATCTCAACAACGGGAGGACTTCAGTCGGCGCTGCGGTCTCTCGTGACCACGACGATTTCTCCCGAGGATATCAGCGTGGTGTATTCGATATTTACTATCATGCACGTCTTGAGCACCTCTTTGGCTGGACCGATCTATTCGGGCGCTTTCGCTTTGGGGCTGAAGCTTGGGTTTGCATATACCGGGCTCCCATTTATCGTGGCTGCTGCTCTGGTTGGCTTGTCTTTGCCGATGTTCGTGTTCGTTCGACCGCGCCACGAGTATGACCTAGTAGAGGAGGAGTAGATTGAATACAACCAAAGGAGTTGAAATCACAGCTTTGCCTAGGTGTTATGAACCAAGCGGGGAGCAGCTCTATACAGAATGGCAACCCAGAACAGGGCGCATAGCAATTCCACGCTCCTGAACTAATCACGATTATGTACAACTGCCTCATGGTTCATTCCATAGAGAAAATCAAGCTTCCACTTCTTCTTTTGAAACCCGGCGGAATTCTTCCCTCAGCCACGCGGCGACCGGCGCCGAACATGGATGAATGATTAGCAGACGCCACCTCAACACCGATCAACAACCCCGCATCATGCAAAGTTGCCAACACACACACACCTTCCCACCCACTTTCACCTCACTCCTCTGAAACCGGCCTAATCCACTGCTAGCAATCAATGTCAGGCAACATGCTGCCAGCGAATGATATTCATGGGTGTTGCAAGGCGAAACAGAGCCCAGGTACCTTAGTCATTGATGTGGTAGGCGATGATTGGTTCCACGAAGTATGAACAGCTCATAAGGCAGGAACTGGGTTTCGTGGACTTGACATGCTGTACGGGGGTAATAAGCTGTCAAATCCCCTCGATGTCTCAGGATGGAGGTTATTCTCCGAACTTCTCGAATACGGGGTGATTTCTTCTGCACGACGCCCGGAACCACATTCAACAGACGAAGCGAACGACAAAGACGAGTTAATAGCTGACGAAGTCAACCGCAAGAGAAGAGACAAGATTATATTATCAGCGACAGCAATGGCCGTCCAAAGTAACGGCCACAGCAACAGCAAAAGCAACGGCACGAATGGCGCATCCGTGCGATTCGCACCCCCGAAATACAGCCCCCGCATGATGAACGGCTACGATGCTATCACCGACATGGACACAGAAGTAGAGGTGGACGAATACGACCAGCCAGATGCCTCGTACGCTTACTCCTCACCCTCTTCTTCATACATAACCACGAGACAGAAATATACAAAAGACCGCTAACACGCATACCAACGATGCACAAAAGCAGCCCCTACGAAACCCGCCGCATAATCCTGCTCCTCGGGCCGCACGAACGAAAACACGCCGTCCCCGAATACTACCTACGCCAATCGCCAATCTTCACTGACATCCTATCAACGTGCCCGCACTTCATCACCCGCACCGTGCCCTGCATCCCGCTCCCAGATGTCGACGACGACCTCATCCACACGCTAGTCCACTACCTGCACACCGGCACGTACCAAACGCTCCGACCAGACCCGAACGGCGACTGGACCAAGACGGAGTACCGGCGCAGCGTGCTGTGCTACGGCCTGGCGACGCGGTACGAGCTCCTCCCGCTGCAGAAGCTGGCGCGCACGTACATGCAGAAGCTCGACACGCACCTCAGCATTTTTGATGTGCTGGGTGTCGCCAAGAAGGTCTTCGGGAAGATGGTGCCGGACTACGATCCCTGGTTCTTCGACACGTATGTGCGCGGCAAGATGGCGGATGCGTTCGTGGAGGATCGCGATCTGTTCGAGCGGCCCCGGTTTCAGTATCTGCTCGGCGTGGAGACCGGGTTCGATAAGTTTCTGGTCCGGGCGTTGGTGTCGATCTATGAGGCGAGGATCGCGGAGCTGGAGGAGAGGGCCCTCAGGAAGGGGATGCAACGGGATGGTGGGGGATACGATGAGGCGGTTGGCGATATCGGTAGTAAGGGGTTGGAGGATATTGCTGAGGAGTATCCGGATGAGCATGAGTTATCAGTCAATGGGCACGAGGAGTATCAATCACAAAAGATAGGGCTAGACGAGATCGAAGACCGACCGCCGTCGAGCGCCCACGCATCGGAGGGCTATCCCGAGTCAGTAGTGGAGGAAGAACCGACGGAGGAGTTTCCGGGCATCCCTGCTGCTACGGCTGCCGCTGCCGCCGCAGGGGAGTACGAGGGAGAGGAGCTTCCAGCCGAGAGGTACGCGCCTGTTGACGAGCCGATTGCAGAGGAGGAGCCCATCCCCGACGATGACCATCAGGCTGAGCCCGCCGAGATCCCCGCAGATGAATCTTGGAATGGATGGGGGAGCTGGGCGGCCCGCACGCGCGAATGGGGCTATACGACCACTCCCCATGAGGAGCCGGCCGGCGTCCCGGATGAGCATCTTGGCCCCGAGCCTGTCCCAGAGCCCGCTCCAGAGGAGCCGCTCCCGGATTATCCGGAGGTTCAGCCGGTGGGGTCGGAGGATCCTGCGCCTCAGGAAAGTCCCGTGGAGGGTGGGAGGAAGAAGAAGAAGAACGACCGCAAGAAGAGGAGCACCATGAGCCGGACGCGCGCGCTGTTCTCGTCGGCAGAGGAGCAGCCGCGCGAGCAGGCGGTGTTTTGAGGTCTGTAGGAATTAATATCGATGGATGTATATGCATGGGACGGCGTTACTTAGGTTTTGAGCTGGATAGTTTATCATTCCGCTGGCAATAGAATTTGATTCGTTAGTAAGATTGTGTCTTCCGTAGTGACCTGTATACATCTGGATACATACAGTCGATGGTAACTGGTCATACAGAGGATGATCAATAGTGCCGTGAAGGAAATCCCGAGCAGCGTGAGATCACTGCTATTAAAACGGGTGGTCAGATAAAGAGTTAGCGTACCTTCTACCATGAAATATACAATATCATTCAAGAGGCCGTCTAGAACAAAGGATAAATGACCACCTCCATCAACTCTGCCCTTCCTCTCTCTCGCCTCAGCATCTATAAATACACCAGAAAGCAGGCCAGCCTTCCTGCAACCTATACCCCAACCAACCTTCCATCATCACACTAACCTAGATCCCCAACATGTCTCTCCCCTCGAACGGCCGACGTAAAGTCTGCAACCGCAAACCAGTCTCATCTTGCCAAGAGAAAGAGACAGAGACAACAGGCACGATCTCACCCCCTTCCCAACCAAACTCCGAGTCACCACAAGCCCCCAGCACAGCAGCTCCCGACCCAGCAGCGTTCCCAACCACCGGAGCCCTCCCCCCAATCCCGCTCCCCTCGCGCTTCAGCATCGAACAGATAACCATCCCAGCGGAAAAGGCCAACGCGATCGAAGAGATCCAAAACACGACCATCTACAGCAACGACAACAGAACCCACCCCTCCCCGTTCCGCACCCAGACAATGTGGATCAAAGACGCGACCTACGTGACTCGAGTCGAGTGGATGGGGCCGGGGACGCGCGAGCTCCGGGGCGACGAGTGGGAGACGGTGTGCATGGTGGAGCTGTGCGGGCAATTCCGGTACGTGCGCGACGAGGTGCGCTCCATCAATCACCACCAGCCGCTCTTCGGGTATATCCGTCGGGGCGCGTCGGTGCAGTTGTTCAGTGAGTCGTTGCGGGAGGAGGAGGAGGAGGAGGAGCAGGTTGCTGATAGTAGCCGTAGTACGGATAGCGGTAGTCACGGCGACGACGATATGACGCTCGAGCGGTATCACTTTGACGGGAGAAGTACCTTCGAATGGTACGATGATCTGCTTGTGGTTTGTCGGCCTTGGTTACTGGGCATTCCGGCGCAGGAGTTCACGGCGAGGCAGGCGGAGTGGTGTCGGGGGTTTCCTGCGGCGGAAGGTAATGCGGGGGATGGTGGTGGGGGGCCCGCTGTGCCGGATTGCGGTGATGAGTGGCTTCGTCGTCTTGCGGGTGGCTTGGATGGTCGGTCTAGGGCTGTGATCAGGCCGTTGGCGTTCTCGCGTAGGGGTGAGGAGACTTGTGTTATTTGTGGTAGGTGTCATCCTTTACCTAGAAAGTCTGCTTCGGGGTGAGGTTGAAGATGTTGATCTGCATAGGACTGAGGAGATGACGACCTTTCCGCTTCTTTGGCTCAGTGAGCTCTGGATGTAAAAGGTGATGGCTATTTCTTAGATAAAGGATCATTATTCATTCCATAAATTGAAAGGAAAGTTGGGAAAGAAACATTAACTTTGTAGTAAGAGATAGCCACATTTCAAAGATTAGGTTCCTTGTATACTGAACCCTTCATAGAAGGATCAACAATGCCTTTCTGAGTATCATAATCTCCCGGCTAAATTGCCAAGGACATCGTTTGCACCCTCCCACTGTACTAATCGTTCCTCAGATGAAGACTCAGTCAGAGCATACATACCTCTATAGAACACTACTCGGGAGAAAGTATATGTATAAGTTAAAAAGTGGACCCAAGCGATAAGATAACAAACCCACTAAACCCCTTCCGGAGCACCCATCAAAGAAACCCGCTCTGCCTCGAATCCCGAGTCGCAGTGCGCATATCCGCAATCCAACCAACTTCTCAAATCATCGCAACAATTCTACCTCTCTCATCCTCAACCTCAACTTGAAACTCAACCAGTATACCAACCTACAAACCCAAACTCGACAACATAACAACACCACCCCGATCAAAATGCCCCCCGAACAACCAACAACAACAACCACCCCCAAACCAAAACCAAATCACAATCCCCTCCACTTCGAAAAAAAGAACCAATCCATGACCAAACTCCCAAATTGTGTGTCCAGCCCCAAGCCCCAAACCCTCAGATTTTCAAGCTCCTTCATCCCCTCCTAAAAACAAACCTAATGCAAAACCGCAGACGCAAAAATCACCAAACGCCCAATCCCGCACCCAACCCCACCAACACCGTACACGGCCCTCCCAAAAATAATCTACGTATCGACGACAACCCCGAAAATGAGCGTCGTGACGCGCGTTCAGAAGTTCCTGCGCCAGGCGGAGAAGCGCGCTACCGCCGCCTTACAGAACCCATCCGGCAATAAACGATCGTCAGGGCATGGGCAACAAGGGAAACCGCAAGCTGAGCGCGTGGCGCGGGTGCAGGAGGCGTTGCGGCGGGAGGAGGTGCATGTCAAGGCGACGGGGCGGGCGATACCGAAAGCCGTGGCGGTGGGGGAGTGGTTCGGGGCGCCGGGGAGGGCGGAGGAGTTTTCGGTTCGGGTCGTTACCGGGAGTGTTTTGGTGGTGGATGATGTTGAGGAGGATGAGGAGGGACGGCGGGATGCGGTGCTGAGGGCTGAGAGGATGCGGAGGGAGGTGCTGGCTGGGGTTGAGGAGGGGAGCGGGCGGGTTTTGTCGAAGGCTGCGCTGAAGAAGAGGAGGAGGGTAGTTAAGAGTTTTGGGTTGGAGTTGAAGGTGGAGGATAAGGAGGGAGCGGATGATAATGGTAATGAAGGCGATGGGAAAGGGGAAGGGGAAGAATTGCCTGAGTCGAGGACTAGGTGGGTGAACATGGTTGATGTTGTTGTCGGGTTGAAGTAGATGAAGTATGGAGAGGATGAACCGACTAGAGGGACGCTATCTGATACCCAACACTACAAGTTACAGTACCTGAAATGTTCACTACTGAGCGCGAACACATCCCGGTTGTTGAGTAGACACACACGACAGCAAGGCATGATAATCAGCATGAACTCATGCAGCAGAAGTCTCAATTGCCCATCTCGAGCAGGTCAGACCGCTACAGCGGCGATTTGGCTCATATCTCCTTTCCAATTCATCCTCTGAGTCAAATCATAGAGCATAAGAAAACCTATACAACGGTAAAGCTATAAGCATTCGTCTCGCTGAACTCAAAGAAGTGATGCTATGTAAACTAATACACAAAGGCGGGTATGCCTTACATGACCTGCTTCTGCCCATGATAAAAAGAAATGAAACATTAACAGAAGATAAACCACTGCTGCCAGGGACTCGTTACTGGATCAACAGGGTGCCAACGAAGAAATATGATATCTAACAACTGAAAAGGCAAGCGAGAGTCATGCAGGTTATGCAAAATAACAACTGCATATAAGAGGGCCGCAAGAAGCCGCAAATATAAAGAGAAGAAAATCACCCACATCCAGCACAGAAACCCTGTTCGGCGTTGGTTCAGAGTACACGAGGAGGAAAAAAGTCAGAACTATAAATCAATATGACGGGAGTAGAAAATGGGGGTAGTAAGGATTGGAAGGGGGGTAGACACTAAAGCACACACCCAATGACAAACTTTCGGAGGGACCTTTTCGAAACAAAAACCATAGTTCAACCCATTCGCTCAAAGCAGACATAACGTGGTGGCAGGAGTTTCTTCATTTATCCATTTTCTGCCAGCCATTTAGGTAGGCCATTAGACCCACTCCGAGAAGCACCACTCCCAGCATGGACGCAAATGGGCTGGATTGCTCCAGAACGTCATGTCGGCGTGACGGTGCGGCGAGTTTCGAATCTGCCCCGTCACTTCCTTTCAAGCAGGATGATGCAGCAGGCTGCAGTCGCTGTTCGCTCGGCTCAGAGATATCCTTGCCGGCGACATCTTCCGTCTCAGGAATGGGGGTGTCGGGTACATGACCATTGCGTGACTCCTCCGCTTTGGCATCGCCCTCGGCACGCTCCGCGCGCTCGCGTCGTAATGTCTCAATCATCTCCGCCAGGGACTTCCGCACTTCATTCCGTTCGCTCTCCGCATGCTGTGCCTGTTCTTTGAATATCGTAACCTGCTTTCTCATTTCCTCCATTTCCTGGATCATCGTTTCCAGACGATGTTGGATATCGTCAGTTCGGACGTCTGGCGCACCCGCTTGTTCTGCTTCAATCGCAGCCTCAGCCACGACTTCGGCAGCCGGCTCCTCCGCCGACTTCTCCGCAGGCAAGGTTTGTGTGTTCTCGTGGTCGGCATCGCTGCACACCGGTGTAGCATGCAAACCATTCGTGGTGGTTCGCATTTCCAAGGTTCTAGCCTTCTCTTCAGCGGACTCGCGGGCGGTGCGCTCCTGGATCAACATGGCCTCGAGTTCCTTGACGCGGGCGCCTTGGGTGTCAAGTTCCCGCTTGGCGGACGACAATGCTTCAATGAGCGACAGGATCTGACTGTTATCGCGGCTGACAGGCGAGCTGCCACCAAGCTTAGGTTTCTCGGTGTCAGAACGCTTCAAGGGCGAGAGAGAGTCTGTGCCATTCCGAGGTAGAGCATCCGGCTTTTCGGGAAGCGGTTGTTGTGGCGGAGGTGCTGGGGGCTCGGAAAATCGTGAAAAAGAGTCTAAACGGGGTATCTTGGGTCTCCCATTCATAGCGCGAGCGGCGTTTGTATCGGGCGGCGAGTGTTTGGGCTTTTCTTTCTCTAGTTGGCCAGGTTTCATCAAGGTCGTTAGGAACTCATCCGTCTGCCGAAGCTCCTGGGACTGCTGTTTGGCCTGCTTCATTTCGCTCTGATCATTGAATTAGTCTCTGTCGGAACCCAGAGTGGGCAGAGTCACCTACTGTAAGTCTTTTTACCACTTGCTCTATCGAAATTGGCGAGTTCCAATAATTCATCTGACGCTGTTGCTGTAATGCGTTGAACTGACTACTTGCGGCACTCTGTGCGCTGCGGTTACTCATCGTACTACCTGACCGACCGCGAATTTGTAATAGAGGTTGCGTGAGCGGCGACGGAACAAGCCCGTTTCCAGCGGAAGGATCCAAGTCTCCCAACGTGAGATCGAGGATGTTGGGGATCGAGGCATAGATTCCAGCATGTTCGACTTTGGCGGACACCTTGTGATGGACAATAGTTTTCTGATCTTCACTAACAATGTCTATTCCGAGTTCTAAAGTGTCGTTTTCACGCAGTTCATGAGGATCGGATTCGCGGTTTTCTTGAGACAGGCGCTTGCCATTGACGAATGTGCCATTGGACGATTTGACGTCACGGATCCATACCTTGCCGGTCTTGTCCGCCCAAATCTCGGCGTGTTGTCGTGAAAGCACTTTTGAGTCGAAGAACCCATTCACAGGCGTAGGCACTGTTTTGGCATTGGTCTGTCGGCCGATGCGTATCACGTCCGGGTAAAAAGGGACAGTGATCTGTTTCTTCTCGAAGGTACCGTTGATGGGCAAGAGGGTCAAGATCGCAGGCGGATCACCCTGCGATACGCTCGCGGCGCGGAGACCATTCTGTTGTTGTGAAAGCTGCATCATGTGCTGGGAAGGAACAATGGAGGGTGGTTGATGGACCGCGGACATGGCGCCCGGGCCTGAGGAAAATGCCGGCATGGGTTGCGAGGAAGGCGCGATGCCCCTAAGGGACTGCGGCTCGGAGTTCGAGGTATGCCAGAGATTTCTCGCGGGTTTCTTCTTGCCCCAGGTATTATCGGGAGCAGGTTGTACGGCGCCCGGGTTCTGTTCGGTCAGGGCAACCGTGGTCGAGGTAGTGCCGTTTGATCGGAGGGACGATGAAGAATTCGATCTCTGGACGGTCTTGCGCGGCATAAATGTCCGAGATACTTCTTCCGCGTCCATTGAAGAGAAAGCACCTTGTCCTCCGTTACCAGTATCGAACCATCCCACGCGAGGCCCCGTTTGCACACTAGGTGGTGATGCCACAGCAGTCATGGAGAAAGATAACGGGGGGGGAAGAGGCGCTAAGTGTCGAGAAATTTGGTACGGGAGGTTTTTATCCCATAGGCGCTTGTCCGGTCGACGGTGAATGCGAGGAAGGGCAGGAGAGATGAATTCACTCGGGCGACAATCGGCAGCTCAGACTCGTCGCAACAGATCCTCGAGGTGAAAGAAATGCAGCGATGGCTGGCGCGCCGACGAAAATTGTTGATTATAACCCACTAGGACTGTTGCGAGGAGGTCACGTTAGCAATCGTTCCGGACGACCCTCGATTAACATCAAGCCCCTTCGGAGTCGGGGTAGCAACGCCAGCCAGCGGGCCCCTAGCCCCTCTAATATGAGATAGATCACATCGGACTTACCACTGTCTCACTCGTACAGGGGGGCCGAGATCAGATAAAGGTGGGTTTTGAGGCGAGGGGGGGTGGATTTGGCAAAGCGCTGAGAGGAGACCAGGGAGACGTCAAGGTCTTGGCCCAACCCGAGGCGAGGAGCGACCGGGAAGAAGCAACGGTCCAGGGAAGGGGGAAAAGAGTCTGTGTAAGCAGGACAGAAAGTGAGATGGCACACGCAGGACGGGACTGCCGCCGTGCATAGGCTCTGAGGCCGCCGAAGGATATAAATCAACTCACAAGGATCACACGATTGGCGACCAGATCCCATGTGGTATGAAGCGGGAGCGAGAGAGAGCCAACTTAAGCCCAGCGTCACATCTGGTCAGCTCACGGCTGGCTCCTCCCCTATTGAACCTCCACAAACGCCTCAGGCCGCAGGGCACGTGATTGCGGACACGTGCGGCTTATGTAAGTCCACTCCCAAATCTAATCGGGCAGGCGGTATCACGTGGGCATTGCCTGAGCCTCGGGGCTTTTGCAATGCGCTGGAGCTTTGCTTTACTTTGCTTTGCTTTGCATCCTGACGGAGTGTCTTCGCGGACCTACACGATTCCTTTCCTTACCTCACCTAAATCTCTCATTTCGCTATCCACCATGCCCGTTGTTGCTGGTCCTCCTCAGGCCCACGGCCCCAACACCTTCGAGAAGAGTAAGTCTCGGACAATCCGCAGCACAGACAGGCCCACGCCGGGCTGCTCGAGGTTGCCCTGCATATGCTGATCAGTTCTATAGTGAAGATGGGTGCTCTCATGGGCTCCAGTAAGCATATACTTGCCCCACAGCACAACTAGTCAAGCCTTGATTAACATCTTAACTCGTTAGCCGTCGGTGGTATCATGGGTTTCATCATCGGTTAGTGTGCGAGAGGGGCGGTGGAACCGCAGCGAGCAGACCTGCTAACCAGGCTAGGAACCGTCACCATCTTCCAGTATGGCGCCGGCCCCAACGGTGTCTTCCGCACCCTGGGTAAGTATATGCTTGGTTCGGGTGCCACGTTCGGGTATGTAATTGAATGACGGGCTTGGCCCGTCCGCCGCTCCATCTCAACAGGCATTATGCTAACGAGCCCGTGTGCCACAGCCTTTTCATGTCCATCGGTAGCGTCATTCGTACCGAGGGCCCTTACAACGACGCCTGGCTCCGCGCTCGGGGCCCCCCGATGATGCTCCCCCGCCAGAGCCCCCTCCGCTCTATGCGCGAGTAAGCGCATCGTCCATTCGGTATCGATCGACGGTGAGATGGAGGGCACCAGGCAAGGCGGGAGAAATTGTACAATAGCTTATTCTGAATAACGGTTCTGGCGCTCACATAGCCGGAGCGTTCGAAGAACCCTCGACTCGGTGTTGAGCGCAGAGCAGTGAAACCCCACTGGACAACTATATTCTGTACATAGGTGAAGCGGAGGCGCCTCGGAAGACGCCTCTGGTCCGGGGACACACTGCGCTGTATCTTGGCGGTATAACAAGCATTGGGTTTAATTAATGGACAGTCATGATTGATGACAGACAGACATTCTTGTATGCTGAATTGGAGGCAGCTGCACTGTACTACCTTACTCATGCAAACACTAACGGACGGACGATTGTATGATTTATCCGGGAAATGTTCTATTATGCCCAGGACCCACCGCTCTATGTCTAATCCCAATGCAATCGCTAACGACAATGCCCGTTTCCCTCAACCAACCCGTTATATACAGTACAACACAACACTTTCCTTCTAATTACTCTCATTCCCATCCACAAAACCACAACATCCCCCCATTAACTTCTAATTGCCCTCCCCGGGCCCCTTCACCGGCGCCCAAACCAACCACCCACACCCAATCAAGAACTTGATCCCAGCCGCCAACCAAAACGTCGAAGCCATCCCGCCATCACTGCGATTCAACCACCCCCCGACAATAGCCCCAATCAGCAACATCACAACGCCAGCCACCCTGCGATTCCGCTTGACATTCTTCCCGGCAAAGATATTCATATCAGACGCGATATCAAAGTACACACTGGTGATGACCACGCTGGGGATCTCATTATACCCCAGCGAGCGGGTGGAGTTGATCGAGCCGGCGGACTGAAATGCCAGCAGGCCGATGGGGATCAGGTCGAGGAGCGGATGGTGTTGGTGGCTGCTGACGTCCGACGAGGCGGGCTGCGGGATCAGCCCGGCCTGGATCAGCGCCACGGCGATCACGATCAGCGCTACCTGGGCCATGAAGGAGGCGAACAGCGTGCCGCGGCGGGTTGGGCCGAGCCAGCGGCCAGCGCGGCTAAAGCAGAACGAGCCGGACAGGAAGCAGCTGATCGAGACGAGGGATTTGAGCCACCCGTAGGGCGAGTCGCGCGGAAGGTTCGAGGCGCCGAGGCCTAGGACGATGGTATTGCCTTTTTTGTGATGTTGCGTGTGAGGATTGGTTTGTGGTGGTTTCGGGTTGGGGGTTGAGAAGACAGGGATAGAATGACCTACCGGTCTGCATAGCCAGGAAACACGACCAGGCGTTGAAGGCCGAGCTGTCGCAGAGACCTGTCAAGAAGCATAGCACGACACAGATCAGATCCGCGTAGTTACTGTCGATGTTCTGCTTCAAGCGGCTTCCTGTGCTCGTCGTTGTCCTTCGCATTTTCCTGGATTTTTCGGACGGAGAGGAGGACTCCACGATCGGTAACACCGGGGATTTCCCAGGTTCAAAGGGCTGAGACATTGCTGGCCTCGGGGATATGCCAGTGAAGTAATAGAATGGTGGACTGCAGCAACGTCAGGAACAGAATCATCAGATGAGATCAATTCTGGGGGACAGAGGCAAGGAGGAGTAACTCCGATCCACTGGCACCCTAAACCCTAGACACTCTCCGAAAAGGTCCATCGTCTCTCCACGATTTGTTTTCGAGTCTAGCTCGAGCTGAAGTTGTTTTCGGTTACTCTCTTTTTGCCGCACGGAAGTTTAATTCCTCTGTCTCGCTTTCCCTTAGCCTCTGGCCCAATTAGACTACTCGTACAAAGCACGCAATCGCTTGTTGTGAAGACGGCATCGTTGACTCCACTGGCGTCCTCCTGAGAAGGCTTAGAGTCGTCAGCCCTATGGAGTCACCGGCAAATGATGTTGGGTAATTCTTCACGCGAGCGGAACAGTCGGCATCGCCGTGCTTGATACTAGCCTCCACAAGGCTGAGATACTGCTGTCTCATTGGGCATGGTGACCCCACCACGAGGCCAGTGCCGAAAGCTTAGGGCCGATGCCGGCCACGCCTGCTGGGCATCTGCTATATCCATGGATGTCTTGGGACGTGCAGCACTTACTCGACGCACGCTCCTTGACTGTTGATCTTATCGCATGGTTTCAAGTGACTCATATGGGTGACAAACTACCGCCCACCGGTTATTTCTTATACACTGTCAATCAAACAAATATTGCTAAATGACAGGGAGCTTAGAGAAACAAGTACTGTACAATAGGCGGAGATCGGACAAGAAAATGCACACTTATAGCTTTGACAGTCCCCCCAGTTGAGGTGCGACCCACGTTTCCTTGATGATGTCAGCGCACTTCTCTCCAATTCCGTATGCCGGCATTTGTGTATGTCCTCCATGTAGAGTTGGCATGACACTGCAATCGGCAACACGCAACCCAGACACCCCGCGTACTCGTAGTTTGTTGTCAAGGACGGCGAGAGGGTTGTCGTCCTTACCCATGGCGCAAGTTCCAGCAGCATGATAGCCTATCGAACTCGACGTTAGTATGATTGCATTGATAAGCAAACATATTTCCACCTACAGGTCGTTCCATGCTCTTGGACATAAGGGATCCACTCTTCCCTCGTCGTGTATGTATGATGAGTCAGATTTGGCGGCCACGACCCTTTCACAATGTCTTTCGTTCCAGCCCCTTTCGTGATGATCTCGTTGGCAAATCTGCATGCTTCGGTGATAACAAGAAGGTCCAGTGGATCGGACAGATAATTGCAGTCTACTATGGGGTTCTCGAGTGGGTCCTTGGATGACAGAGTCACGCTGCCTCGAGATCGGGGCGAGAACAATTCTGCAATGATAGAAAATGCATGTTTGTGGTCAATAGGATATTGATCGTACTGCTTGGGGCCGCCGTAGCATTCTGTGGTGAAGAATTCGATGTTCGGCTGCTTGGGAGTCAACCCCATCGGGTCACGGCCGGGCTCTCGCGGCGCATCTTTCCACAATGGCTCGTCCTTGAGACGATCGTCAAGCCGTGCGAATGCGAAACAACCGAAGGGGAATGTTGAAAGAAATCCTTCCCTTTTCTCTTTCCAGAGGGCGTAGCTCTTCTTGAAGCTGTCATCGTGGTGGACGAGGTAATCATTTGTCAAGCCTGGCTTTTCAGTCTCGTAGAACATGAAGACAATCTAGGTCCGCTCGATCAGTTGTGCTTGTTCACCGCCCTGGCGGTGTTTCCAGATAGAGACTTACCATGTGGTCAAGAAGATTCTGACCAACTCCGGGTAGGTCCACCTTGCACTCGATTCCATGCTTGCTCAGCTCCTCCTTTGGACCAATTCCAGATCTCATAAGGATTGCTGGGCTGCAGTACGCCCCTCCACTGACAATTACCTCTCTCTTGGCATAGACAGATTTTGAGCCTTCTGGAGTTATCACCGCCACGCCTTCAGCCTTCAAGCCCACGGAAGTTTCTCTCAAGAGGATTTTATTGACCGTGGTGTCAGTCATTACTGTGACATTGGACCGAAGATACCCATTGGTAATAAAATCACCACTTGTGGTGCGGATACCCTTGTGCACTGTTCGTGGCACATGGCCACAGCCATGGGGCGTCTCCCCAGTTGTGAACATGTCATGGTCAAGTGGAAGTCCTTGTGAAACAAACGATTCCATTATCAGGTCACTAATTGGCGCCAAATCGTGTGGCTCAACATGCAGAGGCCCCGAGTGGCCGTGGTAATCGTCGTTGGCTATGAACCAGGGCTTTGAGTGGAAATTCTCGGCCTGCATTCACCTGTCAGCTAATATATTTGGGAATCACCGCGGCATGATGCAAGGACTGGCGGACCTTTCGCATGCATTCAAAGAATTCTTGACCACTCCACCCGTCTAAACCCCAGTCATCGTAATCTTGCTTAGAACCCCGGATACAAAGGGTTCCGTTGCACCCGCTGCTTCCACCCAAGAATCTGCCTCTACTCAATTTGACCTGGCGGCTATTGACACCGGACATTGGAGGAGTGACGATATTCCAGTCTGTTTCTTTGTCAAAGTTCGTGGACCAACTGGTAACGTAACCATTAGTAGTGGGTTTTCTTGGGGTAGGATGGAGTCTCTCACGCTCCAGCCATATGAACACTTTCAAGGCCTTTGCTATGTTGTCCAGCCTCGATAACGAGAATTCTTACTTGAGGATTCTCGGCCAGGCGCCCCGCTACGACGCATCCTGAAGTGCCTCCCCTGAGGTAAAGAGAATTAGAGAGTCAATCGGTAGTTCAATGAACGGGTAAAGATTAATCTACTTAGCAGACATGCTCACCCGCAAATAATGTAATCATAGAGATTACGATCCTCTGCCTTTCCCGCCATTGTTATCGCAATGCCCCCAGGATTAAAGGTATGTAAGAAGGAGAAATTGGCACTTCTAGCCAGGTCGGCGATGTAGGCTTCTTTTAAGTACAGAATTCGGCGTGAAAAATGATTCCGCTCTTTGTGGTCGGTGAGCCGTCAGCCATGGCGCAGAATGCTAATGAGTTCACCAATCGCAGCAAGAACTATACGACGCTAGTTTCATTGTAGAGCTAATATCTAGCTAGGGAAGTGATCGGTCAGATATTGAGGAATGTGGGTCGCCGAGACTTTTCGGAGCGTACAATTTTGCGGGGTACTCGACAGACGGGTATATTGACAGCTTCACGGCAATACGCGGATTTGCCTCTACCGGTGGCGGGCAGATCCAGCGGAGCTGTCTTCACTCGTGTGGTTGGAATTGCGGGCCAATTCCGCAATCTGGCCCATTTTCGAGTCATCATTTGCGGGCAATTGAGGTTCTTGGGAGCCACGGTGACCTGCATATAGCGCGTTCGTTTCCTCAAGCCCCTTGCCGGAGGTCTCAGGGACAAATACCCAGACGAATAAAAGGCCTAGTAGAGATATGCCCGTGAAGAACCAGAAGGTTCCTTTAGGCGTGAGCGAATCGTGAGCGAGGAGCAGCATCATAGGAGTGGCCTAGGTAAGTCAGTTTAAGTTTTCTGTTCCACCCCATTTGAATGGTTGCAAGCCAACCTTAGAGACCCCAATCCGGTTTGCATAGTGCCACAGTGTGACCAGGCTTACGCCAACAATTCGCACTCGCAGGGGGAATAATTCCGCAGGGATGAGGTATTGAATAGAGTTCCATCCAAGCGCCCAACTAACCCCGGTCATGTAAATCATGACAATGGCCCCAATGGCGGCATGTCGTACTGCAGATTCCTGATGTGAGCCTGATGGGGTGCTCGCAAAGACCGTGAGAAAAATGGAGTCGTAGGCCAGAGCTAGGATCTGAATGATAAGCCCGAGATAGAGTGTCTTTCGTCTTCCTAGTGCATCAAGTAGGAATAGCGCGGAGATCAGGGCGGATGCGAACTTGACCGCTCCTAGAATTGCGGTGGTGAAGAGCTTCTGCGACTGTCCCTCGATGCCGAAAAGCTCGAAAAGCTCGGGAGCGTAGGCTGAAGCAAAAGGTCAGTTTATTATCTGGAAGGGCGGTCGGAAAATCATCAATGTTGCTCACTTGTTACAGAATTGGGACCCGACCACTCTCCTAAGCACTGGAGAGTAAAAATGAACACGATCCTTCTGAGATGTTCTCTTGCCGTAAGTAGCTCTCTGAGGGCATTCCAAAACCGCAGAGATGACCTCTGTTGATGCTCTAGTCCAAGCTGGCCTTGCGCGTTCGCTACCTCAGCATGAATACCAGGATCCATGACAGACAAGTTCCACAGTCTTGCAAACGACTGCAAGGCCGCTTTGGGGCGGCCCTTCTTACACAGAAACCGAGGACTCTCCTCGCAGAGCGAAGAAGAGAGTAAAAGCAGCCCTGCCCACATAATCTGAATGCTCTGTGGAATGATCCACTGTCTCGCGCTAGAGGCTGGCATATGAATGGAAGCACCCCATATCGAAAAGTACTGGACAGCGTTAGCAATCAGAGATCCTGTCCTTGCTCCATGGAGGACTGGAGCGTCTTACACCAATCATGATTCCCAGATATTCCGACATGCCATACATGCCCACAATCATGCCGCGAACCTGGCAGGGAGCCACCTCGCCCAGGTAGATAGGCGCGATCACGCCATACTGACCGATTCCGAGTCCCATGATGAACCTTCCCGCATAGACTTGTCCGAGATTGTGCGATGTGATGAAGATGATGGAACCGATGATCCAAAGGAGGCAGGCCTGACGCATTGTCCATAGCATGCCGATACGTTCACAGAAGACGAATGCAAGAACAGCTCCTGGCAGACTGCCGATATGAACCATCGAAGTGACATTGGAAAGGCGGTTCGCTTTCTCAGAAGCGCTGAGGTAGCTGGCATGTATGTGGAATTGGTCGATAAAAGATTGTTCTGCGACAGTGCTAGCAATAAGGCCTCCATCGAGGCCTACCTCACGTCAGTTGAGCCACATAAGTGCAATGGAAATGGACAGATGGCTTACCCCGAGCGGCTCCCGAGAGCCCAAAGCAGAAAGTAGCACACAGAAGCCTGAAAGAGAGCTTTCTCTGGAAAAGGGGGTGCTGGCTGTAGTCCTTCATGGTGTCCAGGGCGGGCGGGATACCGGACTCAATGCCTGTTTCGCAGGACGCTGGAGGGTGGAAGACATGTTGTTTTCTGTCCGCACTCAGGAAGATGGAGCGAATGCCAGGATCTACCGGCTGATGGTGACTGACTAATAATGCTCTTCTGGGAGTTGTCTAGGCTGAAGCAAAAGAGGATCCATGCAACCGCGGTGGCCAGTGATACTGGGATAGAATCGAGAGACGGTGGAGTCGAGTGGATTTTCGCTTCAGCCTTACCCGCACCCCAACAGGCGATCACCAGTCATGATTTGTTCCTCACCACCCGCTCTCGGGTTTCCCTGCCTAGCATTGCTTATCTTTCAGAGCACCTCTGCGGACCTCACCAACATTTTTGGCCGCTAGTCCTGGTACGTGTACCAATGACGAGGAATTCATTACGAAAGCACTTCGACAAACCCTGCTTGGGTTCTTATCTAAACTCCAGATACCATCCCTATTGCAGACACACCAGAATTACCTGACTCGGTCAAGACTGAATTGAGTCACTATGGGATAAACCGTATCTCCCAGGAATGGTGGTCCAAGTGAGAAGCTCAAAAGTACAATTGGTGCCATTATAATCATCAAATTAGAAACGGTGAAAAGAGAAGTGTCTCGCATTCTGAAATAGCCCTCAATCTCATTGCGGCAGTCTCCGTCCCAGGTTGACCCCCCCGTGACCCTCCTGAGATAGTACCTTTGAAGATAATGAGGTCTTCTCTCACAACTTCAGCTTGAATCTGAATTTTGGTGCTAATTTCGCCTTATATTTTATCACATTACCTTTCTGCGAGTACAGCAACGCGAACACCGGCGGAGCCGAATTCTCGTACTGCGAGGCCCAAGAGTTATCGATCAACGCATTCCCGCCCATATAGATGGCAAAAGATATCATAGGCCCAAAGATAGGAATAGCATCCGCGGCGAGTGCCACGAGCTGCACCATGAAAAGCGCAAGTTGCTTCTCCCATGGGGTGGGATCCGTGATGTCGTATTTCAGGTTCAAACCATACTGCCGTTTGATGATGTCGGGAAACGCCTTGCCATTGTACGTGATGCAAGGATGGTCCGACGAAACGTCCTTGGTGCCGGACGCATTCTTCACCTCTCTCGCGGGGAAGGCGAGGACAAGGTCGCGACTATAAAAGTCGATGGGCCGGCCTTTCTCGCCCTCCGCGGACACGTTCTGATATCCGACTTCCTTTTCTCCGTGTCGAGTATATATCTCTCCTGGCATGGGCAGAATACACATCAACTCTGTGACATCAAACCGCAGCGTGACTTCTGGATGGGCAAGTCCAAGACCAAAAGTAGGGTCTGTAGCGAAGTCAACGTGACCGGTGACAATGCTATCGGGTTGGCCACCGGGTGAAGAGAGCAACGCACGCCTTTGATACCAAGGCCAGGGGGTATATTTTGGAAGACCAAGAAACTTGTCGTCTTCGGGTTGGTCTGGGCAACTAGGACTTAACCATTTTTGAAATTTGGTCCAGTCCGCTAATGCCAATACCCACTTCCCTGCGTCGGACGCGAAGCTGGATGACATGTACATCGCTTGCAGGCCCCTGGGCCCCAGCATCTGTGACAAACCGCTAATGAATTCGGTGCCCAAGCCACTTTTAGACTGTGGTCCGACCTTCCATCCTTGAGGTCCGGCAGTGATCGCGTCGGATAGCGCCTTGACAAACTTTTCGCGCTCTGCGATATCTCTCTGTGCAGCAAGACCTTGGATAGTAATATTCTTGAACTCGGCCTTTTCGGCAATCTGTTTTGACCATTTTTCGGCAGCTTCAGCGGTGAAAGGTGTATTTTTCTGGTTCTTGAAGAGGTCTGGCCGGTTGTCGGTCCAGAATTCGAGAATCCATCTTTTGAGTGACTCCTGGAAAGTGCCGCTAGGGCTGGTTTTGAGATCGTCTTGGTCGACTACGGCACGGTAGTACTTCGGGTTGCGATCAATACCGTACTTTTTCGCCAAGGCATCAAGCTCAGTGGCCTTGTCTAGCTGATCTTTTGGGCCCTTTCCTCTGCAGCTCTCTAGCCACTTACGGAGATCTTCCTTGGCTTGCTTTGTTTCTGCGTCCGTGCCTTGGAAGAGTCCTTCTTTAGAGGGCTCACCATCCGAGTTTGCTCCTTTCTCCCCCAGAATCTTCTTTTTGAACCGGGTCGTGTTCTGGAGAATCGGATGCAACACTTCATCCACCAGGGTTCTTTCCGGCAGGATCTCCAACCCAGCCTTATTGATCTGGTCCGGCAGAAGATCTCTTTCAGGCTGCGAGTACTGCTTCGGGTTGTAAGGGATCGCGAACGGGATCTGGACGAATCGATGCTTGAAATCCAGGCGAACCATCTGAACCAGATCTTCATACGGCCAAGGACACTGCCAGCACTGCGGAAAATACACCCCCCGGATAGCATATGTTGTGTCCAGCCAGAAAAAACGTTCCTCGGGCGTTGGCATGGGGAAATGAACCATGTATGCCTGTTCGGGCTGATTGAAGAGATTCCCGTCCTGGTGCATAGTCACGATCCGAGAAGGGTTACTGGGGTCCCTGCCATAGAGAGCTGAGATCCGGTCGTAACTTGCCGTCGCCCCGCCGACAGCGTACTCGGTGCGAGGATGCTTCTTTTTTGGCCTGTCTTTCTCATCCTGGACTTCTGCGTTGACGGTGATGTCTACAAAGAGATACCTGTAGAAATCCTCCCCTTCGCGTCTGAGCTCTTTCTTTCGATCGTCGTCGCTGATGTGTAGTTTGGTGTCCCACCAAATCGAGAAGAGCTTCTTGGGGAACCAGACTACTCCTTCTGGTGGGCCGGACATTGTGGTTTTGGGGTAGTAGACAATGAAGTCGCAAGGGGAATGAAGACTTCAGTATGATTGTCATATTGATCAAGTCGTCCTCGGAAGGCCATTATATGCATTTTCCACGAGGAATATATGATCTCATAGAGGAACACGGGCTGCAGATACTGGTTGAAAAGCTGTCCGGGCCTTCCCCCGCCAAAAGCAAACTTGCTGACGCGTATTCAGAAAGCGTCCGCCAATGTTTATGGCGAGCTGAGGGATTTAGTTGTTTTAGGTGCAATTCGATTGCAAGTTGTCTGCGGGCTGGCTTGGAGCTAGAGCAGCTGGTTGTGGGGCTGGTTGTAGGCCGTTCGCGGATAGTAGTGATGTCTAGATTTTAATATGAACGCATCCGATCTTGGCCAGAACAGTCGAACCGCTGCCGTTACAATCTCGAGGGACTATGACGTCCACGACCCTTTACAAAGTATGCCAAATAAACCTACTCTGACTAAGTATAGGGAAGGAAGGAATGGGTTTGGGATCTACTCAGCTTTTGTGTAAATTCTGCACCAATAACTAATGGTTATATCTCTCCTGGCATGCATAATTACAGTACCAAAGGCTATAAAATTGGAAATATTTACTAAGCATCTATAAGAATCAAAAGCCAGTCTGTATCTGTAGGTATTCAGAAGTTGATTTGTCATTATACTTCAAGATTCTCTATCGGCAATCAATCTATGTTCCTCTTTTACCCTCGCCGCCCCTTCCTCCGGCTAGCTAGCTATACTGTACAATCATGGGAAACTTCGAGCCTCTCACACAAGATTGACAGAAATAGCTCATACATATTTTTCTTCGTGTTCTAAAGATCGCCAGTGTTGATCAGTTGGCTGAGGATGAACACCAACTCTAGAAAAAGAAAAGAAGCTGTTGATGTCAGGGCTAGCTGAACAACGCCATATGTTTGCTGTAATCTCAGCTGCTTCGTATATCTCCTGGAGCAAGAAAAGCTGTTCCGACAAGGATGAATCATAACCCAGCTTGTCTTGTCCTGAACCCTGCATGGTTGAATATTAAACTATCTTTTCCTTGTCATTGGGCGTTCTCTCCCCCTCATTCTCACCCACTGTAGCTCTTCTTTACTTTGCGACAGTAGCCACTCTTCCTTATCCAGACTGCTTCAAACGAGGAGATGGCTCACTCTCCAAGAGCACAGAATATATAGCACGACAATTTTGAGTCCACTGAATCGTGACACAACAAGCTCACGCACCTACATGAAGCCCTCAACCGGCCGCGTGAGCCATTCATCGGGTACACCGTCAATAGACGTGACTCTCTTCTCCGGATCCCACGTTAATAATATCCGTATGAATCTGAGGAACTGGTCCTTCTCTTCTCCCGGTGGAATGGTGGTGACAAATTCTTCCAGGGATATATTTGGGATTGGGGGCTCGGATATCAAATTGCCTGTCAAATGATTAGATGAGAATTATTGTATCAAAGGGTAATTTACAGATGAGGGAGCATATTGCTAGAGTCAAAGTATGTCTTGAAGAGTGGACTTTTCTGTATGATCTCCAAAGGAGGAGGACGGAGATAGCCGATGTATTGGGCCAAGGCTAATGGGAGGACATACTGACCGTGGACACGATCCACTGGGTCAAAGAGGTTCTTACCCTCTAGTAGTTACAGTGTCTATTTGACGGGTTCAGTGGACCGTGTGGTTAGGTTATGCTTAGTAGGGCTCACCATGACACCGATCGCCCAGATATCCACAGGATACCCCCAAGGAAGCTGTAAGAGCACCTCTGGCGCGCGATATAGATCTGTCATCCACCAATCCTGATTTATGCGTCCCTCTATCACACGCATTTGACCAAAGTCAGTAAGGCACGGGTAGCCCGATAGCTCTAACATCGTTGGTCGAGTTTTGTAGACTGTCGTAGCAGCGGCTCCAGTACCCGTGGTAATTGGAGTACTAGGATTCTCAGTCTCCTGTTGCTCGACATGTTTGAGGACTGTGTCGTCTTCAATGTCCATCAAGACATTTTCCGGTGAGATATCTAATAAGTACAGTGAGTTATCAAGGTTTTTGAGCCTTCCCGACTAGCTGAACATACCCGTATGTGCAACACCACAGGTTGCATGCAACCAATTTACGGCGAAGAACAAGCGGCGTATGATGGATTTTACGAGAAGCTTATGCAACTGGGCGTTGGGAAATTTTTTCTGTAATGTGCGGACACTATTGCCCTGAGGTTTGAAGTCGATACAGTAGTGGCTCCCAGAGGGACCATCAATCTCAAAAATGTCCCGTGCAAGGCGCGTAAAGTCCAAGCCTGGGTGGTCTTTTTCGGCGAACTTCTTCAAGCGGTGGAGCATGTTGATCTCGTCAAGTATGGGCGAAGGCTCAGTATCCTCAGTTTGTATGCAAACTTTCAGAGAGGTGTATTATCTTGCTCTGCACGCGAGTCAGTATTCAGTCCAAAAATAGTGGACTGGCATGGACCACAAACTTTTCATCCCAAGCAAGCCAAACTGTGTAATACGCTCCATAGCCTAGTTTAGCGATTATGCGATAAAGATTCTTCAAAGTTTCGCCAGGCTTGACAGGGTAATAACGCTTCCGATGATAAAATGGAAGCGTCTGTTCTTCAATCGCCAGAAGATCTGCCATCTCATGAACCCATCGATGTAGTAGCACAGTTCTTTGGTGGAGACACGGCCGGAGACACGGGAAAAGTGGTGATGGGGGGATTAAAGCACGCATATTCTATACTAAAGAGTTGCTGCCTAAGTACGGTACAGAATCAATCAAAGAGTGGCACGGTCATAGTTCACGCTGAGGTGGTGAGGATGGTTGGCCAGGAGTGAGTGTTGAGGCTTAGGACTGCAAGTAAACAACCCTCTGAACAGCGTGATCAAGCGTAGGCATAAGATCTGCAATGACATAGAATGATTCGATACCTGGCTCAGACGGAGCTGCTTTAGATCGATAACGATAGACAATTTTGGTTCAATATCATAGGCTAAGTGCCATGATAATGAGGAAAAGGAACAAAAAGGGGCAGTGCCAGCCCGAGCCCTGAGGGAGAGCTGAGGCGTCGAGAGGAAGACTCCAGCTCCAGCCTACCCGCATCCCCGCTGAGACTTCAGGCTCCAGGCTCCAGGCTCCACCGCTTCCTATCGGGGAGCGGATACCTTCTCCGACAAGGCTCCCTCCTAACCATCATCCATTTCAAGCTTTCAAGAAGCAAGTCCTGTTCATCCATATTTTCAGCTCGCATGTCATGTTCTTCCCACTCAGCCTCCTATACATTCCAGTGCATGGGTACAGGACCAGTGAAGGGAGTCCATAACCTCGCTTTTCTGAGTGACGAATACTGGAGCTTTCGTAATAATGCCGCTAGGAAGGTGTTGTTTTGAGCAAGCTATTGTGATGGCGATTGATGTCAGGTTACATATGCATTGATTTGACTTAAGATGGCGTGGTTTCCGATTAGATCATTAGCATCTGAGTAGAAAATCGAATGCTGTTACATGCTGGGTGTATCGTGCGGAATTGCTTCTGGCTTCCAGTATGCTGGATTTATAGCGATGTTTTATTTCGTGTCGAAATAAAAATGATCGAGTCGTGCAATAAGTCCTACAAAGACCCAATCAATGAGCCAGGCCCCTGCTTAAAAAGATTTAGCGACTATCATATCATAGATCATGGTTTCGTCTATGATGGGTCTCAAAGCTGGAGGTGTTCCGTCTGCATACTGACCAAGGATATCCTACTTGTGCAGGGGAAGCGGTCCCGGCACGTGAGAAAGTCCAGATTAGATTCAGCCCTTCGACCGCCTGCTGTTTATGGCTATATTGATGGCAATCTGCCGGATGATATCACACGCGGCTGATGTTATCAACAACCTTTCCCCACGCGTTATCCTAAATATGTTATAGATTGTTCTCCCTCTGCTCCAATGCGCCCTGTCGCCGTATGCCCCTGTATTGACAATTCCGAGCTGGATTGGAACTGACAGTTATCTAGACCCCTTTTCGTGCATCCTCTCGTTCGAATGGAGGGCCTCAATTTGCCTCGACCCCTCGGTTCTTCGTCTCACAGAGGACCCCCGCATCGCAGCAGATAACTAAGGATGTAGACTCAATCGAAGAGGATGACACCCAGGATACTCCAATCCCAACCGCCCGCTTTCTCAAGCGCGATAGGTGGATCAGCTCAACACCTCGCCAGAAAGAAACCATTGAAGATTCCGACGATGCGGACCACCTCGATGAAGAACCCTCCGTTCCCTCTAGGAATATCATCTCTGATGACGGAGAAGCGCCAGGCAGCTCCCCTGGGCCCTCAGAAAACCAAACTTCCGAATTCGAGGACCTCTTCGCAAGCATACAAGACCGCAAGAAACGACGCCGAGTCTCCATAGACAACGACCTCCCCTCAGCCCAACCACCACCAACAGGACCAGACACAGAGTGGATCGTGTCATCGTCGCAGGATCTCTCCCTATCTCCACCGCCGCAAACGCAATCACCAATACCATTGACTCATAAGAAAACTCCGATGCAGAAACAGCCCCCTCCAGTAACGACACAGCATACCCCAGTAGCCACAACAACACCACAGCCCTCAGCGCCGGAAAGCGCGAACCCTCCATCCGCGCGCAACCCCCGTCGATTCCTTTTCTCAGCCTCCCACCTACCACCGACCACACAACCCCAGTCAAGTAGCAGACCGTGGGTATTAACATCGACGCAAGAACCACCCTCGTCACAACGACGCAAGCCGCCAGCATTCGTGCTACCCCGCTCACCATCGCCTTCACACACAGACGATGAACTGGCTGCCCTCCCGACCCTGTTCTCACCATCCCGTCGTGCGCTGCGCCGACGTGGTCGTGCTCCCGATCCCGCTCACACGTATCTCCCGGACGGCATGGCTGCTGAAGTGCGCAGCTGGGTTTTAGAGACTGGTACCCGACACGAGCAGCAGCGACAGGCGGGTGTTGCCAGGCGCGCGGGAGCAGTGATTCAGATCGATCATGTGCATCAATCTTCGCTTCCGAGCTGTGGTCCCCTCGCGTTTGTGTGTGGCCATAAGCCAGATGCCCACGACGAGGAGGCAGACTGGGAACCAAATACGCGTTCTCGAAAATTACTTCTCATTGGTCCACCTCGATCTCGACCTGAGACGGTATTGCAAGCTCGGCGGAATGCAATTTCAGCGCCCGAGCTTCGCCCTGGAAGTGCTGTCGGCATTTGTCCGGGATTGACCTGGGACATTGATCTAGGAGAGACTGGCTTGGAATCGGGAACAGATGACAAGCCAGCCGAACCCGTTGCGCTGCAGATATCGGGAAAGTGGACCGTTGTCCTAGAATGGGAGCTGGTCTCAAATGTAGACGGTCGCGACAGTGCATAAACTAGATACCCTACTTGCATGACATAATATAACATACCATCGCAGGATATTGACGATGCTTGGATTCAAGATGACTATATACACTACTTTTGGCCTATCCCTCCAATGCTAACCATGACAACGCCTCATGCGCCCAAACCAGTTAAAACAATGAATGCCACTAATCAGCACCGCTATCCTTCACCACGACCTTCAACGCATCCACCGCAACTGTGCACCCCCACTTCACCAGCTTCAGATCCTTCGCGGACGGCACAATATCCGTCTTCGCGACCACCTTGCGCAGGAAGAAGATCAACCCCTTGGCAATTTGCGGCGTCTCTTTCGTGCGCAAGAAGATCTCCATCAGCGCGCTCTCATCGCGCGCTGAGTCCTCCTCGACCTCCTTGCTCTTCTTACTCCCCCGCTTCTTGTCCTTCTTTTTCTTCTGCTGTGACTGCTGGATCACGCTAATCAACAACAGCTCCACAAAAGTCTTACTCTTCGGCTGGAGGTACGCGAAGTTCAAGATCTTGAGGATGCCCAGATTCAGCGTGCCGTCCACAACAAGCGATCCGTACATCTTGGCCAGATTGACGATGGCCTTCATATCGAGCTTGTTGTTCTCGTCCTCGTCGCCACCGAACCCGCCGTCGGAATCGTCGTCGTCCATGTCGCCGTTCTCGCCCATGCGCTTGAAGATGTTCCATAGCGTGTACATGAACGAGACCTTGATGCGGCGGCCCATCTCGCCGCACAGCCGGCGGGCGATCAGCGTGTAGTAGGGGTTGTGCGCGACCTCCTCCATGGCGCAGTGGGTCAGCACGCGGGGGATCTCGAACTCCTGGGCGCGCTTGAGGCGGAGCTTGAGCAGGCGCACGTGCGCGTCCTGGTAGTCTGTGGCGGACATGATGGCTACGAAGATCGAGCGGCGCACGTCCGTGTTCATGCGGTGGGCTTTGGCGATATTGACCCAATCGGGTTCGCCGTCGCTTTCGTTCTCGTCTGGCTGCTGTTGCTGGGATTGTTGATGGGGCAGGCTGGAGAGTTCCTGGCGGGCGGACTCGAGCGGGTCCTCGCGCCAGCTGGCGCCGACGAGCCACCATTTACCTTTTTTCGAGGAATTGTGGATGTCCTGTCGGGAGATGCTGATGGGTTCCGAGGCGCGAATGACGCGTGTGTTGTTGAGCGAGCCGAGTATCTTGCGCATCTTCGTGATGTGCTCGGAGGCCAGGTTAGAGCCTGCGCCGGCTTTCAGGCGGTTGTTCTTCAAGTCGGTGATCGTGTCGATCATGAACTTGGTGCGCACGGAGAGGGAGGCTTCGCCGGCTTTGGCGACAGCGGGCTGGATGAGGAGGACGATGTCTTTGAGGGAGGAGGGGTCGTCTTGGCGCAGTTGAGGGCCGGAGTCTGTTGCTTGTCATTAGTGTTCGTGTTAGGATGAGTAGGGGTTGATACGCACTTCGGATGATCTTGAGAAGCAGCTCGGTGTTCTCTTCCGTGATATCCTGGAGGAATAGCCGGATGTAGTCAAACATCAAGGTGCTTGAGATGACGTGGAAGTTGTAGAGCTGCGACAGAAGAGCAATCAAATTGATCGTCTCTTTGCCTGCGAACGTGCCTCGCTCGTCACCACGAGCGTCGAATGTCTCCACAATCTTCTGCACGATCTCCGCACCGAAATCCATGCCCATCACTTTGTAGACGGCCGCAATGAAACCCGCATGCAGGATGATGAAGGTATCCGACAGTGTAGATCGTTCGCAAATCAGACCGAACAAGAGTGTGATAAGGGTCGAGGTCACCTCGCCACGAGGATAATCGCGATACAGCTTCTCGAACTCACCAAGGATCGAGATCATGTTGGCTTCGGACAATTTGTTCAGGTGTCCCTGAGCCTGTCTTCGAAGACGTACGAGACTCTCGGACTCTGATGAAGCCTTGGCTCGAAGCGAGGGAGGGATGTACTTCTGCGGCTTGTTCTCGCTAGATTCTTGGACCGGAGCCACGTATGGGTTTTCCTTCTTCTTAGGAGCAGGTTCCTCTTCTTCGTCCTCGTCGAGATCCATGCCATCCATGTCCTCATCCTCGTCTTCATCGTCATCATCCTCCTCCTCATCCTCATCGAAATCTCCAAGAGATTCGTCATCCTCGTCAAAACCTTCCAGCCCATCCTCACTACCCATATCACTATCATCCTCCTCCGACTCGTCCTCGTCATCAGCCTGCAATCCCTGCGCTTTTCTCCGCTTATTGCGCAACCAGTCGTCGGCCTCCCTCTTTCGCTTGCGATTCTCATCATCCGACCCCTCACCCAGGTCCTCAAGAAGATCACCCAAGCCATCCTCCTCGAAAGACTTGGGAAGCTTCTTGCCCTTCTTAAGACCCAATTTCTTCTCCAGCGCAGCAATCTCAGCTTCATCCTCGTCCAACTTCGCCTTCACCGTCTTGGAGATGGGCCGCGCTGCAGCCACCACCTCAGCATCTTTCTCGACCGTTTGCGCCTTCTTCATCTTTTCAGGAGCGGCCTTAGCGGCCTTAGCAGCCTTCAACTTGGCCATAGTCGCCGCGGCATTATCATCGTCATCGTCGTCGGAATCACCAGCGCCCTCGTCGAATCCACCGAAATCATCCTCATCCTCGTCATCATCGTGGTAGGACCGCTGCGAGCCCCGCTTTTGTGCCCCAAAACCCCCGCGCTGCTTCTTCGACAACCGCTCCTCTTTCCGCCGATCTTTTCTCGCGCCGGGCCCGTTGCGCTTCCGATCACCGTAGGTATCTCTGATCCCCAGCTCCTCGCGGAGATTCCTGGGTAAGGAGGTCGTGTTATGCCTCGGACGCGGCATTATTCTTTGATTGTATGAATTCTTCAGTCAAACTCGATGCAAGGTCTGGAACCTTTTTTTTTTTTTCTGCTTTGCGCAACGATCAAAAATAATGCCGTTACAAAAAAGTCCGCGGAGGCGGAAGAAGGGAGGGCGGTGAGGGAGTGATGTTGCGGAGCTACTCTCCCCACCCACTGAACTCATTGGCGTGAGTGAGTTGAGTCGAGATCATCCGGCCATTGATTGCGCTTACAACCACAAAAGCAATTATCACTGTCGTCTTTCTGTCCCATTCAAGTACTCAGATTCAACTGACAAGGTGGCATAAACACTACACGCAATTCCACCACCACCACCACCCCCTCGTCCAACTCCAACTCCTTCATACCCAGCTTACAGCGCGCATCATTCATCAAAATGCCCGCCGCACACGCACACCTCAACCACGAAGAGGTCAGTCTGTCCACGAACTCCCATCCCCGTCTACCTCCATAACCTCCCGCCCCCAGCTTTGCACCCCGACCCCAAAACTAACCCAAAGAAAAACAGTTCTTCACCTCCCTAACGACCCTCCTAAGCACCACCTCCCAAAAAGCCCGCGGCTCCGTCTACCTCACCCAGAAACCCTTAATCGATCCCCAACAACAAGACCAACAAATACCGGCTATCCTTATCCGCGCCACCGACGGGAACACCAGCGCCGCGAATCCGAAGAACACGATCGATAAGAAGGGCATTTCAAAGAACAAGAACACGAACAAGGTTAAGCTGTCGACGGTCGTTAACCCGGATGAGTTGGAGGCGTTCTATGCTCGGTACGCGGAGGTTTGTAAGGCTGGGATGACCGGGCTGAAGAAGCGGGATCGGAAGAAGAAGAATGCGAAGGGGAAGGCGGGGGGAAAGGTGCCGAAGCTTTGAGTTTCTGACGGGGACGGGGTTTTGTGGTGGGAGGTGGGTAGGGGGTTGATTTGTGCGTTGATGGTCTGTATATGAGATATTGTTGCTGTTTGGGTGGCACGGGCTGGAGGGTGAGGGTGAGGGTGACTGGGGTTTTAAGTGGTTGATTGCATTATTGGCGTTATATTACGGGTCTGTTTACTTTCTACGATTCAAACTAAATCAATCGGGATTGGTATGGAGGACTCCTCTATTGCATACTATGCTGGATACTGGCCGGCCACGCGCTGAGAACCACCACCGCCTGATGGATACCAACTACCCGTCGATTCTGCTCGACCGTACCCTGGAGCTTTACAGAGTACATGCACTTGTAAATCATAGCACAACTCAAGCCCCAGCAAACCGTCAGTCAAGAAAGACCATCTCCCTCGAGAATACGACACTCAAAAAGATACCATACTCCCAGAATACCACCTCCCTCCCTCCCTCCTCATGATGGCGCGGGCTTGCATTTGCCGTTCTAGTTTCTCCAGAGAAGACTGGGGGAGGTTCAAATAGGGTTGCGTTACGATGGGTGGCGGGGATAGAATGGAAGGGGAGGATGAATGGAAGGTTTGGTTTGGGGAGTGAAGGTTGAAGGTTGATGTTGTTGGTTGTTCTGGCGTCGGGTTAATGGCGCTTCTGGCTGTCTTCTTCCACTCATAATATCATTGTGGTCTATCAGGTTTCAATGCACTATACACCCCCGGGGTGCTCTCAGTCATGGGGTTCTACTACATAAATTCAACCCGGAGGCCCGTGCCAATTTTGCTTAAACCTAACATGAGGCACGTAGTGATACTTCGACTGACAACCTTGACTGTCTCACAATTAAGTATGATTGATGGCACACGCTAGAATACAATGAAGACATTAGGGTACATTTCCAATGCGAATTGGTCCATCCACAAACCAGACATGTCCCAAACCATGGGGCTTGACAACGGAAATCGTGTAATTGAATCATCACAGAAAGAAGGCGTTTGTGGGAATAAAACAGAAATATCATGAGTGACGAATGTGAGGATAAGAAATATGCCAAAGAATGATATGGTGAACGGAAGAAAGGATGATATGCGGAACCAGCAAAGCTAAATCAACTGCTTCCATATCATGGGGTATGCTCGGAAGACTCCTCGGTCCTTCGGAAACAATCAGGAAGGGGCAGGTCGAAATCATCCACCGTATCTTGAGATTCAGCTAGCTGGTCCTCGATGTTGCGCTTGAGCTCGCCCATGGTCGAGTTCATAGCGGGTCCGATCACAATGCGGGCGGCAATATGAATGAGCACAACCATAAGCTGGATGGGCGGGACCAGAACGAGCGAGGCCGTCTTGTGAATCAAAGAAGCCGCGTCGTGCTTCTCAGGTTTGGCAAGCGTTAAGGTGGAGGGTGGTGGCATGGGAGAGACTTCTCGCTGGCGGGAAGCTCTGGAGCGACGACGGAACTCAGCGCTCATGCTGGATAGATTAGAATTAGATTCATTGCTTGAAGCTGCCCCACTAGGTTCTGGGGCGGACGTAGGACGGTTAGATGTAATGGGTATCGGTTTAGCCTCATGCTCAGAAAAGTCTCTAGCTAATTCCTCCGTCGGCGACATATGATCCCAACAGTCGACATACACGGAGACTCGATTGTGAGACCGCTTAGACTCGGGTAGATGTGAGTCTCCAGAAGACGAGTGGGCATCGCCACTTTCAATTTCGTACTGGTCATCATTCTCGCTTGACGCGGGTGTAGAGCAGGTGTCTAAGTCCGGAATGGCTGTAAAAGAGGGGCCAAGTGAATGGAAAGATTCCACACTGGATGAGAAGGAGAATTCAGGATCAACCTGGTCTTCAGAGCTATCTTCAAACCTTGCCAGCAAAGTCTGGAAACTCTGCTTTGTTTCTACCGCAGATTGGCTTGAGTGCTGCACTGGCTCCGAGATCGGAACCGGGTCAGGCAACTCATTGTCGTCAGCGATTGTCTCGAGAATTGTGCTATTGCTGCCCCTGGTCGTGAAACCACTGTCATCCGTCGCATCTCCGTCCGTGTCTTCTCCCGCGCTAGGAAAGTCGGCTGCGAGGTCATCCTTCGGCTTCAACATATCTTGCTTGAAGATCGAAGACACGGGGGCGCTTTCTCGACGCCCTTTAGGACGCCAGGCCCTTTTTCGTCGAGGCGCCTTGGCCTCTTCGGGGATTTCGACGGTGAAGCCCCTCTTGAAAGGGCAGGGCGTTACTTCATAGCGGAGAATTTTCGGCAACACATTTTTCATTTCCACGACTAGTCTCTTGTCATCCTCCACCTCGTTGGGCAGTTCAATGCGATAGTAGGTCAGGGGCCGAATGCGCAAGACAAATGTCGACTCGCCATCGACGCACCAGCATTGAGAGTTCTTGAGAATGGCGTGGACGACATTGCCGCATTTCAGGAAGACGGTTAAACCGTGTACATTTTCTAATCGGAGAGGCGCGAGCGCGACCGTGCGCTCGGTGGGTGATCTCCAGGGAAGCGTCTCAACGGTATCGACCGGGTAATCAAAATCGGCGGGTGCGGTACTCGACGGGATAGGCGCAAGGGCTCTAGGGGCGAAGTGGACGACTTTGGCGGAGGGATGATAGAAGAGATCGTTCTCGGACGGTTTCACGGATTCTGAGTGACGACGCGTACGCGGATTCAGTTTGGTAGGGAGAGTAGCAGACCGACGAATGGACGAAGTCTGGGGAAGCGGCGCATCGGAAGAATCAGACATTCTCAATCATGGGGATGTTGGATGATAATATAAAGAAAAAAAAATAAGAGGAAGGGACCGAAACAAAGGAAGATTACATTGAATAGGAGTACGGTGATGAAAAGATGCAGCAGGTGATTTGAATATATCTAAAGGTTGAAAGCGGGAAAAGGAGAGACGATCAGCAGGGATTTGAAAGAGGGGGGGCAAGAAGAAAAGAATGATGGTGGTGGTGAGATAATCGAACCCAAATGACCCCGGCAGAAGAAGGATGGATGGATGGATGGATGAACTCAATAATCATCATTGCCCGCGCCCAGTTGAGACTAGTTGCGATCTCCCCTGCGCTCTGCGCTCTGCACGCTGCAAGCTTGTTGGGGCTGGGTGGAGTATATATGAGGCCTCAGGCATACACATGGGATAGTCACGTGAAATGTGGCGTCGTGGGGCTGGGCGGTTTGTCCGGCTGTTGTTAGCGCAGCGGATGCTGGCAGCTGCACCCAATCCCCTCCCGTAGCCATACTTGCACATTTCCACCTTTATGTGGTTGCCTGTGGCTGTTCCCCCCCTCTCTCCGACTCCCCCGAACAACGCACCACTATAAATAGCTTCACATGTCCATTTTTCTCTCTTCAGACTCCTGAGCTCACATCTGCTTTCCTTTGGGGACACAGTTGAGCACAATGCCGAATTTCGAACCCAACGCCGTCATTCGCGGCTCTCAGTTAACAATTGTTGGAAGTGAGTGAGCTTCTACCCTCCCCGGAGTCTCTATCCGCCGCCTCATGCTTGCTTGTCGCTGTGTGGAATACATTGCATAAAGGGAAAATGGGGTTTAGAGCTGAGAGTTTATCGCTCATACTCAAGCATGAAAACCTGGCTTTTCCAGATTTGAAGCCTCAGACCTGCTGTCGCCTCAATGCATTGATAGCCATCCTTGAGCAAAACACATACGTCATCTGAGCACAGAATTTGGAGTGCTGACATCCAACTCAACAGCTGTCCGCGCTTTGGGCAATCCCGATCTGTTCAAATACAACCACTTTCGTCAGGCTCTCTTCGCGGTCGCCGTTGGAATTGCCATCCAACTTATCATTCAGATCCCGGTATGAATTGTCCCCCTTACGGTCTGGGGGTGTACGACCTTTAGTCTAACTAGTCACCTCCAGATCATCGGAGTCAAACTCGTTCTCTGGAGTATTTCATGGGCCGTCGACCTGGAAAATGCCACCTGGGATGACACCCTCGTTGAGAGTCTCGACTTCATCTCCAACTCCGTGCTGCAGGTGCCCTTCTTGCTCATGACACTGATGCGTTATATCACGCCTACCTTAGACGAAATGTAAGTCGAACGCTGTTCTGCTTGCCGAAAGTCTATGGACTGACCCAATTAGCTTCATGGAATCTCTCAAATGGGTGGATGCTACCTACGTCCAGAAACACAAGAAGGACGACCCGAAGAACTTGCGCGACATGTACTATCCCAATCTATCCATGTACACCTCCGAGGAGGGCAAGGTCAGAACCCCGAAGGCCGCCGGACATGCAGCATTCTTCATGTTTCTCAGGCGGTACGGTAAACGGGCTGGACTCCTTTTGGGGACCTACCTCTTTTCTTTGGTTCCCGTAGTCGGACCTTTCGTGATGCCCGCTGCCTCCTTTTACGCCTTCAAAAGCTCCGTAGGAACTACGCCTGCTGCTGTCATCTTTGGGGCCGGCTTCATCCTACCTAAAAGCTACGTTGTTTCTTTCCTGCATAGCTATTATGCCTCCCGCAGTCTCATGCGTGAACTGGTAGGTTATGCTCCCTAGAATACCTCAGTCAGGCTTGTCTAACAACATCAACAGCTGGAACCTTACTTCAGCCGTGTTCCCTTCACCCATGAGCAGAAGAAGCGTTGGTTTGCCGACCGTGAAGGAGTACTGTTCGGCTTCGCCTTCGCTTTCACTCACGTCATGAAGGCCCCGTTCATCGGGGTCCTCCTCTATGGTGTGGCCCAGGCGTCGACAGCGTATCTTGTCACCAAGATCACGGATCCCCCACCGAGCCCTGCGGAGAAGGAGCGTTTCGCCGAGACCCAGACGACTTGGACGAACAAGCACGACTTCCTGCGTCTTCCCTTTGATAGTCTAGACAAGCTCAACGTGCACGAGGAAGATGAAAAGCCCAAGGCGCCTGACACCCCAAGCCGCAGGTTTTCTTGAATTCGGCGGTGTGTGGAGGGCTGACCGGGATTTGACGGATGTGTGATAGACTGAGCCCGGGATCTGTAGAGAGTTGGGGTGATGAGTATATTTGTAAAGGCCTTTTATAAGAACCGTGTGGTTCAATTTGTTATCGTTATCAGACAAAAGTTGAGCTGCAAAGCAGAGAAAACGTTCCCCGCAGATAAGCGTCATCGATTCCCGATAAGATAACCTTTTCCATGTCTTCCCCCTCATCGCGCCCGTCCATTTCCGATTCGATCTGCTGATAACTATGGGTCTGAGCGAGAGTTCTTTGAGTGGTGAGGGGGACTTGTCTTGCTACAGGGAAGAATCGTGCAGCTAGAGTATTTAATTGGGGCCGCCCTGCAGCCTGAGAGCTAAACTCTTTTCCTCTTCCCTCGCTATCCCCTCCACCTTGGACAAACACCATCACCTTCAATCATCACCATGGGCCACAAGAAGATCCGCACAGCGCTGACGGTCGATCTCAACAAGCCTGCCTGGGAGCAACCGGGGTTGCACGTACGTTGAAACCATCCAGTCACTGAGTCACGGACCTGTGTTCATAGTGCTGACATCCCGCAGAACAGATGGCATCCAGATGGTACACAACCCAGCCTAGCTGCCCACCCACAATCTAAATCAGCCACAAACAACACTAACCATAAGTCCTCAAAACAGTCCCCGCCTGCGGCACGATCGCCAACAACGAAGTCGTCAAGATCGAATGCCTCGACTGGACCGGCGGGCAGATCAAAAACAACGACTCCGCCGACGACGTCAAGGACGTCGACCTAACCCAGATCCACTACCTATCTGGGCCCTTTGAGATCGAGACCGCCGAGCCGGGCGATGTCTTGCTGGTGGAAATCCAAGATGTCCAGCCCTTCGAGGATCACCCCTGGGGCTTTACCGGTGTCTTCGACAAGAACAATGGGGGCGGGTTTCTCGATGAGATTTATCCGAAAGCGTAGGCCAGACTTCATCCTCAGTGTGTGTGCTGATAGAAAGGACGTTTGAAACTGACTCGATGTGTGCGCCAGAGCCAAGGCTATATGGGACTTCGAGGGGATCTTCTGCTCGTCGCGACATATTCCCCACGTGCGCTTTGCGGGATTGATTCATCCCGGGATTCTGGGCTGCGCGCCGTCCGCGGAGATACTGGCGGAGTGGAATCGTCGAGAGGGGGAGTTGATCGCCGCGAGTACCGCCCTGCAGCGGGATGTCGCGAAGCCTCCTGAGCCGAGAAATGCGCATGCGGGAAGTGCGGATGAGAGTCTTAAGGAGAAGGTCGCGAGGGAGGGCGCGAGAACGATTCCTGTATGCTTCTTCCTCTCTCACACACACCTGACCGAATTGCTGGAGACTGGGCTGGGGTGGGCTGAGCTGGGCTGAGCTGAGCTGACCCAATGATCAATGTATAGGGTCGTCCCGAACACGGCGGCAACTGCGACATCAAGAACCTCTCTCGCGGCTCGAAGGTCTACCTCCCCGTGCACGTACCCGGCGCGAAGTTCTCCGTCGGCGATCTGCACTTCTCGCAAGGCGACGGCGAGATCTCCTTCTGCGGCGCCATCGAAATGGCCGGCATCATCACGCTCAAGTTCACCGTGCTCAAGGGCGGCATGGCGAAGATGGGCATGAAGTCCCCGATCTTCCAGCCGGGCCCCGTGGAGCCGCAATTCGGGCCCGGCCGGTATTTGACCTTCGAGGGGTTTTCGGTCGATGAGAATGGAAAACAGCATTATTTGGACGCGACGGTGGCGTATCGTCAGACGTGTCTGCGGGTGATCGAGTACCTGCGTCGGTATGGGTACGATGACTATCAGATCTACCTGCTGCTGAGCTGCGCGCCGGTGCAGGGACATATTGCAGGGCTGGTGGATATACCCAATGCGTGCACGACGCTGGGGGTGCCGATGGATATCTTTGATTTTGATATTCGGCCCGAGGGCGAGGCGGTGCAGTTGGATATGGGGAGTTGTGCGTTTACAAGTGAGTGAAGGGAGTAGCGGTTATGTCTGGTTCCTTCATATCATTGCGTGCAAGTAGCTCTCTCAACACTTAACCTAAGACCACCGGAATGCCAGCCTACCTTTGATATGAGCTTCCTAGCAGTGATAGGAATAAACGTAGCATCGAAAAATGGGTAGCTTACTATGGTATACTACAACTGTTCCGGGGGAACTACAAGTATCCCAGCGGAGCGGGTCCACCATCACGGCTTTATCTTATCGCAACCATCAATCTACTGTACCACCTCCCCCAAGTTCTCCCCTATCCACGGAGTACTCACAATTCAGAACCTCTCACCAACCAAACACACCCCAACCGCAAACCTGCACAATGGCCTCAACCGAGGACCCAACAACGCAACCACCAGTAATAAACTACATCCTCTCCTTCCTTCTAGTCGGCATAGCCTGGGGCTTCACAACCCCTTTCATCCGCCGCGCCGCCGCAGACTTCAACGCGCGACAAGACGCCAGCACCAGCACCAGTACCTCCTCCTCCCCCTCTGAACAAACCCCTCCTACCGTCTACGAAGACAATGAAACGCCATTGAATCCGATCGACCCTCCGTCCTCTGAACCCCACACCACCACCGAAGACGAAAACGAAGTCGAAGAAGAAGCAGAAGAAGAAGACAACCCCCCGCCCACGCAACCAGCCTGGATGCGCCAGCCCCCGCATCAAAAAACCTGGGTGCGCACGAAACTCACCTCGATCTTCTGGACGGTCGTCAATCTCCTCCGGACACCCGCCTATTCGATCCCGTTGGTCGTGAATCTGACAGGGAGTGTGTGGTTCTTTTTGCTTGTTGGGAAGCATGGTGCGTGATCCCCTTCTCCGTTTTCGATATTGCATGGGAAGACAGCATGGGAAGCTGGAGGATACCGACCAGTGAGAAAGTATGTGCTAACCAAACCCGGGGGTTTCGATAGAACTCTCATTGACCGTTCCGCTGGCGAATTCAAGTGCGTTCTTGTTCACGGTGCTGGGCGAGTGGTACGTAGAGCGGAAGGGGATCGCGCGGGAGACGTGGGTGGGGATGGCGTTGGTGTTGGGCGGGATTGCGGTTTGTGTGTTTTCAAAGTCTTGATGAGTTAATAATGTGGAGGGGAGAGAATGTATGTATACTTGGTTCATAACCCCCTGGTTTGTTGCGTATTTTGGCCTAAAAGACAGGTACAAAAAGCAAAGTGCAAAAAGATGGCTTCTGTTGCATCATCCGTGAATCGAACACGGGCCTCATCGATGGCAACGATGAATTCTACCACTAGACCAATGATGCTTGTTCTTGTTTTTGGTGGTAATGTCTGAACTCATGGTCCAACTACCGGGAAGAGGAGTATGAATAGCACGTAATGCCTCGATGTTGCATCCTATCTTCATATCATGTCATTCGATTTACATGTCTACATACATATTCCTTCCTGAAGACGCCCACCCAGTCGCAAGTCGAGTAGATAGCACAGTCCGCGCGCGTAAATCATGAACCTTCGATACGTCTTTACTTCTCATCATGAAATCATACCACCGCCAGCGGCATACTAGAGGGATATCATAACAATACAAAAACTGCAAAACTCGTCTTACTCTCCGCGGAACTGGAATCACAAGTTAGCTTTTAGACCCCCAAGACACAACACCATCAGACCAGACTTACCATGCGCACAACCAAATACCACATCGCACCGATGAACTTGAAGATCGACAACCCAGCCACACTCCACAGGACAACCGACATGTAGATCGTGGCGCGCTTGTTCTGCGTCGTTTCCGAGTCGCTGTCGAACGTCTCCAGGCCCGCGGCGCTCAGCACCACCGCCGCCAGGGCAAAGTTGCAGAACACCCACGCCAAGACGACCGCACTGCGGAACCCCTTGTAGTAGTCGGCCTGGCGGTCTTCCTCCGAGACATTCGGGACCTCCTTGGGTGGCTTGATCGCGAACTTGGCGAGCTCGGCCTCGTACTGAGCGTTCAGATCACCGTCGTCCTGGGGGATGTTGACGTCGACCTTGCCGCCGGGCTTGAGGTTGGCAGAAGGCAGCTTCTCGGCTTTGTCGTCACCTTTCGTACCCCATGTAATGTCGTGGGTGTTACAGAAGGCGTAGATGTTCAGAACATTGATGTAGGTGGGCGTGAGCAGGATGTATTGGATGAACTGTCCTAGTTAGTGGGAACGACTGAAACAGACGGGATTTGGAATAGGAGTGGACTCACGCTGGTGAACATATGCCAGGGATCGAGGAAAATGAATGATGCAAGGAACCACATCACGTAGGTCGAACCCAGCGAGACAATGATCGAGAAGAACTGGTAATTGGTAAACAAGTCGGAGAAGGTAAAGCTCTTTTGCTTGACCTGCTGTTCGATCGATTTGACCGTCACGAAAATGGCTGCAAACGCCAGGTAGATCATAATGCAAATCCAAAAGTATACCATCGTCATATAGAACTTGTTCGAACCACCAGGTCGGTTACCCAGCGCGAGGACGAAGCATGTCACCAATGTCGCCAGGTACAACCACTCGAAGACCACTCCAAGAATTTTACCGACCGTGCCCAAGAGAGAAGTGTCGCCCAGGTACGAGGTGAGGATTTTGAAGACCAAGAAAAAGTTGCCCTGAGACCCATCAGCATTGCAGTTCCGAAAGAGGCGCCGCGGGAGAGTCACTTACAATTCCAAACCAGGCGAAGAGCATATTAATCGTCTGGTAAATAAACTCGACCAGAAGCATAAATTTCCGCATGAAACTGTGGTCACTCCGCCAAAGCTGATAAAAGTGAGCAATGGCATAGACCGCAGCGAAGAAACTACCGTTCAACCAACGACGACGCTGCAAGATGAATTCGGCCATTCTATCCGGCACATCGGTCTCACCGGTGGAAGACTTGACATATTGCAGCAGCCAACGGCAGTTGCGCTTTGACACCAGCTCGAAACAGAGGATTCGATCCTCGGCCAGATACATATTGGCCGTGAAAATACCCGCGTTGGCGCCATGCATCTTCTCACCGGCAAAGTAGCGCTCCAGCGGACCCTGTCCATTCTTATCATTCTGCAACGCAACGTACCGGTAGGCCGAGAAAGCACCAGGCAGGACACTGATGAATCCAAACGCAGATTCCAGCGGCTTGTCTAGAATGTTACTGAGCTTGTACTCGAAGTTCTGGCCTGCAACAAGCGGATTAAGCAGCTTCTTTCCGTGGTCCAACATGACCTTGATTTCACCACAGGCGCCTCCGCACATGGGGTTAACATCGAACGCCTTCCACAGATGATAGATCGAGTCCTTGCCGGGGCGTGTACCCGCGTCGAGCAAGACACAGATGTTGGGGTCCAGCACGCGACCAAAAGCTTGGAAGAACCACCGATGCGAGTTGATTTTCTTCTGGTTCTTTTCCTTCAGACAGAAAATCATCTGCACAGGAGCGCCAGTGCGAGCCTTGAGGTGGACTTGAGTGCCCTTCAGCTCCAGCCCAACTTGGGTTGTGTATTCGTAGATGTGCGCCGTCACATCCTTGCCGTTGACCTGTTGTTTGGCAATGCCGTCTTGATAACATCCCAGACCAGCCAAAACAGCACGCGTGCGAGGGTTGATCTTCGCACGACCGTCGCTGATCACACAGACCACAATCTTCTTCCAGGCATCCTTACCCCAGGTCTTGCTACTCGTCCTCGAGCACATGTATTCGATGTTCTTGAACACACCGATCATCGTTCGCGCAAACAGGAAATCATCCTCGTTGTACATGGTGACTGCGATGAATAGTTCGGTGTGTCGGGGCTTTGCGAACAGCTTCTGACGCAGGGTAAAGCGTTCCTCGAAGAAGTCCGCCGGATCGCACGTGGCGGCAGAATAGCGCATGTGGGTGAATTCATCGCGGCCCGGGGGTTCGGCGTGTGGCACTTGGCTGAGCAGTTTCGGTGCGATCGGACAGTCCAGCACGAGGTTACCGTTGAATAGCTGGACTTCCTTCACTGTCTTCCATCGTCGCACGGGTGCCGGGCTGGGTGTGTGGGTGTGCGCAAGTGTTGGCTCCTCCTCGTACTCATCGCTATAAGGGTCCGGCCCGAATGGGTTATCGGGCTGCAAGATGGGCACGTGGTCATCGCTGTACGAGTGCTGATGCTGAGGCTGGTGCTCTGGATATTGGCCAAGATCATAATCGTCCTCCGCCGGTGTCACCGTTGGGTGATAGGGTTGAGTATAATAGGCATCGTGGTGCGCTTCGGGGTCGATGGAGTACTCATAACCAGGATAGGCTTGCGGTTGGTGGTGCTCGTAGGCCTCGTTGTGGCCGTAAGAGTTCGGAAGTCGTTCGACGGAGTACTAGCATCGCGATGGCAGTCGTTAGCTCTCCAATCTAGGGCCAACAGACCAATGGCATCCTTACTGTCGGCTGCTCGGCTAGTCGATCGCTCGAGGGCATCTCGAAATGCTCCTGTGGATATGGATTGTCGGACAGCTGATAGGTATTTAAAGGCCGACCCGGTGACGGGGAACGAGCATTAAGGTGGTGTGGATTCATGATGGGCGTGTGGCTTTCCTCCTCCCCATAGGGGTCTCCTGCGTTCAATGATCAGTATAGCCGCCCTAGGTGCAATGCGCGCGGGGAATGAGAAGAAAGCAAGTGAGACAGTCGCCAGATTATAGCCGGAATGATTCGTCAGCTTGTCGCACCAATATCCGAGCAGCTACGAGGAGACTACTTCTCTCGTAGTTTGGTTGATAGACTGCTCCAACTAGAGTTCCAAATTGGGGGAATGGATGCGGAGGAGACGAGACAAATGCGCGACAACCCACTGCCGCGCAATACGTGCTTCACCGACAGATCGGAACTTACCCAAGCGATTATATGACATGATGGCCGATAGTGCTGCGGACGATCAATCGTTTCGATAGCAATGCCCCTTCTGAATTCCTGGCCAGGGAAACTGGGGTGTAGATTGCGCCAAGCGGGTTTGTGGAATGCGAGGGTGGCCTGGCTGCTGAAGGTTGGGGTTGAGAGGGGGAGAGATTGGGTGTTGCGGCGGGAGTTTCAGGATGCGATAGGCGAGATTAAGTCCGAGGAGGATCGAGGACGGAGAAAAGGGACAGACCGGGAGTGAGGAACAAAGAAGCAGAGAGAGGTTGGTGGCCCAAAAGGTGTGAAAATACTTGATAATAGAGTGGATGGGGATGGGGCTTATTTTTCGTACCGGGGGTGGGATGGGGAGGGGGGGAAAAGTGATAGCAGTGCCACGGTCACCTGCTGGGTCTACTAACTTACCCGGAATTGTCGTTGACTAAATCTACAATCAACCATCTCTTGTTATGCCATTACCCTTGGCGGGAAAAGGATGAAGCCCCGTTGACCAAGGAACCACAGGGACGATCAACTAGTTAGCTATCAGTTGCGATTGATTAATGAGATTACCTTGACGGCTCGATCACCATAACAAACATGATGCAGGCTCCACTGGGGTTACGATGCAGATGACGATGTGATGGAGTCCTGGATCCTCTTCCTCACCTGCCGGGCAACATTCTGCAAACCCAGTTTTTCCCCGGAGTCTCACTCCTGCCAGGCTGTCACATTTTTCATTCATTTTCTGATCTAATGCACCAAAAATGCGTCCCTGATACGATGCCAGCCGGAGTGAAGATCCGTAGATAGAGCTGATCAGCTTGCAGGGAGAGCCATGGCTGTTTCCAATTGAACTCCACTGCCGGTCACTGGGCCAACCGCAGGACAGCCTCGATCTTCACAGCCACGGGGCAGTGTGGCGCTGCACTTTCGTTCCTTAATCCTGATCCTTCTTTTACTAAGTATAACTTCAAGGCAGCCTGGAGCTAAAGTACTGGGTGGGCTACCTATAATTATCCTCTTATCGGTTCAGGGCATCGAGCCCTATCGGTCCCTCTAGAAAGTCGCTGCCTATCTGTTGTACTAACCGCCGACGTCATAGTCTGTGCTCGTGTCTTACTTTATCTCCATTCGTATTCGTAAATATTTCTTTATCAGACTTCGTGTAGCCTTGGGGGCACTAGTACAAGTAGAAGACGACGAGCAACGATGGGAGGTGAATCGGCGATGTCAATCATAGCCCTCACAGTATGCTGTACTGACAGTGCACGTCAAACCCCTCGCACCTGCATATCGCAGGTATTCAACTGCCAACAGAAAATAAGTTGAGCAATTCAAAAAAGGTACCACTAACCATGTGGCAAGAACCGGGCACAGCAAAATGACGCCCGTTGGTGCCTTGCGACCCAGGCATCAATTCGCTATCGATAAGATTTCTGCCGCCAGCCACTGCACAGTCAAGCGAATCATCCCTTGAGTCTCGAGTCCTCGACCGTCCACATCTCTCTCTCTCGTACCATAAACCGTCATTAAAATATACCATACATAGCTCGTTATACCTATACCGCATAATGACCGCCACGCAAGACACTCCCGCCGGACGGCAAGTCAACGTCCTTTTCGTTTGCCTAGGCAATATCTGTACGGCTCAGCTCTCAGCCCCCGCACTTGCCCACTTCCCCAGCTGCTTTGCTCTAACAATGCCCACCAGGTCGTTCCCCCATGGCCGAGGGAGTCTTCCGTCACGTAGCCGCCTCGCACCCTTTGATCAACAAGATCGACTCGGCGGGTACGGGTGCGTACCACGCCGGCGAGTCCCCCGATTCGCGGACCATGACCACCCTCCGCAGCCACGGGATCACAAGATACGTCCACGCCGCGCGCAAGATCACCAAGGAGGACTTCTTGACGTTCGACTACCTCATGGCGATGGACAAATACAACCTCCGCGATCTGCAAGAAACCCGCGAGTCGGTGCTGGCGTCCGCCAAGAAGTCGGGCGCCAAGGTGGCGGAGGTGCGCTTGTTCGGTGACTTCCAGCCCGGAGGTGTCCTGCATGAGCGGGTCGGAGGAGGCGAGGTCGTCCAGGATCCTTACTACGGCGGTGTCAATGGCTTCAAGGATGTCTATGAACAGGTGACTCGCTTCTCGAAGAACTTCCTCGATTACCTCGAGAAGAACCAGGAAACGGAAGTAGAAGAGTGAAGATGGATGGAGAATACGATGACCCCGTGTGCAGGGCAGACGAGCGCGGGTTTTTTGATGCCCTGCGATTTGATATTATGATAGACCCCGTGAGCGAACTGCTAAGAGCGAAACAGACCGGAGCGAGTTTCGATGCATTCTATAGAGTACATGTGCATGGTTGAAATATAATACAGAGGGCAAGGTAGAGTGTATCATACATAGGTACCGTAACGCCGGGTTAGTCCAGCTATTAACATGTCGCATGTCGTATGTTGCGAGGCTTGGAGTGTCTTTTGTATTCACAATTAGACCTTTTCGCTGATCTTGATAGCGGCCTTGCATCCGTAGCGGATGAAGTTGACCAGCGGATCATACGGCTTGGCCTCTTTGGCATCGTTCTCCACGGCATGATCCAGATGCTCCAGCTCCTCGTCCCGAATCCGCCGGAAGTTCGCCAGCATCTCTTCCAGCTCCGGGTCCAGCTCCTCGCCCCGGCTCTCCGCCTCCGCTTTCCACGAGAGGATTTCCCGCACTTGATCGTTGTAGTGGGATCCAATCTCGGTCTCCACGGCCTCGGTGCAAGCCATCGCCGCCTCACGCCCCATGACTCCTGTCGACCAGCCTAGGAATGTCGCGGCCGCGTACCATACCGGGTACATCGCCGTCGGCCGTACTCGGTGCTTCGCGATGAGGTGGTTGAATGTGTTGAAATGACCCACTTCTTGGTCGTACATATGCTTCATCAGGGGGCGTAAGTGAGGGTGAGAGCGCACGACTTGGGGCGTTTGCGCGGTGTAGATCAAAGTCGCTGCCAACTCGCCGGCCTGGTTGACGCGGAGGGCGCTGTCGAGGAATTCGCGTTGCTTCGCATTGAGGGCATATCGCGGTTTTGACCCAGGCGCCTGCGCCGATGTTGTAGTGGATGCAGCGGACTGATTGGTAGCTGTCGAGTTGTACAGGCGACGGCTCTGCAGCGTGGAGGGCGCGAGAAAGTCGAGGACGCCGGCCGTTGGTCGGAACGATGCGGCAAGGGAAGTCCTCGCGAGCATTGTGACACTTTCTGAGACTTTTAACGAAATGAAGCGAGAGGAATGACTGTTGCGACAATGCCGGGTTAAGATTTTGTGAGAGAAGAAAGTTTCACTTTCTAACTATTTACTTCCTGGATATGCTGCCATGCTTTCCGAAGTGGCCCAACCCGATTCATTGAAATGAGCGCGCTCACTCACCGCCTTTGAGCGCCAACCCGGGAGCGGAACATCGTATCGTCATGGCTGAAGTTCAGGCGCTACTTTTCATATTTAACTGATCAAGTCATCGTCCGTTCTTCTTTTGCGCGTCACTCCGATTTCAACCCCTATCTTCTCCGCGCAATCATCACTATATAACGAAATACTTAGGGATTTTCTTCGGCAACTGTTTCGAACAGAGCGCCCCGGTCCTATATAGCGCGATTTCGTCTCCATCCGACGTCCCCTGTGGCCACCTGAAGGCTTTTCTTTTCCTTCAGCAGCCGCCCTTTTTAGACAGTATACGCTGCTTTCACTGCGCTTTTCAATAAAGCACAACTTTATTGGACCCTTTTGCACCACATCTGAGGGTTAGCGCTTCTTTCCAGGGCTCGCACAACCCGGTCCCGCACACCCCAGGCCGAACTCCACTACACCTTACAATTCACTATGGCGGACGATCTCGATGCAGAACTTCTGGCGCTGGCGGGTGACTCTTCAGATGAGGAGTCTTCCCCGCCCACCAGAGAGAAGGCCGCCTCCCCTGATCGTTCCTCTTCACCATCACAATCACCGGCCGCATCGTCCACCATGGGTCGCAGAGGCACCGCCAAACCTGTCCGACGAGGACGAAAGTCGCGTCGTCATGATGATGAGGATGGTGAACTGTAAGTTTATCCCAGCCGTACCGACGCTCATCTTGCATACCTGCCATCCCGCAGTGAGGTCCTCTGGCTAACACGACGGTCATGATTTAGATCAGCGGCCGAATCCCTCGACTCAGCCAGCATGTCGGAATCAGACTCAGCATCCGACTCAGAGGGCTCTGCTGATATAGGCGAAGACGATGGCCCGATGTTCCCTTACGAGAAGCTTTACTACTCCGCAAAGGACAAGGAGGAAATCATGGCGATGCCTGAGATTCAGCGAGAGCAGATCTTGTCTGAACGAGCGCAGGAGGTTGACCGGCACAATCAGGACCTTGCCCTCCGGCGTCTGCTGGCTTCTCGAGAACGGGAGGAAGCCCGCAAGGCCAAGAAGAACAAGCGCAAGGCTAGCGCAGCGAACTTAGATGAGGGCAACCGCAAGAGCTCGCGACAGAAGACGACGCTAGGTGGTCGTAAGGTGGGGGAGACGTCAGAGGCGATCGAGGCTTATAAGCGACAGCGCGAGCAGAAAGGCAAACGGGACGAGCTCCGCCGTCGGGACCCTGCAGCTAAGGACCAGAAGGCCCGCTCCCGGGATGATAGGCTCTCGGATGAGGACGCCGAAGGCGAGAGTGAGGTAGAATGGGACGATCGGGAACGATCTCCCTCGCCGCCCAAGGATGATCCTCCAGCAGAACTTCGCGATGTCCAGCGGACACGCGTTGGCCGGAGTAATTTCGCTCAGGTCTGCTTTTACCCCGGATTTGAGGAGGCGATTTCTGGTTGCTATGCTCGAGTGAACGTCGGCCCCAACCGCGATACTGGTCTCAATCAGTATCGTCTGTGTTTGATTAAGAGTAAGAGAATTCGGTTCCTGTTCATTTCGCGTCACTAACAATAACAGAAATCGTCGAGGAAGGGCCTATGTACGCGATGGAGGGACCGAACGGCCGCTCATTCGCCACGAATCAGTATGCCGTGCTAGCACATGGCAAGGCCGAGAAAAACTTTCCCTTTATCGCCTGCTCGGACTCCCCTTTCACTGAGGTTTGTACCCGTACGCATATAGTTCTCGACAACAAACTGACCTTCTCCAGGCCGAGTTCAATCGCTATCGTCAGACCATGGCTATCGAAGATTGCAAGATGGCCACGAAATCCCAGGTGGCCAGCAAAGTTGCCGATATCAATCGTTTACTGAACCACAAATTCACGAACGAAGAATTGAACGAAAAGCTGCGCAAGCAAGGATCACTGGATACGAAGTCGCAGTTCTTCAAACGTGTCGACATCGAGAAACAACTCAAGCTTGCCAAAGCAGCTGGTGACGATGCCGAGGCCGAGAGGCTGCAGAATGAACTAAACAGCATGGCCGCACCTAAGGTCGCCCACGGCACCAGTTTGTCCAGGCCGCGAACCGACAAGCCCTCCGAGCATGAACGCTTGGCCGAGTTAAACCTGCGCAACCAGAAGCTGAACTACGAGAATGTCCGCCGCGCCCAGCTCGAAGAGCGCAAGGCAAGCCGCAAAGCCGCCGCAGCGGTGGCCCGAGGCGAAGCCACCATCAACCCCTTCATGCGAGTCCGCACCCACGCCAGAACCCACTACGATGTCAACGGCAATAACATCGCGTCGCCCAAGCCCGGGGAGAGCGCCAGCCAAGACACCTCAGCTTCAGGCACGCCCTCCAAGGCCAGCACGCCCACCACTAGCACGACACTTGCAGCTAGCCAGAAGAAACCTGTGAAGAGCGGTGCGATCCGTCATCGCAACATGGACGACGAGAACATCGCCGCTCTAGATATTGAGTTGGATATTGAGATCTAGTCTCTTTGCTAATCTCAAATATCGTGGCTACCACCAACTATTTCCATCTCAGGAAGCTTGCAGCTCTAAACCAAACCAGCTCCTGACAGATGAACGATTGCCACACACTATATTGGAGGAAATCTGAGGGTACATCTTGGGACTTGAATGCATTCGAAAGCATATGCTATAGCGGCTGTTTTATCATTTGATTGTAAAAATCTTTTTTCTTTCTTTCCTTCTTCTTTTTCTTTTCTGGTGGTGTTCACTGGCGTCCAACAAGAGAAATCCACGGCGCGCTGTATTTTTAAGGACCCTTGCAAATAAACAATTACTCATTATCAATACATTCTGTTCTAACATTATGCATGACGATTGATCAAGGCTTGCGTTTCAGTGCCATTAACTGCTAACTATACTTAAGGTATTTAAGGATAGACGATAAGCGACAATCTATGACAATCATCACGTGTCACAACCCGCCGTTCCACGCCAACACGCGCCCGCGCGCCGCGGCGCGTCTTTCACCCCCCAAACCGGCATCCGTCCGCCCTTGATTAATCAAATCTACCGAATAGATCAGACAGCTCTCTGCCTCAATTGAACAACCCAACCAGCCCAACCATTATTCATCTGGCAGGGCACTACTTTCTTTGTCCCCTTCTGCAAATGCCCGCTCAATTGCCTAGATACCAGAAATGACCCCCTAACCACGCATTAACGAAACATAACCGCAACCACCGAAAAACCGGAATTCGATGATACTGATACCCAACCCCCAAAAATAACCACACCCCCAATACATACATACATACATACATACATACATGAACATAATGTCCTCGACACCCTCCACCCCCCGCACAACCACGCGCTCCGCGTCCCCCGAAACAGCGGAACCGCTACTCACGCCCGGCCGCAAAATCAAAGCCATGCTCGCGGCGTTCGACAGCGACAGCGACTCCGAGACCGAAGGTCCACAGAACGGAAGTGACAAAACTGACGATTATCAGTCTACGACGCGACTCAGTGATGCGTTGAAGAAGAGTCGGATTTCTTCGTTTGTGGGGTCCGCGGGGTCGTCGCAGATGATGGTTGATGGGTTGGATGAGGAAGATGAGGAGGAGGAAGAGGAGGATGTGATTCGGCCGAAGGGGCGGATGGCTGCTAGATTGCAGGGTGGGAGTGGTGCGGAGTCGATGACGGCTTTTGAGCGGGTTTCGAAGAGTTTACGCGCCGAGAAGGAGGGTGATGATGACAATGGCAGTAAGGGAAATGGGCATGAGGAGGAGGATGATGATGAGGATGATGATCTCCCGACGGCTGGACCGAGACGGAGAGGGATTACGAATGCCAGCAAATCTCGTCTGTTGCCCGATCCTGGGCTTGAAGAGGAGGAGGAGGAGAATGAGGAGGAGGCTCCTGCGCGCGCTTACTCTCCGCTCTTCGTCTCGTCGCCCGTCAAGGGACGGGACGATGATGGCGATGCCGATAAGCAAGCCATGTCAGATGAGGATGACGACGAAAACACACCAAAGCCACCCAATTCCCGGTTCTTGGCTCTCGTGGCGCAGAAGCGGAAAGAGCGTGAGGAGAAGGAAAAGGCCGAGGCCGAGAGACGGGCGGCTGCGCGAGCAGCGAATCAGCAGCAGGAGCAGCCGTCTGACTCGGAGATGATGATGTCTGCGAGTGAGGGCGAGGGCGACAGTGCCTCGGGTGCCAAATTCAGAAAGCAGCAGCAGCAGCAGTCACGGCCGGCGGCGCGGAAGGCGAGCAAAAAAGCGCTGGAGGAGATGAATCGCGAAACGCAACGTATGAGTCGTAACATGCAGTTGGCGCATCAGGCGCAGACGAAGAAGAAGATCTCCAAGGAGAGCTTCTTTGCGCGCTTCAACTCCATGCAGCCTGCTGGCGGGCAGGATCCTGCTGCCCCTGCGGCTGGGGAGAATTCGTCGAGCACGACCGAATCGCAGAACTCGTCGGATGCCGAGGCACAGAAGGAGAAGGAGACCCCTCGCACGTCGCCTGTGCTGGGCCCTGTGGAAAAGGTGCCGACTGCGGAGGGAACTACCGACAATATGGCAGACGGACCCGAATTCCCTACGCTGGAAGATATTCTTGCCAATCCGCGTCCGCAGCCAGAGGAACCAATTGTTGCTCGAGTGGAGGTGGAGGCGACAGCTTCGAAATCAGATGTCGCGCCGCCCAAGAAAGAAAATAAGGTATTGACTGTGTCTGCGGTCCGCGTCAGGCTCTCCCGTGAAGAAGTGGCGCGCCAGCAGCAAGACGACTCGGACAGTGATTTGGAGATTGTCACCTCGCCTGCCAAGTGCCGACGTATTGCAGCTTTCGAGAACCTCCCCGCCAAGAAGTTGCAGGAACCGGCTTCGATGGTCAAGTTGAAAGCTCTAGCGCACTTGACGTCTCCCAACCGCAAATCAAAGGGTATGAATGGGGCTCAGCTCTCTGCGACGTCGCTTCTGAAGGCAAGACAACAAGCTGCCAAAGAAAGACAAGAGAGGATCGAAGAGCTTAGAGCGAAGGGTATCCACATCGAAACGGCTGAAGAGCGTGCTGCCATGGAGGATGAACTCGAGAACCTGGTCGAAAAGGCACGAATGGAAGCCGACGCAATCGCCAAGCAGGAACGAAAAGCTGCTAAGCGCGACGGCGATGATGACGAGGACGAGGACGAGGACTACGATTATTCGGGGTCTGAGGACGGGGCTGAGAGTGGCGAAGACGAAGATGAAGAGATGGCAGACGCACAGTCAGGTGGTGGGGAACTGGTCGACTCTGCGGCCGATGAAGGTGACGAATCGGAAGACGACAAGTCCGAAATCATGTCGTCTGAGGAGACCGAGATGCCAACCCAGAGACGAAAGCGACAGACCCGGGTCATCAGCGACGATGAGGATGAGGACGAGGAACAAGAGCCTAAGACGCCAGCGAAACCCATCATTGCCGCCACCACGCCCGGAACACGGTCTGTCGACCGACCTCATCTCCCTGCACAGAATTCCAACGACCTGATGAGCTTGACGCAGGCTTTTGCAGGTACGATAGCCGGAAGCCCGCAACGCAGTCAACAGACGCCTGCTGCCACACTTCCGAACACTTTGCCCGAGCCTGGGCACGACGAGTCCGATTCCCGTGTTTTCATCAGGGACAGCCAAGTGCCAAGGGCCGAGTCCCATGATATACTGTCTAACTACGCCCAGTCCACCGCGCGAGTGTCTGAATCCCCGGCCCCACGCTCGTTATCCGGTTTCTCGCAGATCCCCGACCCCACGCAAGATGAAGGCTTCATTCTATCACCGTTTGACCCGTTAAAACGATTCCTTGGCACCCCGCAGTCTACCATAGAAACCGTCATCGTGGACCAAAACCAGTCTCCTGTTCCAACAAGAAGCATCCGTCATTTGAAGCGTGGCGGACGCGCAGCCGATCTCTCTATGATTGAAGAACAAGAGGAGGGGGAAGGAGATTTTGAGATCAGCGTCAATGCCTTCAATGTGGTGAAGGGACCTAAGAAGAGCAAGGAGCCTGCTGTTCTGTTTGACAAGAGCAAAAGCAAAGCCAAGGACATCGTGGAGGAAGCAGCCGAGGAGTCTGACGACGAATATGCCGGATTAGGCGGCGGAAGCGACGACGATGACGATGACGAGGAGAACGCTTTTGACAGACAGATGATCAACGACAATAGCGGAGAGACTGTTGACGAAAAGCAACTCGCTGCCTTGAATGCGTAAGTCCTTGCCCCTGTGAAAATATTCTCGTAGTTTTCTGTACAACTAATCACCGAATAAACAGCCACCATCAACGCACCAACGACGAAAAGCAAGTCGCCAAGTTGTTGAAGGACATCACGACAGGAGCCCTCCGCCGTCGCCGCGGCGCGAACGCAGACGACGAGTTTGACCTAGACGATTCAGACGACGAACTCCTAGCGCGTCGCCGAGAGAAGCAGCGCGAGTTCGCCCGGATGCGCAAGGCCCTCCTCGCCGACGAGAAGATAGGCGAGATCGCGGAAAACCCCAAAAAGGCCGCTTTCTTCCGCGCCGTCGAAGACCGCGATGACGACGATGACGAAGACCTCGGCTTCGACTTCATGGAAGAGGAGGACGAGAGCCAACAAGACAGCAACAATAACAAGAACACCCAACCCGATCAACCCGAGACCCAGCAGAACAACAACAACGACAATACCACCACCGACCCCCTTCAAAACGACGAGAACAACAACAACAAACGTAAACGTCCTCTCGACCCAGCCACAGAATCAACCTACAACCGGCCCCCGCCGCACCTCCGCCGCAAGCCCGCGTCCGCCATGTCGAAGAAACCAGCAACGCTCGCCGAGATCCGCGAGACGCTATCTTTCCTAACGGAAACCCACGAATACGATTCCTTCCACGAGGACGCGTCCCTGGACCACGAAGACAACCCGGAGGAGACCCTAATGGATCTCGACCCAACAGCCTTCGACTCCGACTCCGACGATGAACTCGCCGGCCCCACCCCCTCTGGCACCCACAAACCGCAAAACCCCCAACAACCCCCTGCCAACCTCCTCTCCCACCACCCCCGCCGCACCCGCGGTCCGGTGGTCGACCGCCTCGCCCTCCTCCGCCAAGCCTCCAGCAACTCGGCCTCCACAACCTCCGCCTCCACCTCCGCCTCCGGCGGAAAACTCGCCTTCGCAACCAACGCCGATAACAATAAGACCCAAGCCGACGGCAGCGGCATAGGCATAGGGATGATGGGCTTCCACCGCCCGCCGTCCTTCATCCGACGGAGCACCTCGTCCAGTAGTTCCTCCGGAGGAGGAGGAACAACATCGGCGAATAACAGTCGACGAAGCAGCATGGCTTCCGTCAACTCAGGCCATGGGTCCAGTAAATCCACCACCACCACCACGAACGCGAACCCCGGAGGTATCAAGAAGGGCGGCGCGGTGAATTACTACACTGCGGCGCGGGAGCGGGAGCGTGAGAAGCAGCTTCGTATGCAGCGAAGGGAGGGTGGCGCGGGCTCAAAGAGCTTTGCGGCTTTGTTGAAGGATGATAAGCGGGTGGCGGGCAGGTTGGGGGCGTTGGGGGGGAAGGGGCAGTGGGAGTGAATTAGCCCTGTTGGATTGGATTGCTTGTGCTCTTTTGAGTGTTGGTGGAGATTGTGGAGGGCTTATTGATGCTTTATATCTTAACTGCACTGGACTGGACTGGATTGTTTTCTTTTATTCTATGATTGTGGATGTTATTGTACCTATCAGGCGGGCGCATTTGGGGAGGATATCATAGGCGTTGGGGCTGGATATGGTTTTGAGCTTTAGTTCCGTTCAGCAATCCTAATGTACATGAATTTCTACACTTTGACTGCGATATGTATGAGTCCATCGGTTGTACAGTACTTAGTTTTTGGCCACTATTTACCAGGTGACTATCATTCGCTAGTCTGATAAAGCCAAAACTGCAATCCCCCTCACAAATGAATCTCACTGATGAATAAAGGCACTTGACCTATCGCAGCCTTTCCAGATTTAACACCAGGGAAAAAAGGATCTTGAAGTGTCCGAAGCTTGCGATTTAGGTGAAGTTCCTAGGACAGTGCTGGCGTTGTTGATGGCAGCGGCCTTTACAGCTTCGGTGCTCAGAAGTTTACTTCTCTAGCGGTGTTACACATATTGTATGTGCTCGAGTGGGAAAGAGCTTGTTGGGATGCATTTACACATCGCCCGTCACTGAATAGGCATAACTCGGAATTAGTTTCGAGGTTCCCGCTATCGCTAACAAAGACAAGTTTCTGAGAATACCAACCTTGGCATGGCCCCGTTCCGATGACAAACGACAAATCCCGAGCGCGAGGAAGACCGGGTTAAGCATGCCTGTGCTCTCGCGAATGCATCAGTTGAGGGCATCTGAGGATTTGCGTGATATATGAGATATGGGTGACATGCTATTTCCAGCGTATCGACCCTGCGAGCTTATTCATCGACCATAATTACCCTGATAGGTATTTCCAGCAGGCATGATAACATGTTGAGAACGAAGTGATCAGCAGAGTGCTGCAGGTGGCGACGGGCGGCCTTCGCAAGTACATGGGAATCTGCACGGCATGGAGCTTTACTCAAAGACGGTAGCTGGGATGGCGCGCATGTGCCACTTGCTCGTCCATCAGCCGAGAGAATGCTCATCCATGGCATATATCAGGCTTTGCAGCCCATGAGCCTGGTGCTGTGGCCCCGCAGCGGCACCCTGGCCCTTGGAATTCGGAACATGATACACAACATAGTCTGCCGCCAACGACTTCACGTCTGTCGCGGTCCAACGATTGGTGTTGAGTTGTTGCATGACAGCTCGAACCTTGGGTGAAATGAGAGATACGTCTGGTTTTGTGGCCTTGAGGACTAGTTCGATGGTCCGGAGGAACGCAGTGCACAACCGACCCCATCCGAGACTCATGTGCCAGAGACCAACCACACAACTCTCCAAGACGAGGCTCCACTTGGGATCTTGCGGGCGCAATTGAGAGATGGAATGCACGCCTGCCGCACAAAAGTAATGGAGCATAACAACCGGCAAAGACTTGAATCCATGGCAGGTTTGAAACAAGAGAATGAGAGATCCGATGGCACTCATGGCCTGTAGTTTGAGGCCCTGGGTGTCGAATTCGGTATTGATTGGGGTGTTCGTTGAATCGGAATAGAGATTGAAAAGCTCGCATAATGAGACAACTGTCGCATGATAGTACATACTGTACGGATGAAGTGAGTAAGGAACATAGATGCAAAGGAAAGAAATAGAGACTCACTGTAAAATGAGAATATGTGGCGACGTGTTCTCGTCCGGAGTGACAACAGAAGGTAAACTGGCCCGCCAGTCCAGGAGCTTCTCATAGAGCTGGAAGCCGTACTCCCAGTCTTCTTGGTTCATGGGTGAGTCCGGAAACTTCAAGGCAAAGATGGCGATATCATTGACAATGACTACCAAGCCCCCTCGAGCTCTTGCAGCCGTGTGCACAAAAGGCCGAAAGATTGGATTAAGAAAAGGGTATGGGCTCCATTCATCTCCTTCATCTAGAGCTGCCGCTTCGGTTTCAGAAAAACTGACGGACGGCGGCTCTTTCCAGGCCGATTTCTTTCGGTACACTTGCGCCGCTAGTCTGTGATACATCAGTGAAGTCCGAGGAGCGGGCAGCTATAAGGCGGCATCTTACGCTTGAACGTCGAAAACAGCCCATGAGATTAGTTTGTGACACCTAGAAACGGAATCGGCTTCTCGATCGATATCGTCCTGGAGAAAAGACGGCTGTTCCTGATGAAGCCCCAGTTGACGACATAACGTAGCGCCATGCATGATATAACTTGTTCCCATTCGATCAATCCCAAAGGTACAACACAACAAGCCAATCATGATACTCGACTGCGCCGTGGGAAGGCAGGTGATTTCTTTTTCAATATTCCACAGGCGTTGCAGGGCCGAATACAGCTTCTCGCCCAACACTTTCTCCTCCCGTCGATCTGTGATTCGCGCCAGATGGTAAGAGAAACTCTAATACCAAGGTTAGTTGTTGATGCCCATACGAAACGTAATAGGACCGGAATAGCGATTACACAGCCGAAGAACAAAAGCGCATGGACCAGAAGAGATGAACAGAACCGCGTACGACCGCTCTCGAGGTCGCGAAGGAACATTTCCTGGTCGATGAGATGCCATGTCGGGTTGTCCCACGTAAAGTAGAGAGACAAAAGATGGCTGGCAGTGGTATTGTCGACGAGATCGGTCCAGTGGCCGATGTTGCTGGTTTGTACCAGTGGACAATCCTGCAGAGGTTGAGTAGAGCTGGCGCGATTGGAGGCCAAGGTTAGGTGCATGCGAGCCAGTGAGATACCGGGATGTGGCTGTTGCAGATGTTGATCCGATAGCGATCGAGCAGCCATCAGTGTGGAGAATGCTTCTGGATTCCCTTGAAAGTGTTTCTGCGGATCTAAGTAACAGGACTGGACTAGTGTGGGGAGTTACTCACACTGATGATCTCTTCGATGGGCTTGATGTCCATGCGATTGCTTTCCGAGATGATATCGCGCAGCAGAGTTTCATAGGCTGTAGCTCTGAAACGAACAGTATCCAATTCCAGCTGCTGACGTTCACGTTTTGACCCTGCATAGTAACAGTCGAGATCGAGGCGACTACATTGCCTACACACGGGCTTGCGACCGTCGCACTTGGTCTTTCTGGTACGGCAAGCAGCACACGCACGTGCCGTGCGCTGCTGATTAGACTTGAGTGATGAAGTAGGAAGCCGAGGAATAGGCAACTTTTTCGGTGTTCTCTGTTGCGCAGCATCAGGGATACGGCCTTTTACGGTGTCCTCGGCCGCCCCAGGTTCAGCGGACGCCTGCATGTCAATGTTAAAACCATGAAGAAAATCAGGAAGGTAGATTCAGATCGATGGGTGAAGGAAAAGGAGAAAAGAAAGGAGAAAGGGATCACGCAAAAGCATCAGTATTGAATGGCAACAATGGCAACACCCTGGCATCCAGAATTGGCGGCAAAACTGGATGATTAATGCATGCCAAGACATGCCGTATACCCCAATTGAAAAAAAACCTGCGATGGCCCAAAAGTTGGCTCCGGAATAGCTGCTGCATAGTAGGGCAACCCTGATAGGGGGCGACCCAAAGGATAAGTTTTCCGTACTAGAAGTTGGCCACTCTGATCCACACGTCCCACATTGCAACCAGCTACTCGGGTCGACTCCCAGCAATCACTAACTTGGCAAAAGATCTAACCATGACGTTGTCGGCATATGCGACCACATTCGGTTTCGGGCTTTGCTTGGAGACACCTCGTAGGCACTAGACAAGGACAACCGTCAACCTTTCCTCTGGAACCACTCTTTTCAAGCATAGCTGTAGGTTCATCGGTTGCGAAAGGTTTTCTAGGAACGAGCATGTCAGACCGCAGCGAGAATTGGCTAGGATACCCCAGATCGTACCTCATTTTGCCAAGTTGCCCTGAGAACGTCTCCACAAACACCAATACTTTCACCATATAACGATCAACTTAAGCTCGGTCAACAAAGGATGCGGAAGATTATACCCGGCCTTGACCCTGCAATCAAGATACAACGCACTTGAGCATCGTCCATGGCCCACCGGCTGCAAGGGTAGTGAAACCACCGTCTGTCCACCCCTTAGCAATAATAGCATTTTCCTCAAAGAGTGCGATGCAGAAGTAAAAAAGGCCAATCAGACCTATCGCGGAACAACACGCAACTAGTGCTTCAGGATCCAAACATTAGCATGATGTCCTCATATCCGCAGGTATTTCCGCATACACCGATTAGCCGCTATCCCAGCGAGAGGACCGAGACTTGCTGGCCACTCGGCATTTTTTGCCGTAATTGTTGAGGGTTGTCAGAATTCTTGGCAAGAAGCCACCCGGAACTATCAACTGCCTTATGGGCCCAATGAGGTGCGAAAGAATCTGCTGCTCAGGGGGTGTTCCCGAGGAAAGCTCGCTAATGACTCTCCCAGTGTAGCATAGCTCTCTAGAGTCTCCTGCCTATTTGATATTAGTCTGGGGACGGCTCGGTTCCACCAGTATGGCACTAGATATAGCCCAAGACTTCTCCGAGCGGGACCGTCGGATGGAAAGAATGGTTGTACCGTACAAATGCTCGTGAAGCCCCAAAGCCCGACCGGCGATCTAGCGGTTCGAAGCGCACCGCCAGTGTCACGCTGACAACAAAACATTTAAGTGTCTAACGGTTTCAGGTCCGTTAGCATCCGGAAACGTGAGGAGCGTAAGTGATCGGGGAAGTAGGCGGATTTAAATGGTCCGTTGTCCTACTTCGATTGGGTGGAACTATTTTCCGTCAAACAGGGCGATGGTGGGTCGCCTGCATGAGGTAGATCTCACAATCTCGCACAGGAAAAAATGGATGAAAACAAGGCTAGCGGGACGGGGCGTTGCAATTTTGGTGAAACGATTCAGGTCAAGGTATTTGACGTGGTGATCGTTATGTTTCCACTCACAAGGCAAGGAGGCATAATGAAAAGCATGGATTGTGAGTTGAGGGGAATTATGATTAAGGCAGGTGAGGTGAAAACTCAGAAGAAGACGATTGAGGAAGAGCCGGAGTGCGGAGTCGGCATCACCTGACTGAGACCCCTCACAATCACCCTTCTATAAGCTGGAGTTTGAGTACAATGATGGGCAGACGAAGGATTAATTGCTGGCGTGCATGGAATGGCATGGCAATCGACTCTTACAAATCACACTGACTAGTTGCGATTAGCTGAGAGATCTCGATAGCTAATTGCTCGAACTCTCGGGGAAATTCCGGGGTATATAGCAGGTAAGTCCTATAGCTTCCCGCTCTACTCGAGGATAATTAAGGATTTACTGCTGAAGGGACAAGAAATTGAAAAAAAGGGAATCATAAATCATCATTGTTTATGCCTGACAATGCTAATATCGCATCCACCAAGAAAATGGGGCTTCAGACCAGTTTCGCTTCACGACCTGATCTTTGAATGCAAAGAACCCATCAGCTCTATATACAGAGAAGAATATACACATCAAACTTTAATTATGGCAGCCCGGCCACAGACAACAAACAAAACAAAACGGGGAATTGAGGAAGGCTTACGCCGAGAACAGCTCATCAAATCTCTCATCGGCTTCCTTGGTGACATCCACACCGTAGATCTCGCGCTGCACGTCCGCATCGGCCCACTTGTCGGGCACCGGGCCCTTACCCTCACGAAGGGCGGCGAATTGCTTATCGCGCTCCTCCTTGGCGGCACCTTCTCCCAGGTGCAGCGCCCGACCAGAGGCAGCAGCCATCTCGACGAGAGCGTACGCACGGTTTTTGCGGATCTTCTCGTACACCTTCAAGGCCTTGTTGATTGAGGCGGGGGTCGTATCGGGCAGCTTGGAGAGCACGACGCCAATGACGGCACCGTCCTCAATCGCCTGCGCGGCACCCTGCGCCAAATGAGGGAGGGTCGGGTGGCAGGAGTCACCGACGAGGGCGACGGACTCGTGCACCCAGGTGGGCAGGGGCTCGTGAACGCGGAGCTTCCACTCGCACACCTCACCCTCCGGGACGTAGCTGAGCATACGCTGAACCATGGGGCAGAAATCCCCGAACACCTTCAACATGACGGACTTGTCACCGCGAGTGGTGTAGGTGGCGTTGGTGGCAGCGGCGAAGTTGGTGTCAGGCTGAGTGGTGGAGAGGTTATAAATGGTGTTGTTGGAGACCGGATAGGCAATGATGTGACGTTTCTCGCCAATCCAGCGGGTAACCCTGTTGCCGCTTATCAGGGCCAGAAGCTCGGGGTCATCCTTGACCTGATCTTTGTGGATCATGATACGGTAAGCGGCCTGGTTGGTATCCTTGACACCGGCCTGGATGCCAAGCAAGTCGAGCATGGCAACACGCGTGTTGGATTTGATGCCATCGGCACCAAGGAGAACGTCGGCCTCCACGCGGTAGGGTTGCTGGGTGGTGTCACGAGGAACAGCCTTGAACGAGGGCTTGGGACCAAAGGAGACGTCCTGGGCGGTGGTAGCAAAGTGGAAGCGAATCGCGTCAGGGTAACTAAGGCAGCCTTGGTAAAGGCCGTTGGCGAGAGATGAACGGTGGCCGACCATGTGCGGGTAACCGTAGGTCTCTGCGATGTATTCCAGTGGTACGTGAGCCAGTTCCGCATCCGTGGCTCCAACTATGAGGATATGTCAGCCGTTTGATCGATTGCTTCAACTGACTCAAAACAGCTTACCTCGAACACTAGTCTCGACAACGTTGACAGCCTCAGCCTCAATCTGTTTCCAGACGCCTAAACGGTTGAGGACACGAGCCATGTTGGGGGCCAGTTGAATACCAGCTCCAACGAAGCCCAAGTCAGAGGCTGTCTCGTAGACATCAATGTTCTTGAAACCCTCGCGGGCCAAGGCCAGAGCGCAGGTCAAACCACCCATACCTATTTTCAATCTTAGTATAGGTGTTTTCTCGAGAAACATACTTGATAGGGCTTAGGGGACGGGAATCGCGGCATACCTGCGCCCAGAATGGCGACCTTCAGATCTTGCGGAGACTGAGCCATTGTGTGAAAAGAAGAAAATGAGAGGAGAGATAGAAGGAGACGAGAGGAGAGGAGAGGAGAGGAGATTGGTCTTAGGAGGAAATACGAGAGAGAATGAAGGCACAGGATATACTGGGATTAAATATGATATGGCGACCGGCAATCGGGATGGGGGTGGCGGAGTAAATCTTAGCCGTGGCGCCTCCTCTTCCCCACGATTTCCCACATCCCAACCAGCTGGCTCGGACTGAATCTTTCGAACGCGAGAGGCGAATTCTCTCTCCGGTGACTGGTTTTGTCACTTCTATCTCCCCCAGGCTTCAGGCAAATGGTTCATGCTTCCCCACACATCGGCAACGGACCCCGTGGGGCGATTCAGCTCACTGCCGGGGATGACTTTATCCTCTCCAATACGCGGACTTGGATACAAATGGTGAAGTCATGGTATTAAGATTATGATTAGTATTATCTGATTGTACATCGGTAGACGGAGTCGGTATAAGAACATAGAGAATGAGATGTGGGGAGGTCCATCCTCTACAAAGCTATGCCCAGGTCCTTTGTAATGGTGCCCACGGGCACTCCCACCCCCGGCAGCCCCAGACCCGAGACCAACGCCGCAACATCGGGAGCCAACTTGATCAGCAGGAAGCCACCGTCATCGCCCACCACCGTCAGCAGACAATCCACCTCGGGGCCCAAGTCAGCGATCAACTCACCAACCGACGCGGCCGACCGGACCACCTCGCCCACACTGCGCCCAATACCAGTCAAGCCCAAGCCATTCAGCAGCTGAGCGACGGGGTTGCTCAGTTGGATCAATAGTAACTCGGTGTTCTCACCGGTGATTCGAAGAAAACAGTCCACAATAGGTCCCAATCTCTCGAGCAGGCCGCTCGGGTTCGAGACATCCTCTCGACGCTTCAAACTGCTGCCAATGTCACTCAACAGGTTCCCAACAGGCTGAGCGAGCGCGTCTAGCCCAAGACCGCGGAGCAGACCTGCGACAGGCTGGTCCAATTCGATCAAAAGGTAGCCGACACCCCTTCCCGTCACAATGCAAAGGTTGTCAACGGGCTGGCCTAGGTCCGACACCAGCTCGCCAATACTGGAGGCGCTCTTGATAATGCTGCCCACAGGCTGAGCCAGACCGACCAAGCCGAGTTCGGTCAGCAGATCGGCCACCGGGTCGCTCAGCTGGATGAGCAGCTCTTCCGTGCCGCTACCCACCACCTTCAACAGGCGATCAGCCTGAGGACCCAGGTCTTGGATAAGGTGTCCCGTGCCATGACAGTGGTCGTGTTCACATGAAGAAGAACCTGGCTGAGTTGTGCTAGGAGTCGAGGAGCCAGTTCCGATGGGAAAAGCTCCCGATGGTGGGGAACCGCCGGGAGCGCTCGAAGCGCTTCCAGGAGTGGTTGTGCCGGAGGGGGTAGGTGCAAGGGAACCGCCCGGGCCAGCGGGACCAGAGGGACCGGAGGGACCGGGGGAGCCATCCGGACCAGCGGGGCCCGACGGGCTAGAAGGACTAGACGAGTCACCGGGAGCAGAAGGTCCAGAGGGCTCCAACGATCCTCCGGAGCCAGAAGGATCAGAAAAGCCAGACGGTCCGGAAGCACCCGAAGGCTCCCCAGAAGGCTCGTCATTTGGAGTACAAGGGCCTGAGGGCACAATGGCCGAGGGAGCTGGTTGATATCCTGGCAGAGTTGCAGGCTGAGAGGAAGCGGGAGCCGGGCTTTCGGGGAAAGAAGGAATACCCGATGGAGAGCCACCAGAGGATAGAGGACCAGAAGGTGCAGGGGATGACGTCTCGGGAACAGGCTGTGGGGGCTCAGAACCACTGCCATTCCTGCCAGAGCCATTGTACCCGCTGGGCTGGCAAGTGCATCCACTATCGCGAGAGTAAGGTTGGCCCATTGGTGTCGCCACGGTATAGGCGGCCAGGACAAGGGCCGTCAAAATAGAGGCCTTCATGGTGAAGAAGTGTCTAAAGAATGACTAACTAGAACAAGCGAATGACGGGTTGTTGAGTAAGACAAGGAAGGAGATGGAAAAGAAAGAAGGAAACGACGAGAGCGAAAGAGCGAGCTTGCTGGCCTGGGATGATGACGAGAAGGCGCACGAGCAATGGTATATTTATACTGTCACCGTTTAGGTTGCAACCAGGCCATTTTCTGGCGTTCGTATCTTGTATAGATCAATCGAGATTAACCACGACGTATGCCCAAATAAGCAGCAGGGGCTAGGCAGAGACTATTGTCCGTCAGAAATGTCACTATCAAAGGGGCTGTTGATCTCTCACAGCCAAAGCCGCAGACGATCGGCGCATGAGTGACAATTAAGATTCGGGAGAATGACTCCCGACTGATCAAGCTTGATTCATTTGCTGACAGAAAGTTCTGCTCGGAAGATTTCTTATCTAGACTCTTTCTGATAGCAGCATGTCGGCATATATACGCCAGGTCAGTGAAGAAAGAAATGTGCGTCGTTTGAGGAGTGTGTAGAGAGCGGGGTTGAAACGAACGGACCCTAAAGGACTTCATGATTGGAATTGTTTAATCCATGTAATCACTTTTCTTGTAATGGAGTACAAGGCCCCACAGCTCACTTAGTACTTGCTAGCTATCTGCGGTGGCTGTCAATGGTGTATTGCGGGACTTCCGCTTGGCTGCCCGAACAATCCGCATCCTGAATGAAAATTGGCACGGGCTACTCTCTGACTCGGGTTGACAGATAAATTGGAGTTCTAGACGATGCAGGAACCAGGATGAGTAGACTACGGAACTGAACTTCCGACACGAGTATTGGCCAAGTCTTTGTCTCTATCCCCGCCGATCGGCGCCAGCTTAGCCCTAACGCAGGCCTGCATCAGACTATCGATGGGCGGCTTGAATTTATGCAGCCAACACTAAAGAACACAGAGAACCCTGTAGGACCTTTTTTGGGTTCAAAGACTGGCACGATACGGAATGCAGCTTGTATCTTGCTATCGTGCTATCTTGTCTTTTTCTTGGCTCCAGCCCCTGGACGGGGTAATAGTGTTCCGATTCAAAGCCTCTAGGAGATGAGGGAAAAGAGATAGCAGGGTCCAGACAACCGATAATGAAAATTCTACCGATAGAAAACTAGCACATGTTGGGTAGTAAAATGAGAGAAAGCCAAAAAAAAAAGAAAAGAAAAGAAAAGAAAAGAAAAGAAAAGAAAAGAAAAGAAAAAAACAGAAAAAAAACAGAAAGAAAATCAATAACCTGAGTCCAAGCGATAGAAAAGAACCAATTACCGCCACTTAGAAATCCATTCCTAGAAGCGCTCCAATTATATGCTGGAGATAAGAAACAAACAGTTCCAACAGGCCAGCTGCTTCCTCCCCTTTAGGAGGCCGGGGACCACGAGGGTTGCCCCAATAGCCCTGACCGGGGCTGACGGGGTTCGAGAAATCTCGACATTGGGGGTGTTCATAGTCCTCAATTGTGCCCATCGGCCAAATGGGGACCACGCAGACCTCATGATCGCCACAGCCACTGCATTGCTTCCAAGTCGTCCAAGCCAGGTATTTCATCAGCTTCCGGAAGTGACTGACAGCAGTCTGGTAATCAATCTCCTGCCAGGCTGCCAGCATGGTCGAGCAAATACTACGTGCCACGGAGTGAATGGCGGTGGCAGCTACGCTATCAGTCGCAACTTCTCCAGGAATGAATTGGTGAGCACAGCGATCCTGCTCCGCGTCAGTATCGCGATCCGAATAGTCGATAAATGGGGTCATCATGTTCTCAATCTCGGCATGCAGCTCTTCTAAAGTCGTGACATCCCCGGATGCGAGGTAACGGATGTCGCGCGCATACCGCTCCACGACCATATCAGCGATCGCCTGCCAGTCGTACAGGGCATCCTTGGCGGCATGATCCAGGATAAGGCGGCGCAGATCGTCGCGGATAGGCTGCAGCTCCGGGGAGGAGAGATGCATAAGGCGTGGAAGTGAGAAGGTCTCGTTCGCAGAATGGAACAGATCCAGACCGTACGTGTAGGCTGACACAAAAGTCTCATAGTTCAAAGCGACTCGATGGCCTCCGATACCGCCATATCGCGCCGTGATGCCCTTCAACCAATCCGTGCCTCCGCCCGGCGGCCCCCCCTTCCCTTTGCCCTTCCCTTTGCCCGGTCCCCTGCGACCAGATGACTTGTCCGATTTGACCTGCGTGACACGAACCTCGTTCAGATCACGCGCAAAGTCACAGAGAATAACCTCGAAGCCGGCTTCCATGCGCAGCAATCCATCCAGTCGGCCGTCGAAATCCTCCCGTGCCATGCGGCAGAACTCAACCGCCCATTCGCGCTCGCCATGCATCGCTCCATCACCAGGCAGGTTATCCTGGAACAAGATACGGTCCTCTGCGTCGAGCGTCCCGTTAGCGGTCTTACCCGCTGACATACCATCCACATACAGCAGACGAAGGTTCTTCGCAGCGGTGTAGGTGTGCAACCAGCCTGCTTCCAACTCTTGTTGCTCGACATCCACCCTCTTTCTCCGCAAGTCTTTCTTTTCGTCATCGTCAGGGGGCGGCGGACCACGGAACGGCCGGGCGAAGACCAGGGCATGCTCCGGCTCGAAGGCGAGCCATTCCGTACCGTTGACCGGCGCGGGATTGGCGTTGCCGTGGTAGAACTGTGTGCCAGTGGGAACCGTCGCCAAGAAGAAGGACATGCCGTTGTGTTGCAACGACGAGCCCCATTGCCGCATCGACGAATGGACGGAGTTGAAGATGTGGTTCGCATTAGGGGAGGACTCGGTAATCGCGCTGGTGCTCGCTACCCATAAGAGGGACGACACGAGCAGGCGGGAAACACCCATCTCGACTGGCGGCAGCGGTGGTGATGGCGATGATAAGAATAGAATGATGAGAGCGAGATCGTGGAGTGATCAGTTATATGCATTCAGGCCCCGCCTCGGAAAATAGGAGGCGACTTGTGCCTGATAAACCCGATAGGAGGTTTCCAAGTGGGGATGGTCGGTCTGACGCGTCAGCGCTCAGGCGACAACTTTTATCTCGCGAGGCTTGTGGAAGGGCACGCAATGCCCTTGTATCTTGTAATGGATCAATCACATAATGAAGTTGATAATGTATCAGCAATCGGCGCTATTCGAAGCACCATTTTGACGATGATGGCCTCTTTACCTCCCTAAACCTGTCGATCAGAACGAAACAAAGCTTGAGTCTAACCAACTGGTTGTCAACTTGTCACGGAAGCGGGAGGGAAAAAACGATCTAATCTTATCACCGAGTTGGCGCGGACTCAACCTCTCAATGCAGTAGTTAGTCCCGTAGACCTCGGAGCTTCCTGCTATCGCCGATGCCCGATGCGAGCTCTCTTCCGTCATCTGCTGCTGCAACCAAGCCATCCTCATCACCAGCGACATAACATCGCTCATAGGCTATGCCTCCTCCACCGCCACCACGCAATGCACGCACCCTCCTCCTCACAATCGATGCTTTTGGCACCATCTTCCACCCACGCGAACCCGTCCCCCAACAATACGCTTCTGCCGCGCACAAATTCGGCCTCCCTCGCTCCACGGTGACCCCGGAACGGCTCCAATCCGCTTTCAAAAACGTCTTCAAAGCGCAGTCCAAGGCCCGACCCAACTACGGTCGCGCCGAGGCTCTCCGCGGTCAATACGGTGGGCCGAGGGAATGGTGGGAAGAGGTGATCCGGGGTAGCTTCGCCCAGGTCTTGCAACCCCCTGCCTCAGCCACCTCTCCATCAGCATCGTCACCACCCTTACCGGACAGCCTCATCCAACACCTTCTCGACCGTTTCGCGTGCCGAGATGGTTACGCTCTCGATGCCAACGCTGACTCCTTCTTCACGCGCCTCCGCGACATCAAAGCCACCAAGACACGACTGGGACCGTTCGGCCGCATCGTGGTCGGGGTGGTTTCCAACTCCGATGACCGGGTGCCTGCTGTCTTAGAATCGCTGGGTCTATCTGTGGGAATGTGTCGGGCCAATGAGGATGTGTCGAGTACACAGCTCCCTGGGTTTGAGATGCGAGGGTCACGCGATGGTGAGGCGGCGGACAACAAACAAGCTGAAGAGGGTATCTACGATCTTGACCTAGTGATTACCAGCTATGAGGCCGGCGAGGAGAAGCCAAGCCCGGTGATCTTTGACGTGGCTCGGCGACAAGCCATGAAGCTGGTCGGAGCGAGTGACACCGATCGCAACAACTGGGAGTGCGTCCATGTGGGTGACGATTACAAGAAGGACTATCGCGCCGCGATCGATGCCGGCTGGAAGGCCTTCTACATCCCCCAGAGTAGTGACGGCAAACACCCGCCCGATACAAATACGACCGGGTCGCTGTTGGACGTGCTATCCAAATTGCAGCGGTTTAGGTAGGACAGACGGGCGTAGCTGTACAGTACAGTTCAACACTATTGCTCTTGGGCAGTAAAAATGTATTGGATACGAGTGTGTAGAGTAAAAGCCGCTCTCTGTGGCTATGTAACCCCAATGCTCTCGCTCTCAAGCTTTCCAAGTAGCACAATCTTCTTTCCCAGGTGTGATGTGGCGAAATCCATGGATGTGGTCACCCGCTCCGCCACGCGCCCAGACAGACCTAGATTCCCCGCACGACCACAAACCATGCTTTTGCACGATGACAATGCTTTTCTTCAGCCTATGGATCAATTAACGCGCACACCTCGCCCATCCCCCGCCAATCAGCCTTCATTATGGAGGTGTCCAAGAAGGTGGAGTAATGTCATCCAGGCATCACTCCGCAGATCTCCTCGACGGATGCGTGCAAGCGGAAAGCATCCCCGCCGGAAACACACAGCCACTATGACGGCATGATCTGTTGCAGAAGAGGCGAATCTCTCCTCCTGATCTCGGTTTCTCGATCATGTAATCCATGATAGGCAGCAAAACGCACCACCTGGCATCTGGACCATGATGCTTCGGATACGAATCATATGATGATTGGATGGTTGGGGTTGGCTATGATGCAATGACCGTCGTACAGGGAAGTTATATATTGTATAGTAGAGCCGTAGTACTGCTGGATTGTTTATTCAATCATCACATCATTCAAGTCTCTGCTACATCTTCCAACTTAGTAAATACTGCCTGTTCATTTCAGCAAGAATTCCCAAAGACATACATCTATACAATGGACCTCGTTCAGAAGTACGGCCACCTCAAGCGCGACCGCCGCAAGAGCTCTGCGCAGCGTGAACTCGCCGACGCAGCAAGTCATAACGACCAGCAGAGTATGTTGGCTTCTCAGACTATATCGAAGGCTGAAATCTATCGTGCAAAGCTAACTTTGTCTTCTTACCTATAAGGGATCAACGCTCTGCTCGGCAGCTTTGGCGGTGCGGCGAACGACCACCCAGACCGGAGATCCAGTGGCGCGGGCAACATGGCGAGTATGATTGAGGAGTTCAACGCCAGGTACGATCCTTCTTATACTTGAGCTCGAGGATAGAATGGTATTCTAACTATTAACGACAGACGGAAATCAGAGTCGAACGAGCTTGGGGAGCAGAATACGGATAGAGTTGCAGAGTGAGGGGGAGTGGCAACAGTCCGGGGGAGTTTATGACCTCCGCACCTCCGCTCTTTTGAGATCAAGGAAACGAGGCCAATGAGCGATTTTGCGATGGAGCTATGACTCTCTATATGTACTATTGTATGAATAATGACTTTCTATCAATAAATTAAATCGATTTTTCGAGGGCATATTGTCTTTTAGACTCATTAATACTTAATCGGGTAATGTGTCACGGCTTCTTGTAGTCTACAGCTACGCTATAATCAAGACTGTAATGTATGTGCGCACTTTATGTCACCATCTATGCTGAACGATCAAGCCTTGACTTAATCGGTCTTGCACTGTTGGATAAGGTTAAATTATTAAAAGCACTAGAAAAACACGGCATCAGCCGCGAGATCCGAACTTTATGAGAAATGGGCTCTGCACTTCTCGGTCTTTCGGCGCTTATTTCAATTAACTCAGACCAAAGCCGCGGTGCCAAAGGTCGAGGTCTTCAATAGCCGTCCCGGTCCCAGCTTCAATCCCTCACCTAACCAAAAATCACTAGAGGTATACTTTGTCAACGCTCGCTGGGAAAGTAACTTGATGCGTACCTTTAAAGTATTCGAGCCTTCGGGTTGGCAGACTCTGCGAAAAGATCCACTGCGCTGAAGATGATGACCTGCAGCGAGCTAAGCCCAATTGAGATTTAGGATTCGGAACCGTGGACGGCTGTTAAAGACCCCTGTCAAACAAGACGCTACTGAGATATAGATCCTGGAAAAGAACAGGAAGCACAGTAAAATACTTCAAGTAGTGCTCTAGAAATACAGCTCCGATTAATACCCGCGATTTCCTCCTTTCCCGAAAGACAAGATCCGGGTGCCGTCGGAACCATCGGGAAGGGTCTTCTTCACTTCACCATGGAAACAAGGGACGGACCACATGGTTCCACAGGCGATAACGGCAGACCACCTTTCTGACCTGCAACGAATTATCTGAGACGAGATCCACTCGATAGCAGCGTTGCTTACGGATCCTAACGGCATCTGCTTCGTCTGGTTTCTACAGATAAACCGAGACAAAGTCCCTCGCACCAGCTTCGTCTCTACCTGGTCAAGCTCCCCCCGCCATCCTCTGCGCTCCCAGTCGGTTGAAACATAAGATGTCCACCATCCTCATCACTGGCAGCTCTCGTGGCCTCGGCCTGGAGCTCATCAAGCAATACACCGCACTACTCCCCGAGAATGGCCTCATCGTCGCCGCCGCCCGAAAATCCACCCCGGCCTTGGAGGAGGTCATCTCGCGCGAGCAAGGTCGCGTAGCTTTCGTTACGCTGGACCTGGCGGATGAAGCCAGCATCGTCCGCTCGGTCGAGGAAGTCCGCCAGCTGTTGGGAGACCGTAAACTCGAGATCCTGGTGAACTGCGCTGGGGTCATCGGAGAGGCGCAGGAGAAGGCTGGGTTGGTGTGAGTTTGAACTCTCCCTCCAATCTCTTAACGGTTCAAGTAGAATGAGAGGGCTCCGCTAACAAGAACGGGCAGCTCCTCGTCGGATCTGAGTTCCGCGCTCTCGATCAACGTGACGGGCACGCACAATGTCACTCGCTTGTACTTGCCGCTCATGCAGGGAGCGCAGGTGAAGAAAATCATCAACATGTTCGTCTTTCTCAGCTATTTATTTCGTCCGCCGATGGTGTCGCAGTGCTAATTCGAGAGAGGAATGTCTAGCTCAAGCCAGTACGGATCGATGGCTCGCGCGCGCGCCAATGATTATGCCAAATTCCCGGCTTATAAGGTCAGCAAGGCGGCTTTGAATGCGTTGACGGTGCAGTATGCTCTCTCTTACGAGGCGGATGGGTTTGTGTTTATGGCGGTGCATCCGGGAGTAAGTCCTATGTCTCTTTCGATGAAAAGCATTTGTGTGACTAATTTGGTGTACAAAAGTGGCTGCAAACCGATATGGGGGGCAGCAGTGCCGATCTCACTGTCTCTCAGGGCGCAAAGGCGGTTTTGGATATCGTCGTCGCGGCGGATGAGAAGTCGAATGGGACTTTCAGGAACATTAATGTTGCGGGATCGGAGATCTATCGCGGGGAGGAGATTCCTTGGTGATTTTGGCTCATCGAGACACTTTTTTGGAGGACTATGGATCATACCTAACGCATTAGCTAAGGCAATGAATTGCATGACAACATCTGTTTGTTTGCACTTGTTCAGGGGAGTTCTAGGCCCGGATTTCCGGAAGTCCGAATCTTTCGGGAAGGTGGGTCGGGAATCCTTGGAGTATCAGCCTATATCAGAGATTATTTTGCAAACCGAGAGCCACGAAGCTCGAGACCAAGAATTTAGTCAGTCTCAAAGGCCTGAAAACAGACAGGGCTGTGATATGATAGTCAATATGAGAAAGACTTTTGAGGACAATACCGTTGGTCTCGCCAATCCGGCAGTATTGCACTGATTGTAAGGGCATTCTTGGAGAAGAACTACGCTCCACACCTCAAAGAATTCAGACCTTAGGAGTGAAACGACACAGTAGGTTCAATATCGGACTCAAGTAAATTTTTGTGAACTGAAAAGCTGTGTTGAAAAGGTGTTGATGTTGAGGTGTCTTTGTCAGCCGCGCAAAGGTTTCTCCCATCCCGCCCAATTGTACATGAGTCTTGCTTCATCTTCTACAACTGCTCTCTCCACATCCTTCGGCCCTGTCTCGGGGATGTTGCATTGGTAGCAATGTCGCAATCTTTTCCAGGATTTCAAGACGTACTGCCCGCCGTAAGTTGTTCCATGCCATTCCCCCCCTTCCGATCCTGCGAGTTCATGTGGTTCGCGCGGGGTTCTAGACTCTCTGGACTGACTCAACACCTTAGTGTGATCTATGCCATTCTAAGAAGGTTCGCTTTCGACGTGATTTTCTCAGTATAGGACGCTGAGCTCACGTGTCTTGTCAGATCAGATGTGATAGACAGAAAAATTGCTCGAATTGCGTAGATGCTGGTGTCGAGTGTCAGCGACTTCGTCGCGGAAGGACATCACGGAAACGATCTTTCACAAGGTTTGGGGCTTGGATGACCGATGATTGCTGGTATTGCGCGGCTAACCCGAGGTCTGACAGTATCACCACACCAGCAGAGTCAATACTACGCTGGGACAGTTCAATTTCTCAGCCTCAAGGGTGAGTGAGGGTTCTTTCCGTCCATTCAGGCCCTCCAAGGCGGCACATAACCAGTCTGACAAACAGCTAGAATCAGCAAGAACAATCTTGCTGCCAATTGTGAGACCGGGTCAGAAGAAAGAGGACCATTTAAGCAGCGACGAGCGAACATGCAGACGGAACATGATAGGTCCTCCCGCGGGGATCTCAATTCGCCTGCAGGTACCGATAGCTCGAACTATCATGCAGCGCAAGCAAGAAGTATAATCGAAGTCGAGCTCGATGATTGCCGACATATCAGTCACGAGCAACAGTCTGCTCTCAAGGCTGCACTTGATCTTGTGAGCCAGATTGCGGACACTGAGCGCTTGGAGTCAGATGCCACCGCGGAGGACAGGTTCTCAATAGACCCGGATATTGCTATCCCAGACGCTCCACCGCCTGAATTAATCTTCATGCTCCTTCCAGGTAAGACTGCTTTGGCCTGTTTCCGTGCGATGTCGTCTAATGAAATCAGGGTCCACAAGCAGGGAAGGTTACCAGTGGCCTGATCATATCTCCGAAGAATCGTTAGAAAGAATGGCTACTGAGCTTTTGAAGGAAGACTGCAAGGGTCAAGTCTTCCACCAATACTCGGTCTGCGTTTATGTCAAGGCCATTTTTCACAGCTATAACCTAGCCAGAGGTGTCACAAGCGTCACGGTCAAACAGCAGCTCTTCCGATCCAAGTCCACCTATATCGCTGCAGCAATACATAGCATTCATAAATTCGACATTCTCGCTCCTCCAAGTCTCGTTTCCATACAGTCTCTACTCTCCAGCGTGAGTCAACAGCTTCACCCGGATGTGTTTTTATCGAAGGGCTCACCGATAGTATCGCAGGCTTTCCTGATGCAACATCTGGGTAGAATCAACCAGTGTTGGATACTCAATTCCTACGCCGCTCGTCAGATCACAGCATTGGGCTATCACAAAATCCAAGAGACGCCCCCTTCCTCAGGGGTGCAGAAAGATATCCACAACGCACTATTGTGGTGCTTCTATCTTGACAAATGTCTTAGCTCCCTTCTCGGCCGACCAATGTCCCTACCGGATCTTTCTGTCTCACCCACCGACCTTCTTTCCATAGACTCATCGCTACCATACGGATCACTCTATCGGATTTTTCTCGAGGTGGCCCAGATTCAGGGCGAGTTACTTTCTATACCTGCCCACGAGAAACGTAATTCCAATCGAGAACCCATGGACACCATAGATAACCTCGAGGCTAGAATGCGGAGGCTTCTTCCGGACTTGCATGGGGTAAGCTTCCCACCTCATATGATGTAAACATTAGTCTGACAATTGGTTATCGAAATAGCACCGCAGCTCCACCCATAGATCAATAGAGCTTGACTGGATTAGTGCCGACTTCTGCTACTATGCCGTGCTCGTCGAAATTTACAGAACGCGACTGAGGTGCTCATTTAGCCCCATGACTCACAAGGAAACTCTACTCTGCGCGCGAAGATCCCTGGAAGCGTTCCAGTACCTCCAGCAGCATGGCGCAGAGATGCCCGGCTTCAACGATCCATATCCGTCTTTTCTCACCTGGTGGGTACGCTACAGGCAATATTGAGGCTTATTTGTACTGATTGTGGTGGCTAGGACCTTGTTATTCTATCCTCTTAGTCCGTTCTTCGTCCTCTTCTGCAACATAATCGGCTCTCTAGATCAACGTGACTATGACCTGATGCAGAATATTATCAATAACTTATCACAATGCAAGCATGATCCGCACCTACAGAAACTCCTCGACCTCTTGACGTCGCTTGAGCGACTTTGCGCGCCGTTGTTCCAGGGGAAAGCCGCTGGGAACGTATTGCAAGGAGCCAGCAATGCACAAATCCGAATACCTTCTACCCCGGTCACTATCCACAACATGAACGGCAGTTTGGAATTAGGCAGCGTCGCTCCTCAAGAAGGCCTCTTAGCTCAAGGCATGAACCAAGATGCCTCAGAGGTTCCAAACCCGGAAATTGGCTCCTCTAGCGATTGGCTTATGTGGCAGCTGTTCAACACTCAGATGCCGCTGGGTTGGATGAATCCGGAGTTCGCTGCATACGGGTTTAACTAGATTTGAGAAGGTTTTTACATGAGATGGAGAGAATACTAGCGAGAGTGTGGGTATGGTAAGGTTAGAATGCATTATCTTTATCTCTAACCCAAGCAATCCAAGCCGATTACAAGCCATCAGACATCATGGCTCTGTCAAGACGGGTCTCCAAATTTTAAAGTCTTCTACCCAGCAGTTGTCTTCGTCAATGGGCACAGAAACCACATCATTGGGGTCGCAGTATGCTATCCAATGAAGATCCACCAAGTATAGTTTGTCAGCTTCCTGGTCTTACATGAGAAGGCAGGCACGTCTGGATACTAGTAGGTATGTACCTACTAAGGTATCTAACTACCTGTTAATTTAGCAAGGTGAACAAGGATAAGAGTCACCATCGAGAAACCGCTTCTACACTAGATAAGCGTTCTGAACGTCCGTCAATTTGAGTGTTCAATTATTGGCGCTACAAAGCTGACAACCCCACTTTGTGGCTGTTAGTCCAGACTACAATCCCTGACCCTGGACAGCACTGCGACAATCAATGCCAGGACAGCCCATGCATGATGCCCGTTTGATGCTACGTGGGTCCATTCGAGGCGAACCCGAGCGCAGGAGATAGATTTTCCCGCTCCGCAAGACAGAAACTGCGTAAGTACTGATTTAAATATGACACAGGCTCGAGCCCGCGTCCCTGGGGAAAAAGTCGATCAGCAATCGACTCAGAATGTTGCAATCTGGAGCACTGCAGAATCTGGGGCTCATCCTTGTGGTCTACTACACGGGTTGGATACTTTATGCGAGGTGGCTCCATCCCTTGGCCCGATTTCCTGGACCTCCCTTGGCCTCGATCTCTCGACTATGGGTCATCCTGCATGTCGCCCGAGGGAATGCAGTAGCTGAGCAGAGAGAGCTGCATCGCAAATACGGTACATGAAAGAGACTTGTAGCCGCTTATATGCGGTACTAACGCTCACTAGGAGCTATCGTTCGCATCGCACCAAACGAGCTCATTATCAACGATGCGCGATCGTTGAAGACGATCTACGGGTTCAATTCGGGATTCACCAAAGTGTGTACGGGTTTTGCTCCACACTTAGTTCTGCATAGATGAACCTCCTGCTGACGACGTAGACCGATTTCTACCTGCCTTTCCGTTCCCCTTTTGGTAAGATTCGAGATTGACGGATTGCTATCAAGACTCTGATACTCTTTAGCACGATATCCTGACCACTTCAGCGCGATCGATGAGCAGTTGCATGCCAAGAGGCGACGGATTGTGAACCAGATGTACTCGATGACCAAAGTTCTACAGGCAGAGAAGTATGTAGATAATTGCATGGATCACCTGCTCGAGAAGTTCGAGGAGCTCGCCCAACAGGGTGCCACGATCGACTTCTATCAGTGGGCTCGGATGTAAGTTTCTCTTGGAAGAAATCTTCTCAGCACTAACTCTGGTTAATCTGATAGGTATGCATACGATGTTGTTGGGGAGTTCTTCTTTGGTCGACCTTTCGGTTTGCTTCAGAAAGGACATGACTTCCTGGGCTACACGACAGCCACAGATTTTCTTATCCCCGTCATGGCGGTGGCTGGCGTCATGCCCTCTTATGTTCGATCACTTTTCATGCTTGGGGGCCTTATTTTCAGCCGGACGAGAAAAGCTTTCAAGGCATTGGAGCAGCTTGCACACGCAGCCGACGTCGCGGTCGAAGAGCGTATGGATAATACAAAAAAGATAGACGGACTTCCATGGCACCCTGACCTCCTCAGCCGGGTCTTTGAAATCTACTACCGAGAAGGAGAGGCCTTAGACTATAAGGTGATCGATGTGAAAATGGAGGCTTTTGGCGCTTTGTATGTCTGGACTGGTACCATCTTGGGTTGCATCAACCGCTAACCTATGCACAGCTTTGGTGGAAGTGATACGACGGCTATATCAATGGCGAGTATCATTTTTTATATCCTGAGAGACAGGGAAATCTACGGGAAGGTGCTTGATGAGATCGATACTGCGACTTCCAAGGGAGCTCTGAGCGTGCCGCATATTGCTTACCGCGAGGCCGTGAAGTTGCCGTTCCTTAGTGCATGCATCAAAGAAGCCATGAGAGTCCACCCTAGCACAGGACTGACACTTCCACGGCTTACACCCAAGGAAGGAAGCCTGATATCTGGCTACAGGGTTCCCGGAGGTGCTCGGATCGGTGCGAATGCTGTTATTGTTCAATCGGATAAATCTGTATTCGGGGGAGATGCAGATGAGTTCCGGCCAGAACGATGGCTGCATTCAGGGGCTGATGGTTTAGCGCAATATAGTCTTCAAGTAAGTGAGCTTACCCAGCCTCAAATGACTTTTACTGATTTATGCCGTAGTTCGGGGCGGGCTCTAGAACCTGCATGGGGAAGCATGTGAGTCCATACTTCTGTTCTTAGCAGTGCTTCTACTGACTGTTTGTTTTGAAGATTGCCATGTGCGAGATCTACAAAGTGATACCACAAATTCTTCGAACCTACCATCTAGAGCTTGACTCGCCGGTCAAGCCCAGCCTTCGAACGACAGACTACTGGTTCCATAAACCGATCGATCTCAATCTCAAATTGCGGCGACGAGAGGTTCGATGCCCTAATTAGATTCACTGAAAAGCTTGTATGAGTGGCTACAAACGCACGCTGGAATTCGACAAGATCTAAACGCTTCCCTCCCACTTGAACTTCTTGATGTCTTCAATTTTGACCTCGTTGATCTCGAAGACCCTCACCCAAGGCCGATAGACAGGAATGATAGGAGGATTCATATGTCCTTCCCCACAAATCAAATCAATATTCACTTCAAAACACTCTGCATAGGCACTGTTCAGCTCAGGTGACCATTTCTTCTGCATCACGTTAGAACATATCCAGAACTGTCACCTACAGTGGGTCATCTCACCTGAGGCCGAGAGAGGATCTTGAAGTTTCTTAGAAAGGACTTGGACTCCGCCCAAGAGCGAAGTCGCGAACCACCATTCATCAAGTACTGATCGAACCGAAGCCCACGTGTTTGCCACGCCTGGTAGACCCGAAACCCTTCCCTTCCAATAGCCAAGGCGAACGAGTGCGCAAAGGACGTATAATCCATATCGCGGCTTTTGATCTCGCCCCGATCGATGATCTCCACATCGACAAGGTTCACGCCCAGGACAGTCACCTTAGCCACCTTGCCGTCAATCGCAGCCTTTTTCGCCTGAGCAAACCGCTTTGGCAGGTCCGCGGATGCATTCTTCCAGATATCCACCATGGTCGGGAGTCCGCCCAACTGCACAGACAGCCATCTCAAGGCGGCGAGCGTCGCTTTCGGGTCCGGCGGGCTGGCGAAGAGGAGAACAATGGTCGCAGCCAGGTAGCTGATATTCCACACCGCCGGCATCGGGAGCGTCATATTGCGACTCAGAGAGGATCGGGTGCGTAGGTTAACGACCGTCTCGCCGCGCAGGATCGCCACGCGTAACGCGACGCACCGGCTGGTCGCAGCCTGGATACCCCCGTCGAAGAAGTTTCGGATCTCCTGGTCTAGAACCTCGAGAGGGGTGGAGGATGATGGCTCGGTGCGTTCGGGCGTGCATAGCATAGCTTGATGGGAATCCGATAGCTTGTTGTTGGATTTCTTCAGATTGCTGCCATCGCTACCGGTCGGAGAGACGGGCAGCTCTGTGGCGAGATGTTCCTCGTCGGTGACCATCGTGCGGTTTGAGGGAGATGAGAATCTGGATCCATCCGTGCTCTTAGCTTCTGCGCCAGCGGCAACTATTCGTAGGTAGGTGGTTTCTTACTTTGGTTCGGGAGGCTCCTTGGACCCGTCTGCTTTGTCTATCCCGATAGATTGCATATTGCTCATAACCACGAGAACCGTTCAGTGAGACGATTTCCAACCCGATCTCTACTATTCTCTCTCCAATAATTCAGGAAACCAGTAGTAGAGACTGCGACTGTATCGAAAAAGGATATCGAACACCCGCAGTAATAGGGAATTTGTGTGTGTTGATGATAATCAAGAGCGAGGAAAGGAAATGAAATAGGAACAAAGAACAGAGGAGGGGACTTATATGTGCCCACACCCTTCTGCTCTCACTCACATACTATACAGTGTCATCATTCAGTGAATGAATAAATCCACCCTGCCGCGCGGACCTCCCACTTTGAAAACCCACTGCACCAGCTATAGTAGTTGTCGCTGGCTGTCTTGGTCATTCACACATGCGTGTTAGTGAGCCCCATTTGTTTTTATGTCCATCGGGGCAGGATGGGGTGTTGTTATGTTTCCAATGTGTTGGGTTCTTTCACGCACTGGGCAGAAGGAGCTGGTCCTGGCGGTTTCTCTCTTATTACCTACGATTTGAGTGCTCTTGAAGGATTGTACAATTTTATCTCCGGTAAGGGAGGATAGCGAATCGGAGCGCTCTATGCCCTGGCGATGGTTACCGGTTGAGTAATTTAACACGTAAGTGAGAGCGTACAGTGTAATCGATAGATTAGTTTGTGGTTACTTCGCCTTTGAGCTCTACACAATTATGTTCATGATCATGTAGCATTAAGTGTAATTGATTAGCCTATGAGGCTAAGAAAGAATGGCTGTCAAGCTCATTTCGATGTTCAGTCGGCGAATCTATTCTCATCGTCACACGCCTGAATTTACGGAAAATCCCATAGGTATTCGACTAGACTCAAATCTCCGGGCTTAATGATGGAAGTTGACTCTATCATGCAGGAGATCCCTTCTGCTTTGAGGGTCAGTCGACGAAAGTGTGACGGTTGTGGAACTCGGGCGACGCCCATAACATTCCATCCCTTTTGGGGCAGCCTGCCCCTCCGAGATGTCGTTGTACCTGCTCCCTATCTATCCTGTGCTTAGACTCTACCTTAATTAGTGTCTCTCCGTTCAAGCAATGACTCAAGCAATGACTGGGTCTGATGTGGAATATGTCTTGCTCGAATCCAGCTCCCCCACTTCCGAGACGGGGGAAAAGCCCCGTCTGCGACGGTATAATACTCTCGTGATCTATGTGACTTTTCTCGGTATGATCGGTCCAGAAAGGGTCTCTTGTGCTGCATGTGTGAGTGTGAGTATGTGGCTGATACCTTAGAGGTACTTTCCTGGCGAGTGTCGACGAGTCGCTGGTGATCTCGACATATAGTACCATTTCTTCGCAGTTTCAACGTCTTTCGGAGGGATCGTGGCTTCTGGTAGCGTATAATCTGGGGTACTGTGTCTCGCTTCCGGTGGTAAGTGCTCTCATTCAATCGATTGTATTGGCTCTGATGTGTCTAGTATGGTGTGGTGAGTGATCGATTTGATAAGAAAAGGGTGCTCATTGGCTCTTATCTGCTCTTCACGCTGGGTAGTATTGCGTGGTATGCTCTTATCTCCCATACTTTGAATTAAACTGGCTGAGATAGTAGTGGTGCGAGTACGTCCTTAGTGCAGCTTGCCCTTGCACGAGTCATTGCTGGAATCGGTGGTGCGGGAATGGTTATTCTCGTCTCCATTGTTGTTAGTGGTGAGTGAAGCAAAGCATGCTTTCTGGCCTAGTTGACCTGTATAGACATTGTGAAGCCGGAAGATGTAGCAATTTATCGAGGCTATGAGAACACTGTATACATCACCGGGCGCAGTCTGGGCGCGCCGATTGGGGGCTTGCTGATTGACACCATCGGTTGGCGCTGGTAAGGAAGACATTCTCATGGCGTGACTATGTCTAACAATAGATAGGTCATTTATTGGTCAAGTGCCCATAGCCATAGCATGTATTATGCTAGTTGGGTATCTGCTGCCAGAGCTTCGACCCAAGACATTTTGCAGAGACAACGAGAGTCCATTCCTCTCCCGGGTCTGCAGCTTTGACTTCCTAGGAATCATCAGCTTTACCGTCAGCGTAATCCTTCTTCTGGTTGTTCTTCATACCACCGGAATGCAGAAGTCAGACCGTCCTGATTGGGCGTATATCGCACTTATTGGACTAATCCTGGCGATCACATTGTTCATCCTAACCGAAGTATACTGGGCCAAGAACCCACTTCTTCCAACCGATCTGACGCGCAAGTCTCTGGGCGGATATTGTTCCGTGCAGTTTCTGCTCTTCGCAGGACGCAACGCGGTAAGCCTCTTCTCCAACCAGCCAAAATCCCCCACTGCTAAACACATTCCTGAAGCTCGTTAGCAGTCTAATCCCGTACTTCATTCGCACCGCCAACACATCTGATCTGATTGCTTCGCTATCATTTGTCCTTACCTCTCTCGGAGTATCCGCCGGAGGGCTGGTGTCGGGTTATTTGATCAAGCGGTATGAACCTTACATGTCTGATTTGCCATAGTGTTTAACAGACCCGGTAGAACGCGTCAGTATAAAATCATGGAACTCATCGCATTATGCCTGAGTACCCTGATTTATGTCGCAATCTTCATCCAATGGCAGGACGGATGCAGCATCTGGGAATCCCTCTATCTCTTCGCTTCGGGTCTCACCCTCGGAATCGTGTTCTCGTCGCAGTTTGTCGGCATGTCGGCCAGCTCGCCCAAGTCCCGTCTCGCGAGTTGCATTGGAGCGTACTATCTGAGTCAACAGCTGGGCTTTATCGTTGGACCTGCGGCTGGGTTGGCGCTGGTCCAGGGGTTGTTTGCGTCACGGCTTGGGCGGAGCTTGGTCGTACCTGATAGGGATCTGGTAAGTTCAATGACGTGATTGTGCTGTGCGTCAGAGGGCGACTAACAATGAATTTGTAGACTATCAAGCATATATTGGATGATGCAAGGTACACGAGGATGCTGCCAGCTGCGGCTCAGCGGGTTGTGCGCGAAAGCTATTTGTATGGGTTCAAGTTTGCGCCCGTGTTGTCGGTTGTGTGTAACCTGGCTGCACTGTTAGTGGTCCTGCATTTGAGGGCTGAAAAGATCCTGTAAGGTGATAGAGGTATGATGTCTGGTAGGTTAAGTGCTGCCTAAGAATGGTTGGAAGCGGCAGTTTCAGTCAGGAGAACAAGGGTTGTGGGAGGAAGTCACCTGCCTTACGGTCCTTTCCTTATTCCCTCTTCGGCGTGAGATAGACTTGCATTGCCAATAGAAACACTCGTCTATGCTGATGCACGAGATTCGATCGACCTTTACATGATGGCAAAACCCTTGGGCCATACTGAGACAGAAAGATAGGTTGAATAGCTTGCTTGAAGTCAAGCATGCAATTCAAGCAAGTTTGTCCCCCATGGCCGACAGGAATACTTCGTCGTTGACAAACTAACCGACTCAACTCATGATTCAGACCGCATTTCAGCCCTGTCAGACCAGATATCGTTCGATCGGACGTATTCGCCTCCGGAGATACCGTGAGCCGAGTCCGTATACAAACGGTAGCTCTGCATGGATACCCCGGATTGAGTATGCGACACCGCAAGACCTGACTGTAGTACAGATTAGGCATACACAATCAGTCCAATTTGACGTAAGAGACGATTATAACTGTCGTCACCGCTCTACTTTCGATTCATTGATCCTATCCTGCTCGGGGACCCAAGTCATAATCATCTGCAGATTAACTAACCCTGCTGGCAGTGGTGTAACCGACAGAACCACGCCAAACCACCCATGATGGCATATCCAGCCAGAAAAAAGCCCCTTGGTTCCCTGACACGGGTGCATATTCCTTCTGTCTTGTTTGCTGTGTATCGGAACCAGGGCTGGTCTGTCTCAAGAATACTGACGTGACCCGACGAAGGCCAGACCGAATTACAATCTGTACACGCATGAGGGGGTAGGCAACAGAAACATGGGACGAGTACAAGGTATAAATGCTGCCGTTCCCCAGCATTGACTGAGACTTACTCTTGATCCAGACTCATCAATCAAGCCTCAGCGGCCAAGAAATCCAGACACTGGCGTTTGCGTTCACTCCATCCTCACAATGAAGCCTCTTACCACCCTCCTCTTCCTCTTCTCCCTCTTCACCCTGTTGGCAGCTGCCCCAACAGATCTCGCCCACCTCATCGACACAGCCACTCACTCCGCACTCGCTGACATTCCCGAGCACTTCCCCGCCATGTGCTCCCCCACCGGCTCCGGCTACTGCAACCTGGGTATCGCTAGCTACATGCCTTCGTCCGGGACCAAGATCCGCGAGGTGTTTGTGTACGACCGGTACTGCCGGGGACTCGGAGCGCGACCTTTTGATAGCGACACGGGCAAATGGACCGTCTACTCGTTGCTTCCGTGGACGGTGGAGTTGACCGTCACCGGCGGGGGCAGGGTGCCGGATGGCTCGTTCATGTATGCGGGCCGGAAGACAGACTTGGGCAAGAAGATGTACTGCAGGGAATGTTCGGGGGTTGGTGGGTGGGAGTGTTGTCAGGTTGCTTTTGATTGTCATTAGGGTGAGATACCGGGGCGAGGACTTAGGGGAGAGAAGTTGAAGGTTGAGAGAGACCATGGGTCAAGGTTATGGGTTATCGCAACGGCAAGCTTGATTTAACTGTACCCTGGGTGTGGAATGCGGGAAAGCCAGCGGATAACAATTGCGCCAGTGCTGATTGTTTGTCTTTGGGTGTTTATATTCCCCTGCTAGCAATAGGAATTAATTAATGGACCCATGTTGAACTTACAACCAGCACTTCCACTGGCAAAGACAGGCTCAGCAGTGAGTTGAACGGTTGCATCGTCTGCACTCCGGCCTACCCGCGGAATTAAACCCGCAACTCCGGATCTATACAGAAATGCCCGTACGTTTAGCCTATTCTCCAGGACTATAGAAGGATAATAGGAGCATATAGCCCCGGTAGCGCTCGAACACCAGCAACAAACTCTCTCGCCTCAAAACAACAACAATGTCTCAAAACCCAGACCCCCGCCTCCACCCCTTCCACCACCTCCAAACCCCCTACAAAACCATCAACAACCAACCCATCCAAACAGACCTACTAATCCCCAAATCCTTCCCTCACCCCGCCCCTCCCCTCCCAATAATCATCCACTTCCACGGCGGAGGCTTAGTACGTTGGCCCCCAACAAAACTCCCCTCTCTTACCCCCAAAACACTAACGAAAGACTGGGTAAAAGATATGCGGCTCCTCCCTCTACGCACCCTGGTTCCCAACCTACCTAACCGACCTAGCCCGGAGCACACCCGCGATCCTCCTCTCCCCAAACTACCGGCTCCTCCCCGAGGCCACAATCCAGGACGTATTCGAAGATATCCTCGATTTCTGGACCTGGTTACTGCACTCCCCGGACGTATCTGCGCTGCTTCCGGAGGGGATCGATATCGACCGGTCCCGCGTCCTTACGGCTGGTGAATCTGCGGGCGGGTATCTGAGTCTCTGTCTTGCGTTGCATTGTCCCGGGGAGGTTCGTGGGGCGGTGGCAGCTTATCCTGCTTTTCTTGGGTTGGTGCCTGTGTCTTCGCTTCTGGTTAGGGAGCAAGGGGGTATTAAGGGGAGGGGGGAGGGGCTGGGGGGAGTAGTTGATGGGGACGATGCCGTCACCACAGGTTCAACGGGTTTGCAACTTGGGCAGCACCGCGGTAATAAAGCTTTGAGGGAGATGGGGGAGGAAGAGGAGCTGCGATACCACCACGTCCTCCTCGACACGGCTCTGCGCCACGCCCGCGAAGGCCTCAACTCCGTTCGCTCGTTCACGGATCTCCCTGAGCGGATTGAGCTGATGGATGCGGTTATGAAGACCGGGCGGATGCGGGAGATCTTCGAGCGTTGTGGTGGGGTTGAGGAGGATTTGAGGTTGCGGTATCCGATGGCCAAGTTGGATGATCCTGCTCTCAGGATTCCGAGGGCCGGGATTGTGATTCTGCATGGTGAGGGGGATGAGGTTGTGCCTGTTGCGGAGAGTGTTGGGTTTGTGGAGAAGGCGAGGAGGGTTTTGGGGCCTGTGGATGGTGAGAAGGTGCGGTTGGTGGTTCGGGAAGGCGGGCATGGGTTTGACGTCGAGGTTGGGTTGCGGGAGGGGTGGCTTTGGGAGGGATTGAGGGGGGTGGTGGAGGGGTGGTTGGATTGATTAGCTGTTCATCGTTTGATCTGGTTGATCTACTGTTAATAGACGTTAGATGGAGTATGTACATGTCTGTTGGTACTCAACACATAGAGCCAGTGCCACATAACTCATTACAACCGCGCATCACTACGAAGTGATCAAAAACAGAAGAATTATCTCTCAATAATGAATATTGTCCGAGATCCAATACAACAATCCTATATACTATACAGGATTTCATCATAAAAATACAAATGTGATATACCCAACACCCGCCTAATCCCATCCAGGAGGTCAAAAAAAAGTTATTCATAGATTCATCAGTATCCAAATTCCAATGGGGTATTCATGTTTCAATCGAAATTACCACCCCTAAGCAGCCTCCCCGTGAAACAACCACGAACCCGTTATTGGAACTGTTGGGGGAAGGCTTAGTAGGTATCGCCGGTGGACTCATTCAGATCCTGCAGACGATTGACACCACCCATCGGCGTACCAGCCGCCAACATCATCTCGCGCTCGCGACCGGAAGTACTGAACCGCTTCTCCTTCAGTACGGGGTCCTCGCCCAGGTTCTGGTGGCCGGTGTGGACAGTCGTGTTGCCCTCTGGATCGGTGTGGGAGGCGAACGCGGCGCGATGCCCGGATTCTTGGACCTGAGGCTGCTGCTGCTCATGTTGTTGGCCGTCGTTTGAGGAGGAGGAAGAGGAGGAGGAATACGAGGAGGATTCGAAGTAGGAGGTTTGGGTGGAGTTGTAGGACATTTTGGTGGTTGCGTCTCTCGGTTGTTCGGCTGGTAAATGGTTGACTTTGGTTTCGATTTGGATGCGGTGGAAGTAATTGGAGCTTGCGCTTTAGAAGTTCTTATGCAATGGAATTTGGGCTTGTTCCTGAATGCTTGAATATGGAGAAGAAGGATTTATGAATGTGGCTGACTGGGGTAGGGCGATAGGGCGGGTTTGTGGGGCGGTTCTTATACTGCATCCCCGTGGCGAGGCATGATGTCATACCGTTATAATTTCCAGGGCGGCCGCACGCAAGAACAGCCATGAAGTCAGTCCCAAACTTTACTCATCAGTTCTCCCTTAATTTTGAGGAATGAAAGGATGGATGGAGACTTGGGAGGGATAGCGTCATGCTTAGCTGAGATCGACCCATGTGTCAGACTGGGCATGGCTTCTTGATTGGCTGGCTGGGACGATCAAGGGAAGTGGTCTTCACGGAGGCTGCATCATACTGAAGACATAGCCGTTTGTCCTCACACCAATAAGAGATACACGTTGATTAGGGCGGGGAAAATCACTCAGCATGGCCACAGACCCTGATTGTGAAGCACGCAATTGACGGACAATGTCCCCGACAAACGACAAGTTACCCGAAACTAATGCCGTCTATCGGATCGACATGCAGCTACATCAACCACTAGCTTGAATGCGGGCCGGCGTAATAGATTAAAGTCTCGTGTATCTGTTAGACTCTGGCAATGAGCTAATAATTCATCTATGCTAAATCAATTAACCAACAAACCTACCATGTCCATTTCCATGAAAGGACGTTATCACTTGTACTGTACCTGCCCTGTTCTCAGGCGGCTACTTAGTCGAAAACTTGACAGAGCATGCAGTAGTCTATTCATCTCGCTCATAAGGAGCACAATCGAAAGAGGACTTGCTAAGGACATTCTCTTAGCAGTCAAGATCACTAAACTAAACTAAACCAAACTAACAAACCCAGCTCCTTCCAAACTCCTTCCCCACGTGTACCTAATCTAAGAATCCCAACCAAAGTCCCAACATTCGGAAGAATACAAAAGTGCTCGAACTAATTCAGACTGCATATCCCATAGACTTGGGTGCGTACTTCTTCAAGCTGCGGCCGCCGCCGCCGCCGCCGCTGCAACCCACAGATCCGATATCAATAGTGTTCAACTCTCGACTAAGGGCGTCCATGCCCATGCTGCCACCAAGGACAGGATAACTCTGATTCATCGCCTGTGCGATAGGAACTTTCGAAGGAATAGGTGGACCAATGTTGGCCGGCGCATACATGCGCGGAGATGAGTAAGATGGCGCCGGTGAGACCGACTTGCGATGTGTCATACGCCCATGAGAGCTTGAGCTGGTCGTGCTGTAAACTTTGGGATGTCCATGCCCGCGATACTCTTCACGACCGCGGCTGTGCTCACGTCGTGTAGTGCGAGGAGTGCGTTCCATATCGGACGCTCCATCCATATATGCGGGCAGACGTCGAATGCCGAATCCGCGTTCAGCTGTGCCATCGGTTGCTGGGCGTGTCGAGGGACTAGCCCGATGAGGAGGATTTCTAAAGCGCACAACGACCCCAGGCTTCTTCGTCTTGCGCTCGGGCTCTGGCGCCCAGGTATCTGTAGGAAGATGATCAGACGGGTCAATCTCACGACCATCGTCTCCAATAATCGGACCCATGTCTCGAGTCGTGTCCATGTCGCCACGCTTTGCCGCTTCCATCGCTTGAGAAGGTGTTTCGTAGGGTGGCGCAGGATCGCGTAGAACTGCAGATCGTGATGCATTGGGGTTGAGAGCATCATACGAGTCTGGTGAAAAAGGAGTGGGAGATACCCCGCGCTCTCTCATACTTGGAGGCCGAGGACTGACAGATTTGCGTCGCGGAACCAGTTGTCTGTCGGAACTGGAGCTGATAGACGAACGATTCACATGATTATCCAATGGCGGAGTATCCAAAGGATACGGCGGTGCTGGAGATGCGTCACGTGGAGGCATTCTCAGAGGATTTTCTTCAATCAAACAACTTCTGCGTCGTGCTTCGATTTCGTAGGCGACCCGGTCCGACTCCGCGTCAGCAAGTACTGGATCAAGGCCAGCAACAAGGCTGGGTGGCACTGAGGGGCCACTCGTGGCAGGAGACATATTCTGCATTCCAATGAGAGGATTCGTGCTTGGAACAGGCACAATCATTTCGCTATCGACTGCAGTCGTAGCTGTGGTGTAGTTGGAAGGTAGTCCGGAGGACACTGAAGGAATACCGGAAGACACAGAAGAGACCAGAGAAGGAGGCCTTATATTTCTGATGTGAACAAGCCCAACCCGATGGGCAGGTGGTGGAGGTGGAAAGCTTGTTTCATCATCTTCGTCTTCGACGCGAGGCTGCATTGCCGCCCACACATAATCAGGAATGGGATGTCCACCTTCGCTGATGCTTTTGCCGTAATAAATCATACTGGGCCCACTGCCATCGGAACCGTCATAGAATTCTGAACCATAGTCCAAAGATTGACTGCCATCACTGAGATAGGAACCAGTGGATGGGTAAGTGTGGCTTGTGCTCTCACTGCCAGAAGAGCTGTTCTGTGGAGCGTATTCAAGATGCCGAGCCGCGGGCTGGCTGGAACTGCTGCCACTGTTGTAGGAGGAGGTGTTTTGATAGTTGTGCGGATATGGATAGACCGTACTTGGCTCACTCGAGAAGGGGCTCTTGTGCGAGCAGGGATAAACTGTACTTCCACCGTCGGAGCTACTCGATTGACTAGGCACGCTCGAGATGCTCGACATGGGCATGATGGTTGAGGGTGATGAAGGCATGCTTTGTGGTGCTTGAGGTACGTCGCGGGCGAGTTGGGGATTTGAAATGTTGCCAACATATTGCTCGGCTGACGAAAATGGATAATTGCTATGATTGCTTTGAGGACGCATGCTCTCCATCCCCTGTGGCCGTGGCACAGGAGGATTGCCTGGTGGTGTAATCGTTGTATTTTCGTTCCCGATTGTTGAATGGACTGGATTGAGCGAGCCGCTGAGTGGATTCTCCTGCCGGGTGATCCCAATATTCTGTTGGATGAGAGGATTGTTTTGACGAGAGTAGTCTGCCGGTGGCATGTTGCTATGATTGGTATGCCCGGATTGAGGCCGAACTTCCGTGGTCTGTGACGGAATTTCGTGGACGTGGTGATAGTAGTCCGTGTTTCTCAGAGTCTGATTCATCGTGGGATCGTGGGCGTGCGACGAGTTCCATTTTTGAATATCGTCAGGAGTTTCATAAGCCCACTCAGGATGACCATGCAAATGCTTCGGTCGTGCATGGCTTGCCACAGCGGATGCCGGCTGCGCGAGAGGTGTTCTAGTTGTTTTGGTTGGCAGTGGATTGTTTGGCGGTGGATTGTTTGGCAGTGGATTGTTGTTGTTGCTCGGCAGGGGATTTGTTGGCAGTGGACGTCGCTTGACATCCTTCAACTGTCTGGGCCCCGAAAGATTGGAGGATGATGGAGAAGGAGTAGAAGCCGCAGTCAAGGTGAACTGTGATGCTGTTGTGATACTCTTTCTGGTATGAGACTTTTCAGTTCCGATGGTTCGACGTTCGATGACAGCCTCATCTGCAGGCCGTGTGTCGTAGTACGTCATCTCAAGACGCACTTCACCTGCGTACTTTCCACGATGCTGCAGGGGGTGCCAGTGATCGTTTTGGCTTCCACCGGGGATGATCAGATCTTTGAGATCGACCCAGGTTTCGCCGATCAAGTCGGTCTTCTTGTCGTCGTTGAAGACGGACACTTTGAGCTTGAAATAGTCCGGAGACTCATGAACAGTGAAGCGAAGCTCTTGATCCCTACGATCTGTTAGCGTTGTATATAATAAGATGCGGTGTGAGAAGATCGTACCATCGAGGAGTTTGTCCACCACGGAGATCAGTTTCTGTCTTCCTGGCTTCTTTACCCAGACGGGCGGCACAATAAGGGTTTTGTTTGCCCATCGTCTTGCGATTAGGCAAATTTTTGGCACGATCAACGATGATAACTAAAGTCCCGATAGCAGGACCGTCGACAGACATGTCTGCGAAGATGCCAGCTGCATGAGCAGCATGAGCCATGGCCCTTCTAGATGGCCTGGCATCCATGATAGGAACGATACAGAGAAACTATGACTCGAGCGAATGGTGGAGACAGCGAGAGACAAGAAGAGGGGTGTGCTTGGACAAGACGGTGAGGATGAAATCGAAAGGAAAGCGAGTGACGAGACAGGGTGTGGATATGCGTGTAAGGTATAGAAGAGCGAATGTAGTACAGTGGAAAGGATGAAAGCTTGGATGGTGCCTGGCAGCGGAACTGGGGAATGAGCTTTTACAACGAAGGAATGAGCCCCAGAGCCACTGTAGCAGCCGATTCGATGAAGATGCAGAGTAACGGATGTGGATGAGAGATGGAGAAGAAAGAGAGAGGTGAGGACGGAATGGATGGTTTGGGGTGTGAATGACGCTGAAGGTTATCGATAAGAGCTGTGTCAGAGGGCGGATGCAGTTGATTGGATGACAGCTGTACCACCAGCGATGGGGCACATTTGCAATTGAGTGGCTGGGAACAAGGGCCCGGAGGCTGGGGCATGCTCAATAGGCTGTGGTTGGTTGACATGCATGCGGCGCGCCCCACTGCTTTCCAATGTTCTTGGAGGTCTTTTGAGCATGTTACGGTAATTTATTCTCTCACTCATAGCCCGTCATGGTACGTAAAATTCTCACCTTGTCACAACCTGTATCTGGTGTATCCCAGCCACCTCAGGGCTTGATCTTGCGCATAACCTAAGGCACGGGCTTGCCCCAGTGTTGCGAGAAGTCAAGCCAAATGCTGGACACTGCATACTTACGACAGGTCCAAATTGCTATGCGCAGGTAGTATGAAGGTGTTCTGGTGTCAACCTGTCGCTGCATCCGTGATGTTTGTCTTTACTTCCCAATCCATGTATGTACAGAACTTACGCATACGTCAGTCCCAGTTCGCTAGTGATCATCATCATATTCTCCGGGCGCTGAAACTAGAATTGCAATCTTGCCGACGGAGTAAACTAGTGATTGTGGGCTTAGCTACAGCGCAAATTCTGCTGCCTGTCATTGTCACTCGGGCTCTTCACAGCCACAGCCGCACGTAATATCCCGTGTTTGTTTATGGGGAGTTTGGATCTCAGTAAGGTCTGAGCAGAGTCGGCCACAGCACGAGCCTGATGTCATACTGTGGATAACAGAAAACAGCACTAAGACTCTTGACCACATCCGAGCTTGGTCGTGGTCTCCGATCAGTTGTGAGATCTGACGGTAAGGGAGATCTTGATGAACCCGGTGATCCGTCCCTCCCTTGTCCTAGGTTCCTTCAGTGTGACACCAACCATCATCCTGGTCTAGATCGATCTGAGCAACCAATCCACGTGGGGGTGGTTGCTAAGTGGTATGCTGCTGGACATTCCGAGAGACAGGATCGGCAGTGGAGAAGCGCTGTGGCTTGATCCTCGCCCTGTGGCTCAGGAGTGGAGAAGTCGGGTACCTGGGAGTCTGGGACGGTCGGCATCAGGCACCGATTCGGCCGTACCAATAATTTGGGCCTGTGTAAACAAGGATTAGGTCATTCAATGGATTCCCAAGGATACGCCGGAAGAGAGTCAGCTCTAATCAAACTGAAAACAAGTTTCCAGCGACACGGCAAGTGGAAACTGAGGCCGGAATTTTGAGCCGAGCGGGGATCCGGCACTATCATGCCATCATCGATTGTGCTTTGCGTACGCATTGAATTATGCACGATAAATCAATCTGCAGCAGAAAGGCGGACTAAGATCCTAGCATCAAGGGACGGAATGGCGCTTCAGGGTCTAGTATGAGAATCGTTCGAACCTATCACATTCACCAACCACCTGCGATACGCTTTCGGCGAATTCTTCGGCACGGGTCGTGGTTCTAGAGGTCTCGATCTCGACCAGGTGATGATATGGCATGCAGGTGCTCGTAGAAGCAGTAGATTGACTCACTTATCCGGAATTCCCACCATTCGGCATGAGCACAATACCGATTCTCTATCAATTGTGATACGCGCAGCTCCACACTGAGCAGGATCGTCGTCTAGTCCCCTTAAGCGTAGGGTCTGGGGTGGCCAAGCACTGGCCATAATAACGGCACGGGTGCATGCTGCAGAGACATGATTGTTAGCAAAGATGGACTAGTCACAAAACTATGTCTGTCAACAGAGAACAGCTCAGCAGGTCATAATCAGCATCGGTGGAATGGAAACTTACCCAATACTGCGGACGGTTTCGGTCAGGGAGCATGCTCTAGTCGTATCATGTGTTAGCCATCAAGGAATGTGTAGCATGTAGCAAAGCACATGTGGTCGATTACCCCACAATCCGCCCTGGACTCTTATCGCAGGTTTGAGTAGGTAGCGTCGGGAGTAGAATTGTCTGTGGAATGCTCCCGGCCATCAAGCCGCCCATATGCATGCAGGGATAGCAATCTGACCTCGTGGCGCATCTTGCCACTCACTAAGTGAGTTGAGCTTCCAATATTCTCACAGCAGAGCCGGTCAGTGAGGCCAGCCGGGGTGTACTGTATTTGTTCTCGAGGCATACTTTCGTTAGGAAGCGGCACCCGATTAGTATTAATCGTCTATTCTCACCAAGCTTAGACTAATGAACAGCGAATAGTAAAATCTCTGTGAGAAGTAGAAAAGAGAGCACTAGACTACCTGCTTATGAGGCGATTGAGACTAACAAGTGACTCGAGTCGTCTGAGGCCCAGAATGTTGTACTGCGGAGAGATTTGATACCTGCCTGAGGCATTCCCCGGGCAGAGTATTTGTCACGTGTCCAATTTCTCCACGAGGCAATTATGATTATAGCTAAAATATTGGTCATCAGGAGTTTATTTGCGAAAATGAAGGAAAGATGCCCGTACCTAGTCTGCGAGACAGCCTAGGGAATAACTGTGGACTATCTGCCTGTTATGTCAATGCAAGGTGATTCATTCAATTTGTCCGCATACCATAACACCTGCGGTTGTCATATAGCCTTAAATACGATACAAAGTAACGCCAATATTGTGCAGTAAGCTTGAGCCAGCATGGCCTCATGGTCGAAAATAAGCAACTCTGCCTTACAACATGACTGTATACCATGGAGACCCTGAGAAAGGCCCGCAAGTGCCACTTTCAGCTTTAAGCCAACAGCCAAGCTCGTGGCACCACTGACTGAGCCTGACAGAATTAACACCATCAGTTTTAATTCATTCCTCGAGAAGCCCTTTGTTTTCGACAACAATTACACCCTAAATTGCATAAGTAAGTGTCTGCCCAGTGGTAAGTCAGCATAAGTATGCCATCTGCACTAAACCCGAATAGGCAACGCGGATAGACTTTTCCCAATACGATTGGATTTTGACACTGCAGTAAAAAAAAGTTTCCCATCAAACCTCCAAAGCCCACCAACCCATCCAAACGCTCTCGACGAGCCGACGACTGCTCAATCCACATTCTCCGCTGAAGTTCTTGAGCATCGATCGCATCCGCTTGACAGGTACAATTCCGACCGACGACCAGCAGCCATGGCTGCCCCCGTCCTCCCCCTGCAGCAGGTGAAGCTGCCGTCGCTACCTTCCACTCGCCTGACACCGGAGCAACAATACTGGAAGACTTTCAAGAATCCCCTGCTCATCCCATCACCAGCCAATGGGCCCATCAACCTCATCACGCAGCCCTCCGCCCCTTCCTCCGCTTCCGCCTTCCCCTCCCTCACTCAGCCACCCGATGTCTTCACCGTGACCACGGGCGCCCGCGTCCAGATCTACTCCATCCGCACCCGCAAACTCCTCCGCACAATCACTCGCTTCGACGATACGGCGCGTGGCACAGATGTGCGTCCAGATGGGCGCGTGGTCGCCGTGGGTGATGATTCCGGCACGGTGCAAGTCTTCGACGTGACGTCGCGGGCGATTCTCAAGACGTGGAAGGAGCACAAGCAGCCGGTCTGGGTGACCAAGTTCTCGCCCAGCGACCCGACCGCACTGTTCACTGCCAGTGACGATCGTACCGTGCGCATGTGGGATCTGCCCAGCCAAAACAGCACTCGCAGCTTCGTAGGCCACACGGATTATGTCCGCAGCGGCGCCTTCATGCCCGGATCGTTGGCCTCATCGGGCCTGTTGGTGTCTGGTAGTTACGATCGCACGGTGCGGCTGTGGGATCCCCGCGTGGAGACCCGCGCCGCCATGACGTTCAAGATGGGTGCGCCGATTGAGAGCGTGTTGCCCATGCCCACGGGAACGACGGTGCTCGCTGCCGCGGACAACAAAATCGCCGTGCTCGACATCGTTGCCGGCAAACCCCTGCACATGATCCAGAGCCACCAGAAGACGGTCACATCACTGGCGCTGGCCTCAAACGGGGAGCGGTTACTTTCCGGTGCGCTGGATGGTCACATGAAGGTCTTCGAGACAACGGGGTGGAATGTCGTGTCCGGGTCCAAATACCCGTCTCCGGTTCTGTCGTTGAGTGTCATCAAATCCGGCGTTGCCCAGGAAGATAAGCACATTGCCGTCGGTATGGCGTCCGGTCTATTGTCGATAAAGACCCGGCTGTCAGGACAGCAAAAGATCAAGGAGAAGGAGCGTCGCAAGGAGATGCAGGCGTTGCTGGAGGGTAAGCTGGAGGAGCACGACCGGAAAGTGGCCAAGCAGAAGCGCGGCACCGGCTGGGAGAAGCGTCTCCGTGGTCGGGATTTTGTTGGTGAGGGTGTGGACATTGTGATCGAGGGACGCGATACCGGCAAGCGCAAGAGAGAGCAGACCTGGGAGCACGATCTGCGCAAGGCCCGCTACTCGGCGGCTCTGGACCATGTGCTCAGCTCCAGCGACAAGACGGCCCAGCTGACACTCTTAACGGCGCTGCGCCATCGGTCCGCCCTGCGTGCCTCCCTGCAGAACCGCGACGAGGTGTCGCTGCAGCCGGTGCTTTCCTGGGTTCACAAGAATCTCACCGAACCGCGCCTGGTGAATCTCTGTGTCGAGGTGGCCATGAACGTGCTGGACATCTATTCGGGCAACTTGGGCCAGTCTGCCCAGATCGACAAGATGGTGGAACGACTGCACCGGAAGGTGCGCGACGAGGTGGAAATGGCGCACCAAGCTTGTCAGACCAAGGGCATGTTGGAGATGCTACGGGCGTGCTGAATTGGGTGTCAGCACAGAAAAGCAAAACATTGAATAGAGCTTGTTTACCATATTGGATACCTCGGATGGAGTTTGGGGTTCTTTAGGCATATCACATGCAGTGTATAGCAGATGATCTACATGTTCCTTCACCTCCAGCATGTTCTCAGCTTTTTCTTATCTTGTATTCTCTTTGGTAGTCCAGTATCAGTTGTAATTAGGGATCTTCCTATCGGTGGATGTCATGAACCTGAGGCTTCAAGTTTTCTGAATTCAGGCTACTAATCTGAATGGTGCAGTGGGGAACTAAATATATATTACAAGGTACCACCACGACTAAGGTCAAGGAATATCGGCGGGTAATTATTTCCAACTTGTTTGAGGGTCTTCGTCTTATGACGAAAAAGAAGCATAATTATCTAAGATATCAGATGTATAAGCATTTCCCAAGCTAACTAGTATTAAGTTACTGACTCTACCTACTGTACTTAGTCTAGATATTAAGTTGCTTTTGCTGGTCTGCCAAAGATCTCGGAACGGCTAAAGAAGGATAAGGAGGGACTTGGCAATTTCGACGATAAGCCTCTCGGCTCGGACTAAGTATTATTCCAGCGGACGGGACAGTCGGGGTCGCGAAAAGGCTTAGCGCTCCCGTCGGGCTCCCAATCCAGAAAGGCAGATGAGCCTCGCTCGTGTATGTAAGACAGGCTGACTCTCGTTCCATCAGCCTGGCTTCCTCTCCTCCTCTCTCCTTCTTCCGATTTTCTTCTGCTTCCCTTAGCCACAGCCAGTCTTTTATACCTTCAGGGGAGCAGTATCTTTCTGCTTCTATTCCTAATCCAGAGACAAGAAGTCGTGAATCGACGTGAGTCATAGTCACTCATCTTAGTCTGTCTTATTCGCTTATCAGACATTCCATTCTTGTGCTCCCAATCACCTCGACAATAGACATATCCTCCTCATTTATTACCTATACCCCTTTATCATCCAGTCATTATGTCTGCAGACCAATTGCTTTGCCAAATCAGCCAAAATACGCCTGACGATGAGTGGTTCGACTTCAACAACTCTTTTGATATTCCCTCCGGCTGCCTGGACAGCAATGCGACCTCAGTCGATTCAATCTCGCCGAGAGACCTGGATTTGGCATTCCCGGATTTGGGCGAGTGCAACTGGGGTACCACTCCCACGGCCTGCCCCGACAACCTCTTCTCAGAGTTTGTGAGCTACGACGCCTCATACGAAGCATATCCAGGCCTCGCTTTGGATAACTCGCACATAGACCTAACCGCAAATGATGCCATTCAATCGATTCCTACCCTATCAGACCAAGAGCTCGCCCGGATAGCGTTTGACGATGCCTGGTCTCAGGAAGCGACCTACCCTGAAGACCCCTTCTATGTTAGCATACGACAGATGGTTGAGGCTCAAGCCCTGGCTGACTCTGGTTGTTCCACTATCAAAGAGAAGAGAAGAGATGCCTCCATCGCTATTCACTTGCAGCGCTTACAGGAGGCCGCATCTTCCGATTCCGTTCCTTCGACTTCCAGCACAACGTTCCCCTCTCCATGCTGGTCGGGCTCCGCGCAAAACAGCATTGGTTCGTGTGCAACCCCCGTCACTGGCTCCCCGCCAGACACGAACGAGAAGAGCCAAGTCACGACTGCACAGGCTTCGCCCACCAACGGCGCCATGGAGCTGGTACTCGACCTGAACATGAACACCACGACCAATGTGCCCAAGAAACAGAAGCCAAGGTCGAGGGCTCAGAAGGAGAGCTATATCAAAGTTCGTAAATACGGGGCCTGTGAGAAGCATCGAAAACAGCATAAGCGAGTAAGTTGTTACCTTCGGTGGTGCCTGGGGTTATCCGAGACTCTGTCCTAATCCGATTGTGATTACAGTGCAATTGCCTTGAGAAGACGGCTGCTCTTAGCATTGCGAATGACTCGTTTGCTTCCTTTACCAATGCGGTGGCCAAATCTTCGGCTATCAACTCTCAATTATACGTCCCCGGACGTGGAAATGAGCGTCACCCCAGCTGGAAGCATACAAGCACGCCTACACTACAACCAACAGGACTTCAGGGATCAGTGCAGGAGACTGCACGCTCACGGGTGCAACTACCGCATGCGCTCTGTTCCTCCAAGGCCAGCGTTCTGGTAACTCAACCAGCACAGCAACTGCGGCCAACTACGCAACAGCCTGCACGCCCTTCGACTACAGGCCAGCTGGATTCACTCCTCCGTCGTCCCCCACAATCGACAATACTACGTCGCCCTGGCGACCAGACCGTTGTGACGATGAACAGGAAGCACTTCCAGTCGGACGGCGGTGCCATCCGCACGTCACGGACTCACTGTCAGCTGACGGGCACCCTATATGTAGACCAAGATCTACAGACCCATACCCAACGAAGCCCGTCGCTCAAGGTTCCCCGTGGAGTCGTTGCCAATGGCAGCTGCGATCAAACCCGTCGCAAGACGCATGTCAACCTACAGTCAGTCGAATCAGCCTGCGAAACGACTCGCACCCCGCTGCAAAGAAGCAAGCGTGGCACGTCGGATACCCAGCCGCGCGAAACTCAGCTGCAGACCTTTGCCAGAAATACTGGCACCTTGGTCTTGCACAATGTTTCTGCATTCACACGCTTCTTCGACTTTGGGAAAATGTTCGCCTCTTGGCTGGGCTCGTCTTTCGGCAAGCTCGCCGTTTCCACGACTCGGAAACATTGGCTCGCTCGGAAGGAAATGGGTCTTTGGTGATTGGAGAATCGATCTACCCTCTGCCAATTTTGTTGTTGTGTTTGCGCGGAAGATACCATATACCCGTTGTTTGCATCTTGTATAATGTTGGATTGTTGTTTCAGGGCCGGTGACTAGGGGGATAAGCAGGTTCCATAATCTAGATGGAGTTGAAGAGTATAAATGTTTCTGCTACCTGATCTTTGGACAGTTTGATTACCCCACCTCTTGTAGTTGTAGATAAATTGATGTTGTTAGTAGTGCTGGCGGGACAGACAGACACCACGTGGGTGGGAAGGGAGGGAGGGAGTGTCTGTTCCATGGGTGGGTGGATTGATTGCACCTGCTGACTGTGAGCAGACAGAATAAAAGTGTTGTGCTTAGATCGAGCATACTTTTGCAACTATCAACAAATCCATTTCATTTTTCCTACCCCAGACATCACCCCCACAGTGGAAGTCCGGAGAGGGAACCTCTCAGTCACTCGGGAGATGGCTAGAAAACAGGTACTTCCGGCCCCGCCCGGTTATTGGCCGCTTCACCACCATCTCTCTCCCCGTCGTCGCCTGTCGATGTTTTGTCGCATTCCACTGATCATGTAAGTGCGCCTCGCTGACCGGGCTGGTATCGAAACTGCCATAGTCTCACTGCAGATTTGAACTAATACTACATCAAGACCCCTCCTACTCGTGGCCACCCTCCTGACTGCCGGGTTCGTCCTTATGGCCGAGTCAACTCCAGCCGAGTCGCATTGGCGATTTTCCATTGTGCCAGGGTATTTCCTGCAGAGCGAGCCCACCACCGATGCAGGCAGCTTTGACTACGTATGACTTCCTTTCTTCCGTGGGCGGTGGTCCCAGCGCAGCGCCCCTCAATTGCGTTTCAATCCAAAATGCTAATCGTACAAATCAGGTAGCCGCCAACTTCGGCCTCATTCCCCGAGCCTACGACTCGGACCCCAAGTTCGACCCCGACGGAAAGAAGACGCAATGGGAGCGCTTCGAGTACCAGGTCCGCAAGCTTAATCGCGAAGCTGAGCCCGACACCACCTACAAGGTGCTATTTCTGGGCCGCCACGGACAAGGCTATCACAACGTAGCTGAGGCCAAGTACGGCACTGAGCTCTGGGATGTACGTACAGCAACTTAGATCGAGGCCTTACCTCATCAACCACTCTATCCGCTCATTTTGGTCGCATCGTCTGACGCAAACAGTGCTACTGGTCCCTACTCGACGGCGACGAGAACGGCACCTGGGTCGACGCCCGTCTCACCGACCTAGGCATCGCACAAGCCAAGACCGCCCACAACGCCTGGAAGACGCAACTTGCCGATAAGATCCCTACCCCGGAGACTTACTACGTGAGCCCGCTCAACCGGTGCCTTGCGACCGCGTACCACACATTCAGTGGCCTGGGAATCCCCCTCACGGATCCTTTCCGGCCCCTCATCAAAGAGGTACATCCCCTAAACCTACCCCCCCCTCCCCCTGCCCCCATCTCCCTCTTTGCTCAACATCAAAACACCCACTCAAACTAAGGAAAACCACAGCTCCTCCGCGAAACCATCGGCCAACACACCTGCGACGGCCGTTCCTCCAAATCCGCCATCGAGGCCGAATACCCGCTCTACCGCATCGAGCCCGGCTTCGCCGAGACCGACCCTCTGTACGACGCCCGCCTCCGCGAAAGCGACTCGGCCCGGGACAAGCGCTTCCGGGATCTGTTCCAGGACATCTTCGGCCACGACGGCAACACTTTCCTCTCTCTGACGGCGCACTCGGGCGCCATCACGAGCATGCTGGTGGTCACGGGCCATCGGCCGTTTGCGCTGGAGACGGGCGGCGTGATTCCGATTTTCGTCAAGGCGGAGAAGGTAGCCGGGGCGTTGCCGCCCATGGAGGTGGAGCCGTGGTTTCCGCCGCCGGCTTGTAAGAATTGACCGTTTGGTTGACTCGATGAGTAGATGTTGATTTCTTAGAGAGGGGGACTTGGTTTGGGTCCGATATGTTCGGTTTGGTGTTGTATAGAGCATTGGTTCATTGTTTATTGGTTATGCGTTGATAATGGTAGATTGCGTGTCAACCTGGTAGGTATGCTTGAGTGGTAGAAGAGTCGGGAGTTAAGTGAAGTCGAAGTAACGCATATATTGGAATATTGTACAGAAGATAGGAACAGTAACCCATGAGATAAACAAACTGCTCATGCACATGCATGCCACATATCATCAGAAACCCCTATCACCAACCATCCCAGTTGTAAACAAGGTTGACAGCAGCTGCCGCCGCCTGCGAGGAGATATCCCATCAGCCGGAGTGTAGTACTTGCTTTCTTCAAAGTAGAGGATCCTAAAGGGGAACGGAAACATAATACAGTTTGATGAACGGAACGCCGTGGAGGAAAAACAAAACCAGAGACTAACAAATGCAAAGAAAAAGCTACCCCAGGTTTGCTTTTGTTGCCATTACAAGACTCGAAAAGTTGTGCAATATCTACCAGGAGTAGTACTGGTTCTGCTGGGAGATGGGCCGATCCGGAAGCGGAGTCCAGAGCTGAGCCTTGCGGCGGCGGAGATCACGGGCATCACGCTCCTTCCACTCACGGATACGGGTCTTCTCCTCCTTGAGGACGACGGAGAGACCGGTGTGCGGGGGCCGGAGGCGGTTGATGACACCGCGGGCGCGGTGGTCGTAGTCGGAGCCGTAGGGGCCGCGGTTGACCCAGGCCTGCTCGATGTAGATGGCGGAGGGATCAGCGATGGTCTTCTTGGAGCCATCCTTGAGGGTGATGGTGACGGGCTTTTGCTTTTGCTTGGGGGACGATTCCTCCCCGCCCTGGCCCTGAACAGCGCCGAGCCCCATACCGGAGCGGACGATAGCGACGTTCTTAGCGTGCTCGAGGTGCTCGAGCACATCCTTGGCGGCCTTCTTCTTGCTAAACCGCATCTGCAGCATCGCCTCGTCGATATTCTTACCCGCGATCTGCCGCGCCAGCGGTCCCAGCTTCTTGACCGACGTCTTGAAGAAGTGCGACTTGCTCAGCGACTCGCGCTCCGTGCGCATGATCTTCTCCGCCTGCGTCAGACGGCCCCGTCGCCGCACCTCCCGGATCACCATCTTCCTCTCCCACCGCATCCGCGTCCCCGGCTTCGGGTCCAGCACCGCGTCCATCATCGCCCGGTTGCGCTCCTCCACCGCGAACGTCCGCGCCACCTCCTCCTCCTCACCTTGCTCCCGTGCGGCGTCCCCCTTCTTCCGGCTGCTCGGCGTCCGCCCCTTAGGAATCAGCTTCGGTCCCGTCTCCGCTTCCCCGAAGATCGAGTCCGCGCTCAGCGTTCCCTCGCGTTTGGGTGGTGCCGTCGTCGGCCGAATCGTAGGCTTCTCCGTCTCCGTCTTGCTGCCGCTGCCGAAGAAGAAGTTCTTGAGCGAGGTGAAGGCGGAGGTGGGTTTCGAGTCGGATTTTTGCTGCGGCTGCTGATTGCCATTGTTGTTCTGCTTCTTGTTTTTATTGGGGCTGTCCTCTTTGGCATACCGAATGCCCGTCGAGGTCAGCGTGCGGCGTGGCACGTAGGTCAGGTTGGTCCGGGCTGCTGCAGTTTGGCTTTGGTTAGGCACGAATTTCTCAGGTTGTTTAGGGTTTTCGGAGCCATCAGATTTGCATGCGTACCTGACCGGATGAGGTGCCCGTAGGGTTGAACGGAACCCATTGAGGCCATGATGAGGGCGGATGGCGGGGGAATGGCTAAGGGGGGTTCGTTGTTTGCGTGCAACGGGAGTCCGGAGATCTTGAGGGAAAAAAGTGTTGGTTGATTGATGGGCTTGGCTTTGCGCGAGTGGTTTGTTTGGATGGCTGGAGAAGTAATGCCTTGCCCATAAGGCATGAATGGTTGTTCACCGCCACAAGAGGCTGGTGGGGTTGTTGCTCCGCACTAGCCACCGAGTCTCGCTCAGGCTCAGATCCCACCAGCCCAAACAAGTAATGTCGGCCGGCGCCCGGACACTGCAGGGTCATGTGCCACGGCTCTAACGAGCATCCCACTGGCTTCCGTTGCCGCCAATAAGTCCCGATCCTCTTGCTGCACGATTACCTCATAGGCCGAGCCCAGCGTCTTTTTTGCTCTTTTCTTTTGTTGCTTAGCCCATTAAGGAGCAGCCGCCCCAGCCCTAGAGTTTACGGAGTCCTGCTGTCTGATGGTTAAGGGAAGTGAAATGAGATTCAACATGGTTTGAGAATCTTGCATGTCTTTATTGCATGTCGTCGGACCGGAACCGAATCCATTTCCTTCCAGTCTCTTGACATATCTTTTCAACACCTATCACATACACTACACCTCCACCCACTCACCCACCACCACGGGATAACTTCCTTTTCCCCGTGTGGTGGTGGTAGTGCTGGTGCTGGTGCTGCCCACCCGGAGACAGCACATAGACATCGGACATCGGTAGACCGGAAAGGAAAGACCGTGCTGCGGCCATTACGTCGAAGGATGATGGATGGATGCTGTTCTTCTCCCCTGTCGCACTTGTTACACAACCCGTGAATCCATCGCAGTCGAGATCCTCTCAAAATTGCAGTTTCTATTCTTATAAATCATAACAAGTAGGCAGTCAGGTTATTTCCAGTATGTCTTGGGAGGTCACTGCCTTATCAGATGTTCGGATGTTAGCATCGGTCGCTTCTGCTCGAGGCAACAGAAGTTGGGATCAACTTGGTCCCGACCTTACAGAACATACCAACATCCGCCATCGTCAACCGATCCGATATCATCTCCCACTCCCATAGTGGGGGGTGGAATGACTTGACCACTTCCTTTCTGTAGAAGGTTCAATTTCTTAAAACCCATCCACAAGAACCGTAATAGACAGACAGCCGGATAGAAAGACAGTAATCAGTCGTGTCTCAGTCTCTCTCCACCCTGCTTGGTCTGGGTCAAACAGGGCGGAAGTGGTTGTTGCTATTGTTGTTCATTGATTGACTGATTGATTGTTCAAGCTTGCTCGTTGCTATCGCGCCCTCTTTTGCTCGGATGCCGAGCTGGTTTATTTTTTTTTTACCCTTCTTTTGCTGCTCAAACTCCACCGCGTCCACTGCCTGCCTTCTTCTGCCTCATTTGTTCTGGTCATCCGTTTTTTTCTGCTGTCTAGTCTTTCTTCAACTCTCCTCCTCCTCCTCTTCTTCCCTCCCTTTCTCCTCCGGCCCTCCCTCTCCCTCTCTCTCTCCCTCTCTCCCTCTCTCTCTCTCTCTCTCCATCTTCACCAACTCCCCAAAGGGACATCCCGTGCGTGTTGTCTTTCCCTATTCCTCCCCTCTCCTCATCCACCCACTATTTCCCCATCTTTTTCCCGCCCAAAGGGCTCCGCCGCTGACTTGCCCTTTTTAGCTTCCTCCCTATCGCTCGGACCAAGATCAGTTCTCTCTGGTTGGAGCGAGTGTGTTGGAGACTGTCTCTGTTCCCCTCTCCCTTCTACTTCTCGTCTCCCGGTCCCTCTGCTTCCCCCCCCCCCCCCCTTCCCCTCCATAAGAGTATTAGACAAGGCAGACAGCGAGACGTCCGCTCGCTCGTTAATCTCTTTACGGGTCTTGGTTCTTCTCTTCTGCGTCCGCCCAGCGCCTCACTCTCGCAGCCTTTGGCAACGCGCCCAACTCGTCAAGCTTCCTCCCACCTGCGAATCAATCAATAAAGGCCTGAATAAATCCGAGAGGTCTTCAAATACCTCATCAACTTTGATTTGCTTGGTTGCTTTTCTTGTTGGCTATTTCCTATTTTAAAGACTCTTCGAACCTTTTCTCCCCCTCCTCTTCTTCGATCTCTTTTATCTGTTTATCTCTTCTTCACCTCTTAATTTCCTCGGTTGTCTTCCTCCCGCCGGCCAGCCCACTCACCACTCACTGGCCCCCGAAACAGTGACGAACGGATCCCCTTCCATCCACCCTCCCTCTAGACCACCACCACCCCCAAGAACAAGGATATTCCAAAGCAAGAAAACGCCACTCCATCCTCCGGTACTGTACCTCAAAGAATCTGGCCAGGTTGTGACGAGTGCAGGAATGGACTCGTTGATGAGGCCACTTGTGACGGTTCTTTAATTCGAGTTTTCTTTCGTCTATTTCCTTGTCTCTCTCTCTCTCTCTCTCTCTCCATTCTCCCCTTCGAGTCTTAAAACTTACGTCAGCACCCTAGCTGGCGCTTGGACTCTGCTTGATATCTGCCGTCCCGGTTTTGCTCTTGTCCTCTTGCTCGTCATCCCACAGCCTTGATGATGGACATCAACTCCCTCCTTTCGCCGCAGGATTCGAACTCACAGTCCGGGCGCACCACGCCCTCCGCGGGGTCTACACCCGCGACCAATGCCTCGGTCCCGACCTCAGGCCCGCCGCCGCCAAAACCCTTGCGAAAGACTCGTCCCGGCGCGGCCAAGCAGGGTATGACCTCCTCGCCGCTGGCGCAAGTTGTGTACGCCCCGAATCAACTGCCAGATCCGTCACCGCCCGCGAACAGCCCCAAGGTTGGTCCCAGCATGGGAAGTGGCAGCGGAACCCCCCCGGCTACCGACTTGCCGCCTGCGAGACAACCCTCGACTCCGGGTATGGACACACTGGCCGATCTAGCGTCGATGCAGCATCACCAGCCCCAGCGTCCCGGCGCCCCTCTCTTGCGCAGCAGCCATGAACGATACGAAAACCAGCTGTCACCCTCCACCATGTTCCCCCACGTCAACCCCATCTCCCACAACACACCAACTCCACGATCCTCGTTCGATATCGCTATGTCTGATGGCCCCCGGGAGAGCGCACAACGAAGCTACTTGGATACCTCCTTGGTTCCCAACGCCCAACGACAGGCGACCGACTTGTTTGCACAGATCCAGGAAAACCCACAGTCGTACGAAGCGCACGTCCGGTTTATCCGTCTGCTACACGCAGGTTTTGTCAACCACGTCTATCCGCCCACTAACCCGGACATCCATGGGGACCCGCGCAAATACGATCTTCTCAAGGACATGCGCACCGCTCGCGAGGAGATGGACAAGCTTTTCGCCATGGGCGAGGATCTGTGGGCGGAGTGGATCCAGGATGAGAGTATGCTGGCACAATCGGTGGAAGAACGCATCGCCGTCATGGAGCTCTGTCAGCGGTCCGTGGAGGAAGAGTACGGTAGCACCAAACTCTGGGGTATCTACGGAGAATGGGTGCTGTATCTCTACAAATCGGCTCATGGCGATGCGAGTCAAAGCTCCTGGACCGAGGAAGATCGGATGGTCGGGCGCGAAGTTTTCACATGGCCATCAGTCCTGGAGGTCTGGCATAGAGGAGCTGAGTCGACGCAATGGCGAATCCACGACAGTCATCTAGTTTGGGATCGCTTCCTCGACTTGGTCGTCCAGGATCTTGCCCGCAACCCGTCGCAGGAGAAGGTTAATCATGTACGAAACTTCTTCGATGTTCGCCTTGCGACTCCCCACGCCACCTGGGACCAGACTTTCCAGCTGTTCTCCGGCTTCGTATCGACCTATTACAACGCGAACTACGAAAACATCATGGCCGACATGGTCGGGAGACACGGCACGTCAGCCAAGGAGCAATATTCCGCTCGCGAAGAGTTCGAAATCAAGCTACGCAACGCGACCGAGGCCGGTGAGTTGGGACAAGAATATATCTTGTTCACCGAGTATCTCGAGTGGGAATTGAGTCGGAACCGTCGGAAACGGCATTCGGGCAATTTCGAACTTGTCAAGTCGATCTACCAGCGCGCAGTGCTTCGCTTTCCGACCGATTGCTGTATGTGGGAGGACCTCATCATGTACCTTGTTCGTGAATCGATGCACGGCAACACGAAGACCTCGACAATGGCAACCTTGGACCGTGCGACGCGCCACTGCCCCGGTTCAGGCACCCTCTGGTCGCAATATCTGCTGAGCTCCGAGCGCGAAGGACAGACCTTTGCGAAGATTGCGGACATCAAGCACAAAGCCACGAGCACGGGCTTGCTGGACGTTGGAGGCATGGAAGAGGTCCTGAAGGTTCATACCGCCTGGTGTAGTTATCTGCGTCGGCAGGCTTTCTTGTCTGATTCGACCGATGAAGACATCGACGTGGCGGAGGTTGGAATTCGATCTGCTATCGAAAGCGTCCAAGAGCTCGGCGAAAAGAAATACGGCCGGAACTATCAGGGTGACCCCCTATTTCGTCTCGAACGCATCTATATTCGCTATCTGAGTGAGAGTGGCAGCTGGGATAGTGCCCGGGAGACTTTCAAGGGTCTGGTGGGCCGTCGTGGCAACAGCTACGAGTTCTGGTTGACTTACTATGAGTGGGAGCTCATTTCCTGGAGCAAGTTTGTGCAGGGAGAAGCCACCATTGATGCCGCCCGACGCACCCCCAACCCCAGCTATGCCACCGCCGTGTTGAAGCAGGCTATCAAGCGGACGGATTTGGACTGGCCAGAGAAGATTATGCAAGTCTACATCGCCCACTGTGAGGATTACGAGGACTCCGATGAGCTGCAGTTGGCGATCCTTGAAACCCGCAAGGCGGGGAAAGCCATCGCAGCCCGGCGCGAGCGGGACGCAAGGGAGGCGACCGCGCGGCTGGCTGAGCAACAAGCTGCAGCCATTGAGCAGGCTACACAAGCGGAGAAGAGGAAGCGGGAGGACGAGATCAACGTGAATGGAGCAGCACCTGCCAAACGGGCCCGTGCAGAGGAGTCCACCCCGTCTGTTCTCATGACGCCTGAACCGGTCGCTCTTCAACGCGATCGCGAGAATGCGACCGTTGTTGTCAAGCAATTGCCCCGTGGCATTACGGAGCACAAGGTCCGGCAGTTCTTTCGCCATGTAAGTTCATTTGCCGTCTCTGCAGGGTGTGCAGCACGAAGCTAATTCTCCAGCAGTGCGGTACGATCAACAGCGTGAAGATGCTTTCTGCTCCTAACGATGGTTCCGAGACGGCCATCATGGAGTTCAACACCCGGGACGAAGCCGTCGTTGCCCAGACCCGTGATCAGAAGATGATTGATGGACACACCATCGAGGTCCAGTTTGGCTCGGGGTCCACACTCTTTGTCACCAATTTCCCTCCCACTGCGGATGAACAGTATATTCGTGATTTGTTCCGTGAGGTGACTTCCCCTTCTGTGCGTAGCCCGGGGACAACATTGCTAACCTACTGCAGCACGGCGAAATCATTGATATCCGCTTCCCGTCGCTCAAGTACAATACGCATCGCCGATTCTGCTACGTGCAGTTCAGGACGTCTGGAGAAGCTTACAGTGCCACCCAGCTAGATGGATCCACGGTTGGAAATGGCCTGCACCTGGTCGCCAAGATTTCCGATCCTACTCGCAAGCAAGACCGTCATGGGCCAATGTACGAGGGACGTGAGATCCATGTATCCAATCTGGACTGGAAGGCTAGCGAACAAGACGTGGAAGAGCTGTTCCTGCGTTTTGGCAAGGTCGAACTGGTTCGCATTCCCCGTAAGGTGGATGGAGGCAGCAAGGGCTTCTGTTATGTCGTCTTTTCTTCCAAGGTAAGACTTCCAAGACGGCCAATGGTCGCATCGTGCTGATTGGTTTTGTAGGAGGAAGCTGAGGCGGCTCTTGTAATGCACGAACAAGAATTTCGGTCGCGCCCATTGCAAGTCAAGTTGTCCACACCACAGGGGGCCAAACGGAGTGCTACGACGATTCTGTCTCACGTGTCAGCCTCGCGATCTCCATCGGTCGAAGTCAACGGGACTGGCGAGGAGGTAACCAACAGCGACCGGGCGGCGCGCACCCTGGGATTGATGAATGTTCCCGACACGGTCAACGACGCGCGGATTCGGGCGCTGATGGAGCCATTCGGCAAGCTGATCAAAATTATCCTGCGACCGGACCACCAGGGAGCAATTGTCGAGTTCTCCGATGTTCACTCTGCTGGCCAAGCGTCGCTGAAACTGGAGGGAGAAGAGATCGCTCCCGGGCGGAGATTGCATGTGGGCAGCGTGCCGGAAATGCTGAAACAGTCGGCGGAGAAGAAGGGCCCTCATCCCAGCACCGCGGGCAACAAAACAACCGCTGACAAATCCGGGGCGAGACTCCAGCCCACCGGACCGATCAAGCGGCCACCGCAGCCTGGGGCGCGCGGAGGCAAGCGCGGCCACTTGGGAGTGAAGCGAGCCACCGGCGGGTTGCCGGGGCCGAGCCACGCGCCGAATGGAGCCCCTACGACCAACACCACCATGACGACCACGATGACGACGAACACTGACAGCTCTGCTCCCGACGAAGAGCACAAGATTAAAAAGAGCAATGATGACTTTCGTGCGATGATCCAGCGGAGTCGAGCGGGATGAAAGCGTCCGGCGCACTGGATTGCATTGGCGGGTTTGGCATTATCCTCTCTCCGCTTGCTGATGACCTGGGATTCTTTTCTTCTTCTCCTTTTCTCCTTTCTACATTCCCATCCTCGATGTGTCTTTCTACCATAACTTGTCACCGACGCGGTGCTGACGCAGTTCCTCTTTCTATTCTAATCTTCGTGCTGGTTGGGGCCGTGTATTATCATGGACTTTGCTTCGGTCATGGAATCTCCAGCCTGATGTCGGATGTAGATTATGCTTTATCTTCCTTATGATTTGTTTTTCTTTCTTTCTTTCTTATCTCTCTCTGTCTTCGGGTCAGATGGTTATACCTTTTTCTTTTTCCGTTCTGCTTCACCGTCGAATAGGCGATGGAATGACGAGCACGGGTCCAGTGTATGGAGCTGGACACCTCTCCCACGTGATTTGATGGGACACGATCTGATCTTCTTCTGCCTTTGTAGAGTGTAGGTTTATAAGTAGAGGAAAGAGGAGAATTGTCCGACTCTGAACCGTCCGTTGGCCCGGTGAGAACACATTGACTGACATGCGGGGTGTCACCGCGTCGGTAAGTAGGTACTTGAGTGGAATCTGGGAATGCACCGACCGGGTCGGACAGTTGCTAGATTGGGATCCCTGCATCTTCGCATCCTTATCAGTTCATACTAAGTTATATCAACCGGGAAGACGGATATTGAAACCGCGGGCGTTACGGGAAGATACCCACCAACAGGGAGTCGATTCTTAGAATCGTACTATGTGTCTACGGTGCTTGTATGCACTGTACATACCTAGGTAGTTGTACAAATATCACGGGTGGTTTTCTATAGGAGGGACAAAGTGCAGAATGTCCAGCATGTGCGATTCAATTCCTAGCGTAAGGTTACTGGGTAGCTGAGCTCTTGGTTACTGGTAGTTAGTTACATGATTGATTGATGGGTAACTAGACGTTTGTCTTAATTAGTGGTGGGGGTCTGTATGAGCAAAACAAGCTCTGTCATCTGAGCTTCTTTCCTCCCCTCCTTCTTCCCCCCTTGCTGCGCTGGAATCGGAACGTATGAGGGTTGGTTGTTTTGCTGCTGTGGAACTTAAACTGGTTTATGGGAGGAAGCGGGAGAGCGGAATCGGAAATTGTTTGTTGTAGTGCTGAACTTGCTAGACTTGTTGTACTATATTTGTGCTGCAGGTTGGTTTTATGTGCCAGTGTGGTTTAGGAAGGCGCTTGGGCTATGAGGGGATGTTGTTGTGAGGGTGAGTGTGGTGGTGGTGTGGAATGTTGCGTATAACTCATGGTAGTGTCGAGCGCAGGCTGGATCTGTATGCACTTGTAGATTGACTAGAGTTTGAGAGCTTCAAGGGTGGGTTCAGAATCCCCTGATAATTCAGGCGAGTGAGTTGATCATCTGGTGGTATGTACTTCCAGTTGGGAATCATCATGTCATACTCACTCACCCCTCCTCCTCCTCCTCCTCCTCCCGTCGGTCTCTTTCTCGATAGCGCCGAGCGGCTGATGAGGTATTTTTTGTGTGGGAGGGACAGTACATACATACCATGCAATTCCGGAATTGGTTTGAATTGGACTGAATTGATTGAGGAGGGGCTCGTGTCTGATATTTGAATTGTCATCCCCCTTCGTCTTTTTATTTTGTGTGGTTCGTGTGGTGGAGGGAATTGAGTTGACCAACTACACTACTTAATTAACTGAACGGCAAGTTAACTAAAGAAAGAAGAGTAGGCAGGACAGCCTCACCTGACCTCCTGTCCTTTTCCTCATCAGCTCATCCCATCCTATCCCACTCCCACTTCCACAAAATCTCTTATTTCTCACAGCGCATCGCATCTTCTTGTCTCCTTCTCTTATCTCGCATCTGTCGCAATTCCACCGGTCTAAATTTATTCTTTCTGATAAACCCACCATCCCAATCCCTTCCTCCCCGGCTGTTCTTTCGCGCGCGTTCCCGCCGTCTTATCGGCTCGCTGTCGTCATCGCCATATCATTCATTACCGTACTACACTGCAGCACGTAGACAACCTCTTTATCGCCCGCTGTTCGCCAACTCGCCTACTTCTACGATTTCATCGCATCGCATAGACACCATCAACCCCGCGCCAGCATGGATTTCCATCTCGTGCCCCGCGGGGAAGATCGCAATTATACGGGGTTCCTGACGAAAACGATCGTCTACACCGGTTCTTTAATCTTATTCTTAGCCTGTAAGTCTTCGACCCAGAACCCGATTGCAGTCTCGAAATCTCGCGACGTAAATCGCACAGCACAAACTAACCTCGAATCAAACACCTCCAGCCTTCGGCCTAACCGTCTCCTCCATCGTCATCCCAAAATGGGTTAGCTATAGCAGCGAGAAGGTAACGGTCCACTCCGCCCAATTCTTTTCCCCCGGGATTTAGAGCAGATCCGAAAGCTAACTTTGGGGACGTAATGTACAGCCTTCCTTCCACTACTCCTACGGCCTCCATCGCCGCTGCTCCTCGCTCACCGGCACCTGCGACAGCTTCCCGCAGCGCGAGGACTGCCACGGCGAGGACCGGTACTTCTGTTCGATGTGGCGGTCCGTCGGGTTCCTGATGTCGTTTGCTGTCGTGCTGGAGGGGATGAGCATCGTTGCGTTTCTGATCGTTTTGTCCGGCGGGAAGCGGTTGCGTGAGTCCGGGTGGAAGACTCTGAGTCTGTTCATTCTGTTGTCTGCTGTTGTGCAGGCGGGGAGTATGGGGATTGTGGTGAGTCCTTCCCCCCCCTATTGGGTGGGGACGCTGGCAGGGTAGTGCTAATACGCTGGGCACCTAGGCATATCTCTTCGACAACGAGGAGCGCTTCTTCGTCGGCTGGCGCCTCGATGAGTCCTGGATCTATTGTACCGTCAGCTGGTGCGTGAGTCTGGTCTGTGCTGCGGCGTTGATCCTGGCTGCGCATACGTTGCCTTCTGAGGGCGGGTATGAGTTGATTCCGGATCATTCATGATACTATACGTGTTAGGGTTGAAGCTGGGGAGAGCGGGTAGTGTGGGGCTGTGCTTGATGAGACTTATACGATATGATCATGACTTTCACCTCTTGTATCTGGCGTTGGTGGATGATTGACTAATACCGGTTCTGCGGTTCTGTGTTTGTGATTGCGTTCGTTTGCGGGGTTGTTTTCTGATTTTGCATGCTGGGGCTTATTGCTGGGTCAGCTTATAGGTACTTAGTGATAGTTTTAATGCCGTTAGAGGAATATATACGGTTATATGCTAGTCAGGTACAATGCAGTTGTATTCTGGGCCAGTGGTACTTGTTACTTGAGTATGCTTAATGATGGAGTGAGTGGTTCGGATAAACAGCTTACGCTATGTTATCCAACCATGAACCGATACAAATGAGATCCTCAAGCCATCCCTTCTCAGTCAAATGGGCGCAAGCAGGATCTTCAATCCTCTACGGCTGTTCTGGTTAGCAAACGATATGTAAATGGAAAGCGATGGAAGTTGAAGAAAGGAGCTAAGGCTAATGCATAAAGTCAATTAAGAATGACAAGAAACCTGATACACAATTATTGGAATCCTGATTCGAGACGAAAGTAAGCAGTGCACATGTAGGTCACAGCTTGGACAGGTTTCTATCTTCCGACCAAATTGGCCATACATAATATCAGCCCAATAGCATAGGGGTAGCATGGTTGTATAGATTGACGCACAACAGAGGGTATCGAAAATAACATGGAAGTACTTAATCTTTTTTAAAGAGATATCTTCAATATAAGTCTTTTTAGTTTTAGGGCATAGATTTGGCGTTATCATTCTTCTTTTCATGAATTGCGAGTCACTCTTCAATCTCTCACAGTACTGTTCCAAAGACACCCACCATCACTCCATAGGTAACCGACTACCAGCCAACCCAAACTAGTATATGGCTGCGCCGACAGCAGAAGTCCTCAGCTTGCTAAAGCCAACTCACTCCCTTATTTGTTTTGTATGTCACTGTATCAAACTCTAGGATGATAAAGATACTAGAGAGGTGTAGGAAGGTGTAGAAAGACAGTATAGGCCACGAGTAAGAAGAACAAAGGCCGGGGCCCCATTCGCCTCAAAGACAGTGTAGAAGGCGCTGAAGATGGCCGCAGCACCATTCGCACCAATGACCTATCCGGGAGGTGGCTCGTATCAAGAAACGGGCTGCAACTTCCTGTCGTTCGAGTACACCGTCCTACCAGTGACTGGTCTCGCAGACTGACATCGACGACGACATTGCCTATACGGCAGGCAGAATCAGTGGATCAGTCTTTGATACGTGATAATAAAAGGGCCTTCTCGACAGTACTTACTCTCAATATCCTAGGTTGGAGACTGATTGGTTTTCCAACGAGGTTCAGATATGTGAGTAAGTAAAGGCAGGCAGATGATAGAGAGAAGAAAAGACCCAGAGAGGAAGATAGGGGCGAGGCTTCTAAGTAATGCCAGTACTCTCCCGACTGACTGCATCAAGCGAGGATCCTGAAATTACAGCTCGATATAGTGAGTACAACACACACATATCACCCTTTTTTTTTCTTTTTTTTGGCTCCCAAGAATAAAAGTTACCTAAGTCTATATACAGACTTGGCTGTCTTTTAGCTTCTTGTGAGCTTATGTAACCCTTCAGACTAACCGGGAGAGTCCTGGAAACCATTATCATATATAATAGGCAGCTGAGTGTTTTGGTTGATATGAAGGCTGCTTGCTCTTCGTTGAAGCTGTGAGGGCGTAGCCTGGAGGTATACAGTAGATGCCGACAGCGCATGGTTGGAGTATGGGAAGGCTAAGCCTGTTTAGGACTAACCTCATGCTTGCCGAGTACCGAACCACATGGGGATTGGTGCCGGCCCGGTCCTTTAGCCTGACGGGCCTGAACTGGGTGGGTGATTGAAGGGCAAAGTCTGCCATTGCACCTCTGCTGTTTGTCAATCCAATAGTGAAAAGTGTGCAACCGCCTTTCAACTCTGCGTGAGAATATCGAGCTGCTGGTAGCCATCTCTCCGAGCTAGCACCACGTCAGACACATCTTGCAGTATCTGCTGCAACACGCGCTAGCAATGTAAAGGGCCAAACAGCCCTCAGTCTAGCATGATCATACAATCATGCTAGACTGAAGTCAAGATGGCCTGAAGAACTTGCCAAACATAAAGGTTGTCAGACTCCTATATATATCCTCACGTGGGTCGTGCACAAAGAACCCTTGCCGGAACTTTAACCGGGATGTTCCCCTGCAAACAAAGGATTGAGGCAGGCCGGAACATGGAATTCTCCGGCTCAGGATGGCTTACAGGCATCTACCTCTAACTCACAGAAGCGCAGGCTTGATGCTGGGTCTTGACCCTGGCAGGGCTTCTGGGTTGTATGCTGATTAGTTGGCTGATTGGTTGGCTTGTCCAGTATACAGGGACTTACTGCCTGCGCTTTTGGCTTGACTTGTGCCAGAGGCTACTGTATCCACTGGCTTGAAGAGAGGAGGAGTAATCCCTTAGCCATATAGATCCAGGCTGTAGGTACCAATCAGGATACAGGTGGTCGACATGATTAAGAGGTGCTTGTGAGTACACTTGCTGCCTTGCTTGCTTGGTAAGATTGTATTCGTGACTAATCTGTTGTTAATCCTCTGAAGGAGTCAAGTAAAGGCAAAAATGACATAGTCTGAGGAATATGTAATCTTCAGAGAGCCTTATGCCTCTTGATCTGGAATCCTAGTTAAAATCCGTGTAGCTGGGGGTCTGTGTTGCCTCCTCAAGCCTTTCCCCAGCTCTGCTGACACATTGTTCCTAATGTATCAGAGTCGTCTCGCCAGCCTGCACCGAATACGGGGGCACTGTTATGCTCTGCGGAGATGCGAGTTTCATATAGGAGGATTGGCGATGGCAATTCGCGCGTTACTCCTCAGACAAGAAACCCCAAGTCTGAAATTGCTGTGCCGAAAGCACCACGTGTATTTTATGCCGTATATGCGATACATTTTACATAGATTATGCTTGAGCTGTGTACATAAAGTTGTACTTACGATTACAAATGCTACGCGAAATATGAGTATAGAGATACTATAGGTTATTTACTAGTATCTGCGAGGACTATACTTAAGGTTGCCGCTCAAGCTACTGTCATATGACCGCCGTCCATTTGGACGCCAGTCATGGTCATGTGACAAGTCAGAGATATCTTAATAAGGATAACCTTGAAGTGTAAATAAAATACGAAACTGACAAGAATGATTTCTGTTTGGGATCTCAATCAAGACCTATCTTATACTATCTGATATAACTTAAAAGGCCTGACTTATAGTAAATATACTAATAACAAGTTGGAAAATCAACGCCAGCAGTTTTTCTGCACAAGTTTACTGTTATCACCTGTCAGGCCACTCTGATAAGCCACTGCACCAATCACACCCGCCTTATAGCGTATTTCCGCCCACCCCCACAATATCCAATCTTCCCCTCCTCCTCCTCCCTCCACCTCACAACCACCCACAAAACCTCCCTCTCTCTCCCAAACCCCAACACCGCACAATAAAACCAGGAGATGACCACCCAACCCGAAGGCCTAACGCCATCCCAACTCGCCTTCTTCCACGAGAACGGCTACCTCGTCCTCCCCAACCACCTCACTTCCGACGAAGTGCAGCGCTGCCTGCAAGAAACGCAGCACCTCCTCGACACCTTCCCGCTCGACACGCACCCACTCACGCAATTCACCACCGGCGACGATGCCTCCACGCAAGGCAGAGAGCACGTCGGCGACGACTACTTCCTCAACTCTGGCGACAAAATCCGGTACTTCTTCGAGCCCGACGCCTTCGACGCGAATGGCGCCCTCGTCAAGCCCAAAGCCCAGGCCGTCAACAAGATCGGCCACTCGCTGCACAGCCTCTCGCCGCCGTTCCGCGACGTGAGCCTGAACGCCCGCAACGCCGCCATCGCGCGCTCCCTCGGCTTTCGCGACCCCCGCGTCTTGCAGAGTATGGTCATCTGCAAGCAGCCCAGTATCGGCGGCGCGGTGCCCAGTCATCAGGACTCCGAGTTCTTGTATACCGATCCGCCGTCGGCGGTTGGATGGTGGTTTGCGTTGCAGGACGCTGGGGTTGGGAATGGGACGTTGGGCATGGTGAAGGGTTCGCATACGCGGAAAGGGATCGCCAGGAGGTTTGTGCGGAGGGCGGATGGGAGGGGTACGGAGTTTGTGGAGAATACCGGTGCTAAAGGGCCGGTTGGGTTTGTCGAGTCTTCCGACAAGGAGGGGGAAGGGGAGGTCGAGATGTTGGATATTAAGGCTGGTTCGTTGGTGCTCATTCATGGTAATGTTGTGCATCAGTCGCAAAGGAATACTAGCGACAGGAGTCGATTTGCGTATACGTTTCATGTTATTGAGGGCGCTGATGGCTCGGATTATGATCGCAGGAATTGGTTGCAACCGCCGGAGAATGGTGAGTTTACGAGGTTGTATCAGTGAGCGGGGTGGTTTGAGGGAGTGTATATTATGAGATTAGTGTAGAAAAGAATCCAGGTGGTTGATTGATATCACCTGATGTATAAGCGAAGATGCCAGAAGAGACGCCTTGAGACTGTCACTCATGCTATTCCACTTAGATACATACACAGAGAACACCAAGCGCTTTTCGACCTTTGCCCTAACCATCTCCTCATGCATACACAGATCAGTCCACTGGACCTTCTGTGAGTGCTCCTATTTGCCCGACTCGCTTCCCTGGGAGGCATGCTTGATTTCCCTCATTCATTAGTCTCGGTTTGGACCCAAAGCGTCCGAAGTACAGTACATGGTGGTTGCATTAGATGACTGTCGGAAACAGACAGGAATCCTCTCTTGTCACAGGACTATCGCATACTCGCCTGTATCAATAGTAAGGGAAGCGGATCCTTAGCACCCCGACACCAGGGGTAGCATGCCTTTGTCTCGAAACCCTAGAAGACCAGCCTCGATGCCGAATCTGACAAGCACTCATGTTAACTACATTGGCTTTTTCTGACCATCACTTTGTTTGCCTCCCTTTGTAGGATCGATTGTTACGCTAACCGCCCGGAGACCGCAGTTGGATAACAACATAACCAGGGCAAGGGCTAGCACTGGGTCTCGGATGGGCTTTTACCAACCGGTTTAAACAGAGGTGAGTGGCAAGAACATGAAGATCCCTTAATCCTGGCCTAGTTGGCCAAGACATCGAAGTACTATCTCTACCTTCTCGTTGTTCTTTAGTGAGAGCACCGGCTGACTGAAAGTCCCCAGGTCTTGTTTCATCCGCGATGGCTTGTTGTCCGACACCCTTTGTCTATGATCTGTTTTGGAAATCAACAACAACCTAGGCTGTCCTCCATTATCCAGTTCCGCCGAAACAACACAAAGGCTATCTCAGAACAAACCCCCCAAAGAACAATAATGGAGCGGCCCCAAAAATACGTCGCCGATAAAGCAGACAGGTGTCGAATGGCCTTTCAAACTTACAACTATGAAGGCGAACATAGAGGTTTGTTGCACGTCACGAATAAAGGCACATAGATATGACCGATGTACATAAAGCCCGGAGGGTACGTTGGTTGTGAAGAATAGCAACAATCTATGAAGAGAAACTAAAAGTCCCTTTAGGGCTACGATTTTACCAACCAGAATCTTACTTACTTTGCTTTTGATACCAGAATAAGATGTGCCGTCCAGATTCTTCCTCGTCAGACCATGTTTCAACTCCGCAAAGAGTGCTGGGCCACATCTACTATGACCTGAATCGCATCGGAAAGGTGCGCAAACAGGTGCGAGAGGGAAAAGCCCGGGACTCGGACCTGAAGATTTACTGGCATGAGTGCAAGCAGGCCGAAAATGTCATTCGTAAGGCAGTGAACCAGGTCGCAGGGCTGGCCCCTGGAAGCGGGAGTCTCATATCCGAATACACTCTGCTGGTGCACCCCGACTATCTCGGATGGGATGGGCTCGCGATCGCCGCATACTCGGAGGCCTTTCGAAGAATCCTTCTCGACCAGTACTATGATCCCGTGGCCAAAAGAGTCCGTGATACTGTGCTTGAAGCCTTAAGAGATGAGATAAGCAGCCTGGTGTTCTACGGTCGCATGCGCAATATCGACTGGCGCGGCCTGCTGCTCCCGTACTCCAACGACAATCTCCGCCACATGGAGGACGCGCTGCAGCTCACCAAGAAGTTTTGGGACCGCCACCCGCACACGGTCGCCCTCCCAGCGCCGGGTCGGACTCGCCCACAAGCCGCGATCTACGAGGAGTGTCGCCAGATCAATATCGAGGAGAATATCTTCGACGTCAGGGATTGGACCAACGGCAATGGAGGTCCCGAAACCAATGGTCACGTCCCGCGCAATCCAACTTTGCGCGCAGAGAGTAATTATGACCTGGGAGTCTGTGATTTCTGCAGGTCAAGTCATATCTGCAGGTGCCGGGTGAGACCCGACCCTTCAGAGTTGGTGGAGCTGGTGGTCACGGAGGGAATGGGCATTGGAGTGCGGGCCCTGTGGCCGTTCCGGAAAGGGGATATCCTGGGCGAATATCTCGGCCGACTCCTTCCGCACGACGCCGTGGAAGACAAGACGTACTGCCTTATGTGGGAGGCGAAGACGGCAGGCACAAGCAAGCAGGTTGCAATCGACGCGTGTTTCGAGGGCAACTGGACTCGGTTTGTCAATCACTCGTGCAGCGCGTCGACGGCATTCAAGAGCAGGACTTTCGGGGACCGCGCCGCCATGACTTTAGAGGCCACGCGGGATATTGCCATGTATGAGGAGATCACGGTGAACTACGGGTTCCGATATTGGCAGCATCGGACCTGCTTGTGTGGCGAGCCGAACTGCATTTCCAAGCGCCCCAAGACAGTCAGCGACGAAGAAGAATCAACCACCACAGAAGGAATAGAAGAGACAGAAGGGGCAGAAGAGACAGGACAGGAAGGGGAAGAAGGAGAAGAGATACAGGGACGAACAGCAGAATCTGATAACGACAGTGTCGGGGGAATTGTAAAATCTATAGAATTCGGCCCTTCCTATCCAGAAACATACACGAAGACACGCTCAAGGCTAACCACAAGCACCGAGTCGGGAGCCACGGAGGAAGCTAAGACTGTTGAAGATGGGAATGAACCTGACAACGATGATCATAAGGACAAGGATTTCATCCCTGAAGAGGATAGCGAAGGGGAAGATGAGTTGGACACCTTAGTTGTTGAAGAGTCTGAAGCCATGGATCTGAGCGAGTGATTGAGCGGAAGAGGTTTTTTTGATGGCTGTACATATATAGAGAATATACCCTTTTCATGCTAATCGTACCTTCCCCGGATTCCTTCCGGCTGGGTAACCCCGCATTTCTCTCCGACTCGCACGTGAGGGGAAACAAAGTAAATGACCTCAACCTCCGAGCCTCTTCTTCCACTCTCTTTTCTCCTTCGATCGCACTTAGGCGGATCTCTTCTTGGTCTCTTGGACATTATCGCCTCTTGTCGCGAGTTTTGGCAGTTTATTTCTTCCTCCCTACATTCCTTTACCACTTCCGACCCGCCTATCAATCAAGGGGTGCAAGAGCTATACATTCGGTACCAAACACCAGATGCAGTCTTGCAGCGTTCATGCAGCTCCATTGATCAAACAATACTGCCAATGTTTCGCTCGAGCTCATTCGTTCAAAGCAAACCCTGGGGAACAGGCTGGCTTCCGAGGACCTTCCAGTTATTGGTCCGAGCTAGGAGTCGCGGACTCCTCACTCACAGCTACGCTCGTGGACCATCAGAGGTAAGGTCCTGCACCTCGCTGAAAAAAGTAATCTTGAAGGAGACTAATGCTAGACCCTGTTGCCACATGTGAAGCCCCCGTTGCTGGATTCGACGGTTGGCGACCACTTCGCGCAGATCGTCAAGCTCCACGGAGATCGAACAGCGTATGTACTTTAGCATCTGCATGCCAGTCACAACCAATCACCATCGCTAACGATCTCGGTGCTAGAGTCATTTCCAAGCACCAAAGCGAGAGACTAACATATGCTGCTCTGGACACCAAAAGCAATGCGTTTGCCAGGGGCCTGGAATCCATCGGAGTTCGGCCCGGTGACCGAGTTGGCGTCATGCTGGGAAATTCAATGGAATACGCCATCGTATGCAACCGGCTTTAAGCATAGATACCCAAACAAACCGAGTGATTCGTGATAGCTTACCAGATCTCCCACAGGCAACCTACGCACTGTTCAAGTTAGGAGCTATCCTGGTAAGTCTCGTGTTGTCGTTGTGGAGGATCGAGATCGTAACATTCGTTCAGGTGCCTATTAATCCTTCATTCAACACTACACAATTGACCGCCGCTCTAAGTCATCTCGATACAAGTCATTTGATAGTCAGTGCTGAATCGAACTTGCCTCGAAAGCCTCCACGGACCAATGTGCCACTTCTGGAGAGTATTGTCCATGATATTGCGAGCCCTACCCTGAAATCAGAATCAATCCCATCACTGAGGAATGTCATTCTCGTTGACAACTCTTCTGGCCGCTTCGATAGCACGAAGTACAGAGGACTGACAGCATACTCCTCCCTAACCTCTGATGCTGCGTTCGACGGGACCTCCCTACCATCACAAAATTTGTCCCCCGATGATATAATAAACATCCAATTCACCTCTGGAACTACCGCAATGCCTAAAGCTGCTTGCCTTACGCATCGCGCAATCTTGAATAATGGCTGTCAAATCGGAGATCGCATGCGTCTCACACCCGAGGACGTTGTCTGCTGTCCCCCACCCCTCTTCCACTGTTTTGGTTCCGTACTGGGATATATGGCGACGGGAACACACGGTTCAGCCATCGTTTTCCCGACAGAGTCCTTCAACGCCAAAGCAGCCCTCGAAGCGGTGCAAGAAGAACGATGTACAGCCCTCTATGGCGTCCCTACCATGTTTCTCGAGGAGCTCACTCTACTCGAGAGTGGCGAGATCTCATCCGAGGGATTCCAGTATCTGCGAACAGGTATTGCAGCAGGAAGCAGCATCCCAGCCGAATTGATGAAGAAGCTCCACAAAGTCCTCAATCTCACCGAGCTCACCATCTGCTACGGCATGACTGAGACCAGTCCAGTATCTGCCATGACCACAACCGATGACCCGATCGACAAGCGCATCCACACAGTTGGTACACTTTTACCCCATGTGGAAGCGAAAGTAGTCGATCTTAGCGACCACCGCAAGATCGTCCCCGTTGATGTCCGCGGGGAGCTGGCAGTAAGCGGCTACCTCCTGATGAAGGAATACTGGAACGACCCGATGAGAACAGCCGAGGTGATGATTCCAGATGAGGATGGGAAAGTTTGGATGCACGTATGTGGCTGACTTTCGTGGCTTCTTTTCTGTGATCTTCGAAAACCAATTTAATAACGCGACTCCTAGACCGGTGACGAAGCAACCATCTCCCCAGACGGCTATATCACAATCACTGGCCGCGTCAAGGACCTTATCATCCGCGGCGGCGAGAATATCCACCCCTTGGAGATCGAGAATTGTCTTCTCGCCTACCCCGGAGTCATGAATGTGTCAGTTGTCGGAGTCCCAGACAAACGATACGGCGAAGCTGTGGCTGCATTCATCATTCACCGTGACCCTGAAGGGGAGGGCGTCACGGAGGAGAAGGTCAAAAAATATGTCTACGAGACGTTGAGCAATCACCTCGGTAGGTAATCCTCGCGGACCTTGCATGATTCAAAGCGTCTGGCTAATAAGTAGCGCAGTCCCGAAACACGTGTTCTTCCTACCTGCCTCAGAGTCATTTCCAAAAACTGCGAGTGGCAAGGTCCAGAAATTCAAACTTCGAGAGAGGGCGGTGGAAATGTTGGAGGGGAAGAAAGTTTCGATTTGATGATGGACTGGCTATCTACGTATGGCCTCTATTCCCGTGTGCCATCTTGCAGGTACAGCCATTTATTACTTGGGGCTTTGGATTTTAGGACATGTATATACAGTACCATAGGCCCATATGAGCACAATATGATAGTATCTATTGATACTAGGACATTTTGGATTTAGTGCCCTTAAGCCGGAAACTACAAGTTTATGCTCGTGAACAATGCAATGTAAATTTACCAAATAATTCCAAGGTGGGATGCAATTGTTCTCAGATTCGGAGTCGTTTGAAGTGGAAACTCCGCTATTAATGCAAATGCAAATGGGGTATCATCGCTGAAAAACGCAAGCAAAGTTGATGCCAACCAACAACAATAGAATTTTCAACACAAAAATCTCCAGTTGTTCCCGAAGCGCCAATCAAACTGGCACTCTCTCTCATCGGTGGAGGTGTAATCGGACACCCTAAGCTCCGTGATAGTGTTTTCTTCACGACGAGCTCAAAACACCACCAATGTTGCCAACCAACAACAAAAAGAAAATCTCAACACAGAAAAACTCCCCTTGCTTCTGAAGCGCCTAAAATGAAACTGCCTCTCATCGGTGGAGGTGTGGTCAGACATCGGAAGCCTTGTGGTAGTTTTCTCCACGATGAGCTTCACGCACCACTGTCTGAGGACAGCACAGGGAGGCAGGCCATTGCGCTTCGTACATCGTACGTATCACAAAGAGGAAATACTTATATGCATTCCAACAACAACAACAACCAAAACGCCATTGTACTCCAACGATGGGGATCCGAAATCTATCCCATCGTCGTGCACTGTAAATAAAAATAGATGTCACGTAGGACATCGATGTAGCCGGGACGTACCGTTGTTAGGTCGTTCAGCGAGAGGAGGGAGGAAGGAGGAAGAAGAAGGAGGAGGAGGAGGAGGAGGAGGAGGAGGA